AAAAGGAATATCAGTATATAAGCATATTTTTAACAGAGTAAATCTTCTTCTTTTCATGAGAAATCATTTCGAAATTATTCTATCAATTATTATAATAATCCAGAATTTATTTGGGAATAGTCTGGACTTGGTAGTAAAATTTAATGTTATTTTTTAGAATCATTTAGTCTAAATTTCATAAAAGACTCTGATTCTAATTATTGGATTTCAAATTTAGATTATTATTATGAACTATTATAAAATTTTTTAATGTTGAGCTTAAATATTAAATTAATTTGCCTAATCATTCATCTGCTCATTCTATTATTTTGGAAAATGTGATTATAATTATAGATCGTCTATTTGAAACTTTTGTTCCTTTATTTTCTTTGAAGTAGTAATTAATTTATTATTCTTAGATTCAGTCATCAGTTTTGCTAAAATATCAAACCTAAACCTGCTTATTTTCTGCCAGAATGAGATTTAATAGAGCTCAATCTATTATTTTATTATGAAATCTATTCTAAATGCAGTTAAGTTTATGCTATCTATTCCAATTCCATCATCTTTTACTTCAAAATTAATGTATTACTAATATTCTTACATGATATTTCAACTAATTCTATCTCTTTATAGGATATTTAATTGAGTTATTTAAGAAATTCACCAATAATTATATTATTCTTTGTTTATGATTACCAAAGTCCTTCCTTTTAAATAATTTGAGAATTAATAATAGTAATAATGTTTATATAATCAAATTTTTTTAATTAATATGATTTCGTTTATTATTTAGCAATATATCACTTTTTTTAAATAAATTTTGCTTATGCTGAAAAATGTTAACTAATGCATCCCATAAGAAACCTTTTGAATTTTCATAAATTGTTATTATTTCTTAAATAGTCATATTTAAGTTTAATCTATTAGGATATATTGAATGTTAGGAATTGGCTTTGTTGTTAAAAAAGAATATTAAATTTTTGTTTTAGCATTTCAAGATCTAATTTGAATAAATAAATGATATCATTATATTGTCATAAAGAGAATTCAATAGATTTTATGGATTGTAGTGTTTATAAAAACACTAAATAATTGAATGTTTATTGAAGTATAATTAGTATTTATGATCTCTAAATTTTTTCTGATTTTATGAACATTTTTATTAATATCTATTATTTATTAATAATGAAAAAATCACAACATTATAATAATAATAACATTTCATCATTCCTTCAACATATAAAACATAATTTATTTTTCATAATTGTTAAGAAATAATAATCTCCAGTATTATTAAGTGTATTGGATATACTAAAAAATAATGATGATTTAATTAATTATTCAACATTTTCAGATCTCTCGTTAACTTTAACAAAATTATCGTCATACCATTTTTATTAATACACTTAAACTTTTCATAATATGTTTATACAGAATAGTACTTATTAATGAAACAAAAACTCAATCCATGAACTTCTATTTGAATTATTTATATGATCACCCATTATTAATCAGATTTTCTGATTACATTGATACTAATATCATATGATCAAATTAATAAAGTATCAAATGGATTTAAGCTTATAGAATAAATTGAAACAATATGTGAAAACTTAAAAGTTTAAAAGACTGTCCTCATTTACATTATGCCAAATTCTAGGCTAACCTTATGCCTATTATTGTATTTGGTATATTTATTCATAGCCAAACTGTCAGTAAATACTAAAGTATTAAGTTTAAAAGTCATTTTGTTATTGTTTAAACCAACATATAGTTGCTCTTATAAGCTTAAAAGTTTGTAATAAATTTTAGGCAACCTGATTAAAAAAAATTAGACACTAATGTAAGTTTATTAATTGAGAAAATGATTGAAGTATCATGATTAAATATCATTCAAGTGGATAAATGATTTTTAGGAAGGATTTATTATTAATAATTATCAACCTTATGTTGCTTTTGTTTCTGATTTTTCATTTGATTTTAATTCATTATTTTATTATTAATAATATTGTGAATTAAACAACTTATCAAAAGAATAAACCACATAAATTCATCATAATCAAGTGAAATATAGTTTCAAATATTGTTTAAAACTAATTACCTCAATTAAATCAAATTAAGGAAGCATAAAAGTTAAAAAATGATCACTTATGAACCCTAATCTTAAAATATCTATTATTATTATAAAAAAGTTTAATTAAATTGATAAGTAAAAGTTAACTTTTATTTCATAGTTGATAAATTAAAAAAAATCCTTAGAATGCTAAGTTAAAATAAAAAGATTTGAAAATTTATATTTCAATATCAGTAATTTATAAATATATATCAGCAAATTAAGAGATCGAATTTTTTTAGCCTAAAAGCATTTAAACTTTATTTTACTTTTATAATAAATTATCAAACAAATGTACTAGATACTATTCTAAATGAAATGAATAGTTTATAAGGAGCTTAGAATATTATGATTGTGTAATAACAAAAGATCCAAATAATGCAGATTATTATAACAATAAGGTATATTTGGATAATTATAGAGCAGCAAGTGTTCAATTTATACTCAAGGATTTAAGACTTATTATATAAGTTGGATCTTCTTATTAGGCATGAAAATATTATGATTATTCAATAAAAAATATTCTATTAATGCAGATTATTACAATAATAAAAGTATTTAAAATATTAACAAGCAAATGCCTTACTTTAATCTAAAGATTCTGAATAAGAATTAAAGTTGATGAGTCTGCTATTAAAATCCAAAAAGAAGTACATTAAAAAGATTAAAGTAAAAATTAAATAATATTTACAGCAAATATTTAATTATAAATGAATAGATTCTAAGAGGCCTTAGAACATTCAGAATGTGCTATTAATAAAAATCCTTAAATAAGGATAATTATAGATAAAAAGGGTAAGAAATTAGAAAACAATTCATTAGCATTTCTTGTACAAAATGATGGGAAGCTATGAATATTTATATTTAATGGATAGTTTTAATGAAACATTAGAGAACTATGATCAGAGTATTTAACAAATCCTGATAAATCTCGTTAGTATTGTTTGAAGGGTAAAGTGAAGCAAATATCATAGCACATTCTTTATTTAATGACTTATAATTATTAATGGTATAACATATTTGAACTGTTAGGCATTAAAAAATTACCTCCATTCAATTTAAAGTAACCAGGAATATTCTGATAAATGTTATTATATATGTAAAATAAAAAAATACTCTAGCTCTTGCTTTATACTAATTGAAACGTTATGAAGAAGCATTAGAATATTATGATTTTGGTATTTAGAAAATCCTCAAGAATCTGATTAGTATTTTTAAAAATTTATTAGTAAAATAATATTTATATGCTATTACTTTAATTAAATATCAATATTAAATAATTGAAGATGTGAATATGTGAATCGCTTTGAAAAGGTATTACTAAATTTTAACTTAGCTATCAAAAAAATCCTTAAATAAGCTTTAATCAAATTTAAAATAAATATTATTTTTAATGATCTTTTTTTTAAAGGTTTGCAATAAAAAAAGAACTTTTTAATAAAAATTGCTATGAAAATTATAGTATTTCATTTCATATTTTTCTAATAANATGAAATGAATAGTTTATAAGGAGCTTAGAATATTATGATTGTGTAATAACAAAAGATCCAAATAATGCAGATTATTATAACAATAAGGTATATTTGGATAATTATAGAGCAGCAAGTGTTCAATTTATACTCAAGGATTTAAGACTTATTATATAAGTTGGATCTTCTTATTAGGCATGAAAATATTATGATTATTCAATAAAAAATATTCTATTAATGCAGATTATTACAATAATAAAAGTATTTAAAATATTAACAAGCAAATGCCTTACTTTAATCTAAAGATTCTGAATAAGAATTAAAGTTGATGAGTCTGCTATTAAAATCCAAAAAGAAGTACATTAAAAAGATTAAAGTAAAAATTAAATAATATTTACAGCAAATATTTAATTATAAATGAATAGATTCTAAGAGGCCTTAGAACATTCAGAATGTGCTATTAATAAAAATCCTTAAATAAGGATAATTATAGATAAAAAGGGTAAGAAATTAGAAAACAATTCATTAGCATTTCTTGTACAAAATGATGGGAAGCTATGAATATTTATATTTAATGGATAGTTTTAATGAAACATTAGAGAACTATGATCAGAGTATTTAACAAATCCTGATAAATCTCGTTAGTATTGTTTGAAGGGTAAAGTGAAGCAAATATCATAGCACATTCTTTATTTAATGACTTATAATTATTAATGGTATAACATATTTGAACTGTTAGGCATTAAAAAATTACCTCCATTCAATTTAAAGTAACCAGGAATATTCTGATAAATGTTATTATATATGTAAAATAAAAAAATACTCTAGCTCTTGCTTTATACTAATTGAAACGTTATGAAGAAGCATTAGAATATTATGATTTTGGTATTTAGAAAATCCTCAAGAATCTGATTAGTATTTTTAAAAATTTATTAGTAAAATAATATTTATATGCTATTACTTTAATTAAATATCAATATTAAATAATTGAAGATGTGAATATGTGAATCGCTTTGAAAAGGTATTACTAAATTTTAACTTAGCTATCAAAAAAATCCTTAAATAAGCTTTAATCAAATTTAAAATAAATATTATTTTTAATGATCTTTTTTTTAAAGGTTTGCAATAAAAAAAGAACTTTTTAATAAAAATTGCTATGAAAATTATAGTATTTCATTTCATATTTTTCTAATAATTATGGTAGATTTTATTTCCTTCAGTTTCTTTACTTTTAGTACTTACTTAATATTAATGATGAAATTATTATATTGTTTTGTTTCTAATATACTTTATTTAAAGATTTCCTCATTTTAACTGTGATCATAGAAAGATACAAATTATAAATATTATTAAATAACTTTAAATTTATACAATATTATTTTGATTCAAATTAAATATTAAAAACGAAGTGTTAGGAAGAAGTATTGAAAATGTATAATAAAGCAATAAAATATAACCATGAAAATCCTGTATATTATAAATATATATATCCATTTTTATTTCATTATAAATAGCTGCTGCTTTAGAAGATTTAAATAAAATTGATGATGCATTAAAATATTTTGAATCAGCTATTTCGAAAGATCTAAAAAAACCACATTTTTTAGTCATAAAAAAGTAATTTATTAAAAAAAAATTAAAATTATTTCAATAAGCCTTTGAATACTTTGATTATTCTATTAGTTTTAATGTTAAAAATCCAAATCATTATCATAATGAAGGTATAAATTAATATATAATCTTATAGCGAATATGTGATTAAATGATGAGTAAGTTTATGTTTATAGCTTAATAAAAAAGATGATGAAGCATAGAAATATTACGATATAACTATAGAGATAAATTCTGAAAATACAGGGTATTTTAATAATAAAGGTAATTCAAATTCATTTATTGGCTGCAAATAATTTATTTACATTTATTAATTGATTTATAAATATTCAAATGAAATCGAAATGAGGTAGAGAGAATTTTGAAAAAAATATCTAGTATTTTATTAGTAAATTTAAATTTATTTTATTAAAATTAATGAAAGCTGAATATATTTAGATTTAATATATACTAATAGATTTGAAGCAGCATTAAATTTTTTGGGTACACAATTTAAAGGGATCATGATGATTCAAAATTTTAAAATAATAAAAGTAGAATTACAATTCATTTGAATTGCTTTATTCCAATATGTAAAATGAGTAATTTCCAAATAATCAGCAAAAATGGAACTTTTTGAAGAAGTATTAGAATTTTTTGATTTAGGTTTCTAAAAAAATTCCTCAATCTTTTCAATAGCATTATAATAAAGGTAAAAATCAAAAATATCATTAATAATTATTTGATTTACACTAAATCAATCGTTAGGAAGAATTCTTAAACTTTAATGATTAGGAGATTTAAATAAACCATAATTTTTCATATCTTTATTATAATAAAGGGATTTAAAATTCTGAAATAGAAATTGCACTATTTATAATTAATACTCTTATAATTATTGGTTGAAATCAATCGAATTAAGGAAGCATCGGCATGATATGATGTTTTTTATTTTTTTATCACATAAATTATAAACTAATCATTAAATCAACACCTGATCTATCGATTCTATAACTTTTTCTTATATTTTCTTAAGTTTCTTTCTGTTATACAAGATACTTTTGAATAAAGTAGGTTATATAAAAGATAAAGTGGAGTGCTTAGTTAAAATTTTATAGGAGGTTAAACAGCTATGATGAATTCTATATTTTGAATAGGCCCTTCTAATAATTTATTAAATTTAATATGTTTCTAATTAGTTAGAGATAAATTCGAATTTATTGTTTAAATTGATTTAAAGAATAGGGATTGATCTAGATTGCATTTTCTGTGTGTTCATATATATTACTAAATAATCAAATATTATAAATTTTGAATAAATAGTTCCAAAATATGATTCGGAAATTTTTTGTTATTTTTTTCACACTCTATATATAAAGATTATTTATTTAATTGTAAATTTTTTAATACTTTTTATTAGGAATTAAGGTATAGTATGTAGGAGGGGCAATTAACTTTTACAGAGAATGAGTTTAAAATTTTAAATTAAATTAAAAAAAATCCCAATTATTCTATTATTAACATAATTTAGTTTGGCTTTAATTATATCATAAGTTAAATTAAGTAGTCATTTGATTAAATTCATATTCCTTAATATTTATATTCCTATAATATTGAAATTAAAGTAATCTTAAATATTTGGGGAGTGATTATGTTAGAGAAACATTCCAATCTTATTATTGTTAATGTAGTGGTTAAAGTAAGAGACTGGTTAAATATTTGTAGTTATTGGGTTTAAATTTATGGTTAATTATAAATACAATATCCTCTGCATATTAAATACTCTAATAAAAATTTACATTTTTGTTTTTATTGTCAACAGTAATTCTTCGAGATAAATATTGAAGAGGAAAGGCTATGAGGTAGATTGAAACTATTCTTTCATTTTTTCTTGAAGCTCTAAAAAGATTTCTTTTTCAAAACTATTTCAGATCAAGATATTTCATTTCTGAAGTTTTATTATCAAAATTAATTTTCTTATTACCCAAGCGGATCATTTAAATCAATAAATAATAGAAATTTGTATTGATAGTAATTGCAAAAATTAGAGACCATATTGTAATTCTTGTCTGCCTAGTCATAGTCAACATCTTAACAAGTTGACATTATTAGAACTTGTGGATGAGTGGATTAAAAAAAGAGTCCTAATTGTCCATAATGTTTAATAAGAGGCTTAGGAGTGCAAATTATCCCTTGATAGTCTTCTAAATAAATTCATTAATTTACTAAATATTAATTTAGTATAGTTACCTACATTAGGACTTTCATAGTTAGACAACATAATTAAAGGTTTATGTTTAATTGATGAGAAAACTTTAATTTATTAACTACAATAGTCAATCGAACAAATCAAATAGATCGTAAACTAAATTTTGGAAAACCAAATAAACTAAACCAATTTAAGTCCAACTGATTATTTATATATTCTAAAACCTGTTAAGATAAAAGAATCGATTGTAGAATACAACATCTACAACTCATAAAACCTAATGTATAACCATTCACTTTTGAGATGATGAATTAAACTACTGTTGATAAAGAGGTATAATGTTATGCAATAGCAATTAATAAATATAATTCAATCGTTGTAGCAGGGTATGATAAGTAAATTAAAGTATTTGAATTGATATAAGAGAAATTAAATCAAATTTAAGTCTTAAGTGAACATTAATCATTTGTGTCTACATTAAACTTCATGAAAAATTCAAATAATTTTGTATCTGGAAGTGGAAGTGGAGATTGCTCAATTATAATATGGTAGATGAATCAAAATAATTTCTGGACTTGCTAAAAAAAATTAATTGGGCATTCCAAAAGTATAACTACTTTATTATTAAATAATAATGAAAATCTTATTATTACAGGCAGTCATGATTCATTTATTAAATTTTGGAATAAATAAAATGGATGGTTATGTTAATAAACCATTAAAGAGCATACTAATATTATTTATTCATTAAGTTTAAATGAAATTTAAGATAAACTGATATCTTGTTCATCTGATTCATAAATATTAGTAATGGAATATTCTGAAAAGGATTAGATATGGAATGTGATATAAAAGATAAAAGTATTAAGATAAGGATATAGATTGTGTTTTATTAATGATAATTAATTCACATTCTAACCTTGGAATTATGAATAAATGCATATATATGATTTAAATAGTAGTAATAAAGAATTTGTAAAAACCAATGAAATTATTGTAAAGTCTGGCTCAACTAATTGTGATTATTTATTTCCATAATAATACTTAAAATCCAAATGCTTATTGGTGAATAAGAATGGTTAGAATATCAATTTAATAAGGAAGAAAGAGAACGGATAGTTTGTAACAGAGTAAACTATTCAATCTGGCCATCATTTAATTTATGGTTAATTAAGTGAAGATGGTGAATATCTGATCATTTGAGATTGTAAATCTAAGGAAATATAAATTAGAAAATGTAAGGAATTATGAATAAGTTAATATATAAAATATTATAATTTTAATCTATTAAAATTCATTCATTTAAAGTTATATTATTTGATTTGAATAATAAATTCAAGTCATTAAAGAGATTGATTTATCTTGTAATAAAAAAGTAAAATTTTGACAAACATTAGATTACTATACAGAATGTAATAAATAATATTTTTCTTAAAAACACTTAGCAACACATTTTCAATTAAAGAAATGTTCATTTTTTCAAAATGTTAAAAATTTGTTAAAATCCTGTGATTTTTATTAGAATTGTAAATATAAAGATAAAGCCTTATATGATAATAAGATTATAGAACCATTCTGAAGAATAATATGAGAATTTACATAATTTAGACAATTGCAACTCTTAAAATCTATTTGTTCACCTTAAAATATTGATTAGTTAGTGCCTTGCCAAAAAACAATATCTTCTAACTTCAGTTCAAAATGTTTTGAGCATTTCTTTCAAAAATCACCTTTAGGAAAAAAGCACTTTTCTCTTAATAAGCACAAATAGTATACAAAAAGTAATCAAGAATTTTTTAGATTTTGTAATTAACTAATATGATATAATTTAATTTTGGTAGAGACTGGGGTCAATTTGTATATAAATATGACAAGAATTAATAGGATGGATGAATTTAGATAATTATGATAAGAAACTATTTGATTGGAGATGAGAATGATTTGATGTGGATTTGAAGAAGGAGTTAAGAGATATTGAGAAGATTAGCTAAAGTATAAAAATTTGAAAATTGTTGACTTAGATGGTTAAAACTTGATAGGCAAGTCTGTGTCCCTCCTCACAACATCATTTATTCATCATAGGAAGGCATAATTTTGAGAAAGTAAATGATCTTACTTTAATGTATTAAAGCGAATTAGTTTATGACAATCCAAATCATCCAGAATTTTTGTCTAATTTGAAATAAATCCTACATCTTTCTAAATTAAACAAATTTTATTATATAGTCAGAAATATAAACAAAAAAGTTTCTTAAAAATCCTGTCTTTAATAGTGATACATCCTTTTCAACAAAATAAATAGGCAACCTTTAAAATAGAAAAACAAAAATAATAACAAATTCTTAAATTATTAATTATTTTTAATTTTCAAAAATAAAATTTCATTTTAATTATCGAAAATTTATTTTAATTCCATTCTCTTCTTTATTCAACCCTTTATCAACTTTTTAACCATTTTAATATTCACCCTTATAAGTGATTTATGAAATCCAGCTAAACCTATCATTTAACTCTATCCATATTTCAATTCAATCCCATCACCTCCATATTACCCATTACTACTTAACATATTTTTTTACAATTACTTTCAATAATTTTTACATTTATCTATTAATTTCATCACAATTCCAGTAAAAATCCCATTAAACAACCTTATTACCGTTTTTATATTCACCTTAATAAGTTATTTATGAATTATTGTAAAACCAATCACACAATTCAATCAATTTACCATGCTTCACACACCTTGTGAATTTTATGTTCTCCCATCACTAATAAATTTATAAATAATTTAACATTTTTTGTTGTTATTTAAATATATCCATGCACAAATTTTCTAATTATTAAAGTATTCCCCACTTTCAATATCTTAGCTTTACTTATTAATGGTATTGAATGAATAAATACCTCCTATAATTCTTATTTAGTTATTTCCATAAACCTTGCTTTAACCCTCTCTAATAATATCCAAAACAATTTCTTCTTCTTTCTCTCAATATTATCTAAACAAAAAGTTTTTTGGTTTATTCAATATTAATCAAAAATTCTGGATCCTGAAAATTGTTTTATAAAATTTTGCTTTTAAGCAGATCATTGATTTTAATGTTATTTTTATTATTAAAAATTTAAGTGTTTTTCTACTATGCTTCAAATATTACAATTAAAATAATCTTGGGTATATGATGTACCTTTATGTTAATTTAATTAAATAAGAGATTTTGTGAAATAAACAATAGATCTTAAAGAATGTTTATAAACTTTTACAACTAAGAATTATATAGAGTGATCACTTATTTCATTCTTATATTCTATTGTATAATGAAAGGAAGTACGCAATAATTTTATCATTCTTAGAATCGAAGATAAGCAATCAAATTTAAAATTTTAAAGACTATTGATGAAGGATCATTATTATTAAAAAATTTTTGAAAAAGCAAAAATAATTGAAAAATATGTTATCCATATAGTTGAAGAAATATTTGAATTCTATTATTGAAATTTATATTTAAAATATGAAGATTAATTACGAAGTGTTATTAAATTCATTAAATCCAGCCAAAGAAGTTAATTCATAGAATAAAAAAATTCAAATAGAAAAATCTCTATAAAATTACTACTTTAACTAGAAACTAATTCATTTGATTTTAAAAACACAAATTTTATATTATAAAATATTTAAAATAACTCTTCTTTTAATTCTTAGATATGTCATTTTATCATTTTAGGTGAATCCTCATTTTGCAGTATAATATTTAACCATAGCTAATTTATTCACTAAAAATATAGTAAGATTGAATAAAATAACAATAAAGAAATGTGTAATTCTATGATGATAACTAAACCTTTTATTTTTTTTTATTTTAGTTTTGAAGATATTTCTAGTGCTTTGTAAATCAATTCTTAGGATTATAATGAAATACCTATATAAAATGTATCAATTATAGTTACCTTTGTTAAAATAGGCTTTGGCATATTTTGAATTGATTTTAATATTCCTTATTAAAGCATTCTATGGCTTCTTAATATAAAGACAACCTATTTATAATCTAACCTTTGTTTAAATAGGCTTTATCATAATTTTTATTTAATTTAAAAATAATGTAAAATTATTCATCTGCTTAATTGTTTTGGACAAGATTAAGTATTCTAAAAAATCAAAAGCATGACTTCTAATGTAAGTTTGATTATCAAATTAACCTTTATTAAGAACAGTTTTTAATTTTTTAATTTAATTTTAGGCTTTCTCGAAAATTTGAATGGCTCCATTACATTAATTAGGGTTTTTTACTATTTTGATTAAATTTTTATCAATTTTAGTAAGCCCTTTAATTGAATCCTGAAATACCTTAGTTGGTTAAGGCGATATCAGTTTTATGTGATTACTTTCTTATAAATTTCAATAGCTTTAAGATTAATTTTCTAAAAAAATTAATATTTTGGACGCTTATTTAATTAAATAGATGTAAGATTACAATATCGATTTGAAAATAATTTAAATAAAAATATATCAATTCTCTCATTAATATTTTTGATATAAATAATTAACATAGGATTTCAAGTTCATTTCAAATTCATATTGGAGGGGCTGGTGTTGTGATGGGTGATATGGTATGGATATTTTATGAGATGGAGCACTATGAAAAACAACTCAAAAAATTATTTTTATGAATCAGTTGATGGAAATTATAATCCATAAGGGAATAGACCTATATTTAGAAATAAATAGAAGCGATGGATTGATTAGATTAATTTCTGATTACTACATCAATAATCGGAGGGACTGAGTTTGAATTTCTACTTTATTAATGAGCAATTTAATATGGGATTATGGAAATAATGGAAAAAAAACTGGATTAATTGTCAAAATAATTAGTTTCTGTTAGGTAATTTCTTTTAGGATTTGATTTATGTTTGAATTTTTATTTATTGCTAAAGTTTCAAGATACTTTATTTTGATTTTTCTTTAGATAGATCAATTATCTATATATATAATTAATGCATATTAATTTGCAGTGTATAACTTTATCTAAATAATAAGACTGTTTAATTAAGATATTAATAACAACATTGGTAAGAGCAAAAAAATTAAATGATAAAAAACTAAACTTTCCTAATAAAGTTTTAATCTATGTGGGATTTTCTTTTTGGAATTAATAAATTAGTAAGATATAACTGAAGGACTTCTAATTTCAATCCTTTTATCTGAAATTTATGAATGAAGTATATATTTTTACAATCTGGGATGAGTACTTTACAATTGGATCATGGAAAAGGTCTGAAATATCAATTATTTTATTCATTTAACTGATTATCAATCATGAAAATCTTGAATTAGGATAGTTCTTTTGGCTTTGAAAAAAACTAAATAAATTTAAGAGGATAAATGAAAAAAAATTAAGATAGCAATTCACAAATTTAATGATTAATAATTCTGTTTTGAAAACAAGTAATTATCAAATACAGATTAACTAAAACCATGATAATCATATTTATCTTCAGATGAAATCAAAAATTGTTAATTGAGTAAATTATAAAGAATCAGCTACAAGTGGTCAACTATAAATAACTTAAAACAAAAATACCTCATACATTTTAATTAGAATATATTTTGTAAATAATGAACAATTAATAATTAATTTATTTGGTATCTATATTTGATTTTTTGTACATAGAGCTTTATTCTAAAAATATTTATCAATAAGAAGTCAATTTTCAATTATTAGTGAAAACCAAAGTTCATTATTTTTATTAATGAGATAGATTAATAATCACTTTGAATATATCAGATCTCTCTAAATATTAAAATTAAGTATAAAACTATTCAAATTAATACTTTTTTTATTAATAAGATAAATATTTATTATTATCGTTTAATTTAGACTCTTCTTATAAATAAAGTACTTCTTTATAGACATTTATCATTAATTAGACAATCTCATAGATTAAAAAATTGTATTTATAATATAAAAATAATAAAAAATATTGATTATAATTTATCCTTTTAAAATATTTCTATTCATCAAATTGTTGAATTTTTATGGGCTGAATTATTAAATAGTATAATTTTCAAATTGGCCTCTTTTTATATTTCACAAAATATTAATCAATGTTCTTTTACTTTTTGATAGTAAAATTTAATATTAAAGTGTAATAAAATATTATTTAATTTTATCATTTCATTTATATTATAATTCATATATTGAATACTCTCCTTTATAATTATCCCAAAAAACTAAATGTTAACTATTATTTGTGACAGCTCCATAAATACTATTTGTATTTAAATTTAATTATTCAACTATTTTGAACTTTCCATTATTTAATTCCCTAATAAAATAGATGCAAGCTTTATGCCTTACTATCATCAAATTACTTTATTTATTATAAACTATTGGAAATAAGTACATATTCTATATATTCTTATTTTAATTTATTTAAATTTTCTTTTCCTAATTCTCTTGATATTCGCCTTCTTCTTATTCAAATATGAAAATTTCGTCAACTTATTTACTACCAGGATACAAAACAAATTAATTCTCCTTGATAAACTATATATTTTATCCATAAATATTGTCAGGCAGGTTAACAAAATATTTAAATTCCATTTTATTATTTAATCCTCTTTCCCAAATAATTATTTAACCCGCACAAGATACTAGTTATCTTTCTGATTAATTTAAACTTAATGACTAAATTTTTTAATCGTGTTTTTCCAATGAATATTGATATATCAATTAATTCTATTTGAAATCTAATTTCCATACTATTATTGTCTTATCCAAACTTCCAGAAAATAATTAATCCTCATTTTAATTTACAGTCATACAGTAAACTCTATCAGTATGTTTTTCATATAGAAATGAGCTAATCCAATCATTTGCCCCCTAAACTTTCCAAATTCTTATTGTATTATCACTTGAACATGAAATAAATGAATTCTATTTCTTACTAAAAACTAAGGCATTTACCCAATCAGTATGTTACTTCAACCTTTATAGTAATTCTAATTTTCCATTATAAAATTTCCATACATTAATAATACTTTCATTTGTTGATACCATGATTGAGTCAGAAGAATTAAAAGCTATACTTATACAATGTTCATTTTATTTAACTGAGAAATCAGTTTATTTTAAGATTATGTTATCTTCTGAAAGTAAAATTTATTGTTCATCTTTTTTATTTGATATCAAATCAAACTTTTAAATCATTAATTGATGATTCAATAATATTTCTTTGCAGTTATTATATTTATATTCTGGAAATTCATTGAATAATTCTAATTTAAGGGCTAGTTTTGAATACCAATTATTATATTCTTCATATATATCCTTTATTAATAAATTTTCATTCATTTTCAGATTATTTCTATTATTTATTATATTTTCTAATTCTTCATGAAAACTGTATGTTTAATATCTCAATCCTATAGACTAAAGATTATTGATCCAATTATGAACAATAAATTTCAATTAATCTAATTATTGAATGATATTTTATTTCAACTAATCTATTTGATTTTGAATTAATTCAATTTATTTTATGTTAATGATGATTATATTTTCAACTTGATCTATTCTTAACTTTTATTATTCTTCAATCATTTGAATTATTTTCTTGAACCCAACTGCTTTTCCTTCTATATCTACATTGTCCAAACACTCATTACATAAGAGTCTCTATTCCTTCTCTAATAAAGGGTTAAGAACAACTTAAACTATTGGAAGGTTATGTTTATATGAACATTGTAGTGATTTTTCATTTTCTATCATTTTTGGTTTAAACATTATTATAATTAATGAATCAATTCATTTAAATTTTTAGTATAAATAATAAATAATAACAAAACTGAGATAACATATCCATTTATAAGTTGATATATATATTATATTTATAATAAAGAGATTAATTTTAGTCAAAAAACTATAAAATTTTAAGTGAAAAATTCCTGATGATTAAATTTTATATCAACCCTATAATTGTGAATTGTTGCAAGAATTAATGATGTAAATTTTTACTAAATAAATATGTAAGATTTCTTGACAATATTGTTAGAAATAATATAATAATTACTTAATTATTATATTATTCTTAACTGAGAGATGAAAATTTCTTTTATTCTATTGTTATTATGAAAAATATCTGAGTGAATATAAAACATTTAGAAAAGGAAAATGTTTTACATTTAAATGAAAATAATGTACCAAATTTATTATAATTAATACTCATTTATAATATTAATAATTTAGAGTAATTCTATTAAAACCAAATTACCAATAAAATACCCTAAGTGAATTCTTCAAAATCAAGAAGTATTAGTTAAATCAAAAAGTTTTGATACCACTTTCTTGTTTGTTCATTTATCTTTTTCTATTAAAATAACTGAAAAAGGAAATATAAATATTTTAGTTATTTACTATTAATTTTATTCTAAATTATGAATTTAATTTTTATTGAAAAGACATTCCTAATGCTTATTATCAATTACTTAATTTAATGAAAACAAGTTGGAATTTTTAATTTTATTAAATTGAAATCCTTTTACCATTATTAATGCTATTATTATATATGTTAAAGATATAAATTATCATTTTTGATTATTACCATTTAGTAAACCCAAATTATTATGTTTATTATATTTAAGTATAAGGCCTTAATTTTACATAAAGGTTATTTGGCAAGATTAAATAATTTTTATATTAGTCAGTATAACAACATTGAAATTTAAATTATTTTATTATTTTTATTTCTATTTCAGATTAATTTATTTAAGTTTAATATCAATATTAGAATTTTTATTTTAGATTTATTCTTAATTAATTTATAATGTGATAAAGAAACAAGTTATCTTAATTCTGTTCTCATATATTAAATTAAATCAAATATAAAAATAACATCTAATTATATCATTTATATACTCTTTTTTATTTTAGATATGTCTAATCAAAAAATTATTTTTCAGTATTGGTATTTTATTTTATTTTCATTATTAATTTAATATATTGATAGTATTAATTTTAATATTCTTTATGTTAGACTTTTGAAAATGTTCATGTAGTTCATTTTTATTTAACATGATAATATATTTTACAAAATTTTATTAATACATGAATACTTTTATTAGCGCAATGAATTATTATGGTATAGAGTTTGAATTAGAATAAAAAAGGGAGAAATACAAGCAATTTAATTTAAATGATTATAATTTAATATTAAAATCATTTTTTAATATTGTTTAAATTAAAAAATATCGCAAATGTAATCAAGAAATTTATTTAAGAACTTGATGAAGAAATCCTTCAATGCATGAAATAATATTTTAGCTAAAATTGGAGGCAAAAAGAATAGCAGAAGACCTCATATAAGATTTCGAAAAATAAAATAATGATTCATTTTCTAAGTTGTTTGAATATCATTCAAATCCTAGTATTGGTTATTTAATTCATTTAGAATTTAAAAAAAACATTGATGATAATAAATATTGATGAAATTGTAATGATTTCTCAAGACAAAATGAAGAGGGATATTTTATTAATCTGAAGGTCTGTCCTCATTGTAAACTTATCTGATTAAAAGTAGCAGGATGTTTTACATCAACATATTGTGGTCAATTTCCTACTCTTGAGAATTCACAATTTAAAAAGTATAAATTAATTTAAAAGTACTTTTTCAATATTACAGAAAAAGAAATTCAGTAAACTTTAAACTAATAAATTCTTTATCCAGAAAGATATACAAATATCAAAATATATAATGAACCATCAAAAAACTGGGATGCTGTATCCTAGTGTTTTGCCATAATAATTAAAGGAACTTATTGATCCAGAACTTATAGACTAATTTCCTAAGGAAATTCCAAAAGAAGAACATCAAATTAATATTATAATGAAATCATAAATATCACTTAAAGCGAGGTTGAAAAATTAAATCTTAAAACAATATTATTAAATTATGAAATTGATAAACCATTTAATGAATATAATTAAATTTGTTATTTAAGTGATTCTAATAAAAAATAAAAGTAATTCTTTTAAAAAGAGAAAGATTATCTTATATACATAAGCTATTAATATCTATACATGAAATTAAAAACATTTATTGAAACAAACCTAGAAATGATTCAATAGATTCATTTAGAATTACTCTTATTTTATGATAAAGGATTAATTATAGATATTTATAAGTTTTTATCGTTTTAAAAAAATAAAGATGAATTGATTGATATCTCTTCATATTTATTAAAAGAATCCTTGATTATCATAAATATTGTTTGTATAAAAATTGGTTTATTTGGTAGAATTAGAATTAAAAAAGGATTGATGGAATGAGTATCTCAAATGAAATCTAAAAAATGCTTTTATTATTACTTTAAAAACTGCACTTCAAATAATTTGATTAGCCTTGAAGTACTGGATGTGATGAATTAAAAATTTAGAATTATGACATAATTTAATATTAAAATTGTAAAAAAAAAAAAGATTTATTTTTCTTCCACTTTTTTTTTTGTTAAAGGATTTTAGAGTTGGAAATTTTATACATTTATAAAATACAGTTTATAATCAGATTTCTTTCATAGGGAACGCTAGCCTGAAACTTAAAATCATTGACAGGATTAGAGTTCTATTTGCTAAATTTTAACTCATCAAAATAATTAATGGATTAACTTGTCAATATCAAATGAATTACATTTTATGTTTTTGTAAACATGTCATTTCAATATCTGCCAAAATATAGGTTTTCAATTCAATTAATTTCGTGAGTAGAGTTGCCTAAAGTTAACATAAATTCTGATTATTCATAAAAAGAACTTCTATATTATTTAATATTGTTGTATTTCACCCCTCAATTTAAAAAAACTTGATTATTTGTGATGATAACTAATAATATATAGCGCTCTTTCTACTATTTTATAAATGAATTTTGGCTCAAATATACAAAGTTGCTACACTAAAATTGTTTTCAAAAGTTTTTCTCTTGTAATTTCTTGTTACATTCCCTCAACCTTTAGGCTATATTAAAATTCAACTTTTTTTAAGATATAAACAAAATATGGAATGAAAATGTTTGTTACTTGAAAACTCAAGGATCTAGAATTTATTGTAATATTTTAGGCTTTTGTATTATTTTAGGATGTGAAGTATACAGCATTGTTGTTGCAATATTATTACATTCCAGAACTAACTTTATTTGTTAATATCTGCTAATATTTGAATAACAGTCTATTCTAATAATACTTTCAAGATGATAACAATAAAATTAAGCTCATTTGCTTAAATCATGTTATTAGGTTCATATTATTAGAAATTAAGTAATCATCATAATCCAAATATAGATTCACTGATTTTAGATAATTAAACACATTCTTATAGAGTAACTTTTTTCCAGTCAGAACTGGTTCAATATATATTCAGTTTTCTTCAATAACAATAATGTATCAGTCAAAATTATAATTAGCAATAGATTATATTCAAAATGATTATTATTATGTTATGGAGAAAATAACTTTTGATGTTACCCTCTAAATTAATTATTAAAATAAACAAATTGACAATGAAAATAGGAATCAGCAGCCAAATTTTATTTTTGAATTTGAATCATTTTTCAGACAATAATTAAAAATCATTCTAAAGGTTTCTTTTAATTATTGCTTGCCCATCATCTTAATTATTTTTTTCATTTTTTAGAGGAATTTTTATTGCCGCCTTTCAAGAAAATTTTGATTTGCTTTGATACTTATTTTATCCATCCATCAAGAATTCTCTCATCCTTCTGATGCTCTCCTTGTCTTCATTTTGATCCAGACTTTAACTTTCCCAAAAATAACATTTGGAGAAATCCCTTTCGTAAAAGGTCCTCAAAAATAGTGCTCAACAAGAGCCCTACTTTTGTAAGGAGGTTTATCAATCGTTGCTGATATGCTATTTGCTTGTTGTCTCCCCTTCTAGAATTCTTGTGACTATGTCTTCTGGTCATGATATTTTAATTTTTTAAATTAAATATAAATAGCATTATCTATTTTATCTCTGCAGATTACTCCTATTCACATTGAAATTAATTAATAATTAATATAATTCTTTGATGAATTTCTAAATTATATTTTCAATTCTTTGAATCATAATACCATTAAATAGTAGATTTTATGTGAATTACTATTATTAAATATTTAGGTTCTTTTCAATTTCACTAAAATTAAAAAAAAGGAATTTTTGCAAAATCTTTATTTTGGTAATCCAACGATGAAATATTATTAAATCTATATTTATCTCTCAAAAATTTGCAGATAATTTCATTTCTGCTAATTCAATAGAATAGTCTGAGAGCTATTAACAATTTCCATATGTAACATGCATTATAATAATATAGAAAAATCCCATATATATCTTTAAATTATATCTACATCATAATTTCTAATTCAAATAAAATATTTTTCTTTTAAAAAATGACTTCTTCTTTTAAGATTTAATGCAAATAAAATTGAAATCATTAACTTATAGATCTTTAATATTAAATCATCTCAAAATAACCAATTAATTTATGAACTAATTGATAAAAAGTAATCAATTAATTAATTTTAAAAATCAATTTAAGGATAATTATTTGTTTTTAATAATAAAATTAATTTAGAAAGTGCTTTTGCCTTAAAATTCTTAATAAAGTGCTAAAAACGTTTTAATTTTAATTTATTGCGAAAAGATTATACTCAATTAGATTTATTTTTAAACTTTAGAGATAATAGAATTTAGCATTATTTAAGTTGTTTATCTCTACTATAAATCGTTAATAACAATTTCAAAATAACATTATCGTTAAGAGATTCTTTTAAATTTACATTCTATTTCTTTCTTTAAATATTAAACTTTTCTGCTTTTCAATTTGATTTATTTTTCTATAGCCTTAAATCATTCGGTAATTTTTAGAAAATATTTTTTGAAAAAAAAAGAAAATTTACTTAACATCAGTAAATATTAACGATTCTTCTAATATTTTTGGTTGAAGATTTGGTTGGAAATGCACGAACCTCTTTCGATAAATCTATTTTAATATAACTAAATTCAATTAATCAAAAAGAAAATAATTATATAATTCTTTTTCACAGATATTTTTAAACTTAATATATTCATTTTTCAAAGATAATCTCTCTTTCATAACCATAAAAATCACCATAACTCTTACAATTGATTATCCATATTCCTACCTTTCTATTATTTTTATATTCACCAATTAAGACACATTATTAAAAATCTTCAAAACTGTCGCATACATCTATCCAAAATCCACACTTAATAAAACCTTTTTCCTCTTTATATTATCCTCCACCCCTAAATTTTTTAATTCATATTTACAATAATACATTCTTTTTATCTTTATACCACTCATTATACCAAATTTCCCATCTCCCTATTTTTCTACTATTTTTATACTCACCCTCAAAAGTTACTTATGAAGTTCTTTTAAAATTATCACTTAGTTCAATCCATTTTCCAACTTTAATATATCCTTATTCTTCATCATAAAATCCACCTCCCCTACAATTATTATTTGATATTACACTTATTTTATTTTATCATAAAACTGATCAAACCAAATATCCCATTTACCAACTCTTTTACCACTTCTATATTCACCAATATATGTGACTTAAGATTCACTATCAAAAGAAGAACCCAACTCAATCCATTTTCCAACTTTAATAAATCCTTATTCTTCATCATATGATCCACCACCACTAAGTTTATTATTTTCAATTCTACATTAATAAGTTTTTTTCATCTTGAAAATTTAGTTAAAAATAAATATCCCATCTACCAACTTTGATACCATTTTTATATTTTCCAATATTGGTGACTTATGAAGAATAACTAAAAGTATCATTAAGCTCAATCCATTTACCAAACTTATTAAAACTTAACTCGTCATAAAATCCACAAGCTCTAAATTTGATATAATGAATTTACATTTATTTATGTACTAAATTGTATTCTCTTGTCCAAAATGTTACCCATTTTCCAATTTTATTACCATTTTTATATTCACCATTCGAAGTGACAAATTCATGTTAATGATAATGATCATTAAACTCAAACCATTTCCCAACTTTAATAGAACCTTGTTCTAAATCATATGATCCACCACCACTAAATGATTTATACTTTTTATTATTTTTACATCTTATAAAAAGGCTCTCCTTTTTCACGCCTTTTTTCTATATCCCATCTATTAATTTTTTTTCCATTTTTATATTCACCAATATAAATAATCTGCCGTATATGTAGAAAAAAATCGCTCGGTTCTATCCATCTCCCAATTTTAATAGAATCTACCTCATCATATTATCCACCACCACTAAATTATTCATATGCCATTATTTTTACATGATTTCTCCTAATTAACAAATATCCCATCTACCAATTTTATTGCCGTTTCTATATTGGCCAATATAAGTGGTTTATGATTATTCTTAAAATCCATCACTCAATTCAATCCATTTTCCAATTTTATTACCATCTTCATCATATGATCCACCACCGGTTAAAAAATTTGCTTTTAATATTTTATATCTTACCCTCTCTTGTCTTAAACCAAATATCCCATCTACCAATTTTCTTGCAATTTCTATAATGACCAATATAAGTGATTTATGAGTCATCTTAAAATCCTTCACTCAATTCAATCCATTTTCCAATTTTATTACCATCTCCATCATATGAACCACCCCCACTTAATAATGTAATCGTAATATATTACATCAATTTATTATCATATCTATATTCCTATTCAAACCAAATATCCCATAAACCAACCTTTTTTCCGTTTTTATATTCATCATTATATTTGACTTTAGAAAAATAACAATATCTATCACTCAACTCTGTCCATTTTCCACTCTTTTGGCCTTAATAGTTGTAATGTCCAGCAATCCTAAAATAAAAATAATTTGATCAATACATGAATTAGTCATCGTATATATAATTCCAAATCCCATATCTTTAATCATCTATATAATATCCAGATTCGTAAACTTCAGCTTTCCTTTTAAATATTTGAATGATTATATACTTTCTATAATTTTTTGAAAGGTCAATCCAAAAACCCTATTTTTTTTCTTCCTTAGAGTACCATCCACCAGTATCCCTTAAAATTTCACCTTTCCATGTTGTAATCCACTTTCCTACCTTTTAATTCTATTACCCATATTTTCCAGACCAATTTAGATGAATAAGTTATTCTAAATTAGGAAAATTTAAAAATTCTACACATTATTATGTCTTTATTCTCTATTTTTTTAAATATAAAAATATTTACATTCTTAAGAGTTCACCATCAAAAAAGTACCTTCTTTCATTTTCATTCGTCAATGTTACTATTTAAACAATTTTCTTAAACCAACTTAGTCTGTAAAAGCTCCATGCTTCACAATCCAATACTTATTTTATCTCTAATTTGTGATTATTATCAATTTATTGCACTTATTGTTAATGATACTGTATTCCTCTTATAATATTTTAACAATTTGAACATGCAATTCCCATTCGTTTTAAATATAAAATAATATTTAATTGTTGTTATTATTTATCATTCAAACTTAAATGCAAATCATAGATTAAGATACTAAAATAATACTCAAAAAAGTAAAATTAGAAATTTTTTTCTATGATTTTTAGATTGATAAAGGAAAAAAAGGGAAGTACGTGATAAATATTAAAATAATGACAAATTTAAATGTCCTTCAATAAAGATAAGGAAGAAAATTAAGATTCCATTAATTTACAAATAATCATTGAGTGGCAAATCATTATCTTTTATAATGCTTTTATTATACAAAAATTTATAGACTCCAAAATTTAAAGTGAAAGCATTATGAGTTTATTAATAGTGAGAGAATTATCTTTTTTTGAGAACATATTATTTTACTAGAGAAAGAAATTTTCAATATAAAAGGCAATAATAGGTATGCAAGAGAAGATGATGAAATATTATATTCAATCAAAAGCAAAGGATGAAATAATAATAATATTTCAATTAAAAATATTTAAATAGGTAACAGATTTAATGGGAATAGAGTTCTTTTTAGACACAAATAACTGTATTGAATTAAATAATCAAGATATTTTTAAGATTAATACAATTATTTGCTACTAAAAACAGAAGAGCTAATGAAAGATTGTAATCTAAATTTCAGAACTCAATCACACATTCTGTTTATTAGTAGAACATATACTCATTCAGGAATAACAATTTTGAAAGAAAAAGCATAGTTTAATTTAGCTGTAAATAGACTGTATATAGTGGAATTTAAACATTATGTATTCGACAAAATAAATAAAGTGACTAGTTGATTTATAAATAAAAATTAGTATAATGTTATTTGTGGAATATAATAGTATTATATTGTATAAATTAATCCTTTTGTTTCTTTAAGAATCATTTCAATATTACAGAATTTTTTATAATTGATCTCTTAAATATCTCACTCATAGATAATTTTATTCCAAAAGAACAATAGATCCATTTAAAAATAATTTAACAAATTTTACAATTTATTCTTACTCTTTTTTGAATTTTCAAATTTATAGGATACTTCATTATTCTCAATACAAAATTCAAAAAAAATTAACAAAATTTATGCCCTAAATTTTAATCTTGTCTTATATTACTTTTTTTTGATTCTTTTTTACTCTTCTCTTCAAAAATAAATTACCTACATTTTTTTTATAATTTTCTCTACTCTATAACTTTAATACCATTCTAAAATACATGAATTTTCTTGGTATTTTAAATACAATTCAATAATTCTTATTTAAAATCATTCAATTTAATTCTCTAATTTATTGTATTAGTTGTTTATCATCAGAATAAATTGTTTAATAAATCATATCCATTAATTATGAGATTTATTATATAGAATTTAATTTTTCTGTAATATTTATTGAATAATACCATTATATAATCATATAATAGATTTTATTTACTATATCTTACCACTATCTATTATATTTATTTCAAGTAATTTTATTAGATTTATGATCCAAAAGTATTAATGAAAGAATTTATTATTATTTTTAGAAACTTTAAATTTATTCACCTAATTCTTTTTATAAATTATACATTGATAGAATATTAGTATTCAAATATTATACTGATAATATTTAAATACTGTTCTCAATTTCCAACCTCATTCTGTTCTCATCTAAGAATTCATTTTTTATTTTGTATATCTCACTCTCTCTAATCTTATTTAAAATTTTAATAAATAATTGCAAAAGTTGCATTCTATTATAGATAAATTATTATTTACTGTTGTATATTTAATCTGACATACTTAGATCTATCAATGATATATTTGATTATTTTTTTCTCTTCATCGATTGATATAGTTTCAAAAACATCATTTTTATTTACTCAATGAAGCTCCTTTATATCTTTATCTGAATAGTATTAGATTGATTTATTATTAAATCCAATCATTTATTTATGAATCTAATTTTTATTACTAACATTTTTCTAGTTGTATAAATTAATATATTTCTAATATAAATAATAACTATTATATTAAAATTATTTAATCATCAAAATTTTGTGTCTAAAGAAAATAACAATAAAGAGAGTAAGCAATTTTTGGTGTTAAAACTGTAATTGGTCTTGGTTTTAAATATTATTTTAAAATCTAAATTAATTTCTATTTTATTTATCTTAATATACATTTATATATAATTTTATAAAGTTGGATTCTAATTGATGTTTTTGAAACTCTATTATTAGTATTAATAATAGTGAAAAAAATTTAATTGTTTTTAGTAAACAAAATAACTACTTAGTTTAGTATAATTGCTTACATTTTGAATACTTTTAAATAATTTATCATAAAATACTGTAATTTAATTATAATTAACAGAAACAAAATATAAATCAATATATTATATTGTCTACAGCCACAACTTTTAGTTAACTGCTCATAATTTTTTCCTTCATTGTTAAGAGACTTTTGCTTATTTTAATGAAATTCTAGTATACTATTATAAACAGATTTTGATCATATTTGTAAAATAAATGATCATATTTAATAATTATTTGATTTTTAATTTATTATAGGATTAAAATGAAAAAAATCATAAACACTATTGATAAATTAGACATTTTTGGAGTTCCAATAAGTCTTTTAACTGATGGTAAGGCTACTTTACATAAAAGTAAGCTTGGTGGAATAGTTACAATTTTGATTGGAAGCATTAGTTTAACATATTTTTTATATGTAATGGTATTATGGATTAATCATCAAATACCTCCTATTGTGAGTTTTAAATAATAAACTATCTCATATGCTGAATTAAAGCTATCTAATTCTATTATTTAATTAGAAATATAAGATTTTTTAGGAGATGTGGATCCTTTTAGAAAAGAAAATAATATTATCACTCCTAATTTATATCGTGTTACAACAATAAATGAAAAACCAATTCCATTATTTAGTAGTGAAGATAAACCATTTAAAATATCAATAGATAATGGTACTCTAGTTTTAAATCATGATGATACAGGAAGTGAGGATCGTTTGGAAATGACATAATTTTTGCTTGTTTTAGAGAGTTGTTCTAATTTGACAGCTGTACCTGGAAGTTATTGTGCTGATGAAAATGTAATAAATTAATATATATCTAAATTTCATGGACTTTTATTCTTAACAATTAAATTAAATTAACTCAATTATTCTACAGGAGAATTAGAAGAAATTAAAAAATAATATTATACAGCATTAGAACCATCTAGACCTTTATATTCATAAGTTATGCTTAAATAATAAGAAACTATTATTGATAATGGAATATTGTTTAATAATTATAAAAAGTATTATTTCTTAAACAATTATGAATTAATTAATTAACAAGTCGATAATTTTTTCATCTCTTAAGTAATTAGTTAAATGTCAAGATAAAAATAGGAATTTAAAAGTTTTGGTTGTTATTTATTTAGAATTGATAATATTGCTGTGTCAGAAAATATTGCACTCCCAAAATTAGGTTAAATACTAGCTTAAGTTGGATCAATAGTGTAAGTGATCTTTTTATTAAAATATATAGCAGTATATTATAATAAAATGTTATTGGAAAATCAATTACTTTTTGAAATAGTAACTATGTATTATCCAGAAATAAAAAAAATCAAATTGAACTATTTCAATCAATTGGAAATAAAGTAAAATTCACAAAATAGTAGTGAATATTCAATCTAAAATATTAAATATCAATATCAAACTTTTAGTAAAAGAGCAAAAGAAAAATGCAGACTAAATAATATCTTATATGAAATCTCAAGATTATAATTTATTATTTAATAATAATTTGGAGATTAAGTTTTATAACAGAGTCATTAAATGGGAGGAAAACTATCAAATAATTGTTTAGATCATTAAAATAGTAAGGAATCAAATAGATTAACTGTTAAACCAGCTAATTCTTTAGATATAGAAAATGAGTATATCTTATTGGATCCATAGAAATATTATAAAAATAATCTTGGAATTGATATATTAATATTATTATTATCTAATATGACTTTTTTAGAAATTCATAATAAATTTTAAACAAATTTAATCCTTATATAAATAAATGGATATTCCTCATTTTTTAATTCTATTAAAGTATTAATTTCGGTGATGGTTAATAATGATATCTATGATATATTCTATTTTAAAAAATCTTAGTTTTCAATATATATTGATTTAATATATCTTTCAGTAAAATATTAACAACTATAAATAGGAGAATCTCAGATGTTATATAGTATTATGATTATAAATTTAATTTCTACTTTTACAAAAAATTGCAAATATAATATAAATTATAATGGATTATTTACAAAAAATTTTATATTGTTCTGAAATTAATATAATACTACTAGCTATATATTGGCAAAATAAGCAAAATATATAAATGAGACATAATCAAAATGTTCTTCATTTTTTATATTAAATTTCTCAAAATTTTTTGTCATTTCATAAATAAGTTATAAACCAATATTTAAGTATATCAAACCTGTTTATTGCATTTTTAGTACTTGGATATAATTTACTTTGTAAAGAATTAATTATGTCCTAAAACATCATCTCCATATCATTAAAATTTTTAGAATCGATTAAGGAATTATTCCGCTCTCTTTATCCTTCTAAAATAGGATATTATAAGGGTTATTAATCATCAACTTTTCATTCACAAAAACAACACTTGAATAGAAATTTATGAATTAATAAAATAGATATTACTAAAATAAATTTAAAGATATTCTATTATATTTGAACTTTCTTAAGTTAATAGTAAATCATCTAGAAATATTTTATTTGCAGTAAATATCTAAATTATAATAAATGAAAGAAACCCAAATTTTTAGTGAAGTTTCCATTTCTTCATTATTTATAAATAGAATTCTATTTAATTATTTATTTTTTTATAATTTATTCTTTATATTTAATTTCCAGTAATTAGCAAGATTCATCATCTTAAATTATAGACTATGGTTGCTAATAGAAAATAAACTTAATTCTTCCAAATTTCTTGATTTTATATCACTTGATTATATCTATTTCTCAAAAGTAAAGATACTACTACATTCAACAATCCATTTTCAAATTATAAATACATTTTCAACAAATCCTCAAATAAAATAGTCCTAATTAGGTCTCTCTTTTCAAAATATACATCGATTTTATCAGTAAATAATTTTTGTTGAAATAACAAAAAGAGACGAATTAAATTAGATAAAATAAAATTCCTGCTTTGTAGTGATTATAATATTTTAGAAATTGGATTACTTTTTGTTGAGGAAAAATAGAATACGGTTACAACTTAAAAAAGAGATCGTATTTCTTTAATTGCCTAATCATTTCTGGATGAAAAAATTTTTAATTTATGTTTTTGGTTCAAACTGGACAAAGTATATCTTAGATTTATGAATATCATTGTATATTCAGTGCTTCTAGATATAAATATAGTTTCTCGAATTTAAGTAAAAAAGCTCTATTTTAATAATTTTATTATATTAAATTGAGTTTTAAATGTTGATAATGAAATTTCAATTTTGAAAAAATTATTATTTTACTAGAATTATTTATAGTTTTTTATATAGTCAGTTGAATTTATTTACGTTCATTATTTATTTTAATTATTATGATATCTTTAAACTTTATTAGAGAGAAGAAAATGATAGGCCATTATCATAAATGTTATCTATGAATTTTTTGAAATTAGTCTCAATAAAATTATCTTGATAGTTTGTCTGATATTTCTATAAAGAAATTAAAAAACAGTAAATTGATCACTATAATTAATTTACTAAATCTCATTAACAATTATGCAGATAAAATTAAATAAAATGCATTTCAGCAGACCAATGAGAGTTGAATTTTCTAAAAAAGCTACAATCTAACTTACATTTAATCTGCCCATTTAACAAAAAAGATATTATTTCGCCAATTGGTCTCTCAGATATCTTCTCTTCGGATTCATTCAATATCTAACTAAAAGCCTTCATAAATAAGAATTCAGTCACATTTTTAATAATAAAATAAAAGATTAATTTTCTGATGAAATAGCTACATTAGTAGACAATTTACATATTTAGTCAATGGCTTAGATAGTTTATCCTAACCTTCCCAATAAGGGCTCAGGCTTGTAGCTTTTAAGCATCTTATGTTAAATTTTAGACAATTATTGTTAATATAATTATAAAAAATTAATTAAAATTGTAAGTTTTAATAAGAAAATAAGTCATCTGTAAAAAATCAATCAACCTATAAAATTAATTATAATTATAATGATTTTGAAAATTTAAGGATAACTGATGTAAATCTTGTTTGATTTAGAATGTTAGATATCATTTATTAATAAGAATATTTTTTAGAATTGATTTTATTGATCAAATTAATGAAATATCTGATTTGAGCTAGAATAAAAACTCACATTATAAATCAAAATAAAAATTTTAGTTTTTAATGTTTTTAAGTATCAAACTCTATTATATCATTAAAGAATTAATATTCATATTAATTAAATTGTAACCTAGGTCTAATATATTGTTTCTTTAATTAATAGAATATTTTAGATAAAAATAATTTCTAATTTGCTCAATATATATAAGAAAAAAAAATTAATGGAAATTAGTTTATTAATATAAGTGGATTTTATCTATGGGATGCAGCTCTTAAAAACCAAAAAAAAATGCAAATATTGTTGTAATTATATAACCAAAAATAATTTAACCAATTTAGGATAAATCTTAAGAATTCAAAATAGAATAATAAAATTATCATTACCATTATACCAGACCTAAAATTACAACATAGAATTAAAATACATATAATAATTGTGTAGCAGAACCTCCAAAGAATTTACTAATATGTAATACTACATAATAGAATAAAAATTTAATTGATTTTAATCCAAGCTAATTTAATTAAAATAGTTGTGAAAATTTTAGATAAAATCTACCTAAACCTTCTTCTAATTTAGAATGTTTTTATTAAGACAAAAATTGTTGTATAGTTGAAAACAATAATATTAATTCTGGTATTGATGAACAAAAAATAAATTCTCAATTATTAAATGATTAATATAGAGTTATGGAACCTTGTAAATTACTTAACAATGGATATTAGTATCAGAGAATTATTTTGAATCAAAGATTATAACAAATTTAAAAATTACCTTTCAAGGCTAATAATAATATGTAAATGAATAAATTTAATAACAGAAAATAGTTAGGACCATAATGCAATAATTTTAATTATAATCAAAAATCTGAATAATTAGCTTAAAAACCTGTAAATTTTAATAAGCCAGAAAATAACCAATAATTTACAACATCATGTCAATAATAATAGATAGAAAATTAAGAAACTGGAGAATAAATTGAAATCTATAATAAAATCTTCAAAAATTAAACTTAAGGATAATTTTCTAATAATTTTCCTTGTAAACATTCTAAATGCAAAACAGTTGCACATCTGAATATTAAAGGAGATGTTACATGTGATAATGGGTGTACTTCTTATCCTATCAATGAATCTATATTTAATAACAAAAAAAATACGATATCTTGTTTTAATAAGAATAAGTAGTATGATTTCAACAATTATAAGTAAATAAAAGATGAAAAAGAATTTGCATAAATAATATAAGATTCATTAATATGTTCTAATAAAACATAATCTGAATCAGAAAATTTATTATGTAAATTCATAAATGTCATGTTTACATAATTTACATTGAGAAAACACAAAAATAAATAATGAAGGTTGATGGATTATTATTATTTTGTAAAATTTAATAAAAATGTATGAATTAATTGTCTTTATTTTATAAAGTAGATTGTTTAAACATTTTCTCTTGAAAAAAAAACCAATCAAACAATTTTTATATTAAATCAACTATATAAGAATTCTATTTTATTTATAGATTTAATTATATTCAATTAATATAGATTATATTAATGAGATCATTTAGTTTTTATAATAACATAAGTAAATAAATTCTAAAAATGAATATGAAATCTCAATTAAGAAAATAACCAAAAAGGGATAAAATCATTGTTAAATCCTATAATATATAATCAAATCTTTAATTTTATACTTGTAGCTAAAAAATGCTTAACTCTATTCATAAACTTTTATAATAAAATATTATAATATATTCTTGAATATTTATCTTAATTATATTCAAATTAATGCCTTAATTAAATTAAAAACTCGTAACTATATGTTCAAAGAAATGGAGAGATCCTTGTTGGGTTATTTCAATTGATTAAAATAATATAATTATTGCTTTAGGAAGTTATAGTATTATTCATTTATTCGAATTTAAAAGTTCAAAACTAAAGAAAGTTTAAACACTTTTTGGACATCTTGATGATATTACAACTCTAGTTTTTTTTAATAAGAAGTAATAATTAATATCAGGTTCAAAAGATATGTAAATAATAATTTGGTCATTAAATTTATTAAGTGAACCAAAGAAAATATAAAAACTTTAAGGACATTTAAATTATATTAATTGTTTAATCTTAAATAGAAAAGAAGATCTTATAATTTCTGGTTGCAGCTAAATTATATTTTGGACTTAATTATTGAATCAATAAAGTATTTAATAATAATGGGTTTATTCATAATAATATCAATCAGATAAATCTATTTTTGGATTATCAATAAATGATGATGAAAATTAAGTTATTGCCTGTGGTGAAAATTAAGAAATTTTAATAATGGAATAGAAATATTCAAATTATTGGTTAATAAAATAGAAGATTTAAATAGATGAATGGGGTTTTAGGATATGTTTTATAAACAATAATCTATTTGTATTTTAACCTATCATTGAATGTGATTTTGTTTGTTTAGGTGCAAAAACATTAGATGTTTATACTTTTAATTCTTTATAAAATAAATATGTAAAATCAGGAGAAATTGAAATTAAAGGAGATTGCCAATCCTGTTATCAATACTTCCCCACTCTTTATAACAGTAGAAGAGGAATGCTGATACATAAGAATGGATGCCACTTAAAATTAATTAGAGTTAAATAGGATAGTATTCTATTAAAGGAAGAAAATATATAATATTAATTTGAATTAGTAGAAATAATTAATTTTGGGAATTCTAATGGTTTTGGAAACTTAATTGGAACTCTAAGTAATGATGGAGAAAATTTATTAATTTGGGATAGCAATTCAAAAGAAATTAATATAATTAAGATTATTATACAATGATGTATGATTATTTGAGAGATGAACAATTTATATAAGAATAAATAATTATAATAATTTAAAGATTCAATATTATTCACATAAACTTTTGCAACTATTTTAGTGAATAATATTTTTTAATTTTTGATATAATTTTTAATAATTCTTTTTTTATACCCTTAATTTTTAAGTGCTTCCTTGGTTTATCAAACCTCTTTATAAAATACAATTGATTCTCTCATCTAAATTATGAGTACTTTATAACCTGATAAGTCTAAGATGATTAAAAGTAACTTATATTTTAAGATTTCGAACTGATAATTATTACTATGGAAAATTTAATTATCTAATTTAATAAGCTAAAAGAGTAAAATTAAAATATTTTAATCAAATTAAATACTTGTAAGCTACAATTAGAGATAAGTGTTTGATTTGAGTAACAATAGTTAGTAATTAAAATTGATTTCTTTTTGGTAGTTTCTAAAAATTATGTTTTTGGGTAAAAGAAAAAATAATCAATAATATTTATTTCAAATAAACAATTGTAAAAATTTTAAAAGTCTTTAGATATGAATGTAGTTTCTTAATGCCACTTTAATTATTTGGATGAATAAATGCTGTAATGATAGTAACTTTGTTGTTAAATTTGAATAATGGATTCTCATTTTAAATGAGTATAATTATGAATATTATTTCTAATTTAAATGAAATAAGGTTTTAATATTTATTTCTATCTCATGCTTAATTCAATTCCAATTCCATTTTAATTGAACAATTTAGTTTAATAACTCATGTGTTTAAATATATAAATTATTTATTACCCATATAAATATGCAAAATTTAATTTATTTAATCAAATATTTAATTGTTTTAATTCATTAATATTTATATTTAATAATGAATTACTAAATAGTTTTCATTATTTTTTGCTTAATTAATATTTCGAATTCATAATGGGAACCAAAATACTAATACTTATGTTATAATAGCATTTATACTTAAAATAATGGGCCATCTGCTTCTGACTTTGCGGGAAACTTTTTATTGCCCAACCAATTAATAACAGCAAAGTTTATAACTTGCACAAAACCTTCAATAAGCTACATTACTCTTAATAGCAGATATCCATCGGCTTAAATGGCATATAAGATAGAGTATGAGAATGGATTTTTTTTATCTGTGGATTTTTATTTTCGAGGTAAATGGACATCTCAAACTGTTACTATTACGATAGACTCATTTTCACACTCATTTATCTACAATTCCCCTACCAATTATCTAGCAAAAACTGGATTTTGTGATGACATGGATTACGACATTAAAACTATTAATTTTATATTTTCAACATCAGTAGTAGGCAAATTGTAGTTTACATCATCTAATACAATTGATGGATAAGTTTCAATAAGAAACTTATATATTTAAGGTCCCAAATGCTACCCATCATGTCTAAAATGCACAGGCCCAAAATCTAATTAATGTACAAAATGTTATTATGGATTACCTCAAAACAATATTTGCCCGCCCTGCCCATCTCATTAATTTTATATGAAAAGAATTGGATGCAGAGATATTTGTGATATTAGTTATCCGCTTTACTATAATGGTTTTTGTTAAAGTTATTCAAGTATTTATTTTTATTGAAATATTATAGTTGAAGGATTGGTTTCAAAACTTTATAATAGGATTAATTTTAATGGTTTCAAATATATGACCCATTAAACGTAGATACATCTCCAAAAGTAATTTCTGATTATTATGGGATTTTTAAGTTTAATTCTGGTGTCTAAAAGTTTTACGAATCACTTACTACTTATTCTTATGCAATTCATTTAATTGGATTGAAAATTACAATATTCACTTTTAATGCTATTCCACTTAATTGTGGAATAAAGTTTTTAATTATGGAAGTATTCAAATTAAATATCTTATTATATAGGAATTAATATATATTTAGGTTTAATTATCAATCAAATAATTTTCAAACTTAGAAACCCCATAATAATACTTATTTTGGTTCAATTTATAGAAATGAATCAGGAATTTAAACACATAATATAAAAATCTATTATAACTATGAATATGGTTCATTCTAAAATTATTAATCACATTAGATGATTCAGTTAATCACATACGTTGATGTTCCAAAGTAACCTTTTCTTTTTTCAGCAATAGGAAATTATTCGTAAATATTCATATCTTTCAAATTAGTGATAATACTGCAGGATGGGGATTGTACAAATTTGAAGTTACGACAGGATTTTGTCCTTCTTCCTGTTTATTGTGTGAGGTATCATTTAAATGTAAGACTTGTCAAGTTGGATCCTATAAGTATAATAATAATACTTGCATATACGGTTGTTCATAACGATATTAAAAAAAAAATGGCACTGATTGCTATGATTTTGATAATGAAACACCTTGTATCAACTTTCTATATATTTAGATTCTTAATATTTAAGTTTAGACTTTATAGATTTGGCACACGATCCTGAATAAATATGCAGAATATATATTAATTTCTTAAAATGGGAACAATTTTTTAAAAGGATCAAATATATACTATTCTTTTTTATATTGGGATTATCTTAGGTAAAGAATTTTTGGAGGTCCTCTCATATGGGCATAGGCAAAGTTTGAAAGGACTCATACTGTAGATGACCCACATCATAGTATCACCATTGCATTTTATATATTATATGGGCCAGCATTCCCTTCAGATGGTTAATTTATTTATTAAGTGGAAAATAATTCACCAGTTTCTAAATCAACCAACAATGTTATTGATTCATATTCTAATGGTGTAAAATATGATAGAGTATATGAAAGAATAAATCATGATACAACAACATTAACGATAAATTGGGAATGCTTTGGATTAAATAATGAACCTATTAATGCTTATTGTGGTTTTTATAATTATTATGTTGCTGTTCATAAATGTTAACCATATTGTTTAAAATGTTAAGACTAAAATACTTGCACATAATGGAGCAGCGATTATGATGCAAATGTTGTTAAATTCTCATAAGATTAATGTTTAATGAATTAATATTTTGATAATGATTCTTATAGATGTTTGGATTGTCCAATTTCATGTTTAACTTGCACATCTAAAATAGATTGTCAAACATGTAAATCTACCTATATTTAAACTAAATTAGGATGTATTTGTAAATTGAATCAATATGAAGACTCGAATCAATGTTAAGATTGTCCAATTGAATGTAATTAATGCTTAAATCAAACCAACTGCTTAGAATGTTTATCTACAAACTATAGATAATTAAAAAATCAATAATGTATTTGTATTGATGGATACTATCCAATTTAATTAAATCCTAAATGTGAAAGATGCCATTAATTTTGTAAAACTTGCACTGGGCCTACTTTCAATGATTGCTTGACTTGCAATGATATTGATAATATTGAAAATGTAGGATCAACTTGTAGGTGTCCAATAGGATTATTTTATTAATTAACATCAAAATCATGTTTATAGTGTCACCCATCATGTTAGGCTTGCTTTTTAGAGACATTTGATAGTTGTTTAACTTGTGATGCATCTTTAAATAGAATTTTAAAAGGACTAAAATGTACATGTGAGCCTGGTTATTATGAATTAAATAATATTTGTACAAGTAATTATATTTTTATATATTTTAGATTGCCCAAATACAGAAGATGCTTTATTAAGTTAATGTTATAAATTATGTAGTAATAATTAATAAATATGGCATACAAACACATGTAATTTTTGTGATTCAGGATTTCATTTAATTTCTGGAGAATGCCAACCTATCTGTGGAGATTTATAAATTGTTGGATATGAAGAATGCGAAGATAATAATACTATTTTAGACGATTTATGTTATAATTGTTAATTTTAATGTCCAGTTCATTGTTTAACATGTGATGAGTCAACTACTTTACCTTGTCCTGATATTTGCGGAGATGGAATTATTACTGGAATGGAAGAATGTGAAGATGGGAACACTATTTAGTATGATGGATGTTTTAATTGTCAGTATTAATGTTAACTCTCCTGTACAAAATGCATTAAAGGAGAGTGTTTTGAATGTAATACTGGTGGGTTTTTTGTTGATCCAACTGTTTAACCTTGGAGATGTTAAGAAAGATGTGGAGATTAACTAATAGTTGGATAAGAATAATGTGAAGATGGTAATCAAGTTGATACAGATGGATGCAAAGATTGTAAATATTTCTGTAGAATTGGATGTTCTTCTTGTGATTATACTACTAATACTTGTTTAAGTTGTGAATTGCCAGGATTTATACCTGAGAAGTTCTATTGCAAAAATATTTGTGGAGATAAATTTGTAGTAGTAGATCCATATGGATACTATTAAGAGGAATGTGATGATGGAAATACAGATGATGATGATGGATGCAATAATAATTGTAAATTTTAATGTTAATCACCATGGATATGCAAGAGTTGTAGTAATAATCGATGTTAGGAATGTTACCCTGAATATTTCCTCACCGAAAATTAATTATGTATATCTATTTGTGGAGATTCAAAAATAGCAATTGATGAGTAATGTGAGGATATATTTATATTACCTTATAAGGGTTGTTAAAATTGCAAAGCAAAATGTTAGTCCTCTTGCATTACTTGTGATACTACTGGGAAGGGTTGTTTAGCTTGTAGGAATGGTTACAGAAGAATTGATAATTTATGCTATTCAATATGTGGAGACTAAATAGTAACTGAAGATGAGGAATGTGATGATGGTAATTTAATATTTGAAGATGGTTGTAATTAATGTTCATTTAGTTGCCCTATTACTTGTTCAAATTGTCAAAAGGGTGTTTGTCATGATTGCCATGAAGGTTACTAATATATTAATCATTCATGCGTTAAAATTCTTAAATAAGAACATGATCCAAGATGTAATTCTTTTTGTTTGAGCTGTAGTATTGAAAGACAAGGTTGTTTGACTTGTTAGGTTGGATTTGTTAATATTAATGGTATATGCCATCCTAATTGTGGAGATTAATTAGTTGTTGCTGATGAATAGTGTGACGATGGTAATTTAATATTTGAAGATGGTTGTAATTAATGTTCTTATAGTTGCCCTATTACTTGTTCAAATTGTCAAAAGGGTGTTTGTCATAAATGCCATGAAGGTTACTAATATATTAATCATTCATGCGTTAAAATTCTTAAATAAGAACATGATCCAAGATGTAATTCTTTTTGTTTGAGCTGTAGTATTGAAAGACAAGGTTGTTTGACTTGTCAGGTTGGATTTGTTAATATCAATGGCATATGCTATCCTAATTGTGGAGATTAATTAGTTGTTGCTGGTGAATAGTGTGACGATGGTAATTTAATATTTGAAGATGGTTGTAATTAATGTTATTTTAATTGCCCTATTACTTGTTCAAAATGTCATCAAGGGGGTTGTGTAAATTGTCCAAAAACTAGTTTATTATATAATCAAAAATGTTTAGAAGTAACAGAAAATTTTAATCAAAAGGAATACAATAATTTTTAATTTTCATAATTAACCATAACTCAGGCCTTCACAACAACTCCTATTTAAACGAGTAGAATTCAAATGAAGATCATTGAATTTGTTTAATAAGTTTATAATTAGGTTGGTCAATATGCAGAATTTATGGGTTCAAGTTTTCCATTTATAAACATAGAAATCAATATCCAGTGCATTTAGAATATGTAAGTTAAAAGTCACTTTATTAAGCATACTTATGAGAAAGAAGTTAATAATGAAGAAATATTATTTTCATATGGTTGTCACCAAACATTTAACCAAGATATAACATTCTCTTTTAAGTTAGAAAAAATAGTCTTAAAAGATGAAATCTTGGTAATAGCTATTTCTGAAGATGAGTTGAAATTATCATCCTTAAAAGAAAAGTATACACAAAGGCTTTTATATATTACATTTGAGGATGTTTGATAAATTATTATCTGAATAAAATTTATTAAAATATGCAATAGTTCATATTTATATGATAATATTATAAAGAAAAAGGATACACAATTTTATAATTTTATATTTTTTTAATATATTCATAAAAGCTGATATTTAGCCAAAATAATCTACTTCCTAAAATAACTGTTAAAAAAGAGTATTAATGCTCTGAAAATCTCCTAAATAATTATAATTGATAAAGGTTTTTTAAGTTAAAGAAAATAAATGTATCTTAGGATTTGCTAATAAAAGATATCTTAAAGAATCTTTAAATATATAAACTAAAAATCATAAGTATTCAATAGTAAAATGTAATAATAACAATCAAACCAGCGCTATTTTTACATCTATTAAAACATTCATAGCAGGAATTATGACTCATTAAATATATTGGTAATTCTAATAAGACACTAAATCTCCATATAAGGATTCAATTATCCCAAACCTAGAAATAATACTTAATTTTTTAATTTGAATTTGTTCATCCATTTTCAGTTTTAATTATTATACTTCATAAAAATTTGAACTAAGTCTGATGTTATCTGAAATACTGATATATTACTTTTAATTACAAATCCTTAATTTTGATTTTTTTCTATTGTATTTTGAATAAATTCATAATTTTACTAAAAAGGGATCATTGACAAACTATTTGCAAACTTATAGGTTTACTTTTTAGAAAATTCATATCTAAAAAATATAAGATAAAATTAATGATATAACAGATCTTTTTTTGGTTTAATTTAATTTGATTTAAGATTAAATTAAAAAGACTAAATCAAATTGCCAATATTATAATCGAGATTTTTATAATTAATCATTAATGATTTAGATAAAATTTAAAAACCTAAGCTAAAACATAGTCAAATGATTAAACTATTAAAATGGTAATTAGACTAAAAAAGCTTGAAATTATTGATTTATAAATTATTAAATTACAAATAATATTGATATTAGTAATTTTTAATATTAGATTATACTTTAAATTATACATTAAATTTATTTTTTAAACCTTCAAAGGAAATAGGATACTAATGTAAACATGTGCATTTTTTCGTGAGCCTTTTTGTACGAAATGGGTCAATGGATCTTTTTAGAATTTTTAGGAACTGAAGAAATGATCAATAAACTCATGTAATTTTTCATTATGAATTAAATGGCCTCATTCTCCTTCTATCCATCCTTGAAACGCTCCAAAAGAATTACTCAATATGGAAATATCCAAAGTTTTCTTTCAGTTGCATTCCTCAATAAACTCTGCATAGTTAAGCCAATTTTTTTTTCAGGTCCATTATTATTATTAAAAAATAATATAAAGTTCAATATTTTAATATAATTTCATGAAGCTAGAGTAAAGTATCTAACTCCAAATTTAGTTAATATCCCTAAATCTAATTTCTTTAGAATTTGTTTCTAGAATTAGAATAGGTTTGTATTAAAATCAAAAAAAATATTCTTAATTATTCTCTCACTTTAATTCAAATAAAAAATGGAAGTTAAAAACATCAGAAAATGAAGACATATAAAATAAATAAGAGTAAATTTGATAAAACCATTTTTTAGATATTTATTATTTAATAAGCTTTTAAATCCACTTCCTTATTATCTATCATGCCAATTCAAATAAAATCATGTAAAATTTTAAATTATAATGTATTCTCCAGTTTTTAATCATAAAAATTTTGATTCAATTTTTAAGTAAAAATAATGAAATTAGAAGTATTTCTGATCAAAATGATTTTAAAAAACTTGTAATTTATTAAGCTTCTGTATTTATTCTACAAAAATACTAAATTAATTTACAATAAGTCAAAATAGTTATTGAAAGTCGAAGAGCCTTGTGATATATTTAAGTTGTTAGATAACACACTTATTAATTGAGTAATATAAGAAATTGTTGAGAATAAATTAATAAATTGAGATTTTCAATAATATAATTTTAGTTGTTGATGATATATTTAATTATGTCACCACTTTTATAATAAAAGCTCGCCAAAATCTAGAGATATAATAATTAAAAATGAATAAGCTTTTAGCTATGGGAATGTTATCTTTAATAATGATTGGAATTAAATTGGGTTTTTAAGAATGGTGTAACAATAGCCACAAATTACCCTTATACTTCCAAAACTGAAGCATGTAAAAGGTAAACAGGTTAATTCAAAATTAAGGGATATTAAAAAGTTGATCCTAATTAAATTTAATCTGCAATTATTAAGTCTCCAATCGCTGCATCTGTTGATGAATCAAGTTGGACATTCTATAACTCAGGTGTTTTTAATAGATGTACTTTTGAAGAATTAAACCATGATGTTTGATTATAGGTTTCAATGATGATGGAACTTGGATAGTAAAAAATTCTTGGGGCAAATGGTGGGGTGAAAATGGTATTATAAGATTGCCTAAAGGTAGTTCATGTGGAATTTAAGAATAATCTTTTATTGAATATGCTTGAATTGGATTTACATATTTCTATTAAATATAATTGAATCAAGTAATTATAATTACCACATATAATATTAATAATTATATTAAATAAACCAAAGGTTTCAATTTAAAAATATAATTATAAGTTTAATATTTAAAATATTGAAGGGTTAGTATCATATAATTTATAATGAGTAGTTTTTATTTCAAATATATGACAGATTATTTAAATCAATCGTATAAAAATTGAGAAAACTTTTTTAAATTCTTATTGAACATTTTCTTATGTATTTTATAAAATTATCCAATATTTATTATTAATTTAATTTCATAAAAAAAATATCTAATTATAAATTCACATTTGTTCCGAGATCTTATTTTTCCTGGTTGATGATTTCTTATTTATTTAATTGAATATAATCATAAAGCATATTAATGAGTTTTAAATTTTTTAAAGCATCCAAATTTATATTATGCTTGTAAATTTTCTTAAGTTTCTAAAATAGAATATTTGCAAATTAGTATATTTAACAATTTAATTTATACTTCATAAGCCTGATTGGGCTTCAAACTATAAAATATATATTATTTACTAACTATCATTTTTTATTCATTATTAAATAATATATTAGTGAAGTTGATTTTATATTTTTGATAATAATATAAATTTTAAATCTAGTTTTAAGTCAATTAATAAAAATTTTGTCATAATTGTTTTATTAAATTTTGAGATAAAATTTGAATCATAGTTGTTCATTTTTTATTAGTATAAATGTAATAGTAGAGCTTTAAGATTAAAAAAGTAATTTAATTGTAATTGATTAGTTTTAATTGAGAATCTAAATTTGAATAAATCATTATTGATAATCTAAATTTAGTTCTTGTCTTAATGGACTTAGATGACTCCTTCAATATTTTAAATATCTGTGCTATTATTAATGATTCTTGTATTTAGATAATATTGAAACTAAATCACTTTCATTAATTGAAATTAATAATTATTCCTTAAAAAATAAATGTTTCACATATTAACAATGAAATTTTCAATAGCAAAATTATATCTACAAGGAAAAAATGATTTTAATTTAATTGATTAATCTTCATTTAACATTATGTTATAAAGGTGGTTGAATTTAAGTATGGAATATAAACAAATGAGACACTCAATGATTAAGTACAATTAGATTATTACTATAAGTTATAGTTAATTTAGAGTATCTAATACAATTATTGAGCTTAATTATTGAGGGTAACAAAAACAATCTATATAAAAAATATCATCATTACTAAGATATAAAATAATTTTTAAAGTTATTACAAAATAAGTTTTAATAATCAGTTAATATGGTTTTAATTTTCTATTTTATTACAAATTTGAAATTTATTTATAAAAAAATATGATGGTATCTCTATAAATAGGATAATATTATTAATATTTTCATGTCCTACATTTAATAGTATTGGTATTCTATTAAGTATATAGACTTATTATTATTTTTCATTTTATAAATATTGATTGTATCATTTTATTAATTAACTTTAAAAAAAAATGTAAAAATGCACATACGTAAATCATGAAAACGAGGTCATAATGGGCTTTTGTCTTAATTCTAATTGTTAACATGCTTCCAAATATTGTTACAAATGTTTATTAGAAGTACATTAAGAACATTAAAAACATTGTATTAGATTAATAGATCTACCTGATTTAATAAAAATATATATTTCGGATTAAGCTGAATTGATAAAAACATCAAATGTTATCTATAATCGAGTAAAGTAGAAGATGGATTAAAATATAAAAAGAATGGATGAAAATAATTAAACTCTATAAAAATTGAATTAAGCATTACAAAACTAAGATTTCATTATATCCAAATCGATTTAATAAAAAAATACTATTCATAAGATTAATAAAATTAAGAAAGTTTATATTTTAATTATTATTTTTAGAGTAATTCATAAATTAATTAGAAGAAATCGAAAAGATTTTAGAATCAAAGGAAAATAAGAAATCTGAATTACAAGAAGTATAAATGCTATTCAATATGGCTATGTAATTAACAAATTAAGGTTAACATGAAGAAGCTCTTAAAATTTATGATAATTCATTGTCTCTATTAAATATAATAGATAAGATATTTATGTGGAAGGGTAATATAACTAATTTATTATTCTAAGGATAATCATTATTACATTTATCAAGACTATAAGAAGGAATTAAATGTTGTGATTTGGCAATTTAATTAAATCCTGAAAATGATATGGCATACAACAATAAAGGTATTATTATTATTAATTTATAATAAATAGCTTGGGCCTTAGAAAATCTATATCGTTTTAAAGAAGCTATTGAATGTTGTGATAGAGCTATTTAATTGAATCCTCAAAATGATATGGCTTTTAATAATAAGGGTATTAATTAGAAAAATCTATAATAAATAGGTTGGGCATTAAGCAATTTAAAGAAATATTAGGAAGCTTCTGAATGTTATGATAAAGCAATTTAATTAAACTCACTAAACGCTAATGCTTATAATAATAAAGGTTCATTATTTCATTTTATTTATTAGCCATTGCTTTACATCAAATGAAAGAATTTCAATAAGCAATAGAGTTTTATGACAAGGCTCTATTAATTCAAGAAAACTCTACATTTTATAAATATAAAGGTATTCACTTCCTAAAATTAACTATTTTAGCTGAATCTTTACTTGCTTTAGGAAATAAATAAGAAGCTAGAATTTGTTTTATGAAAGCTCTTAATTTAGGATATGTAGATCAAGATTATATAAGGAGATAATTATTAATGTTATGAAAATCATTTCATTAAATACATAATATTAAGATATCAATATTTATTTATTCCTTTAATTCTTATTCTAAAATAGTCCCTCATTTTCTTTATTATTCAACAACATCAATACATAGTTATACTATTATTTTTATTCCATATTTCCGTTTTATAAAAATGAAATGCCAAATTTCTATATTAAAGGGAAAATTATTGAAAAGACATGCTATTTAGGCTTATAGATGAATGGTTAGCGATTTTGAAAAATACATTAAATCATTAAATTAAAAAATACGAATTTTATAATTATTGCATTTATTCATTACAACTATTTTTAATAGATTGTATTCTAACATAGAGAGGTTATATTTAAAAGATAAATATCTCATTTATATATTTCCCAAATTTATCAATAACAAAATGTAATTCAAAAGTCTTAGGCTATGATTGTTATTATCTTTAATTTAACTAAGAAATTTAAGAAATCAAATATTTAATTTAATTTGAGACATTCATATACTAATTGTTGATTAATTCATAACAAAAATTCACTATTTTATAAATAACTAAATTTAAATTGAGTAAATAAGTATTTTCAAATACTAATTGATTCCTCAACTACCCTTTTTTATGAAAATTTTATTATTTATTTATGAAGTTCAACTAATTCATATTAAAAATATCACAGTTAAATATATTTCTTTCTAAAGAGATGCCAAAGTTAAAATATACATTATATTTAAAAATGAATATCTAAAATATTAATGTAAATATTATTTGAATATCTAATTTATTATCTGATAATTTTCATTTTTAGTTTCAATTTTACAATTATTAGATTATTTAAATTTGATATGATAAATATCGGTTTAAATCTTAATTTTAAGGCTACAAAAACTGAGGTTTAGGTAAAATTAATATGCTCTAGTGCAAACTCTAATTTTTTAAATAGATGCTGATCATCATAAGCAGTCAAGGATCTTAATCTTTTTGATTTATCTATACACTTCAAAAATCTAAAAATTATTAGATTTTTGAAGTGTATAGATATTATTTGTGTCTGATTATTTAATATTATCCCAAGTTGCATAATTATATAAATAGCTAAATCAATATAAAATAGATAAAATTGAATTGTAGCTATCATATCATAAGTAATTACAGGAGTAGAGATTAAGTAGTAACTGTCTACTTTATCATGAAATATTTCTTATTCTATATTATCATAAATATTAGACCTTCATGAACTCGTTTCCACAGGATAAAAATTGCAATAATATTTCCAAATCAAATAAATTATTGAAGACAGTTACCAAAATTATATTCACAATTAGACATTTGATAGCTTACTACCTTTAATTATATTTCTTTTTTAACCAATTGAAATTTAAAGTATTCTTTCCCATTATATTCTATTGTAGTTTTCTTAGGATTAATTTTAGTCAGGGACTAATTAAGGGAATTTACTAGTATCAGTTTTCATAAAAATTCGTAATGATACTCTATTAAAAGTTTCAAAATTAGATAGGGCAATTTATTTTTTCAATAATATCTACTGCTCCTTTATCTATGAACAGATTAGATTAATATTTTAGTCAAATTAAATCATCTTTTTAAACCTTACTTCTGGCCTAATTAAAATTCTAAAACCCTTCCACGTTAAATATTCAAGCATTAGTTTTCTTTAGAAAATCAAATGTTTTAGTTATATTTATTTCCAATTTACCAAAGCAAGGAGTCAAATATTAAATCCAGTATTATAGGCTTCATTAAAAGATTATTGCTATTTTATATTAATTTAATTCCATTTAATTACTGGAGTACTATAAGTGAGGAAACACACAATTATGTTTAAATTTGATTCTAGTATATCAGATAACATTTTACAATTGTTTATAAACAATCTTTGGCTAAGGGCTCTAAATCTCTTCAGAATGTTGAGCTAGATGAATTTGATCTTCATAATGTAATGTTCCTCTGCCAAGCCAAAGAAATGAGAAAAATCAACTTTATGGATATCCTATTACTCTTTTAAGTTCGATTTTCGAACATCAGACCTTATTAACTATAACTAAGGTTTCTTACTTAATATTATTCATTTTTTTTAAGTATTTAACAAATAAATTAATCATTTCTATATTAATAAAAATCTATCTAAAGTATTTATATGTATATATGGACGATTGAGATTATAGATTCATACAATAAGAATAGATTGTTTTATAATTATGATTTTTAATTAAGGATATCATACCGCTTAACAAATTTATTTTTTTTATTGATTATAGATTTATATAACATAGAGATGGAAAACATGTAAAATAAATAATGAAATCTTGGAAATTATATATAGATTAAGTCATTTTTACTTATTCGTTATTTTACTTGCTGTTTTTAGTATTTTGAATAGCATTCTAAATGAGAATCATTCAAATTACTGTAACAAAAACATATAAAAGCAATTAGGATATTTATTAAATAGAAAATGAATTATTGAAAATAAGAAATACTTTTAACATATATTATTATTAACAATCATATAAAATATATTTTAACAATAATATAATAAGGATTTTGTAAATAATTGAAATGAATAGATTACGTTTTAATAAAATTTTTTTACAATTATGTAGTAATATTAATATTTTGATTTCTTAAATATTACCAGATCACCTTTTAAAATCCTAAATTTCAATTTCTTTGAATATTAATCAAGTTTTAAATAAATCCTTTATAAAAGTATATTGCTCATTAATTCTTAATCTCTAGATTCTAAGGGAAATTTAATTAATATTCGTATAAAAATTTATAAATCATATTTCAATTATTATAAACTATGGGATGCTTATTAGGTAATGTTTCAATTAATTTAAGATCTTTTTGGTCTTAAGGAAAAAGAAAAACCTAAAGAAAACTAAAAATTNCAATTATGTTTAAATTTGATTCTAGTATATCAGATAACATTTTACAATTGTTTATAAACAATCTTTGGCTAAGGGCTCTAAATCTCTTCAGAATGTTGAGCTAGATGAATTTGATCTTCATAATGTAATGTTCCTCTGCCAAGCCAAAGAAATGAGAAAAATCAACTTTATGGATATCCTATTACTCTTTTAAGTTCGATTTTCGAACATCAGACCTTATTAACTATAACTAAGGTTTCTTACTTAATATTATTCATTTTTTTTAAGTATTTAACAAATAAATTAATCATTTCTATATTAATAAAAATCTATCTAAAGTATTTATATGTATATATGGACGATTGAGATTATAGATTCATACAATAAGAATAGATTGTTTTATAATTATGATTTTTAATTAAGGATATCATACCGCTTAACAAATTTATTTTTTTTATTGATTATAGATTTATATAACATAGAGATGGAAAACATGTAAAATAAATAATGAAATCTTGGAAATTATATATAGATTAAGTCATTTTTACTTATTCGTTATTTTACTTGCTGTTTTTAGTATTTTGAATAGCATTCTAAATGAGAATCATTCAAATTACTGTAACAAAAACATATAAAAGCAATTAGGATATTTATTAAATAGAAAATGAATTATTGAAAATAAGAAATACTTTTAACATATATTATTATTAACAATCATATAAAATATATTTTAACAATAATATAATAAGGATTTTGTAAATAATTGAAATGAATAGATTACGTTTTAATAAAATTTTTTTACAATTATGTAGTAATATTAATATTTTGATTTCTTAAATATTACCAGATCACCTTTTAAAATCCTAAATTTCAATTTCTTTGAATATTAATCAAGTTTTAAATAAATCCTTTATAAAAGTATATTGCTCATTAATTCTTAATCTCTAGATTCTAAGGGAAATTTAATTAATATTCGTATAAAAATTTATAAATCATATTTCAATTATTATAAACTATGGGATGCTTATTAGGTAATGTTTCAATTAATTTAAGATCTTTTTGGTCTTAAGGAAAAAGAAAAACCTAAAGAAAACTAAAAATTAACCCTTTCAACCTAGTCATATTAAAAAAATATCGAAGAGGAATCTAAGAAGATTCGCAAACAAAGAATACAAAGAATTAAAAAACGAAAGATAAAGAGAAAATTTATCATTCTATAAAAAAATAAGGACTGCTGGACTGAAGATTACAAGAAATTTAATTACGATCTTATTCAAAATATAAAAGGTAAATATAATAATCTTCTATTATTCAAAAATATCTAGTTTTATTATAATAAAATAATTAGAAAAACGAAAGATTCATTAAATCAAGACATTAATATATATAAAATAGAGGGATTTATTTATTTAACTGAATATGATAAAAATTGGAATCCAAAGTTTTAATTATAAAAAGGGCTGTTCTTAATAAATTTGAAATAAAGAAAATTTTTATTAAATGGATAAAGTGAAGAATATTAAGGAAAGTCAACATTTATAAAATATATTGGAAACTTTAAAAATGGAGAATATATATCTGAATCAAATAATAAAATTAACATTGAGAATGATAATTAGTAGACCAAAAGAAATAACTAAAAAATTATTATTACAGATATGACAACAGGAATATAGTATAATACTGAGCATCACAATAGAAAATAATAAGTTTAACTCTAAAATTTTTGGTGTAAGTATAATTAATTAATATCAAATAATGATCTGAATTTATTAAAAAATTAAAGATGGATAAATAGTAGTATTATTGATAGTTATGTTCTTAAACTTAATTTAGAAAGTGAAAACTAATATTTTGATCTTAAATTTTAAGAAAGATAGAAGATTAAACGTATATTATTTTTACCAACCAGTTTAACCACAAACCTTGGCGAAAACTTTGATAAACAAAAAGCAACTTATTTATTAGAATAAGAATTACTTGAATATTCATAAATGGATTTAGAAATAACAAGAATTTATTAGAAATTTGGATTTCCAATTAACAAAAATTTTCATTGGTATTTTCTATTATTTGATGCTGAAGCTGAATTAGTTTAGATCTTTGATTCTACATTATATTCAAATGATTTTTTTACACATAATTAATATTTAATAAATATTTTGGCAGATGTCCTTAAGATAAATATTAAATTAAAATAAATTCACAAAGAATCAGGTTAATAAATTAATAGTTATTCATGTGGATATCATGTATGTAATTTTATGAAGTTTTGTTAAGAATAATAATTTACAAATAATTAATAATATTATTAATATGATGAAAAAAATATAATCTAAATATTAGAAAAGATAATAGATAAAGATTGATGATTTATCATATAATATCCTTATAATAATATAATGATTATTTTAATTAATGATCTTGAAAAAGACAATGACATTTCTCAGTAAATTCTAGATATTTCATCCATTCCTCTTAATATCAAAGACTCTACTTTTTTGATAAATAAGTAATATATAAATTGTTAAAAATATATAACCATACATAAAACTAGTGGATTTTACAGTATTAAAAAGCCAATTATAATATCATTATTTTTTTAAGGTTTAAATCTTTGTATTAAAAAATAATAAAAATATTATTGTTTTTATATAAATTATGCTTATCTTATTTATTAGAAAATATTAAATTAAACTTTTTTTAAATCTTTTTAATTAATAATATGAAGAGCAAGTATTTTTATATACTTTATTTAAAATATAGAGAGAATCATAATTTATAATTAAGATATAGTTAAAAAAATTATCTCACTATAAAATTAAAAATTAGAAGAAATACTTGATAATTAATTTTATACTCTATGAAACGAAGTACACTAAAAAACAATTATGAAGAATGTGCTTTATTAATTTAGATGCACCCAATAAGAAAAATGATGAAACATTCATTCATAAATATATATTAAAATTTCTATTAAAAGTTATACTTGTTTTTTGAAATAAAAAAATAAAAACTGGTGAAATTTATTTTAATTGTTTGAGGTGCATTGGAGTATTAATGTAAATATCTATCAAGGCAATATAAGAATATACATTTCTAAGTTGAAATTTACTTGTTACTTGTCATAATTCTCTTGCAGATTCACTTTATAAATTTCTGAGAGATATACACGTTTTTAAAAGTCTATTTTACACCCTCAGAAGATATAATTATATACTGAATCTGTCGATCAATGAATATCTAATTATATATTGATTGGAAGCTATTATAATAAAAGTTCATTAGTAAATAATAATACCTATTTGTTTTAGAAATGAAATATTCATCAATATTAAGAATTTTTCAAGAATTTTCTGTTTGAAAATATATTTTATGTAATATATTCAAATTTATATATTTGCATCAATTATAATTACCAAATTATGGACGTAATAGGAATTCAAAAGGATGGTATAAAGCCAATTTATGATATATCGTTTTCAAGATTAGTTTAATTATAATCATATTTTGCTTTTTTAATCAAGAGTATTTAATTGTTAGGATTTTTAAATATATTTTCTTATTTAAATTTATTAAGATTTTTCATCCCAAATAATTAAATAATCTTCATTATTAATTAGTGCTCCAAATATACATCCTTATCCAAATTAATTTGGGCTAAAATTGATGATCTATTCTTATATTAATTCAACAATTTCTTCTTTATTTATTTGAAATCTAAATAAATAGATTTAAGACATGCCCAGTTTTGAATAATAATAATTATTTAAAAGAATTTTATTATGATTAGAACTACCAATTGTATCCTTGTGAATTCCATATAACAGATTTCCTCTTATTTTTAATATATTTACAAATTAATAGTCATATTAATATACTATAAGATTATGAGATGATTGTGGTTAAAAACAAACATGTTATCACTTATAATAGATATTCTATATCCATAACCCTAAACTTGTATCTATTAGTTAATTTTGCATTAAATCAAATTAGAACCTAATCCTATAATCCATCTGTATGATGATTAATTGTCTAATGAAGTGACCTATTGATATCAGATAGCATCGATGATTAAGACCAAAAATTGATATGTGAGAGGAACAAATTATCAGATCTTCTTAGCTTGGATGCAGCAATAAAGAACTGATTTTTGAGGGATTTAGAGAAGATTTTATGAATAAATAATTATGGAATTATCTAAAGATCTTAAAATAAATTGGGGCTTAAGTTTAAAAGTTTAGTGTAGATATAACTATTGAACATTGTTAAATTAAAAAAATACTATTTTATTTACCCATTTTTAATCATTAGGCCACAATATTCTTATCAGAGCTATAATCATAAATGGATTATTTTGATGTATAGTTATGTCATTACACCAAGTCTTTAATTTTACTAACTTTCCGTTCGTAAATGAAGATATATAAGATATAGTTTTACTCTTGCTGACTAATTAAAATATAAATATAATTAAGTATTAAATAATTAAGCTTTGAAATACTCCTATTTTTCAATCACCTGGAGAATTATATAACTCAAAGTTTGGATTAAATTTTATATGAGGAAGTAATTCAAATATAAAATGAAGAAAAAATCAAATTTTCTAATTGTAAATCTGTTTGATATTAAGAAAATGGTACTGATTTTGTAAAATATTAATTTGAAAATCATATAATAATGAACAGCTAACTTGTGTATATCACTAAAGAATCATATATTTATAGTTTTCTGATTTTGAAAATAGTTTATGAAATCTTAATTATATACTTGATCTTTAAACATTCTATTTATAAACATATTGAAAATATTTAATGAATTATTATAGTGATTCTTATGTTAGGTTATACAAAACTTTAAAGGGGAGATACTTCTTACCTTTTTCAACGTCAATTGTTATTAATCGATGAATTAGAAATAAAAATGTGTTTGGCAATTTAGCCTAATCAATATTGCTATATTTATAAATAAATATCACTGGTAAATATTAAAATAAAAAATTAAAGTAAATAATTAATAATATTTTTGAAAGTTTCTAATTTATATTAACATTTTTATTTCAAAATTTGCTTAATGATATGGGAATATATCATAATACTAAATAATGATTAATATAGAAATAATTTAAAAGCATTCAAATACTCTTATTTTTGAAATCGTTACAATTTGTAAAATCGAATGATGATTTGATATACTCCTATAACAATAATATTATTCGACCTTTATTTTCTACATAAATCTTGGATTTTGTTAAAACATGTTCTTTTTATATTGTAAGTGCTTAATCGATATTTTTATGCAGCTATGAACTAAAATTTATTGAATCTAAATTCAATTGGAATTAATATATATTAATAAAACGAATAAATTCAAGATATATTATTGTATAATTATTCTTTTCAAAACATAATTTTATTCTTATCAACACTACTTAAAAATCAACAAAATTAGGAAATATTGAATTCTTAAATGACATATTAAACTACATCTATGATTTAAAAACACAAACCATTTTAATCTCTTTGCTTAATTATCATAAATGAAATTTATTCTGATACTATTTCTTAAAGCTTTAGGCCAAATCAAGTATGACAGTGGCCAAAATACTGATTTTTATTCTGCCTCTCAGCCTAGTTTTGCGTGTAAAAACTCCTATTAACTTTCAAAGACGATTAACTTCAATGGAGCATTTTAAAATATTCCACAAGTTTTTATTCAGCAATCTTTGAGTGATATAGAACCTGGGAATGTAGAATTTCGATTATCAATTACAAGTGTTACCTTAACAAGTAATTATATATACTATAATTAAGACTTTATTGTTTAAATTTAATGTCCATCATCAAAAAGGATTTATTCGCTTTAATTTAGGTGGTTTGCTATTGACGATTAGAGAGTTTAAGTAATAAGTGCTTTTAATATTGATAATCCAACTATGTCAAAGACTTATCAACACTTAAATGCAAATGCAGAAAATGGTATAATCTTTCTTACAAGTATATCAATTATTGGTCCAATTGATTTTGTCTTATCAGTATTATTTTTTAATATATTTAGTTATCTAGTATAACAAAAACTAGTGTCACAGTAGATATATCTAATCCTTCAGGAAAATTTGTAAATCTTAAATAAATTGGATATTAAATAGTATTAGGAACTAGCGAAATATTTAACATGTTAGGTATTTAAACAGTAACCACCACATCGTACACTAGCTAAAATTTTAATTTATAAACAAATAAATGGATTCTAACTCCAATTGTTGGATTCCAATTTGATAACAACTAGTATTTATAATTTAGATGGACCTACACTTATACTGCCTCAACAGTGTCTTGTAAAGTAGATTCTTGTAAAAATTAATCATTTATATAGGGGACAAACTTGTAAAGCATACCCATTTAACAGCTTTGATGTCTTATGTGATAAATACACTTTATCAACCACTACAAACTTAGACTATAAGAATTTCATAAAAAATTGATTTAGAAGCTCTAAATAGACCTACAGTTTATGCAGAATTACCATAAACAAATGAAGTTTTTAATTAAATAGGTACTTTTACTACTATTATTGACAAATCCATTTCTCCAGTGCTTATAAATGTCATAATAAAATGTTCATTTGCTAAGAAAATAAAAAGTTAATTTAATAAATGCAATAATTGCTCTTTTTAGAAATTTTATCTATATAGTCATAATTGTAATAATTAAATTAATTAAATATCTTATTTTTCAAGATATTTACCAACAAATTCAGCTCATTAAGAATTAACAATAATAATTAGTGATAAAAGAATTTAAATTAATTAAATAACTTATAATTAGGTTGCAGCCGTTAACAATATTTTGGATATTGAATAATTGAATATTTGATAAAAGATATCAAATTTTAAAGTATTTTTAATAAACTAAAGATTTTAATTATCAAAACACTGTATTAATTATTTTTATAATCTAAAATAACAAAAAATTTCTTTATAATTAATATTGAATATTATTTTTAATAAATCTTGGTCAAATTTATTGATCCATCTTCTGATAATATTTTTTTATTTAGGTCTTATGAGATTTAGAATCCCAGGTAATTAAGAATTGTCCATCATGACTAATTGTTCCAAATACCCAATCATGGCCAAAATTAATTGATTATTCTAATTAACAATCGAATTCCCCATCTAAACCTTTAAATTATGGATTGTATAGAATAAATCTTATAATATTTATAGAATAACCACTCTTAATCATTAATATTTATTTAGAAGGAATATAATTTGGTTGACAATCTCCTAAATCATGTTGACCCTTTCCTTGTAAAGAAATATTTTTGGCAATCTAAAATTTCTCATTCAGATCCATTTTGAATATTTATAAATTTTTTGATCCTGTAGATGATTTAGATGATTGAAGAGTAAAAATTTAATTAGTAATAAAACAGATTCGAAGTAATAATTCATTAAATTAGATCTTCTAAATGACTTACAAAGTTTCTTTTTCTAAACCTGTCATTACAAAAAGATTTTAATCTGCTCCAATTGAAATTAATTTTTTTCCATCTGGGCTTATTGATAAACCATATATAGGCATTTTATGTTCATTTATTATCTATTAACAAACATACTAATCTTGTTACTACCATAATTTCACATTTTCATTATCACCACTAATAATTAGGTTTTCATTTGGATGAATGATGACACAATTAATTTTTGAATAGGTCCATTCAATCTTAAATTTTGATTACCAGCAATATGGCATTAATTAATCATCTGGGGCCCAAATATTTATCAAATGTTCTGAACCAGAAAGAAAGAAATTAGCATGTTTTTCAGATTGTAAAAATTAAAGAGTTGTGACGTAACCAATATTCCCATCACAAATCAAAAGTTATTTTAAAGCTTTTCCTTCACTTGCATAAAGCTCCTCTTCCTCTTATTCAGTTAAATTTTCAACATTGTATTCTTTGTAGTGCAAAATTTTGAAAATTTTGATTTCTTCTCTATTACCTACTGCAAGAACAGAATTATCATGATTTATTGCAAGTACATTTTAGAAATCTGATTTTTGTGAATTATACCACTTATATGTTGATTTTTGATTTCCCATTGTAACAATTAAATGAAATGAAAATATACAGAATATCTAATTCACATTTAATTATAATTTATACAATATTACAACTGAAAGTATTATAAAAATCTGATATTGTTATGAAAGGTTGAAATATTGTTAATTAAACTAAATAAATTCAGAAAAGTTAATTGAATTATGTAAGATGAGTTTGAAATATATTGTGATATAAAAAAAGAATTAAGTTCAATTAGATATAGATACTTAATTTTTAAATTTAAAATTTAACTCTAAGTATTGTGCTTTATTTAAGAACTATAAAGTATCAATTCTTTTGATTTAAGAATATTCAATATATATTTAATCTTAAAAGAAAATATTTAAATCCTCAGTGTTTAGATCAGAATATTAAATTTTAATTCATTATTTTTATCAATATTTGATGTATTATATTATATTCAATAATATTAGCGCATTTACAATTTATTAGAAAATTATTAATGTTAATCTTTTGAAGTTATTTTATAAACTACTCTTTGTTAATTTAAAAATGATATAGAAGATTGAAAAATGAGTTATATTTCTTTTTGCATCTCTTAAAGTTAATTATATAGAATTATATATTACCTATGCATTTAATAATTGCCAATAAAAGTAATGAATAAATAAAATTTACTTAATCTATAGGAATTTTAGTTAATTTCTCTTATTTTTACTTGTTTTAGAATAATAATTTAAGATTTTCAAAGAGAAGCTAATAAAAGAATCTTAAAAAAATCATTATTATTATTTAAAATATTATTTTGTCAAATATATTTAGTATAAGCTTATTTAAATAATAAATATATTAATATATATAATATGGAATTAAAAAATAGAATAATGGATGCTATAGTTATGTGGAAATATGAGTTTTATAATGAAGAAGTGTAAAATAGCCAAGTAGAAGGATAATATCAATCAAATGAGGGATAGTATGATAATTTTGATGATTTGTTTCACATATTTGATTTTGGATTGTCTCATGATCTTTAATATTTAGCCATTTTTGAAGACAAAATCAGAAAAAAGAATAATACATCGAGAAGATTCAAAGGGAATTAAAAAAGTGATTTAAGAATAAAATTATACGAAGTGAAATCAAACAAAGTTATTTTTGAAAGTAGTTTATTATGTAGAGGATTTCTAAATATAAATTTTCATTTTTCTCAAGATTCAAATTTTTTAATATGTTAAGGGTATTCGGATGGTTATTTAATAATAGATATTTAATAGAAAAAAGAATTTCTCTTTAACAATTTAGAAGAAACATGTTTTATTTTTTAGATGGATACAATCAATAGTTATTATATAAATAAAAATGATAAAATATTTCATATCAATGTAGAATAGATTAATTTGCAATATGAAAAAGAAATATATCTTAAATTCAATTTTAAATTCATCCTATATTTCAAATCATTTTTAATGAAATTTGCCTTAATAAGTACAGAGTTATTCCAATATATAATTTATCTTGAAAATTGCAAAGTTATTAAATAAAGAAAAAAATAAACTAATGTTAGAACATAATTAATCATTTTTTAAAATTGTCTGATTATTGAATAGGAAGATATTTATGAAACAGAATATTCTGTTAGATTATTAAATAGTGGAAAAATATTAAGAAGAATAAAGAATCTTGTTGGAAATTCAGGTAATATATCTTATGATGATTATGGAGTTTATAAAAATTCATTTTTAAGTATTGAAAATAATAATCATTAATAAATTAAAATATTCGACTTTTTAAGAGGAAATTCTAAATAAATATCTTTTATAATTAATTCATAATATAAAGATTATTATTAAATCTCTAAATTATACAATTAGTCTATATTCACTATGATAATGAGCGGATTATATACTTAAATTACATCCTATATTTTAAGATAATATTAATATTTAAAGTAATTAGAAAACTGAATATCAGTAATTATCAGATTTATTTATATAATAAATTTATGTTAATATTTTTTATTATTATTTCAAAAATCCATAGATGCTTCCAACTATTTTAATTAAGCATATTAATTAATAGAGAAATAGAAATATAATTATTTTAAAGTTTATTTTTAAATAATCAAGGTTTTAATCATCATTTCATTTCTTTAGATTGAAAATGGATTTTTATTCTTAATTGTTTCAGATAATAAATTAATATTTTTTGGTATTAAAGTAATTGAAGAATCTTACAAATATTCATTCATTATAAAATAGAAATTAAATAACTTAACTATGATTCTGCTTAGATTTATTCCAAACAAGCTTTTTGGAATATTCATCATTTTTAGGTAAAATAATTATGTTAAATTCAATTTTTCAAAGAATCATAAAAACCAAAAAATAAAAATATATAATTAATTGAATAATAAATTCTCATTAAGATGATTATGAATATAAATTTACAATTCTATGTGTTTTATTTTAAGTCTCAATCTTATTCATTGTAGTCATTCATTAATTGAAATTAATACAAAATTACACTTTATTTAAATTATAAGTATCACTAAATACTACAATTAATTTAGAAATTAAAATTGATTTTCAAAAATTGAATTATGATATTTACATATTTTTTATGCTTTTCTTTAACAACTTAATAGTAATTCCAAAATACAACTTTGAATATGGATAATTTGAGTTTAAGAAACATCCTTACAATTAAAGAAGCTGAGTTGTCTGAGGAGAGTTGTTTTACTTTTGGAATATGGTCTAAATATAGTCCATTAAATATAAAAGGTTTTAAAGATCAAATTGGTATGTTTTAAAGTAATTGCTATTAATTAATAAATGTAATGGAATACACAACTAAGAGTTTATATTTTATTTATTATGTCTGTCTTGAATATTCAACAAAAAGAATAGTCAAAACAATATAATTTGTAAATGATTAAGATTAATCAATTCAATTTGACAAATCTCTTGATCCATATGAATTTGAAAACATTTGGTACTAATTTTAGTTGATTTCATGGCCAATATTAAGGAGATTAGAATTGATCATCATAAAATCAGATAAAATAATACTCAAAGAAATAATAACTGATATTAAGCCTTTCAAAGAATAACAACTATTATTAACATTTGGAGACAACTTGGAAGTAATTGAATCTAGGATTGATTAAATTACATAAGGAATGATGTATTCTTTATTTCCAGGATAAATTGTTGTATATCATCCCTTAATAGAAATAATCCCTATATCATTTGACTTTGAATAACAAATAATTGAAGGATATTCTAGTCTAACATAATGTAATTGTTAAAACAATGAACAAGTGGATTTAGAAGAAATTGGCTTAAATGTTATTGATGATAAGATTTATATTTCAGAAAATGTTAATTGTAATTATTATGCTTTGAGCGGGTGGTTAAAAGTAAAAGATATAGTATAGAAATCTGAAGAATTTACCTATTAATTTATTAAAATGACAGTATTTATAGGAAAACAACAAATATTTAATGAGAACGTAGCTACATTTTAAATGTTTTATTAGATCTCTACTCTTTCAACCAAAATAATAATAAAAACCTATACTTATGATTTTCCAATTGCCATAAAAGAGATTTAAGATGTTTCATAAGAAATTGAGACATAATTTTAGATTTAAAAGGATAATCTAAAGTAATGGCATTATTTGTTTTTGTAATTAGAAGATAATTAATTCAATATTAAAATAACTTTTTATGATTATTAAAGTAATATCTAATTTTATGAGGCTTAATTCTCAGTAAGATAATTTCATAATTGTTAATTTAAATTATAATATGGAAATATCTAAAAGAATTCATTAAACTATTTAAAAATAGAATTAAGAAAATTTTAATTTACTAATTGCTAATATGATGAAAGGATCTCTAAATGCCATTCTAGTTGTTTAGATTGTGATGGTTCTAATAAGAATAATTGCTTGTCATGCCCAGTTGAGTAGTAGAGGATATATATTCCTGAATTTAAACAATGCCTTTGTCCATATTCTACAATAGATTATGATAATAAATGCATCACTTATGAAGATTCAAACCTATTATTAAAAGTTAAATAAAATATTAATAAAAAGTGTAAAGCAGGTTATTTTGAATTAGAAGGAGATTGTGAAAGATGGTATATTATTAAATAATTCTTCATAGTCCTTCTAGAGTAAAAGCTGATTTGATTACATGTTTTGATTGCTTTTCATAAGGAAAAGATTGGGCTTCTAAATCTATATGTGGAAAATATATTTATTTTCCTATATCTTTGTCACTTCAAAATGCTATTCTTTATGATTATTCATTTTAGTATTATCATGATGGATCTGATCTAATAATATGTGAGAATTGTTTGCATCTGGATTATGAACAAGAATTGTAAAATGAAGATGGCATTTACAAATTGTTTTTATAAAAATTTAATGGTTTTGAATCATTTTGTTTTTCTTTAATAGACTTTGGTTCTGAATAAAAATGTACAATTTGTAATGTTGGTTTTTGTATTTTATGTGGCATTTAGATAGATGGAATAGTTTGTTTAAAATGCGAAGAGAATTATATTGTAGTTGATGGATTATGTAAGTTCAACAAATAAATTCCTTATTTTTATTAATCTTGTCAACCTCCTTATTATACAACCTATAATAGAGAATGCAAGATTTGTCCTATTAATTATTGTTTATACTGTTTTGAATATAATTATAATAATAATAAGGAATCTAATACACTCTCCTAAGCTGAAATTTTAATTCTAGAAGAGGGTAATTCTTATGTTAAAATTGGATGTGTTTTATGTTAAGATGGTTATATTTTCAATTTTAACTCTGGTTTATGTGTCAATTAAGTACCAAGAATATAATATTGTTTAACATCATATATAAAATAATTAGATGAAAAATGTTTATTATCTACCTTGAATAATTTTGAAGTATCAAGAGTTATTAATAATTGTGATGATTATATTTTAAATTGTGAAATATGCGCATTGTATTATCAATAAGTTATTATTTGTATAAACTGTAAAATAGGATTTGTGTTATAAGAAGGATTATGTTATATGAATGAAGAATCTAAAATTAATTATTCTAAAGATATCTGGGATTTGTAAATTAAAGCCTTTTTATTAATCTATCAATTTGATAAAAGTTAAGATTATCCTAACAAAGAACCTTCAAAATGTGGAAATTCATGTCTTTCATGTAAAAATGATAATTAATAATATTTTTGTGAAAAATGTATGTCAAACCATTTGGAAGATCCCGTAAGAATCTAGTATGGACTTTATTGTCCTGAATGTCCTCGACTTTGCCAGGTTTGTATATCACGTCCTCTTGAAGAGATTAAAGTAATTTAATATATTATATATAGTTGAAAACAATTTGAGTCAGAATATATAATTAAAATATGGTTGTCTATTTTTTGCTTTTTCTTTATTATCTTCAAAAATGTCTGAAAAAGTACCCCACTAGCTTGTAATTTACAAATATAGCCAGACAGTATTATTTGGGTAATTAAAGCCCATCGATTAATTTGTTTTGAAAAAATGAAAAAAAATTTAGAATTATATTTAAAAGTTGGCCTAGATAAAAATCAAAGTAACTAAAGAATTCATATCGTTATATTAAGTGCTATCATAAAGATTTGAAAGAAGAGGAAATAATTTTTTGAGCAGATTAGACAAAAAAGGTGCAAATCATAGCAGTTGTAAGATGAAAATTTTATAAATATAGAAAATTATTATTTTTTTTCTTTTTAATAATTACTATTCAATATTTTCTTTATAATGACTGCCATTATTAAACTTCTTCTTAAATACCTTAATTTATTAATTCTTAGGTTAACTTTATAATTTAAGCAGTTTTATGCCAAAATGAGCTTTTTGCAAACCTGATTTTCTTTATTGCATCTTCTTTAAGTTTCTCAACTTGTTCCTTCATTTTTTGAAAAAATCTCAATCTCTTTCTTTCTTTCAACTAACTTAATCAATAAACGAATCAACCTATTAATTAAAATAACGTTTACATGATATCATCATGTAAGATTTGATTAATCCTACACTTTGGGCTCTTGACTAAATAATGATTTGGATCTATGGCTTTAAGAATATTGACTGCCAATGTTTTATCAGTGTAATTTCCATCAGCAAAGCCAAGCTTTAAGTAACTAAGGTTTGTTTTAATTTCATGTAAAATTTCCATTTTAGTTGCTGATCTTAGCAATTATCTTATTTGATTTTTTTTTCGGATTCCAAGTTAAAAAATTATTAAGTAGCATATCAGAGCAAATATTAGCTATCTACACCTCAAATCATATCCTTCTAACATTAATCCATATTAAAAGGATTTAACAGTATAGGTTGCTAAATTTTTATGTTAATTGAAAATCATATAAAATTATCGATATTTACTCAATTAATTTATAGAAAAATTTATAATGAAAAAACTTCTTTCCAACCAATCAAATAGAAAAAAACATTTTGTATATGTAAAAAAAACAATTATTAAGAATAAATAAAAAATTAATTATTGCTCTTAAAATACAAATTATAACTAATATTTTAATTGTATTATTTTTTCATTAAAAGAAAATTATTCACTAAGTTTTATTATTGAATGTTTGGTATGAGTTTTAGAAAATAAAATCCTATTTATACAAATAATTTTAATATTTCAAAATTTAATTGAAATAGAAACTTCAGCTTCTTCTTCTCTATAATAATATCATTTGCTATAGCAGACCTCGCACTTAAACTACATTAACCAGACATACATGCAATGATGATTGTCAATAATTATATTAAACCTATGTGTATGAAAAAAGACTTTTTTAATCAAAATAAAAAAGCTAATGTAATATATTGTTTAAAAAATGTACCATCGAAAATGTAAATCAATAGGTAGAATTTTTGAACGAGCCTTTTAGGCTGCATTATCAAAAAATGAAGAAAATAATTTTTGCCTAGTGCTGGATAATGCCTCCATCCATTAGACATAATAAATTCTGAATAAATTATGATTTGCTAATTAATTATTTCTTCCTACATATAGCCCTTAGCTTAACTGCATCAAAAGGTTATGGATAATTGCAAAGTTATGCATTTTTTAAAAATTGCTTAAGAATTTCATATTATACATATTTTCAACTCTATTACATCAACTAAGGTTCAAAACATCTGCACTAAAAACCTAAAATTCCTATAAGCTTGCTTATTATAAAAATAATTCTGATGTTATTATCTTCAATTAAAATTTAATTCAAGTTTTCTAATAAATGAGTAAAATTGCTGTTTTTCTTTCGATAGCAATCGTGTAGCGACTGTTACTTTATCACTTTCAAGCAGATTTTAATCGAAGTGAATTGGGGGACCGAAAGGGAGCTAAATCATTCTCTCCTTAATGTTTGGTTTGTTATTATAAAAATAAAATTATGGGGTCATGTGATTCATAAGTGATTATACACAAAAATAGACTTATATAAAAATAAAAATAATATCAAGAAGTCTCAAGAATTAGATGAAATTGTTTTTGACTATATTAAGGCTATTAATCCTGTATTTTAAGCAACAGAAGAAAATTCTATATATACAAAATAATGTATTTTAACTATTATGGATCCTTTTGTTTTTCATGATCCTTTTCAAAAAATAACATAATATTGTTTTGATGGCATTTGTCACCACGAATTTGAATTAGAATTTTATTAAGTTAGTTGCTTTTTCGATAGATTTCCAAACACTCTTTCATACTTCAATATCAATTTGGAATATTGTAACCACATTGGAATAAATACACTTACTTTTAACTTATACTTTGATTTAGAAGAGGATTCTTGTTTAATAGTTCCAACAATGAAAAGTAAGGCATCATTAAAAAAAGATATCTTTACACTAAACAATATAAATATTAATGTAAAAACTTTGAATCCGTTCTTTCTTGTATTTAACAATTTCATATTCTTTGAAGATTATGATAAAGTGACTTTCATTAATTTTGGTTTTATATTTGAAGAATATTTGTAAACCAATATTATTTTGTTGAATATTCATAATCAGGTTGATTTATCATTGATCAATTGTACAATAATGAATAGTAGCATCATTAATGTTACATCTCTATTTTATGCTGAATAATTTGGTTCAATCTATATATCAAACTTTTCAATTATAAATACAACCATTAAAAATTCCTCATTATTTAATTTATAACTATTATAATTACAAGGATAAATGACGATTGATTCCTTATTTATTGTAAATTGTACATTTATAGATTCCTAATTTGTATAATTTTCAAAAAGCTTATAAAATATTCAAATTGTAAATTTAACTTTAGATTCATGTGTATTCTAAAATGCATCGCTTTTTACTTTTTATTTAAATTACATAAAAGTAACAACATTTGAGACGAAAAATATTTTAATTAAAAATAATTATTTTCGTCTTTCATATTTTATATTTTGTTCATAAATTATTCATATAGTCTTAAATAATGTTATATTGGATATTAATAGAATTGAAAAATCAATATTATTTGGATTTAGTTATAGTTTATCTGCTAATTACATTCAAATTAAAGAAAACCTATTTATTGAATCCCAATTCTTATAAACAATTGAAGTAACAAATGATAAAATCACTTAATGTTCTATATATGAACTTATAGTAGAAAAAAATGTACTTCAAAATACTAATCTATTTCATATATTTTCAAATTCTTATTCAAATAAATTGTTCATTTCTATTTCATCTGTTCAAATCAAATAAAACATTAGATCAATTAATACAGATTAATCAAGTTAAATATTTAATATTAATAGCAAAACATTAAATTTAAATAATTTTTTTATTAGCGATAACTAAGAAATACGTATTATTAATCTTTATGATAATGAAGATATAAAACTCAACAATTTTATTTTTGAAAATTAAATAGTTCATTAAAAGGTCTCTGTTTCAAAGAACTGTTTGCAGATATCAAATCTCTAAAACTAATTAATTTTAATAAAGGGTTTTGATTAGATTTAAATAGAAAAATGCAAAATTATAAAATAATCAAGTGTTGATGAATCACTAATAGAAATAGTTTCTAGTAAATCAAAATAATAACTTGGTACAATTGTCATCAAAAATATTGAATTTTATGGAAATCTTTTACAATTATTTAGTTAAGTCTAATCTTTTTCATTATTAGCCATTATTTCAGATAAATAAATTAATGTTGTAATGGAAAATGTGAAATATTAAAATAACTTTATGCATATATATTCTGAAAGTGCTCTAAAGTAATCAGCTACTTTATTATATATTACTTCAGCTCTAAGTTATATTTCAATTAATAATTTAAATTGTATCTAAAATTCATTGACTAATTCATCTAATTCTTTTATAAGGATTTCATCTAAATAGTTAATAATGAGCAATATATTGATCAAAAATCATAACATTTTACCATTTAATATTTGGAAAGATTATTATCCTATAAGTATAGAGAATGAAAATGATTAAGAAGAAATTAATCTCTTTATAATGTAGATATATCATATTAAAGTAATAGGAGGAGCAGCTTAAATTGAAACTAGCAAATTTTAATGTTTAAATTGTTCATTTCAAGAAATATTAGTTGCAAAAAGTTCAGTTTTTGATATTGTTACTTCAAATGAAGGAATTATTTTAATTTAAAATTTCTCAGTTAATTCAACTACATATAGTTAGATTGAATAGGTTGAAAGTTCTGGATGTTTAAGTTTGAATTCTTAGAATAGTTTATTAACTCTATCTATATCATCTGCTAGATTCTCAAATGTAATTAATAGAATGTCCACATCCCTTTTCTCAATAACTCCATCATTACTTCAAAATTATATAATTATCGAAAATGTAAATATTATAAACTGTATTTCATTGATGAATTAGATAATTGATATTTAATTTATTAATTAGATTGTTGCTTTGAATTAAATTAAATTCATAAATATTAAGATAATATAAGATTAATAAGCATGGGTTACCTATTTTTAATAGATAGGAATAATAAGTTCGTCTGAGATATTAGAAATAACAGGAAATAATAATGCTTTAATATATTTTCAAAATTGTGATATTTAAATAAGAGATTTAATAGTTGAAGGAATACTAATTGCTCCTGTTCTGAAATTAATTAATGTACAAAATTTGTTGATCTTTAATTGTTATATTGAAAATATACTCAGTATAACATCATAAGATTTAATTCATATTAGTTAAACCATTCAAACTAAATCTTTTATTTATTTAAAATCAATTAATATTAGAGAAGCACTTTTACTTACATCAAATTCTTTTCCATATGTTCGGTCTTCTAAGCTTAATGCTGATTATTTTATAGGTGGATGTCTGATTATGAACAATTCATTTTTAATTGAATAACCAGAAGATTATCTTTCTAGCAATATCATTTAGCTGTAAAAATCATAATAGATACAAAATTCAATCATATATATAAAAAGTTAATCAAATTTAAGTAATATTTTTTTAGATATGATAAAATTAGAGTATAATAATTTTCAAACAAGTATAAATGGAATTATTTATTTTGATGTTGCATCTTTTTAGAAATTAAGAATCTAGAATTTAGATTGTAATAACAATTTTATAAAAGAATATGGATGTCTTCATTTCGTAGGCAATAACTCAGTTAATTCTAGAATTTAAATTAAGGATTCAAATTTTATTAATAATAAGGGAACTAAAGGAGTTGCTATTAAAGTTACTGATATATCTTTAGATTTAAAAAATTGTAAAATTACTTCCAATTTTGCAAGTACTTAAGGTGGAGGTTTATATTTAAGAATAACATCAAAATTATTTAGAATAATAAAGACATTGATTATAAATAATCATGCATAAGAAGGAGGAGGAATTTATTTTGAAAAAGATCATAATTTGAATACAGAGAACTTTTATTATTCTTATTTATTTTTCAATTAAGCATTAAATTATGGAAATAATCTTGTTGAAAATCCAACTCATTTATCACTCTTTATTAATTCAAAAGAAATGCCTGCTGAAATATAATAGAAGGATACTACATCAATAAGTGTTCTCAATATTAAACCTTATAAAATAATTGAATAAGGAAAATATATTGAGACACAGCAACTCATGATTCCCAGTAATCAAGAAATCAATGTCTATTAATTATTTATTTTAAAAAGATCCTTATATATAAGCTATATTCAAAATATGAGTCTACAGTTTAAAAACAGTAAAGGAGAATTACTTTTTAATTTAATTAGCTCAACATGTCATGTATCCAGTGTTTTGATTAATAAAGATGGGGGAGAAGTTGTAGGATTAACTAAAAATCATATATTATCATATGAATCTTTAAATAATAACTTTGAGTTAGGAGCTCTGGCTTTTAGCATTGATCCTTACGAATTAAATTATAGTCATTTAAAAATTCAAGTCAACTGCAAAACTTCATATTCCTAAAATGAATTCACATATATACTTAATGCAAAAAGTCTTAAATGTTAATTAGGTGAATTTTATATTGAGAATGGTTGTTAAATTTGCAGTTGGAGTTAAGGATTTTATAGTGTCACTTATAATGCAATTAAATGTTCCATATATGATAAATAAAAATTCTAAAATATAACATCTAATATGATTAATTTATATGAGGGTTATTGGAGACCTAACTATTTATCAGATTATACTGAATCATGTTATAAAAATCCATAATTTTGCTAAGGAGGTTGGGGTGTCGGAGATAGTACATGTATATTGGGACATAAAGGTGCCTTATGTGAAATGTGTGATGTTTATAATTAAAAAGGGGATGGAAAGTTTTTTAAGGAATAATAGAACTTTTCATGTTAATCATGTTCAAAAAATGATAACATTGTCCTTCCTTTTTTATTTGCATTATTTTAGTATATAAGATTATTAATTTATAGGTCTTTATTATCTATAACCTTGTCCTTAAAAAGCATCAATAAATCAAATTAACTATTTTCTTCACTAAAGATATTTTTTAGATTGAGTAAATTAATATTTAAATTGAGTTAAGGTAAAAATTTCTATCAATAATTAGATCATGAAGGCATATTAGTAAAACTGTTATTAAATTATTTATGGATATTTTCTGTTATTTTTACTTTCAATATTAATTTTTCATTCTCCTTTATATTTATTGAGTAATCTAGCAATAGCTTTTATTTTATGGTCAATAATTTAGATTGTTACTTATCAGACTTATAAACACAGTTAATCTATATTAAAATCTTTGTTATTTTAATATTAATGTTATTATAATTCAACTTGATACTAGCTCTATCCCTTGTATATCATAGTATAACTAAAAATAATATGGACAATAGCTTACTCTCAAATACTTTACTTTATTTATATGTTTTTAATTATGGAGGATTGATTAAAATGTATTATATTGAATTTATAATTAGGGTCTGTTCATCCTTGTCAGGTAGATAAATATCTAATATAAATTATATATAAGGAGATGTATCATTATTATATGATACAAGGGATCATTAATTGTGGATATATTCTCTAATTTTACCATTGCTAGTAGTTTATGGTTGCATAATACCTTTTTCTTTATTTTTATTAACTTATTTTAAAAGAGATATTCTTGATAAAATTAAATTTAGAAGACATATTTGTTATTTATTTAATGAATACACTGATAACAATTATTATTGGGAATAGATTAAATTATTATAAAAAGCAATAATAATTTTAATAACAACTTACTTTGAAAATAACATTCTATTAAAGACATCATTATTAGGACTATGTTTACTCTCTTATTAAGCAATAGCTGTTAAAAATAAACCTTACATTATTTCAAAGTTTAACAATTTAGATTTGGCTTCAGGATAAATTTGCTCAATTGCCATATTTCTAGCAGCAATCAAATATGAAAGTTAAAACTTAAATAATTAATTTTTTTCAGTATTCCTATAAATATTAATACTTATTATATTGATAAGACTTTGTTATCCATTCATTTTCAATATTGTTACTGTTTATTATCAAAAATATAGCTTTTTGATTTTAACAAAGATTCATTAAAGTTTCAAATCCTTAAATCTAAATAAATAATGCATTACAATTCTTGGAAATTATCTAATTAAAGAGAATGAAAGAAAATAGAAATTGAAAAGAAATTTCCAAAAACTTAAAGAATATTTGATATCTAAATCTAGATCTAAAATTCAGTCATCAAATTATAGGTATACATATTCATTATCTAATTTTAGAGCTGCTAACATAAAGATTCACCTAAGATCAACATCAAATAGTGGATAGTATTTAGTTGAAGCATTGAATGAATGATTTCATAAATGATGTTTCAATTTAAATATATTTATAAATATTATAGAAATTTTTATAATAAATGTTATTTATTATAAAATATATCTATTTTTATATATAATGAAGACATTATGTAAAAAAAAATTAGAAATTTTCAATTTGTTATTAAATTTTAAACCAAAAATTTATATTTTGCCAGATACCTTTTAAAGTTTATTTTAGAAAAAACTAAATGAGTATAAAATCAATTTCAAAAAATATTTTGAATCTGGTAATTAATTAAACTTGTAATAATTAGAATATTAGTATGATATTAATGAAGTATTATGTTATTTGTTTGATTACAAATTCCATTTTATGTAAAATAAGTAATATAAGGTATTAAATTTTATTTATTTATAGAATAAAAATAATGAAGTGATTATGTCAAAAATAAATCAAAAACTAAATAAATAATAATTTAAAAATATTTTCTATATTATTTTTAATGTAATGGATCTCTCAATTTATTAAGATTACCAATATGATAGCCTCTAATAGAATTATATATGAACTGGAACTAATATCTGGAGGTTCAAAAACTTCACTTCTTTGTGTATCCATATTCCATCCGTATGTGAAATCAGTTGCGGTCAAACATTATGTTTATGTTAAAGTGGATACATCTAAATCAACACAAGCATTTCCAGTCCATTAACAAAGTTTGACTGATTTTGAATCAACCGATAAATACATAAAATAATTATCTTATTATAAAATGGAGCATGTTATTTCTGTAAAAATATTAAAGTCACTCCAATAACAAGCAAAAGAATTACAACTTTCATTTGTTATGTAATCTGAGCATTTATTTATTAATTTAGATTCACAGATTTACTATTCTGTATTCTAAACACATTAAGTACCATCAGGTGTTTAATACCAAAAGCAATTTTTATATAGTGATAGCTTATCTATATTAAAAGAGTAATCAGAGCATTTTGTAAAATTTTCACATTTATTTGTTGTATAATTCCAAATGCAATTGAATGGATCTGGTAGTATTTAGCAATCAGATTATGAAAATTCAGAACAAGGCTTATTTGTGCAAATTGATGAATCGGCATCCCAATAACAATTATCTGTCAAGCAATCTAATTGTTGCATAGCATTTATTCATGAGCATTTAAAATATTTCTCATAAGGAACAACAGTTACTTGTTTTGAAAGAATCAAAAGGCAAAATACAATTGAAAGAATCTTCATTTTATATTATAGGATATTAAAAAAATAAAGGCATCATTTAAATAAAAAAAAATGCGTCAAACAATTTCTACTATTAAAACTTAATAAAAATTTGAATTTATCTTAATTCATAATAGAGTTGCAATGATTCATGTGCATACAAAACTTGATATTCTCATAATATTAAAGCAAGAATAATATTCATATTTATGAATCTAACTATTGCCATACATAATCTTAAAAGATTTTAAATACAGGTTAAGATGTAAATTGTATTATATTATTGAATATATGATTATATATTATCATCAACACTAAATATTTTTCATTAGAGAAATGTTTATTTTCAATGCCTTTATCATATTTATAAGATTATTAAATAATTCTTTATGATTACTGAAAGTAATAAAAATTATAGTGATATAATAATCATATTTATTTTAATCCTTACTTAACCAAAAATAAATCTAAATAAGATAATTATAATTCACATTTTAATCAAATGTCTTGAATGATTTCTGAGAATTAATTAGAAGGTTATCTATATGAAATAAGGGATAATTCAAGGATTTAAACTCAAATTAATTAGTAATTTGTCGTTACTAAGTTTAATCTTCAATATTAAATAATTGTAGGTTGAAATGAGGTGATTGATTTCTATTCAACAAGTATTAATATTAAATAGCAAAGTTGTAATGAGGTAAGAATATTTTATAAAGGCCATCAAATTCAATAAGGTTATTTGGTATTTGCTTGAATCTTAATCATAAAGTCAAAATTTTTAATATACATCCCTATTACAACATATATTCAGGATATTACATACTTAGGAATGTAATGATGGAAAAAATTTAAGTATTTATGATAAATTCTACATCTATCATAATTTCAAGTAGTAATAATCTAATGAATTAGATTTCTCTTTCAAAAAGTTAAAAATTATCTTTAAAAACATAGAGATAAAATTCTATATGAAATAGTATAAAACATATTTTTTTATAATTTAGTTTAATAATTTTTCTATTTCAATTTATTTATACAAAGATTATTACATATACACATTAATTATAATCAAATTTCGAAGTAAATAGTAATTAAAAATAATATATCATAATATAAATGGATATGTAAGCATAAAAACCTAAATTAACAGTTGTTGAATTGCCAAGTTTCACTCTAGTTGGATTGATAAGGAATATCATTTAGAAAGAAGAATTAGATCCAAACACAGGATAGATTGGGAAGGCATACGAAGAATATTTTGAAAAGTAAATTAATGATTAAATACCTCATCGATTATTTCCAAAAAGAACTTATTGTATGTATTATGAATACTAAAACCCTCATGATCACCAAGAAATCAAATACAAAATGGTGTTAGGAGAAATGGTAAGTGAGGTCACTGATTTACCAGAAGGATTAGTAGCTGTAACAGTACCTGAACATCTTTTCTGTCGTTTTGATTGTGGACCAGGTTCTATTCCCAAAGTTGTGATTGATGCTTGGTAATCATTACCTAATTTATCCCCTGAAGAATTGGGTGGAACAAGATCATATGATTATGACTTTGAGGTATATCCAGAAGATATCAATGTAAATGAGAACATCAAATTTGAATTATTCATTGGTTTATAAAAATGAAAATTAAAGTTCAACAATATTATATTATTTATTTTAAGATTATCTAAATGAATAATTTACATTTAATTAAATAACTACTTTTTTCTTATCTAATAATTATATTAATTGTTATGTTCAACAAAATAATTGTATCTATAATACTTTATGTTTATATTAAAATATACAATCCATGAAAATATGAATATTGTTAAATTATGCTAATAATTAATTTCTAACTCATATTTTGAGTTTAAATTATGATAAATTAATTGCATCTGTTTTTATTAAAATTTATATTTTTTTTTAATTACATGAAATCTATAATGGGAAGATGTAGGATGATTGAAGATCTTGATAAGATAACATGTAAAGGATAACATAATGATAAAATAAGTTTATTAGTTATGCTTGAAAATGATTTACAAAATGAATAGAGACTATACTGTGAGAAATGTCTATAAACAAAGAAAGGTGTCTTAAACGCAATTCCATTTGATGAAGCAAAATCAAGAATAGAAAAATAATAAAATAGACATTTTAGTGAATTAAATTATTCAATCCTATAAAGAATAAAGTTTATCGATGAATTTTCAGAGAACATAATAAGAGTATTATAAACAATTGAATAATTTATTAAAGATTGTGAATAGAGAATAAAATTATGGTAGGATTAATTAATAAAATTTAGAGATGACAATTATACATATAGTTTAATACAAGAACTTTCCAATTTAAAAAAGGAAGAAAATTAATGGGTGCAAGAGAAATATTTGGATTCTCAAAATTAAATAAATTTGATTGATTAAGATCATAGTCTCCATCTAAAATTCACGGTTGACGAAATATAACAGTAAGTTTAGAATATTGTTAAAGCACACGAACTACTTTAAGATAATATCTAAATCCATTTTAAAAATCTAATTAACTAATCCCAGAAGGAATAAGAATAAGAGCAACTTTAAAAAGAAAATATATAATTAAGTCAAAGATTTTTCAACAAACTATTTAATAAATTAGTTTAAGAGATAAGATAAAATGAAATATGTTATGCTATAGGATTCAATCAGAATGATTCTATAATGGCTGCTGGATTTAATGAATGTATAAAGATATGGAAAATAGAAAATGGATAATTTATAGATTCATAGATCATTTTAAAGGGGAAATCAGAAGTCGATTTTGCTATTTGCATAACTTTTAGTAAAAGAAAAAATCTCTTTGTTTATGGAAGTTATGATCATAGTATTGGAATATGGAATGAGATTGAGAATGGCTAATGGAATCCATCAGATTCTTCAAATGAAATGTCTCATTCAGGAATGGTTACTTGCATTCTTTTTAATTAATGTGAAGATTAAGTGATATCAGGTAGTCAGGATAAGTCTATAATCATTTGGAAATTCAATGGCACTTCTATTAAATTCGATTAGTAGTTAATTAAGCATAAAAATACTATTTTTAACATATGTATGAATTAATAAGAAACTGAAATTGCTTCAATGAGTAAAGATTAATAAATAATTATATGGGTAAAAATATCAAATAAATGGAAAATTAAATAAATAATTTAGTAATCTAATATTAATTTTGGAGATATAGTTACTTTTATATCCAATGATGTGTTAGTATTATATTAAAATTTCTAAAAGTTCACCTATGCTCGCTCAACGATTGATACTCATTTTACTTAAATATCAGAACAAAGTCTTGATTTAACTGATATTGTTAAAAACGATGAATAATATCTATTTCCAACTTTTCATTTTATTCATAAAAACTTAATAGTTTAGAAAAAAGATGGGAATGTTTATTTTGTTGTTGTTGATGAAGATTTCTAACCTTTATCTTTATCTAAACTTTACATAAATTAAAAAAATACATTTTATGGTAACATAACCAATAATGGTAGATATTTAGTTATTTGGAGCTTTGGGGACTTAGAGTTTAAAATTTATAAGTTATCCTATTTATGATTTTGTTATATAATTATTATCAAAATCTATAAATCTCAACATTTTTACTTCCATATTATACTAAATGATTATCACAATTTTAACTATATCAGTCAATTTAATAAATACTAAAATAAATATACTTCAATTCACAAACTATTAAAATTTTATTGTATTGTATTTTTATCATCTAATCTAAAATTTATTTTTGAAATTTAAAAATAGAGTGTTAAGAATAAAAGAGAACCAAAATTTGCAATTAATTTAGATTAGGTTACCAATAAATTCTACGCTATTTTTCATTAAAGTTGATGATATATGTATAGTATTTGAAAACTAAATCTAAAGAATAAGAACATCTTAATATTGCTACAATGTTGTTGTATATTTCAAATTTCAAATTTATATATATTTCAGAAAAATCAATTGGAATCTACATTAATCAGTAAAAACATTGCAATTTAGAAATAAATGCTTGTTATCATCAGGAGATTAGACTGACGATACAATAAAAAATTACACGAAGTTTACAGCATCTCAATAAAGGGATATTATCATATATTTAATTTAGAACCTATGGATATTTCTCAGAGAAGATTTTAAATTCAAACATACTTCTTTAGTCAGTTTAAGGTTTCGATAAGGATGCTATTAGTAATTAAAACTATTCCCTTGGAGTATATAGTAAATGTAGGATAATCATAAATTAATCCAATCTCTTTCTAACTTGTCCAATAGAATTCAATTTCTCACTAATTTCCTTTAGAATTTTTCCAAATTATACAAAACCCTTTTTCGTTCATTTATAGGTCTTAAGTAATTATTTGTATTTCAAATAATCTTCTATGTAATGAAAGAAATGATTAATGAATCTTTAACTAATTTATAAAACTCTTTATTTTATTATCTCATCTTAATCGTTTGTATGAATTCTTCCTTTTTATTATCACTCTTATTTTCTTTGAATATTCTACTAATATATTAGTTCTCTTCTTAGATTAGACTAATGTTAAGATTGGATAATAAATCTGTTACAATAAATTTTTACAGATCTTAGCAGACCACTTTCTATTGGGTGTTTTAATTGCAAAATTGGCTAATTAAAGAAATTAAAAAGAAAAATATTTTTTTTAATTATCACAATTGAACAAATGGAAGTAATTAAGCTTTTTTTTTGTTTTCTTAAATCTAAGTAATCTCTAAAATAGTGCACTACTTAAAGGAGTAGAGTGATATAGGTTGAAGAATTTCATCCAAAAAAGTATTCTACATATCAAAGGTTTCCGATGTAGTTATGAAATACATCTTTTAAATTTCAAGAGTTCGGTTCTTACTTGAGAAAATAAAATTTAACAGAAAAAGATCATCCCAAAAACTTCAAAAACAAAACTCAATTCTTTTCAATGTAATCCTAATTTTTGAGTAATACCTTTGTGTAATCTTTATAAGAATTATTAATAACTTATAATATATTTTATCATAAATCAATATATTTATTTATAATGATATTTTTACCAAAATTCAAAGTTCAATTTCACTCTGGTCAACCTAAATAGTTTCATTTTATTTTTGATAAGACTATATGATTGTTTCTCCTACTGCTGTTATCAAGGGGATCAATACTAATAGTATGAGTGCATATGTTAAATAGTAGATATGCATAAAAAATAAAGTAATCATTAATCTTGGCAATAAATGTTGAAAATATTGAAAAATCTCTATCTATTTCCATTTAATTAAGAAACAGAATAAATTAATTGCTAATTTTCCTATATTGCTATAAGAACACCAAACTCTTAATGGACTAAATTTCGTTTATTCAGTCTGTTGCTCATAAAGAATAAACAGGTATAAAGGGAAAAAAATTATTGTTATATGTTAAACATCTGAAGCTTCAAATTTTGTCTCGTAACTATAATTTCCATTATAAAGACACTTTATTTATTTTAGTATAAATTTTCTCCATTCTTCCTTTTCGCCAATTATTTATTCAGAATAATGTCTAAAGTAATAAATAACCAAAGCTATAGAGTAAAGGAATGATATTATCAAACCCATTTTTATATACTTTGTTATTTTCTTGCATATGGCCTAACTTTTAATTGTTTTAGCTTCTATGAATAGACAATCAATAAAGTCTTCTAATCCGCAGAAATAATAGATATATAAAAGATATAGTCCCAGGATCCAACCTACTATAATTTGGTTTAAAAAATGAACTCCAAAATATAATCGACCAATCCCGATCATAAAGACAAATATTCCCATTAAGATTTAACATTATCTAAAACTGATTGGAGAGTTAGGATATAACAACTAAAATCTCTATCGACTAAAATAAATTTAATCAGCAATACCATGAAATTGATTATTGAATAACACTTGATGGAAGATGACCCTGAAATTGAGTTTCTTAATTCAAAAATACATTATTTTCATAGAAATACTTTTGGCAAAGTATTGTTTCAAATAGCAAAACAAAAAAAACAAATGGTCTTAATGAATGACCGCTTGGATCCCCATAACCTGTATAGCAAAAATCCAATCTTATTTAATCATCTATATAAAATGGTCTGGGTTGAGCAGATATCATTTTTATTAAATTTCCTATCGATGAAGCAACAACGTTCATAGTAACTATTTTTAATATTTACACCTTATTAGTAGTTTTAAACCATATTAGAATTGTTAGAATGTTAGTTACAATCGCATCACCAGCTGTTGAAAAAATCAAAAAAAAAAACTCTATAATTATATTGAATTGATACCAAATCCCCCTTTTTCTTAACCATATTCAAATTACTCTTATAAGTACTTTGTTATACAATTACTAAAGCTGTATGTGTGCTATCCAAAATATATATCTATTATCAACACGATAGTTGCTAAAATTGATGAGATTGTTAGTTTGTTCATAAACATTAGTAATAATTAAATAAATTCAAGAATTCTTAGAATTCAATTAACAAATTTTTCTTACCAATTTACATCTAATCAATCCATATATATTTGTTTCACTATTTAAAAAAAATGACACTTAATTATGAAATACAAATTCCAATATTTCTATGATGTGATAAGGTTTCTCAAAAAAAAAATATGATTAATACATTAAATCAAAATACATTAATATAATTAATTAAACTTTTTAAATCAAATCTGCTTTAAATAATTTTCTTAACTTTTTCTCTTTGCAACTAAAGAATTATTTATTAATTAACAAATAATAACACATTCCAACAAAGAAAAGAATATAAAAAAGAATTTGAAAAAAGTATTAAAGTACAGGATTAACAATGGAATTGGGGTCTTATCCTTCAAAGGATATCAATATTTCAATAAACTCTTTAATTCAAGAATATGCGTACTTCATCTATGAAAGAATTTATTTCAATTACTGTGTTTATTAATTAAAATGTCTTTAAAATAGAGGAAAATACTAGATTTAAAACCTTTGGTTTATAAAATGGATTATTACTATTAATTTTATGAGTCTTTGTTGACCCACATTATTAAAAAAAAATAATAAGTCTTAAAATTATTTTCCCCTATTATTAAATAAAGTATTAATCTTTTTTATGGAAATATTATTCTATTGATAGCATAATTTTCTGATTGTTAAATTTTATAAATATCACTCTTTAATTTATTTATATGAAGATTATGTTGATTAGAGAGAATTTAATTGGTTGTTAAGAAATAATGAATTTTGTGGTGATTTAAAAAGAATACTATGTCATCAGCAAATTAATAACTTTCATAGTTATACGAAGATAATGACTTGAGCCCAATTCAAAAGTTTTCCATATAAATATTAAAAAGAGCTGGTGATAGCCCTAAGGCGCTCCATTATCAAAGCGATATTTTTTATTCGTTAATGGGCATACATATTATAAGTTTTAGTAAAGAATCTATAAAAAATGAATCTCTTAATGATCTAAGATTTCCTTAATCCTCAATATATTAAAAAGCTTCTCCCTATCGATAATATTAAATACATTACTCAAGCCAATAAATACGCCTTCCATCTTATCTTCCTTTTTAAAACCATTTATTTTGTTTAGTAGATTGATGATGTTTAGTAGAGTTGAAAGAATATGGTATGAATCCTGTTTGTTCCTTTAATAATGATTAAATTCAATACATTTGGAGCTTTGGTAGAAATCTCAATTCCAAGAATTTAAAAAGGGAACTCAAAATTTTTATAGGTATTAACTATGATTTATTAGGGATATCTGGAAAAAACTTTATTAGTGGAACAATTCTAGCTTTACAGCAATTTTTGTTGGTTTCTATTGTCCGATTGTTCCATATATTTTAAAATTTTTATATGTTTTTATTTAGTCTCAAGATTTCAAATATATCTATATCTAGGAAATGTTAGTAGGCGTGAATATTTGAGTTATTATCCTTATGAAATTAGACTAAATTGTTCTATACAGTTTTTTATAACTGCATCTCCAACTATAGCTGATTTGAGTCATCAAGAAAATAAGAAAATATATCATTTTCTTTTTTAAAAGGGTTTAAAATCGTAATAGAATTTACAAGTTTATTAAGCTAATCTTATTATTTTTCATTAGTATTGATAGTTTAGAGAATAAATCCTAATATTCAAAAGAGCGGTTTAATTTTGGTATAATGGATTTTTTGACCTTCAAAATAACTTTTGATTTTCTAAGGTTCAACTTGATTTTTATTGAAGTAAAAATTGAATATGAACATGTCAAAATATTCATTTCTTGCATTTATAATTATAGAATCTAATTTTACTCCACTTTCTAAGTTAAGAATTTATATTTTTGGAGGTGAAACTTTTATGTTTGCAAGTAATAATGTCCCCTGATTTTATGAAGAAGAAATATGTTAAATATATATTGTATAGGTTGGGGATGAAGTGATTTATGCATTTCTGCTCTCTTAAAGACAAAAAAATATGTGTACCGTTTTGTTTGACTAAATTTGAATTTTTTTTATTTAGGATACATTCCAAGAAACAACTTTAAGTGAGAATTCAGTGTTAGTATCAAAACACTTATTGTTAATATTGCTATGTCTAACTCTAAAACCTAGTGGAGTCTATTTAAGACTTCACTCATTCAATAAGAGCACCATTAATTGTATGGGAGCTTCCATTACGTTTGTGTTATTTCTTTAAATGTTTTTAATAATCTTGGAGGTAAAAAATGCATTTTTGCATGTTTCAAATTTTCCTTCAAAAACAAATAGTCATTCATCGTCACTATTTAATTTAATCATTTTATAAATGTAATTAATTCATTTATAATTTGATTCATAATGAGATATTTGTCATTATTACATTATTATTTTTTATCTTATAAAACTTTTATATATATTATAATATATAACTAAATAATTTGATAAATTAGTATGCGTTAACCCAACCAGCAATAGGCATTTTAGATTTATATAAAAAATAAATCCTATTAAAGGGCTTTTAAATGAAATCAGACGAAATTCAGCTTTCACAACGCTCAAAAGATAAAAAGTGATGACTTATAAGTATTACGAATTTAAAATCAAATGTCGAGATTAGGCAAGTTTATAAATAACCAAAACTTCATTACAATTTTGGGACATATTTAAACTTATGAATATTGCCAACTTTTTGGATATTTGATTCTCAGTATCATCAGAATAAAATTTGAATGATTTATGATTTAAAAGACCATAATTATGTTCATGTGCTCTTGGCAAATTTACTCCTATACTTACAAAATCAGAAGACTTTAGTCTATAAAATTGATTCTAGAAAGTTCAAATTATTATTAAATTGCGAAGAATGAATTATATATTTTTCTCTTAATAAATTATAATATTTTAAGTACAAGAAATTCAAATCTCAAATTAATTTGCACATATTTGACAAAAATACATTTTTTCACAAGGTCTGCTTCGAATAATTATGATACTTTAATGTGATAAATTGATAAAGGATCATACTTCACTATTTTATTTTATCTTACAAGTATGAATATCAAATTAAACATATTTTATTCCTTATTTGTGCATATATTTAAAAAAATGGAGGAAATATTGAATTAGAAAAAATATGTAATCCCAACAATCACAAATAAACATAATTTTTAGAAAATCAGAGATTTAAAAAACTTTTATCTGTAGACAGGTTTTTTCTATTCAAAACTCGAAATTTCCCTTAAGAGGAGAAATATTTTGATACGAACGTGGGAGATTTTATTTTCTTAAATATTGTATTTTTTCATATAATGTTTATTATTAAAATGCTTTGAATTCCCAATTTAAAGATGATATTCTACAATAGAAATTCATGAGTTCTCATAAGAGTGTATGTTTTAATCTAAAGAAACCTATTGTAAAATAAAGAAATACTTCTAAAATCGTAAAAAAATAAATGCTCATTTTTTCATATCATAATATTTATCAATAAAATGCAATAAACAGGATATTAATTTTTCAACATACTTAAAACATTTTTTCATATGTAATTTTATATATCACTAAACTTCAAACAATTTAAAAAACTATGGGTTAATAATTTTTAATTACAGCTGTTTTTAAGTGATTATTTGGGCAAATTAATTTAATTTGATGAATTAATTTATATTTTTATAAAAATGCTAAATTATGATAAAAATGATGAAGAACATTAGCAGGGTACTGTTAAGGAAAAACTTGATAAATTACATATTCAATCAGTAAAGCCAAAAGCCTCAACAATTTCTCTAAAAGTTAATGTTAGGGAAAATAGAAAATTGTCATTAGCAAATAAATAGGCTAAAAAAGATGCATCAGAATCAGTATCTGAGTCTTCTTACGATGATTTCTCAGAAATATATTTTTCAGAATTCGATATTATAAATGATAATAAGAAGGCAAAGATTTTATGTGAATATAAGAATAGTTTTTTTAATGAGAAAATAAAAGTGTTTAATGAAATAAAATCAAAGTAGATTTGGCCAAAACAATAAGCATAGGTTAATTAAGATGATGCATCAGTTCAACTTATAAAATCATCATCAATTATGAGATAATAATCATCAGTTTCTGATAGTAATCACAATACAATTAGTTTAATGAGAAGAATAAAAGAATTTAATGATTACTCTATTGAGTAATCCCTAAAACAAATTAACTCTCCGCTTATATTTTACATACCTAACAATCATTAATTTAATTTTAACAATACTTAAATCAATAATAATTTTACTAGTTCTCATGCTATAAACAATCGATCTTTATAATAAATAAAAGAAAACAGCTAGTACACTATAGATATTCCTTGTGATTCCTTAGGACAATAATCAGCTAAACATACAGATAAAGATTTATAACAATAAATAATAGAAGCGATTTTTGCTAAAAATATTTTTTTTTTAATTCAAATGATAAAATTTTTACAGAAGGAATACAGAACAGAGATTCTTAATTAAAAAGATTTAAATGGAAATACACCACTTTTATTAGCAATAAAATTATCTCATTAATAAAATTAGTATGAAATTATTAGACTATTGTTATAAAGTGGTTGTGATCCTTCAATAAAAGATTTAAATGGTTGGAGTCCAATTGAAGAAACAGTAGCTTAAATGGATGTATTGACAACATCATTGTTATTTGATCATTTAGTTTAAAAAAGAATGTTTGATATTTAATAAGAAAGAAATCATATAGATTAGGAGTTGTTAAGAATTAATGATTTTTATCTTGAAATGAAATGGGAATTTAAGTCTAATTTGATACCATTTATCTCGAAAATAACACCAAATGATACCTTCAAAATATATAAAAGAGGTATGATCAGAATTTGATTTAAGGTTCATCTTTAAGACTAGATTCAACTTTCGCAGGAACTAAAAATTATAAGACAAAAAGGAGAGAAATCAGTGTATTGTATAATCCAATGATTGGTTCTTCTTAAAGGAAGGAAAATTGTTCAAATTGTAGATTTGTAACCATATTAAATAGAACAAAAAAAATCTACTATTATCCAATTGTAAATAATCAAATTATATTAGTAAGAGATAGATATTGAGGAAAAAGAATAAATTATTATAGATCTATTAAACTGTGATAGTGTAAGTGGTGAAATGAAAGTAACTTAATGTGAATTGATAAAAAGGAAAAATATTTTCGGGAATTATGTGAGTTAAAAAATAAATAATCAAGTTTGTTAAAAATATGAATTTCGAATTCAAGCAAATAAATAATTTCGTAAAAAATAGAGATCTCATTATACTATGAATTTTGAATAATATATAAAATAAAATTTTGATTCAGATTCCAAATAAGATAAGATAAATTTTGAACCTTGGGCATAAGAAATCATTTAGAATGATGGAACTTGTAAAAGTAAAGTATTTACAATATAAAATAGAATAATCAAAGTTGTGCTAATTATATATAAGTTAAGAATTTCCTTTAAATTTTAGATAATTTTTACCAATAATAAAAATGTTAGCAAGAGGAAATGAAATGTTATAATCTCTAGAAGAAATATTATTAAGTGAAACAGTAAAATAAGTTTTGAATGATAATGGATTTCCTGTGAGAGTCGAAATCCCTATTAATTTTACAATTGATGCCGTTGTTACTTTCCAGAATTATAAATAAATCGATTTTGAAAACTAAGAAATACGCGAATTATTCTAAATACCTAGTACTTTTCATTTAATGTAAAGAAGAGATGCTACAAAAGTAATGAAAAGATAGAAAAAAAGATTGGTTTTAGCAAATTTATTTTTATGATTACATATGAGATTCTCATTTAAATTATAATATTAAATAACAACATTTTCCATATGTAATATAAAATTAAAATTAACTCATGAAAATATTCTTAGTTTTCATAATTTCATCATTGATGTTTGTCAGAGGCACAGATCAAACTAGTAACATTTAATTAATTTAGGTTTTTTCGCAAATTTGTTGGGAGAAGAGCTTCCATATTACACAGAAACTGATTACGTTAAATTTAAAGACATAGGATCTATATATTATCATTTGATATTGAAAGAAGGAACGCCAAATCTTGAAGCAATATAGAAAGGTGATGTATTAGCTATATGGTTGAATGGAGGTCCAGGAGCATCTAGTTAACTTGGTAACTATATGGAAATTGGCCCATGGGTCATAACAAAAAATCCTGATAAAGAAGCTAAGGACAAACCTTTTTTAGTTACTAAAAGAGTAAATCAAATTGATATTTCGTATAGGAATATTCATGGAATAAGGTCATGCACTTACTTTTTATTGATTAGCCATTTGGAACGGGAATGAGTAAGGCTGAGAAAGAAAACACAGTAACAAATACTGATCAAGCAGCGAGCTACTTTATAGAAACCATAAATTAAATTTATACAAGATTGAATGGTTTAGATTAAGTCAATACTTATATATTTGGAGAGAGTTATGCTGGTCATTACATACCTGCATTTGCTATAAGACTTTTGAAAGATAAAGATATTTTAAAAAAAATTAACTTAAAAGGGATTGCAATAATTGATGGACTTACTGATACTCAAAATTAATTGAATCATTACCACAGTTACTTATATAGTTTAGGAGCTATTAATTAATAAGATTTGGAGAGATTATAGAAGATTGGAGCATAAGGATAATAATACATTATAGATGAAGATTATGCAAAAGGAGCAGAATAATTAGGCTTAATGACAGAGGATAAATTAATTGAATAGATTGGAGGTCTTAATGCATACAATATTAGAAAATATAAAGGATTAGATGATTATGATTATTCTTGGGTTGATTTTTTAAAAACTTATATCAATCAATTTTCATCAGAAATAAATAATTTTGAGAGGTTAAATCCTGAAATATTTAAAACATTCATAGAAGATATAGGTAAAAGTAGACTCAAGGATATTCAATTATTATTAAATAGGTAATATAAAGTCTTGTTAATTAATGGATAACTAGATTATATAATTAATACACCAGGAGCATGGAATTGGATTTATCAAATAGATTGGAAATACAAATTTTAATGGAAAAATGCATAAAAAAAATTTATCACATTTCCAAAATATGGATAGGAAAACAAGGTTGAAACTCATGGTTACATCAAGACATATGAAAACTTATCATATGCCACTATCTATAAGGCAGGGCATATGATACCAGCTGATAACCCAAAAGCAATATATTCTGTCATTGAGAATTTTATAAAGTGATCATTTTATTCATAGATATCAACATTATTGTTAAAATTATTTTAGTATTATTTTAAAAAAATGTAATAAAATGTAATTTATTCATGTTTCTATTTTTAATTAAATTTTTATTTTTAATGATTAAGTGAAAGTTTTCAATTTAGATTACTAACCTTTCTTTAAACAAAATAATTAAAACCTGGTTAAGAATGTAAATGAAGTTGAATTCATATTATAAAATAATTTTCCTCTAAATTATTTAATAAATGATTAATATTATTCTCAAATAACAATCATATGTAAAAATCTGAAATTTTTAAAGTTTTAGAAACCTCTTTTTTTAAAAACTAATATATTATTTCAAAATATTGCCTTAGATTATGAAAAATGTACTATTAAAATAGGGTTTTTTGATATAGATATAATAAAATATTATTTTCAAATTTCATATATCCCTTTTGTCAATATATCAAAATTGCTCTATTTTTAAAAGTTATTATTAGACTCCTGTCATATTAAACAAATCTTCATAGAATAGGAATGAGAAATATTTAAAACATGATTAGGAAGTTTAAATTTTAATAAAAATCGACACCAAATCCTTCTAATATCCTTGAATCGTCAATTCTAAGTCAATATCAACATCTATAGCCAAATGTCTTATGATAATTTATTAATTATTTCTCCTTCATCTCAGATTTTAATAAATTATTTTTTCAATTCTTATAGGGATTATTAATATCCCCACACTCTCCTACTAATAATATCATCATATTCTTAATAACACTAATAATATAAATTGAAAGTTGATTGAGCAAACTTTTAATTATTTCTTATCTAGCCATTTAATTAACGTCAGCTATTTCTTATGCATACTATATTATAAAATTATTTAGATTTAATCATGAACGAAATAAGTAAAATATAAATGAGAATTCAATTTTAAGTCTTTCGAATCTTTTTTTTCTAAATTTCTTATATATCAAGAGTCTTAGATTCATTTTGGTTGGATTCAAAATCTTTTTAATGAATTAGAGGTATTTTGTCATTTGCATTGATAAAATTTCTTATCAAATTGAATATTTAGATTTATTTTTCATATTGTCTCTAAGCCTGATCATATCGTATTCTTAATTGAGGATTTGAGAGGATTCGGTATGCCTGAGAGATTATTCTAAATTATACTGATTATGGATTCTTGTCCTTGAATAATAACATATAAGTTACTGGATGGTGTATTTTTGCAAGATTTCTGAATGCAATTTTGATTTGTTTTTCAGATGAGTTATTTTAGATGCCTAGTATATTGTAATAATTCATATATTAAATGTCATAGATCAATTTTATGGCAATTAAAATCCGGATTAGAATTAACTAGAATTAGTTAGAATTTTCTATTTGATTTTAAAGCCATCAAATTAATGTATTAATTATGCTGTATTTGATTGATTATATATTACTATATAGAAACAATTTAAGAATTAGATAAAGGAATAATAAAGATTTGAAAAAGGATTATGATTATGATTATGGATGTATTTCATATTTAAATTAATTAATATATTTTATGACTTTGATATAAAATTTAAAATTATATAAAAAATGGTTAACATTTGTCTGATTTGTGATTTCTTTTATCCAAGATTAGGAGGAGTTGAAATGCATATATTTTAATTGGGATTGTGTTTGATGGAGAGAGGTCACAAAGTCATTATTATTACTCATAAATATGACAATAGGGCTGGTGTTAGATATATGACTAATGGATTAAAAGTATATTACTGTCCTTTCGTTCCAGCACATGAATAAGTTGTGCTATTTACATATATGGGGAGTTTGGCATTATTAAGACAAATATTATTAAGAGAAGAAATCCATGTTGTACATTCACATGCAGCCACTTCATTTTTTGGAGGTGAATTATTATTACATGCAAAATCATTGGGATACAAAACAGTATTTACAGATCACTCATTATTTGCATTTAATGATGCTGCTTCATTTCATGTTAACAAAATATTGAAATTCATTTTGAGTGAAGTAGATCATGCAGTATCTGTGTCTCATATAAGCAAGGAGAATCTAAGTATGAGAGCATCATTAGATCCTAGAAACATAAGTGTTATCCCTAATGCAGTTGATTGTAGTAGATTCAAACCAGATCCATCAAAAAGGTATCCGCTCAATACTGTCAATATTGTTGTTATTAGCAGATTAACCTTTCGAAAAGGAGTAGATCTATTGGTAGATGTTGTACCAACGATTTGCAAGAAGTTTCCTTAAGTCTATTTCATTATTGGAGGAGATGGACCAAAGAAAAAGATTATTGAAGAAAGTATAAAAAAACATGGATTAACAGATAGAGTTGAGATGGTATAAATGAAAATATCCATATAGTTAGGATCAGTACCTGGACATAAAGTTAGAGAAGTACTTGTAAGAGGTCATATCTTTTTGAATACTTCATTAACTGAAGCATTTTGTATTGCTATTGTTGAAGCTGCATCTTGTGGTTTGTTTGTTGTTTCAACTAATGTTGGAGGAGTGGTTGAGGTTTTACCTAAAAATATGGTTAATTTTGCAAAGCCTGATCCAGATGACATTTGTGAGAAATTAGCAGTAGCTATTCCAATTGCTAAGAATGTACCATCTCATTAATACCATGAACAAGTGGCTAAGATGTACAGTTGGCATATGGTGGCAGAAAGGACTGAAACTGTTTACAATAAAATTTTATCATCACCTTATCCATCTATATTGGGTAGAATCAAGGCTTGTTAAAGTAATGGTCCCATTTTTGGATTGTATTTGTTGATATTACTCATTATTGACTACATTGCAATTTTCATTTTGGATTTGATATTCCCATATAAGAACCTTTCTAAGCCTTTGAAATTCAATACAGAATATAGAGCGAATAAAGAAAAATATGGTGATCATTAATTTAAAATAAATTGATTATTTATATTATGTTTTATATATTTACATTAATTGCCTACTCTTATTCATACATTATCTATGTGAATGAGACTTATTAATTACCATTAACACAATTGTTTGGATATCTAGAAAATCCTACATATACAATTGTAGATACTAATCCATATGCTACAATTATACCTTAATATCATCTATATACAGATACACAGAAACATAACTAAAGTAATATAAACTGATTATCATTATTAGATGCAGATGTCATCATTAGTGTTAAAGCATAACATTAATTTGGACATTGGACTAATCACTTCCTTTTCTTAGAAAACAATAAAGGAACATTTAATGTACATTACTCAGAAAAGTATTTATATCTCTAATTATCTTTAGTCCTCAAGAAGAAAATGTTGCTACACCTAAATTTAATGAACATTTATAAGTTACCAATAAAAATAATATGATTTGTTTCGATGCAGAATAATTTGATTCTACTCATTATATTGTGGATTGTGCTCTTTAAATTACAGATTAACCATTATAAAATGAACTCTATGTAGTAGCCAAAGATTAAAGTTTTCAATAATATTAAGTAACCAATCCCCTTGGATATAAAACAATGAGGAAAAGAAAAATTACTTTATTATTTCAAGATGAATAATATTACTTATTTTAAGGATCTTTGTTATAATCTGATTCTATCATTTAAATATATAAAATTATAACTCCAGCCATTACTTTTGAAGAATAATCAGTTGAAATAAGTACTAACAGTTTAAAGACTCTTTACAAAGATTAATTAGAAGATAATTATAAATTTTACTTAATTGATTATAAATTGGTTTATAATCAAATTTTCATTTTAGATAATCTATTTGTGGCAGCTATGAGTTTTGATAAATATGGAGATTGGTCTTCTACCTTTTTTATTAAATTGTATGGTAATATCATAGCCTTTGATTATATTTATTTTGTAGATGACAATGGAAATAAACTTAGTATACTTGTAATCCTTAAAGATACCACATTTGATTTATATTTAAATTCTTAAGGTTTAACTACATATTAATTGCCTTAAAAAATATCATAAAACTCTTAAGTAAAAATATCTGATCATTATATAATAATTGAAGATGAAAATACTGTTTATTAGTATTCAATTTATAATAAGATATTAATTAATTAAAAAACTTTGTAATAAGTTAATTTTTATTTGATTAATCCAATCTATCCAGATTTGATATCTATTAGTTATAATGTAACAAGAAGATATTATATAAATGATGGATATCTATAAATTAAATCAGGTAATACAGCTGTTGATAAAACATCTTTTAATATTTAAGCTGTCTCAAAAGGTGAAACTAATACTAAAGAGATTTCTCTTTAAATTTTGAATTAAAATGATTTTAATTTGTATTTTAATGATAAACCTCAATAAGTTATCACAGATGTATTGGCATCAGTAAATTATACTTAAGATGTTATATAATTTATGAGTGGACCAAATGTTTAATTTTAATTTGAAAATTAAGGTGATGATTTAGATATGGAATTTGAAACTTTAGAAGAGATGATTATTACAAATTGGCCTAAAGCATCAGATATTCATTTTTAAGATATGTTATAATTTAATGATACTCAAGTTTATGTTCTATTTTAATTAAAGAATAAGGAAGTTTAAATTTATAATTGTAAATAAAATTCTTTCTCTTTAATTGAATAATGTACTTAATTTGTAAATACAAGTAATTTTAGTAGCAGTTTCAATATTCTAGTTGATTAATTACATTTTTAATGGTGGATTGAAAATGAATAAGCCTATGTTATATTTTGTGATTAAGAATCAACTGCAGAATTATGGAAAATAAATGAATAAGAATTAATTAAGATAAAAAAGATTAGTTATATAGGTTAAACAATAACACAACTTTTAGAATTGGATAGAATAATATACATATTAATAGAAAAGAGTAAAAAGATAGGAATATATAAATCAATTGATGGTACTCATTTAGATTAAATTGATGAACCAACAGTAAAGTCTCTTGGAATGATAAAGAGTTGGAGTCCTAAAAGAATATTTGGAAATTAAAAATATAATGGTCATTTATTATTTATAAGTAATTCAGATAATATATTAATTACTATTTATAATAATCAACTTAATATGGTAGAATGTATATTAAATACAGATGATGTATAATTAACAATGTATAAATAATCCTTTTTTATGATAAAGTAAAATTCAATTTTAGAATATTCATTAGAAGATTTAAATAATGTTTATTTAATTCGATAATTATAAGTTTATAATCATGAATTTAAGACTCCATTAATAATTACACAATCAGAAGATAATGGATTCTTATTTATTTTAACTAAATAATAATAAATATTAGTATATCAACCATTTACATAAAATAGCAATGATCAGTTATTTAGAATAATTGATGTACATTTGGATGACAAATTTATGATGTCTGCTTCTGGATATCAAAAAACTCATTTGTATTTCAATAATGGAACTCATCATTCTTATTTTGCTATTCTCAAATAATCTAAGTTATACATAAAATCAATTAATTTAAATACCTTAGATTATTATGTAAATGTAACGAAGACATTAACCATTTTAAATTCTCAACATTCATAAAAGATTTTAGAAACAATCTTTATATTAAATACAAAATATCCTATAGCATTAAATTAATAAAAAGATATTTCAATTAATTCATCATTATAAAATACAACCGTTAAGTTTGATTAATTATATAAAGGATAAGTACAGAATATCAGTATTGATTGTGAATAATGCAAAGATCTCATTTAATTAAACTTACCTATTTAGAAAATAAATGAAAATATGGCTACAAATATTTTAGATATTGAATCTTTTAATTCCTTTTACAATATTGCTCTTACAAAAGATAAATTATTATCTATAAGTTATAAAGATAATTTAAGCAATTTAATAGAATTTTAATCACCAAATAACTGTGAATTAATTGCCATATAAGAAGATGCTAAATATATTGTAACACTTTGTAAATATAATAATGTTTATCATGCTTATTTAACTGTATGCGATAAGGAATAGAAATGTACTAATATTGATACTCCATAAGACATATTAGATTTAAATGGAGTTTAAAAAATGGTAGTAATACCCAATAATTTATTATTAATGTAAGATTTTGGCAAAATTTATGTTTATTATCTCAATATAAATCCTGAATTAACAAAATGGAGTATTTCATTAACCTAAATTATATACAATGATAAGGGACTTACAGATTTTGTGATTCAAAAATATGGTATACCAAAAGAAGGAGAAAATTAAAATTATATTTTAAGCTTTATCGATTAAGCTGATCATTTAAATGTTTATTATACAGAATTTAAATAGAATAAGCTTAATATCATATAATAGAACAATATTTATTTGTATGATTTAATTAAGAAGAACAATTAATATGCATTTAAGACAACTGATTATATATAACTTTTTGCAACTTAAGAAATACAAAATAATTAATTACATTATATAATCATTTCTAATGATGTTGCATCTTTTAAATTGTAATTAGATTTGGATAATAATAAGTTAGTAGTAAATAGTAAATTGATTAATATATTCAATCCCTATTAAAATTGGATTGCCATGAATAAAGGTTATTTTAATTATGATAACTTATTAATTATTCCTTATACTAATAAATAAGATATAGTTTTAGCCATTTATGAATTAAATGATAAAGATTTCTCTAGTAATATGGTTTATGGATTATAAGATAGTGCATTTTAAGTAAAGGATGGACTATTTATAGTTTATGCCTTTAATGAAGGTCAAAATAAAAGATTATATACCAATTTGATAGGAAAAGTGTTGAATAGTTATTAAATAAGTTTAGAAACAAGTCTTACTATTTTGAATCCTTCTAAATTAAAAGATAAATAATAAGCTAGAATAATGGCAAGTAATGCTTACAACAAAGAAGAAGTGAAATTTAATATCATTAGAGTTGATGATCCTATTCCTCCTCCTAAGCCTCCTAATGATGATGAGAGTAGTAGTTCCAAGTATTTAATTTATTTTTTAATTATAGTTGGTGGTGGATATTACTGATTGTGATTTTTGGAGGAGGATTGATTGTAGGTGGAGTTATATTTTACATGAAGAGAAAATAAGTTGGCCTATTTAGAGTCTAAGAGAATCAATATAGTTTGCATAATTATTGATAATTTTTATTATTGTTATAATGAATCAATCAATGAAAAACATGAAGAAGTCTGTAATTTAAGATCAAAAAGTGGATGACAATCAATAAAGAAAGAAAAATGAAGAGAACTTGAAGATTCCTCTTAATTTATACCGTTCTTATACAAGAATTACATAATAATCTCTTTTAGAGGAGATTGCTCCTATGATGTCATAAATTGAATTTCTAAAAAAAAATTGCCCTGAGGGAACTAAAATAGAAGAATTTACAGCTTAAGCTTGTTCATATTTTAAATATGAATAGTTTAGTAAAGGATAAATAGTTTTTAATTATGGGGAATATGGAGACAAAGTTTATTTGATATTATTAGGAGAGGTTGGAGTATTTGTTTCTAGATCTTAAGAAGAAATTTCAAATGATAGAGAAGTTATTGAAACATATAAAAGTAACTTGAACCCATTTGAAGAAGAAGTGTTAGATTATGAAACTGTATTTAAAAAGAAAAAAAGAGCTTAAGATCTTTAAATGGAATTACTTTTAGCTTCATAAAAGAATCCATTTGAAATCAATAATATGTATTTCAAAGATGGAATATGTCTTTATAAAAAAGTCTTTTAATTTTACTCAGGTTAAGCCTTTGGTGATATGGCATTATCTTCTGATAAACCACGAACTGCAAGCATTTTAGTTTTATCTGATGAACTTCATGTTTTAACTATGAATAGATAAGATTTTAAAAGCGTTGGAGAAAGATCTATTAAAGAAAAGAATCAAACTTTTGAGTACTTTTTAAGTATTTTTGTGGGTGTCAGTAAATTTATTGTTACCAAGTTTATTTAATATTTTTAAAAAATTGAATTTGCACCATAAACTATTTTATGGAAAGAAGGAGATGAACCTAGATTCTTTTTATTAATTGTTAGAGGAAGAGTTGAAATTTATAGATCCTATGATGAAGATGCTTTGCATGGTAAACTTAAGGAACCCTCTATTTTCTAATAAAAGATAAAACCTAAAAAGAAAGTTACTCTATCATAACTTTCAGATAATTCTTTTGTTGGAGAAGCAGAACTTATAGACAATAATCCTGTTAGACTTTATTCTTGCATGACTTCTGATAATACTCTCGCTTATTATATGGAGAGTGATGCTTTTAATATTGTCAGGAAAAACCATCCTGATTTTCTTAAAATTTTGAAAGAGAAATCTTTTGTGATCAGGTCTTACTTATTAAGAAGAGAGAAGTATTTATTCGAAAATATTCAAAAATAAGACAAAGCAATGGAAAAATTATAGTATCCTGATTCTACCAACACTGAGAGAGTTACTGTAGATGAATTATATAGAGACATTAGCAAATTAAATTAAAAGATTTTGAGATCTCAATAAAAAAATATGTTTACTACTACTGATATTGTTAATTCAAATAATTTAATTAGCAAGAAAATTACACCATAATCTGAAAATATGTTTATCTTTCATAAAAAATAAATTGAATTATTGAAATAAAAGAAATAGTCCTAAATTAAAAGTAATAGTGTTATTCCGCCAATTAATTTGTAGAAATCTATCTCCTAAAATAATTTTGCACTTGAATGTTAAGTGTTAAAATCTTATAGAAGAATGAGATTTTAATAGTTTTAAGCCAATAGAGAAGTCTGTCTAAAGATTAAATCTTAAATCGGATCATTAATCAGTACTCAATTAAGATCTTCTTCACATGACTCTTCTTATCCTTTAGCATCAAATGAATTTGGAAAACGAATTAAAACTCTTCAAGATTTTTATTTTGCCAAAACCTTTATTACAACCAATAGATGAATATACAAGTTTATAATTATCCATTATTTTTGTATTCAATTAGTTTATTAAATATAATTATTTATAATAATGAGTTTTTTATTTATATATGATATATGCTCTATCATTATTAATTAATTATAAATACTTATATGTACAAAGTTGCTTTTATAATATTATGTTAATGAATACATATTTGTTTTATAAATCATAGTTAAATTTAATCAATAAACAAATCAATACTATTTCAATCTAAAATTTAAATTGCTTTTTCTTTGTTTTTTTAAAACAGGAGAATTGGATAATGGACTATATTATAATATAAAATATAAATTACGGTAATTTTATGACTTATGTATTTCTTTTGGCAATTTAGCTAAATTAAATTGATTCAGAATGTAACATTGTTTTATTTGGAGAGATTGAAACTCTTTTATTATTATGTGTAAATCTAATAGGGGATGGTAAATTATTGCTTTCAAAGAATATAGTACTTGTGCTACGAACCTATTTAATGAATGAAGGATTTCGAGAACTACTTCTAACAAGTTTTAATTTAAAATTAGTATTTGTATCAGCTGTGGAATCATTGAATTCATAATTACTAAATTCACTAGGTATGATAGTTCCAAATTTTTGGCATAAAAATTTTATCATCATTAAAGCCTTAATTGTTTAAATTGCTTTCATCTTATTATCAAAAAGTGTTTTCATATCTGCCATTGTGATAGGTTGCCATAATTCTCCTTTGCCTGAAATCCAAGGATGTTATAAAGCTTGATTTGCATTCATTCTTGCTTCAGGCGAATAAGCAGCACATTTTAAAAAGAAAGATTTTTGATAATCATTCATTTCATAGAAATTAGGGTTGAATTATTAAACTCTCTGAACAAAAGTTGAAGTGGATTCTGATGGGTCCCAAAAGGGATGTTTCTTATTGATTAATTGATATGCTATAATGCCACAGCTCCAGATATCTACAGATTTAAGATATGGTTGTTTAAAAATCATTTCAGGAGCCATAAACAAAAGGGTTCCACATTTATCATAAGATAGTTTTGATTCTGAATGGGAACTAAGTCCAAAATCTATAAGTTTAAGTTATCCTTCAGTTGTAATAATTATATTATCTATTAGAATAGATACAATACCTGGTTTGATGTCTCGATGGATAATATCTTAAGAATGTAAATAGGATACAGCATTAAGTAATTCTATGATGATTTATTTGATATGATTTTCTTCCATTTCAACAGTTTTGATGAATTAAGTCAGTGTTTTGCCCTCCAAATATTCTTAGACGATGTACAAAGAATTTTCAGTCTCTTTGCTCTTTGAATAGAATATTTTAATACATAATAGTATTAAGCAAAACTTTGATAATGAATAGACTCCAAAATTTCAACTTCCTTTTTAAATTATTCAATGTATATAGGATCCATTACCTATTTAAATTCATAAATTTATTACTTTGATTGCTACCTTTTTAGAATCGTATTCTCCAAGAAATACTTAACTAAAAGCACCATGACCTATTTATTGAAATAGTTTAAGATCAAAATCAAAGGAGATTTCCATTATATTTAGTTATAAATAAATATATCAATAATTTTATTAGAATTGCTTCTTCATCTTGCTCACATTTCCTTAAAATATTTCAGTAGGAAATCTCTTGGGTTTGTAGATAAAAACTTCTTTTCCAAAGGTTTATAACATTGGATCCTATTGATTCATATTTGGTAAAAAGCTCTGTTTTTTGTTAGAAGTGTCATATGAAATAGATATACTATTTTATGAAATGTTTCTTTGTCGATATGGTACGAAAATGGTTTCATTATCATCAGTCAAATCAGGTTGACTTTTAGAATTAGAAGGTGCTTTTTAATTGATACTGAAAGGTCTATAATTTGACTGGGTTTTGGTTCTTTCACGTTATTTACTTGATTGTCTCAAATCGTTTTGTTCTTATTATAATTTTGAAAGATTTTGATGTCTGTTGATAAATGAGAGGATCTACATTCAATAATTAAATAAATCAAATACCTAACATTAGGTCTAGCTATCATTTTTGCTTATTTTGAATCTTGTTGTTAATTATTATCAACATATTTGTATTATTTGTAATATATGTAAGGAGTATTTCTGAGTTTTTTAATATCACTTAATGTTTGACGCTAATCCAACATTTATATATATTATTTAATTTATGAATGATCTATACTATTAGTTAAAAGAAGTAATAACTATTATTAATTACTTTAGACAGCTTAATAGAATTGTATAACTATAGAATTGATACCTTCAAATAGATAATCAATAGCTGAAATGATGCCTGATTTTTAAAAGAAAAGTTCAATGATTAGAATGAAATTACAATTAATAAGAAATAACAATGAAGAAATTAGTAGATTAACTGAAGTTATTTAAACAGCAGCATCTACTTAAAAAGAGAAAGGTTATATTTTATTAACATCTCTTTATAGAATCAATGAAGAAAGTTGAATAATTACAAGTATAAATAAATAAGAATACAACAGAAATAAAAAAGTTATTTGAAGAAATAGATAAATTAGTTAAAGAAGGTGATCCTGATGAACCAGAAACCAGAGCTATGATTTATAATTAAAAGGCAATATAATAGGAAGTGGCATCTATATTATAATCTGGTTAGAATACAATCTTTAATTATAACAAAACTATTTAAAAGAAGATGAAAAGATAAGTATTTTAATTCACATTAAATAGTTAGAAATACTAGAACCTAATTTGACAGAAAAATAGAAAACAGATATCATTTCAGATCCTTAAGGATTAGAAAAGATGGTGTTAAAGGAAACTTTAGGTTAACCATCTTTGTAATTAGTTTATAGAGTTTAAGATATTTAAGATAAATTTTAAGATATTTAAAAGTTAGAAAAGGTATTATTATACATTTAATAAATATTAAGAGTACTTAGTATTGTTTTCAAATGTTATCAGAGATAGCATTTTTGGTAAATTAATAAGGAGAATAAATAGAGAGCATAGGTATTAAAATATGATAGAGAATAGAATAAAATTTGAATAAGGCCAAGAATTATATTGAAAAAGGTGAGAAAAAATTAGCTAAAGAATAAGAAATTCATAAGAAGAGTCGTAAAGTAAAAGATGGTTTTTATATATTTAGAAAATGTGTTGTATTATTTTAATTGGATTAATTGCTATAGGAGTGATAACTACTCCAATAGTTTTGAAATTTGTGAAAAGTAGCGGTTGATTTAGATTGAATTATTTTAGAAATGAATATAAAATCTAAGTTAGATTAATAATATATTAAAAAATGCAAAATAATAATGGGACTTTATTAGCTATCATGGTAATATTTACAATGATTGATTATAGACAGTAGAGATAACACAAGATGAAAGAGATTAGATTTATATTTATGAAAAAGATGATCCAAGAGATTTAGGAATAGCATTTGCATCAAAACATGACCTTCCTGGACGTTATCTATTGAAATTGATTGATAGCATATCGTAACATAAATAATAAGCACAACACACTATAAATAATGAATAAAAAGTGATCCATGATCAGAAATCAAATTATTTCAGAAATTCTACAAATTCAACTCCTTATAAATAGAATAGTTAGATTTCAACTCAAAGTTGTTAAAAGAAGAGTCCTTTAATAAGTAGTAGATCACATTGTAGAGATTTCTCATAAGATGGTATAATATTATGAATCTATATCATAGTTAGTAAGATGATGAGAGACAATAGTGCAAGAGAAATCAAATAGTTGAAGCCTAGAGATGAGAACGAATTGACATTCACTCCATAAATCAATAAAAATTCTGAATAGATTATCGTAAGAGCCATGATACAATATTTATAGAAATAAAAAAATTTAGATAATAGTGTAGAACAAAGATTACTCGATTATGGTAAAAGAAAAGAAATCAAGTTACAAGTATTGAGAATGTAGAAATAACACTCTTAAGACCAGTAAAATAAGTCATTCACTTATCATCCAAAGACTACATAGAGATCTCATGAGATTTTAAATGAGAAGAGTGTGAGCAAAACTTACAAAGACATTTATAATAAGACACCAGAGTATTATAATTAGGATAACAAATTTAGTAATAATAATTCTTATGTATTGAATTTGCCATGTGCTGATTAAGGTGTTGTTTAATAGGTTTGGAGAGCCTCATTGAAAAAATTATTTAATATGCTTGATAAGGAATAAAAGGGTGAATTAAATACTGAATAAGTTGACTTGTCATAAATGAGTTATGAAATGTTATAAATTGTTGCACCTGTATTATTAATTATGGAAGAAAGAGGAGGTACTTTTAAATTTGAAATGTTTGCTAAAGAAGTCACTAATTATTGTGTTAATCATAACTTTGTTGAAAATTTATTTTCATTACTATTATAATGATATTGACTGTTATATATGATTATATTAATAATATAATGGGAAATTGTTGTAATGGAAATTAAATGTTAGATCGACACAACCCACAAATTATTTTAGTTACAGACTAATAAAATAACTCTCTTTAAGTTGATAAAGCTGCCACCAAAATTCAATCTTATTTCAGAGGAATTAAGGTTAGAAAAGACTTAAAATCTATGAAAAATCAATATCATTGTAATAATGAACATGCACCTTTGACCATGGTGGCTAAATTATCTAGAATGCCTAATTATCTTACTGAAAAAACTAAAAAAGTACATGATGAATAAGGTCCATTTGAAGAAATCTTAGAACCAGATTTACCAAAATTAGGACCATATGAATATAATGATTAAACAGTCTATTATGGTTAATACAAAAATGGATTGAAACATGGTTATGGTACACAAATATGGATAGATGGATCAATATACGAAGGTTAATGGCAAAAGAACTCTGCTTAAGGTATAGGTAGATTAATTCATTGTGGTGGAGATGTATATATAGGAGAATGGTAGAATGATAAAGCTAATGGATATGTAATTTATTATGGATAATAGGGGAACTTATATACATGCAGATGGTGCAAAATATGTAGGTTAATGGTTAGACGATAAATAACATGGAGATGGTATAGAAACTTGGCCAGATAACTCTATTTTTAAAGGTTAATACTAAATGGGGAAGAAACATGGTCATGGAGAATTCTAATGGAAAGATGGTTCTAAATATATTGGAGATTTTGACAATAATCTGATATAAGGTTATGGAGAATATACTTGGTTTGATGGTAGAAAGTATATAGGAGCATGGAAAAATAATAAAATGGATGGTCAAGGAGTATATATACATATATATAAGTAATAGATTTTTACATGGATAGATGGCAGAAGATATAAAGGTGAATATAGAAATGATAAAAAGGATGGATATGGAGAATTCAAATGGCCTGATGGACGAGTATAATGTATATATTGATGATTAGATTTATCGTGGATAATGGTAGAATGGTAAATAACATGGGATAGGAGTTTATATAGGAGAATCGAATGTTGAGAAATAAGGGATATGGGAATAAGGCAAGAGAGTTAGATGGATTCATAAAGGGGAATCTATTATTACTGATTGAATTTATATATATAATAACAATATAATATTAATGAATAGCACTGCTTAAGTCTTATTTTTAAAGGTTGAATAAGGGAATGTTAATAAAGTGATTGAAATACTTTAACAACATCCTAATTTAATAGATCTTGAGAATACAAAGTCAGGACAAACTTGTTTGACAATAGCTTGTCGTAAGAATGATGGTCCAATGATCGAGAAATTAATTACTTAAGGTGCAGATATAAATAAGACAAATAGAGTAATTTATATAGGTTGATATAGTTAAATCAATCACCGTTGTGGATTTGTTCATTTTATAATTATCGTAGAACTGCTGATTTTCTGTTGAATCATGGTGCTGATGTAAATTAGTAGGACAAAGTATTTAATTTTGAATATACAAGAAAGGATTTTCTCCTTTGATGATTGCCGCGTAGAGAGGAAATTTAGAGACAGTTGCTTTATTATTGAATGCTAAAGCTAATATCTAACTGTTAAATAAAGTATAATTGTATTTTATCATATTATTATAGAATCAAGATACAGTATTTGATGTTTGCAAAGATTATGATACTCTATAATTTATGATATAAACATTACAAATAGAAGAAGTAAGAGTGAAATAACCAGATAAATTCAAACCAAAATAATAATAGAATGTTAATTCAATGAAATCAACTTAGACAAAGTTTTCTAATAATTCTTATAGAAGAGAGAAATCTGAATCAATTCCTAACTTAAATGAAGAAGAGGCTTACACAATTTAAACTATGATCAATTCTATTTGTGAAGAGATGCAACTTATTTTTAATGAAAGTATTTAAAAGTTTAAAGATTGTATTTTAAATAAATAGAATTTGACTGAAGCTAAGAAGTCTATTTCAATGGAATATGAAAAGATTCAATAATCATAACATATTGATGATAATATTCAATTCTAATATGATAATTTTCAATATGAGATAAGTAGATAAATAGGAAGAACACTTTATTCAATTATTCATAATTTGGATAAGACTTAGGCGAAATCTCCTTCTCCTAAGAATAAGAAATATTTATCAGCAGAACCTTTAATTGAAGCTACAGTAGAAGAAGAGTAATCTACTCCATTGAGTTAGTTTAGGAATCAATTAAAGAAGGTGGAGACTCCATCTTAAATAAAGGAACCATTAAGTAGAGGTAGTATAAAAGGTGAGAATGAGCAATTTAATCAGATGATGACTTAGAAATTGGAGATTTTAAATGAAATGATAAATTCTCGAATTGGAAATAGGAAATAGTGACTTATAATTACTAAAAATATATTTAATAATTAAATGTAATCTAAGACATTTAGGTCATTTTTTGATGAATAGACTATAGATTCTTCTTTTTGGTAAAAGTCAATATCCTAAATAAATATTGAAAAAATTGAACATCAGTTTATGCTTTTTGAGAAAAGTTAAAAAACTGGATTCTGGGTAAGTAAAAATTATATAATTTATGATTCTAAATTAATGAAGCTGAGAGTAAAACTATATTATTTTATTTATAAGCCAAATAAATAAACAATCCATTAAATCAATCTTAATATGAGTAGAATAGAAAAAATTAAATATTAGAATGATCAAGAGAAGGAGAGTTGTAATAGAGTAATAATATCTTATAAATAACATATTAGAAGAAGTATGGGATCAGAATTATTAGAAATTAGAGATGTCGAGAATTCTATTCAAGATCAAAAGAAATAAACCAAAAAATATGGGAAGAATTAAAAAAATAGTCACTATAGATAACATTCAAACATGATTATGATATTTAAAAAATGATAGGAAAAGGAAATTTTGCTAAAGTATTTGAATGTTCTTCTATTTTTTAGGTGTATCTTTGTAACAAAAAATCTGATAAACAGTAATTTGCTGTAAAAGTTTTCGAAAAAAGTAAAATGATAAACACTGAAACTGATAGATTGGCTTTATTGAAAGAAATATCCATACTGAGAAAGTTGAATTACAAGGGATTTATCAAATTACATGAAGTCTATGAGGATGAGACACATATCTATTTAGTTTAAGAGTATTTATAAGGAGGAGAATTATATCAGCATATTAAAAAAAATTAAAAACTGCCAGAAAATATTGTGGCTGGAATCATAGCCACTTTATTAAAATCTCTTGAGTATTTACATAAGAAGAATATTTTACACAGAGATCTTAAACCAGAAAATATGATATTAAGAAAAAAAGGAATTTTGGATGATTTAGTAATCGCTGATTTTGGATTGGCTGATTTTTATGATCCTTTTGGAAACTATATGTTCTAAAGGTGTGGTACTCCTGGATTTGTAGCACCTGAAATATTGTAGGACAAATTATATGATTCTAAAGTAGATATATATAGTGTTGGATGTCTAATGTATTTATTATTATTTGGTAAATCACCATTTAAGGGATCTACATATGATGAAATAGTAATGCGTAATTTCAATTGTAAAGTTGATTATCAGTCTATAGAATCAATTATATCTATTTAATGTATATTTTCTATTTTTTAATATAGGTCTTTAATTATTAAAATTATTATTAAATCGTCGACCATCATAAAGACCAAATCCTAAAGAAGCATTAAAGCATGAATGGTTTATGCTTAATTTAGATAACTAAAGATATAGAGAATTGAATAATAATGAAGAATAAGATTAATTTACTAAAGAAATAAATAAATAAATTTTAAATGATGTTAGAAATTGTGGATATATGAAATATTTTAGTGGTATATAAACTTATGAAAAACCTGAATATTCTACTCCATAAATATCTTATGTAAACAAAAAATAAGATGCATCAATATATACACCATAGTATGCTATAATGCAATCTATACATGAATAATTTAAAGATAGTGAAAAAAAGATATCAATAAGAAATTTAGAAGATGAGTTTGGAGATATAATATTAGAAAAAGAATCACCTTAATCACATAAATTACCATAATATTAATTGATAGGAAAATTGAAGAAAGTTTTAGATTAAAATCATTCATCTTAGTAACATTCTATTATTATTAAAGTATAAATCTATTAATATAATAAGAAATAATCACAGAACTAAATAAAAGATATTGAACATCATCTACTTTCTATTACTCAGATTAATTAAAATCAAACTTAATATAAAATTGTAAATAAAATAAAGAATAACTTAAAGAATCTTGAATAAGTTTGATATAAACTATAATTTTTATGACTTAAATAATAATTTAAATCAAAATTTACGTTATTTGATATAAATTAATAACTTAAAATTTAGTTAAAAAATTCATATAATATTTTTAATAATAATTAGAATACTTTTATTTAATATTTATCTCCTTTTATTATATATTAAGTCCTATTCATCAATAAAATAATTAAATTATTTGAATTAACTATTTAGTTGAATATCTCTTTATTTATAGTAAATGATATCATCTATATCAAGATAAATTATGAATAAGGATAGATTCCTATCAGGTTTTTGACTCCTGTAAAAGTAAATATATATATATAATTTAATGTAAAAATAAAAAAAATAATCATAATAATGAATTAAACATTCACCAATATAGATTATTCAATTAGTAAAAATACCATTATGTAAATTTTTTATTCATTCTGAATCCGAACTGATTTCTATGAAACCTAAGTTCATTATATTAGAGATTTAGGGCATCGCTATAAATTATTGATAAATCAAATTAAGAGAAAATAGATTACCATCATTAAAGTTCATTTCATTTGAACGATAATTGTACATTTTTTATTTTTTTGCCTTTCCTTATTTCCATACTCTTTGAATCTTATTAAATTTAACTCTGCATTGAGGACAAGTTTACTTTTCTTTAGCCCAAATTTCAATGCATTCAAAACAATATGTATGTTTACATGTTTAAATGATACCCTATTATTATATTAATCAATTTACTTTATCAATTATTTCACCATAGCAAATACTACAATTTTCAAGTGGTTATTCATTAGTTTATTTCTTCTTTGCTTAACCTTTCTTTATTCTCTTTTTTACTGTTTCACAAGCTAATTCTATCATATCACTCTTTTTTGGTTGTTCAAATTGTTCCATTATATTATGTTAAATTATATTATATTATAATTAATATTAAGTAAAAATAAATCCAAATATAAATATTATAAAGCCTATTACTAATTCTAGTAATTTAATAGAATCAAAATTATTTCCATCATCCATATCTATTTAACTATACATTTTATTTCTATTAATATTCCTTATATTTTATATTCACTATTAAATATTATTTTTAAATCAAAACCTTAATTAAAGGTTCAAATATTCTCGATTAACATAAATGAACCTCAAATTTTAATTGTTTTTGAATAGAGTACGATGAAATTATTTTCTATTTTTGTTAACCTAATAAAGTATATATATATCATTTATAATAATATATATCACGACTCATCCTTTTCCTTTTTGATAGGTCGATCAATATATAAAAAAGGATTGTAACAGTCCTTCTTTATGAAGCAAGCCTAATAGATATCGGGTTTCTTTATGACTGATTACAAAGGCTAAACCAAATGAATGGATTAAATCTTTTTTCCCAATAGATACAAATCCGCATCTTAAATAAAGGTTTTTTTAATTGTTTTTGGAGATTCATCATCAACTATCCTTAGACTTTCAAACTTCCTTTTCAAAGAACTGAATTCAGCCATTTTAATTAAAATATTTATTATATAAAAATGAAATATTTAAGACATTCAATTGAATACCTTATAATGATTCATCCTAATATAATGTATGAATTTCATTTAAATACAATAATCATTTTTATTATACTTTTATAAAATTGAAAAGTATATTTAATAGTATAATCATTTATATATGATAATTTGAATAAATGCTAACAAATTTATATTAATCAATAGAAAATATATAATATGAATATGAAATTTTATCAATTAGCTATATATTCAGAATAATTAGTTAATAATTTGAGATTCTTCAATACTATAAATGTTTTTAAAATTATTATATTAATTTGAATATAGTAATAGTGAATATCATTTAAATAATATTACTATAATTGAAATTAGTATAATTAGTTTTAATTACTAATTCTATTTTATCTTTTAAAATATTTATATATATATATATATATTTTAATAAAAACGAATATGGAGGAAAATTTGTTTTATTTGGATAAATAGTCACACAAATCTAAATGGCATTTGGTTCTAATGACATCATTTGGATTGATCGCATCTTCATATTGTTTGGTTTTACCTGCTCAAATGTAAACTTAAATTGGAGAAGCATTTAATATTGATGATCCAAAATAATTCTTAACTTGGTTAACTTCATTACACTTTTTATTGAATTCATTTTTACCTTTCTTCTCTGGTCTAATAAGAGATTTCTATGGAGACAGAAAAAGCATCATATTTCAAAATGGATTATGTGCATTTGGTTAAATTATTGTTACTTTTGGTATTTCATCTGGAAGTCAAATAGTATTTATAATTGGAAGAATTCTATTGGGTTGGGGAATAGAATCCCTCTTAATAGTATTAACATCCTTTATATGTTCATATTATAAATACACATATTTGGTAATTTTGTATTAGTATATTTTTAGACTTTTGTATTAGGTATGTATCAATTTGTTTACACTTTGGGATTTGTACTTTGTATTTGGTTTGCACCACAAATCACATCAGTAGGAGCATCAAATACTATTGCTATTTTGGCAACAACTTTAGGAATGTTAATGTCTATTGTTGCTATTGATATAGATGTTGATGCATAATCAGCAATATTAAATAAAGGAGCAAAGTATTTTAAAAAGCATCATGAGAAACTAAAAAGTTCTACATTACATTAATAATAATAATAATAATAATAATAAATAGAAGGAGAAGAAATATAAGTAGATTAATTACATCATTAAGAAGATTAAATGGCTGTTGAATAAGTATATTCTGAAATATTGCCTTAAACATTTTTTGAGAAATATTTTGGATTTTTTAATAAAAATCAATATCCCTCCATATATTGGTATTTATTATGGTTTTATTCTTTCGCATCTACTTCTGTTTTAGTATTAGTAGATTATGCTTAAGAATTTTTATATGACAAATGGTTGATAGCAATAGACAATGGAGAAACATTAGCTTGGAAATTAGTAACTCTTATGTGGTTATTTTCAGGAGTTATTACACCATTATTAGGTTTTGTTATTGATAAATATGGATAAAGATCTTCCCTTGTAATTATAATAATTATTATATTATAGACAATATTTTCAGGTTTGATGGCTATATGGGCACATATCTTAGTACTCTTACAATCCCCATTCGAAGGACTTCTTTTATTAGGATTATCATTTTCATTATCTTATACAACAGTTTGGAGTGGAGTGTTATATTTGACATAACCAAATACACATGGTAGAAGTCTATCTTTGTTTGTTTGTCTATAAAATTTTGGTATTACAATTACTCCATTTATTTGCAAATTTCTAGAATAGTAAAATAAATTAAATTGATATTAATAGATTGACATCATCCACAGTTGTTACTGAGATATTTTTATTAGTCTTAGCTATTTTAGCAATGTTCATATCATTAATGGTATATAGTGAAGATAAGAAATTCGTCAATCTTATAGATAGAGGTCTTGAAGTTGTAAGTNATAATTGAAATTAGTATAATTAGTTTTAATTACTAATTCTATTTTATCTTTTAAAATATTTATATATATATATATATATTTTAATAAAAACGAATATGGAGGAAAATTTGTTTTATTTGGATAAATAGTCACACAAATCTAAATGGCATTTGGTTCTAATGACATCATTTGGATTGATCGCATCTTCATATTGTTTGGTTTTACCTGCTCAAATGTAAACTTAAATTGGAGAAGCATTTAATATTGATGATCCAAAATAATTCTTAACTTGGTTAACTTCATTACACTTTTTATTGAATTCATTTTTACCTTTCTTCTCTGGTCTAATAAGAGATTTCTATGGAGACAGAAAAAGCATCATATTTCAAAATGGATTATGTGCATTTGGTTAAATTATTGTTACTTTTGGTATTTCATCTGGAAGTCAAATAGTATTTATAATTGGAAGAATTCTATTGGGTTGGGGAATAGAATCCCTCTTAATAGTATTAACATCCTTTATATGTTCATATTATAAATACACATATTTGGTAATTTTGTATTAGTATATTTTTAGACTTTTGTATTAGGTATGTATCAATTTGTTTACACTTTGGGATTTGTACTTTGTATTTGGTTTGCACCACAAATCACATCAGTAGGAGCATCAAATACTATTGCTATTTTGGCAACAACTTTAGGAATGTTAATGTCTATTGTTGCTATTGATATAGATGTTGATGCATAATCAGCAATATTAAATAAAGGAGCAAAGTATTTTAAAAAGCATCATGAGAAACTAAAAAGTTCTACATTACATTAATAATAATAATAATAATAATAATAAATAGAAGGAGAAGAAATATAAGTAGATTAATTACATCATTAAGAAGATTAAATGGCTGTTGAATAAGTATATTCTGAAATATTGCCTTAAACATTTTTTGAGAAATATTTTGGATTTTTTAATAAAAATCAATATCCCTCCATATATTGGTATTTATTATGGTTTTATTCTTTCGCATCTACTTCTGTTTTAGTATTAGTAGATTATGCTTAAGAATTTTTATATGACAAATGGTTGATAGCAATAGACAATGGAGAAACATTAGCTTGGAAATTAGTAACTCTTATGTGGTTATTTTCAGGAGTTATTACACCATTATTAGGTTTTGTTATTGATAAATATGGATAAAGATCTTCCCTTGTAATTATAATAATTATTATATTATAGACAATATTTTCAGGTTTGATGGCTATATGGGCACATATCTTAGTACTCTTACAATCCCCATTCGAAGGACTTCTTTTATTAGGATTATCATTTTCATTATCTTATACAACAGTTTGGAGTGGAGTGTTATATTTGACATAACCAAATACACATGGTAGAAGTCTATCTTTGTTTGTTTGTCTATAAAATTTTGGTATTACAATTACTCCATTTATTTGCAAATTTCTAGAATAGTAAAATAAATTAAATTGATATTAATAGATTGACATCATCCACAGTTGTTACTGAGATATTTTTATTAGTCTTAGCTATTTTAGCAATGTTCATATCATTAATGGTATATAGTGAAGATAAGAAATTCGTCAATCTTATAGATAGAGGTCTTGAAGTTGTAAGTGAAGTTTTCACAGAGTATGATATATATAGTAATTTAACAAAGACCCTCTTCCAAATTAAGAAGCAAGGAGCATATCTGAATTTGATTCAAATGTCAAATATAATAAATATTAGTCAATTTAAAAATATGTTATATTTAACATTTAGTTCTATAATTCTTTATCAAAATTATGTAATTTACTTTTATATTTTTTTTTTTTTTTATTCTTAAAAGAATTCTTAATTATATATTGGTTTTAATTAGTGTATATAATTTATATTGTTTATACTAATTTCTATAAATAAGAAGAAATCAAACTATAATGTTATACAAAATTTGTTTAAGTAAAAATAGAAATTAAATTAATTTAATAATGGATTCTGCCTCAATGATTTGGGATAATCAACAAACAATCATGTTTGAGGAAAAATTGATAAAAAAGAAGACATCTTGGTTTAAATAATTATTCTTTGTTTATATATATCCAATAATGAAGGTAATATTATAGAATGAACCTTTTTAGAAAGCTAATAAATCAGGATTGGATGAAAGTTAAATCAATTAACTTGAGACTTCAGAATAATCATATGTGCGACATCAATAGTTTTCTGAACATTTAAAATTCAATAATCAGAAAAATTTAGTTAATTTGATATTGTAATATTATTTATGTAAATATTTATTGATGAAGGATAGAATATTTTTTAAAAGGATTTTTAATATAATTACTAGTACTTTTTAGTCAATTAGCTATGCCTTTATTAACAAAATATATTATTGGATTTATTTATGAGACAGATAAGGATTATCATTAGGCTTTCTTACTTATTTTTTTAGTGATATTAATTAGAATTATTAATTTGTTATCTATGTCTCATTCTAGATTTATGATGGTAAATAAAATTATTGATTTAATTAAGAAAATCTATGGTTATGATATAATGTCAGTAATTAGTTTGGAAATTATGAATAAATGTCTTAAAATTTCATTATTAAGCAATACTGAAAAATCAATAGGAGAGATTACTAATCTAATTTAAGTTGATGTATAGAGACTAATTTAGGTTCCAAATAATGTTGTTAATATGATTATTATTCCAATACAATTATGTAACCGTTTCTTTTTATATAGGTATTACATTAACATACATCTATGAAGCAATAGGAATATCTGTACTTGTAGGAATAATAATTATAATTTTGAGTATAATTTAGAATAATTACGTTGGTAAATAAATTGTTGAGGCCTAAAAAAAAGTATTAAAGTCAAAGGATAATAGAGTTAAAGAAACTACAGAAATCTTTTAATTAATTAAATTCATTAAAATTAATGCATTAGAATAATATTTTCTAAATAAAATATACAAATTAAGGCAGATTGAATTAGAATGTATAAAAGACAGACTATAATACTTTTCTATAAATGTATTTATGGGTTGGCTATCCCCTTAAATGATATTAAGCTTTACTTTTGGACTACATGTACTTTTGGGAAATTAATTAATTCCAAGTATGACCTTTCCTATAATTGGATTATTATCTATTTTAGCAGCAAGTCTTTAATTATTACCAATTTCATTAAATGATCTTTTAGAAACCAAAGTATCTCTAAAAAGAATATAAGATTTTTTAGATAGTGATGAATTAATGAATGATCTTTATTGTGATTATAAAAAAGTTGTTAATTCTGCTTTAGAAATAGATTAAGGTAATTTTTATTGGAGAAAGGATTGTAATTAAGAATAATTAATCTTAAAGAATATAAATATAAGTGTAGAGAAGGGAAAGTTTGTATCAATAATAGGAGATGTTGGATCTGGGAAGTCTTCATTGATTTAATGTCTTTTAGGAGAGATGATCTATAATATTGATGATAATAAACCTATAATTAATATGTCTGGACCAATTGCATATGTTGGATAGAGACCATGGATTTAAAATGCAACAGTTTAAGAAAACATTTTATTTGGTAAACCATATGAAGAGAAACTTTATGATTAAGCTATTAAATACTCATGTTTGACTTTGGATTTAGAAATATTAGTTAATGGAGATCAAACTATGATTGGAGAAAAAGGAATTAATTTATCTGGAGGATAAAAGTCTAGAATAAGTTTAGCAAGAGCTATCTATAGTTAAGCAGACATCTACTTATTTGATGATCCATTAAGTGCTGTTGATGCTCAAGTTGGTCATTTTATATTAAAAGAATGCTTTATCAATCTATTGAAAGGAAAAACAAGAATTTTAATTACTCATGCATTAAATTATTGTAAATATACTGATTATATTTATTTAATGTAAAAGGGAGAAATCATAGAAGAAGGAGATTATTAGAAGATGTAGAATAATTTAATATATTAAGAAATAGAAAAGAAATTTGAATTTGATATTTAATAGGAAGAAAATTAAGAGTATACTAAAAAGAATAATATTTAATTAATAGATGAAAAGGATATTGAATAAAATTAAGAATAAATTATAGATAATAATAAAATTAGATCTGATTTAATGACTGTTGAAGAAAGAAAGAAAGGAGAAATAGATTCAGAAGTATATGTTAAATATTTGTAATACAAAAAGAATTTAATCAATTAATTTATTCTATTTATTGTTATGTTAATTTGGATTCTCAGTTAAATTATAGCCAATTTATGGATAACTGAATGGACAAGTCGTTATGCCTCATTACGAGATCATTATGCAGAGATCACTTACTTTTGGGTGTTTTTATTATTAGGATTTATACAGTCTTTATTTGCTTATCTTAGAGCTGCAATGATTGTATCATAAAGTATAAAATCATCTTCCCAAATACATAATGATATGATCAACTCTTTAATGTTTGCACCTCAATGTTAATTCTTTGAAAGAGTACCACTTGGTAGAATTATGAATAGATTAACTAAAGATATTAATTCTTTAGATGTTGAAATACATATTAATATTGCATAATTTTCCACTAAAATAAGCTAAATACTTAGTAATAATCTATTAAGTATTTATGTTAGTACATACTTACTCATTTTTCCTTTAACTATCTTCTTTTATATATGCTTGAAAATCTAAAGATTATATATGAAAGCTAGTCGAGAATTATAAAGATTAGAACTTATAAGTAGAAGTCCAATTCTGAGTTATTTTACTTAATCTTTGATGGGATTAACAACTATAAGAGCTTTTTCTTAAACAGATTTTGTAATGAAGGAGTTTTCATAGAAATTAGATAATAATAAATAAATTGTCTATTATTCAACAGCAGCCAGTTCGTGGTTTCTATAAATCTTGGGATTAGCTAGTCTAATAGTAAATACTTTTGCAATTGCTTATTGTATCTTATTTACTAATAATCCTTCATTTGCAGGGTTGATATTAACATTTGCTGCTAGTTTGGATAGAAATGTTCAATAAACAGTTGATTCTTTAAGTTTGTTAGAAAATAACATGATATCCTTTGAAAGATGTTTGGAATATACTAAGATAGAACCAGAAAATTTGACAGAAATAAAAACTGTCGAAGAATCATGGCCAAATCAAGGAAGAATTAAATTTGTTAATTATTCAGTAAATTACAGAAATAATCTGCCTTTAGTACTGAAAAACTTAAGTTTCTCTGTAAATTCTAAAGAGAAAATAGGTATAGTAGGTAGAACTGGAGCTGGAAAATCATCTATAACTCTGTGTATTTTAAGAATTCTAGAAGCTGTTTCAGGTCATATAGAAATAGATGATATTGATATCTCAAAAGTATAAATTTAAAAGTTGAGATCATCAATTACAACTATGCTATAAGATCCAGTGATTTTTACTGGAACAATCAGGTAAAATTTAGATCCCTTAAATACATGTAGTGATTAAGAAGTAATGAAGGTAATTGAAGAATGCTGTCTATTATAATTGATTAATGATAGGAATGGATTAGATACACCTATAAATGAGGGAGGTGATAATTTGAGTGCAGGTGAAAAATAATTGATTTGTATTGCAAGAGCTATATTGAAAAAAAGCAAAATAGTTTTAATTGATGAAGCCACAGCAAATATTGATATAGAGACTGAATAAAAAATATAATAGACTATTTAGAGATTATTCAAGGATTGTACAGTACTTACCATAGCTCATAGAATAAATACTATATTACATTGTGATAAGTAAATTTAGATTAATATAAATTTAATAGAATTCTAGTGATAAGTAAAGGAGAATTAAAAGAATTTGGATCTACAAATGAACTATTAAATGATAAATCATCTTTGTTTTATGACATCTATTAAGAAGCTATGAATAATAATTGATTCAACTATTGAATGTATACTTATATACTCATTAGTTTTCAATATTTAAAAATAAATAAATAGTATTAAATACATGAAAAATATTATAAGGATATCCCATAATAAAACAAGTTCCTCAATAATTCTCTTAGTAATAAATTATGTAATACGTTCCTTTAACAGTTCATTTGAGTGCTCTAGCCTAACTTTATTAATAATGTGCTGCTTTATCTGAGAAGCATGATCGACTAGCTAAAGGATTAGACATTTTTAATACAGAAGTTAATCATTTTACAATTGCTCCTATATTTGATTAAGAAAGAATAATGCAAGAACAAAATACAGAGGGTCCTTAGATCTAAGATTTTAGTTCATAGAAACCCAATACTCCATTATCTAGTTGTAAGACACCAGTGGAAATAGAGTAATAAATATTATTAACTTTATTTAGTTTGGTGACAGATGAAGATGCTCAAATTGAGTAAGGAACTAAACCAATACAAAATGAAACTAAAAAAATTAAGAAAAATAAATAAAATGTGGATAGTTAAAAATTTTTATAATGTCCAGAATGCTAAAAGCATTGTAAAAATGTTGCTGGTTTGAGAAGACATCAATCAAGGATGCATGTTGATAAGCCTTTAAAAAATGTTACTAAAAAAATGTAAAACAAAAAACAATTAGGAAATAATATTCAAAACTGATTTATTATAATGGTATTAAATTATATACACAGAATTTATATTATATATACAATTATAAATAGACATATAAGTTTAGTAAATATGTTTACAATAAATTGGACATTAATTATTTTTAATTTTTATTTAATAATAAAAAAAATAATTCAAAATTTATTCACTCTATTCATTAATGATTATAATTTTATGGATTAATAAACATAGCCTGTGTAAATTTCTTTTGGTGAATAAAATTGCAGATGTGTTTCAAACATTGTATTCAACAAGAGACATGTATTCGCTGTTGGAACTTGGAATGCTAAGAAAAATAATGAAGTAATAATGAATTTTTAATTATATTTACAGATATATGTGAATGAATATTTAGAATTAGAATAAAAGATTGTCTAATTGCATAAAATACCAATAAATGGAATGATAGAGAAAATCATAGCAAAAAAAGAATAATTATATGTTATCTATATTGATCGTATTAACTAAAATTAAAATGTAGCATAATAAAGAAAGACAAAACTTTGTTGTATAGAATTGGCTGATAATGGAAAATATTAAGTAAATTTTGATTTGTTGTATGAAGGATTGACTAAGTAATATTTTTAATTTTAATTTATTAGTGTCATTTGTCCTGAAGATGATCCAATTATTTATTTGAGTTCTAATAAATCCATTATTTAATTTGATTTGAATAAATAATCATTTGATAATATTATTGATGACAATGATCTCTATAATTTATGTGAATAAGATCCACATCATAAGAATTTATTTGTTAGATCCTAAAATAATTATCTATGCATTTAAGATACTAGAGAAAAAAAGTAATTAAAAATATAATCATTAGAGTAACTAAATTCAAAGCACATAGTCTTTAAATATTAGATATAGATTTTAATCCTAATAAATAATATTATTTAATAACTGGTGGTGAAGATTGTTTAGCTAAAGTTTGGGATATTCGTAAAACATAATATGCAATTAAATCATTTGAAGATTTATAGAATTCAGTTTTATAAGCAAAATTTAATAAATTCCATGATTAATTAGTTTCATTATCATGTAATTTTAATATCTATATATCTAGTTGATGATGGCACTATTTCATTATATAATATTACATCTGTTTCCTCTGTTCCTTAATTAAATAAGGAAGATGATTATTTGGTTAAATAGTATGATGAACATGAAGACTCTATTTATGGATTAAGTTGGTCAAGAGGAACTGCATGGGTTTTAGCATCAATAGGTTATAGTGGTCATATGATAATAAATACAGTTCCAACAACTGAGAAATATAAAATATTATTGTGAAAGTTATATTACAAATATATCTATGTATAAATTTAAGGGAAATAAACATATATAAATATATTAATAATCATTTTATACCTATTTTATATTATATAAGGTATTTATGAAATTTTAAGATTTTAGAAATTCATGAAATTTAGTTGAATCTAAAATAAGAACTTATTATTAATTATTATAATCCTATTGAGAACAAGATTTATTATATGAGTATAGTTTAAAGATACTTTTAAAATACTTATCGAAACATTGTAAATAAATAGATATTATAAAGAATGGTAGAATTTAAATGCTGATTAACTAAAAAGAAAAATTGATATTATTAATAGAGTAAATATTGAATTTAATTAGATAATTGACTAAGTATTATAACAATATATAACTAAATTAGTTTATTAGTAAAGCAGTTATGGATATTTTTCAAGTTTAATTACATAATTAATATAGAATATCATAGATATCACATAAATTATTAATATTTTCTTGTTAATTATATAACATATATGTCTTATTAGAAGGATAATCTGATGAATAACTAATAAATGAAACTAAAAGTACTTGATATTGAAACAAGAATAATATCAATTAATATCTACTTTATTAAAGATAATTGAGTGAATTATCAGAATAAAATCCAAAAATCTTATGTAATAATAAGAATCTAGTAACTATATTATTAGAACTTAACAATTTATGTGAAACCAATTAGAGTAAAATAGATTTATCGTTTTTTTATCTTAATCATAAAAATTAGGATTACAAATAACAATTAATATTATTTAAAAGAACCTGAAAATAGTAAGAAGAAATAGTTGTACATTTAAAATAAATTAAATGGAAAATTCTTAAAGAATGTTTCATTATTAAAGAAGATTTCATCATTAAACTTTGTGAATTATAGGATAAATTAGAGCATGGAGTCTTTAGATTATAACATAAAATATGAGTCTTTATTATTGGATGAAGAATAATGATTTTTAGAATAATTAGAGATTAAACATGCTAATAAATTGTGTTTAAAAAATGACTAATTATGTTAGTTGATAATTGAGAAATTGAGAGATTATAGTTAAAAACGGAATAATAGACACAGGTTAATTGAGTAACTCATACCTCTAAATTAAGCATTGGTAGTATGAATATATAAATATATAATTAACAACATTTATTCAGTTAATATATAACACAAAATAACACAAATCAAAGGTTAAGAGTTTTCATTCCAATTGATCAAAGAATGTGTCGAGATCATCTTCATAGTTGTCTATAAAGTTCTTTATCATAGGGTTTTCTGGTCTCTCAATATCAGAGAAATGTGAATCGTTTGATGAGGTGGATGAGACACTCACAGAATCGGTTTTTATTTGTTAAATAAGTCGAATTAATGGTTTTGGTTGACTAATTGTATGAGTGTTCATATGTATATAAAAATCTTAAAAAAAATATTAAAAATATACTTAACTCACATCAGGCATTTTATAATGCAAGAATTTTAATCATTAAAAAAACTCATCGAACAAAAAAAATAATAGCTAAGCAATTCATTAACAATTTAAGAATAAAAGTAGAAGATTGAATAAGAAAGACAAAGATTATTGTAGGAATAACGTGAAAGGGAAAGAGAAAAAGTATTTTATTATTACATTAAAATTAGCATGAAAAGTTAGTAAAGAAATTGAAAATGCAAGATGAATATTATAAAACAAAGGACATTGAAAGAGTGAAAATAAAAAGATTGGATTAATAATGTATAAACTCTGAACGTGATAAAATTTAATAGGATGAAATCTAAATACCTCAGGATCTTCCACCGATTGAAAAAAAGGAAGTACAAAAAAGACTAAGAGATTTGGGAGAACCTATTACATATTTTGGTGAAAGTGATTGGCAAAGATATAAAAGATTGATGCAATTTGTTTAAGAAAAGAAAGAAAATCATCAAAGGGAATTAGAAATCAAAGTATTAGAAGGAGAAGATAAAGAGGAAATCAAGGTGTTTGTTAATAAAATTAAGGAGAGAAATCTAGATCCAAATACTGCACTTGTTCCTGTATTCTAATGTAAAGGAAAAGAAGAAATTGAATAACAATTATTGGATGGAGTATCACTATTGACAAGATGTGAAGATGTTTATTTATGGTGTAAAAAAATGTTGAGAGAATGGAACATAAAGTTGTTGGATAAATTTAATACAGAAACACTAAAAAGAAGTTTAGAAGGTTCTTAAGCATTTAATTCTTATAAATAAACACTAGATTATATAAAACCATTAACAGAATAATTATAGAAAGCTAAAATGGTATAGTCAATTAATGAAGAAATCTTGAATGCATTATATCTTATAATAAGATTTTGTGTATATAAAGAGTATGTAAGAGCATATGATAAATATTTGGAATTAGCAATTGGAAATGCACCATGGCGTAAAAATATATTATAATATATTAGCTATGGGTGTTACTATGGTTGGTATACATGAAAGGACTGGAAGATCAAAGATATCAAGTTCATAAATAGCTCATATTTTAAATGATGAAACTTAGAGAAAATACATACAAGCAATAAAGAGATTGATTACAGTTTCATAAAAGACTTATCCAAGTAATGATCGTAGTAAAATGGTCGATTTTAGAACTGAGTATGCTTGGTGATATGAATATATTAATCAATAATATAAATGTATTGTAAATATATTAAATAAAATTAAGATAATTTATTACCATGATTTAATAGCAATAAGAAATAGTAATTGAACCACCTCTCTATTTTGCTAAAGATCATTTATTTGACTTAAATTTTCATCCTTTTTAAGATGTTGTTTGTTGTGCATAAGTGTCAGGAGTTGTGAATATGTAATCATTTTTATCCACAAGTTAAGATTGAAATATTCATCTGATGATGTAGTAGAAATAGCAGCATTTACACACCATTAATAATCTGCAAGAATCAGTTAATTCTTTAAAGATGGTTAACACTTAATAACAGCTAGCAAAGATTGTTCATTTGCTATCTTAGATAATAATGGTAAAATGGTATTACATTAACTCAAAGCTCATAAGTATAATAATAATCTATTTAAATAGACATGCTATAAATGCTCTTAAATAATTGAATGATAGTATTATTGCTACAGGTGATGATACAGGAAATATTAAAATATGGGATTTAAGATAAAATTAATGTGTATTTAAAGTAAAGGAAGCTGAAGAAGCTATTTCTGGAATTGAAATAGATTCATCAAATAATTTATTGCTTTCATCAAGTTTAGATGGTTATTTAAGTGTTCATGATTTAAGATTCTAAAGTACAAATGAAAAATGTTTATATGCAAAAAGTGATTGTATGGAAGAGGAATTAACAGATATTTGTTTGGTCAAAAATGGTTAATTTGTTTGTATATCAACAAGTGAAGGTAATTTATTATTATTTAAATGGGATTATTTTGGAGATTTTAAAGATAGAATAATTGGTCATCCTAATTCTATTGATTCAATTGTAAATTATAATATTATATCAATTAGTGTAAAATAGATGAACATTCAATAATTACAGGTGGTGAAGATGGTTTAGTAAGAGGAGTTTCTGTTTTCCCAAATATGATAACAGGAATATTAGGTTAACATGAAGATAATTCTTATTTCCCTATTACTAAAATAGTTGTTGATAGAACATAAAAAATTGCAGCTTCATTGTCACATGATAGTTCAATTAAATTTTATGATATTGCAGATTTTGTCAATAANCGATTTCAGAACAGAATATACTTGGTGATATGAATACATTAATCAACAATATAAATGTATTGTAAATATTAAATAAAATAAGATAATTTATTACCATGATTTAATAACAATAAGAAATTGTAATTGAACCACCTCTCTATTTTGCTAAAGATCATTTATTTGACTTAAATTTTCACCCTTTTTAAGATGTTGTATGTTGTGCATAGGTTTCAGGAGTTGTGAATATGTAATCATTTTTATCCACAATTTAAGATTGAAATATTCATCTGATGATGTAGTAGAAATAGCAGCCTTTACACATCATTAATAATCTGCAAGAATTAGTTAATTCTTTAGAGATGGTTAACACTTAATAACAGCAAGCAAAGATTGTTCATTTGCTATCTTAGATAATAATGGTAAAATGGTATTACATCAACTCAAAGCTCATAAGTATAATAATAATCTATTTAAATAGACATGCTATAAATGCCCTTAAATAATTGAATGATAGTATTATAGCTACAGGTGATGATACAGGAAATATTAAAATATGGGATTTAAGATAAAATAAATGTGTATTTAAAGTAAAGGAAGCTGAAGAAGCTATTTCTGGAATTGAAATAGATTCATCAAATAATTTATTGCTTTCATCAAGTTTAGATGGTTATTTAAGTGTTCATGATTTAAGATTCTAAAGTACAAATGAAAAATGTTTATATGCAAAAAGTGATTGTATGGAAGAGGAATTAACAGATATTTGTTTGGTCAAAAATGGTTAATTTGTTTGTATATCAACAAGTGAAGGTAATTTATTATTATTTAAATGGGATTATTTTGGAGATTTTAAAGATAGAATAATTGGTCATCCTAATTCTATTGATTCAATTGTAAATTATAATATTATATCAATTAGTGTAAAATAGATGAACATTCAATAATTACAGGTGGTGAAGATGGTTTAGTAAGAGGAGTTTCTGTTTTCCCAAATATGATAACAGGAATATTAGGTTAACATGAAGATAATTCTTATTTCCCTATTACTAAAATAGTTGTTGATAGAACATAAAAAATTGCAGCTTCATTGTCACATGATAGTTCAATTAAATTTTATGATATTGCAGATTTTGTCAATAAAAGAAAATCAGCTAAAGTTCAAGTTAATGAAGCAGAATTTGAATATACTAATAAATAAACTTAAAAAGAAATAGATATGGAAGGAGAATCTGATAGTGATTCTGATGATGATAATGATGATTCAGATGATGATGATGATGATGAAGGTAAATAAAAAAAACAAAAAAGTTTAAAAACTAAAAATCTTTAATAATCTATTGCTAATCTTAAAAAGTAGAAGATTAAATAGTTTTTTGACAAAATGTGAATAGTTTTGTTTATGATAATCATTTCTTAATTAGCATTAATCATTATATATTAAATAAATTAATGAATTCATCTTATTCTTTATGGTGATGTAACTTAATTAATAATCTACTCAAGATTCTTTCTTTATTAAGGTGATTATACTCTAGATAATAGATTATCCAAAACTACTTCATGTTAACCAGTTTCACTATTGAGACTATTTTTAACTGGATTAAGCATATGTTGAATCAAATTTTATATCTTATTTACTTTTGTAGTCTTTTTCCCAGAATTATATTAAGAATTAACATTAATACCTCGAGTCTTGAGATGTACATTTTTTATTATGATTCTTTGATCAACTATTATTTATTCATCATTTCCTTTTGGAGGATATTAAATGATCTAATTTTAAATAGAAATTATTTAATTCTTTTCAAAAATCCCTTCTGTCATTTATTTTGAATTGTAATTTAAATAAGATCCTTTATTATTAAATAATTCATTACCTTATCCTTAAAAATGCCCATTTTATAATTGTCCATCATAAATATCTCCACTTTTGAATATTATTCTTCCCTTACCATTTAAAAAACCATTCTGAAATTATCCCATATCAATTCTGCCATTTTTATATTGGATAACACCTAAACCTGTTAAATCACATTACAATCCATAAACAGTTCTATCATTATGAATATATATTTATGGCAATTAGATTTTTAACAACTAATTAATATCCTCTTTTTATATTGGTTCTTCAGTAACATTTACTCGAATTCCATCTTTATATTATACAACTTCTTTTCCTCTTCTACTTGTTTTCAATCCTACTCCCTATTGCTTTCCTTCTTTAAATGTACCCAAATATAACTAACCATTTTGATAACATAATTCACAATATCCATTTGCTTTTCCGTCATAGAACTCACCCTTTATATATCCACCAATATTAAAAAAATATATTCCCACTCCATTTATTGTATTATTTTTCCATTCTCCATAATAAAATCCTCCTGTATTAAAATGACATGACCCTATTCCATTGGCTTTATTTAATTTGACTTATCCCCAATATTCTCCAATATTTAATTTTAGATTCTGGAATTATTGTGATTTCTCAATAACTTAAGTGATAGAATTCATCTTAGTAGAAATACGATTCAATGACATATTTTCTTTGCCTCTATATTTCCTCTTAATAAAATCTTAACTCATATTTTATGGTGCACACTCTTCAAAATATAAACTCATAAACGTTAAATTATAAATATTAAAAATAGTAATTAATCATTTCAACCATTAAACTAATTTACCTTCTTGCCATAATCCTCTCTTTGTTCTACCATCAACTGTCACATAAACTCCTTCTCCATGTTATACTCCCTTTTACCACAATCCTCTAAATTCCTTACCATCTACCCACTTATATTCTCCATATCCATGTTTTTAATCATTGAGATATTCTCCAACATACTTTCTACCATCACTCCAACTATATTCTCCATGTCCATTCATCATTCCATTTTTCCATTCTCCTTTATAACCTCTCCCATCTATCCAATAATATGTTCCCAAACCATGAATTTTATTATTTTGCCACTCTCCTTCATAATAACTATTATCTTTCCATACATATTTCCCTTTTCCATGTTTTAAACCTTTATAATATTGACCTTCATATACTGAACTATCAGCCCATTATTCTTTACCATATCCATGTTATAGATCATTTTCCCATTCCCCTTCATAATATGCTCCATTCTGAGACCTCATTATACCAAAACCACATGCTTTACTGTATTTCCATTCTCCTTCATATTCAATTTTATCAGCATGTCGAAATAATCCTTTACCATGAGCTGTATTATGTTACCATTCTCCATCATATATAGCTCCATCTGGCCAAGTTTGTATTCCTTTACCATGTCTATCTTTTCCCAACCATTAACCATTATACATTTTTGCTAATCTAAAATTAATAAAGTTTGTTGTACTTTTGTAATTTTGATAAATTGCATAATCTTTCAAAATAAGTGCCTGTTATTTTACTTCCTTCAGTTTCAACACTAGTTTTGGTATTGTTCATTAATAGTTATTTTTTTCTAACTGAATATCCTTTCCAACAAGATTAAATTTTAATAGCAGCCTTTGTTTTCTTTGATTTGTCACCAACAATATCCACAACACTTTTAGTAATGGGTTTAATATTGATTTCATATTTGCTACACAAAGGGATAGCATCTTAAACATAATTTTTAGAACTTTTTCTGCTTAAAGATTCATAAGGTTTTTCTGATAATATTTAATGCTACTCACTTTTCTAATATAGAATAGAAGAGGATTACTAATATTTCAATGTCTCGTTTATAACATCCTGCACATTAGCCAGTGCAATTATTACCCATATAATTTTATATATAATTAATACTCATTTTTTTCTTTTGATTTTATGTATTTTCTTAAACATATAATGACCATCTTTGTATTTATCATTCTTGATTCTACATAATTATATTTCTTTTTTTGGATTATGAGACAATCCAATATCTAACAATTTATTACCAATTCCTTCAACATTGAATTAGACATTTAATCCCAAAGAGAGTGCCTATAATTCAATTAATCCACCCATAATCTAACCATTTTATACTTATTCAATATATTATTCAAAGACTTCTTTTGATGAATCATATTATTTAAGCATTCCTTAATGGATTTTCTCTTTGAATATAGGTTAATTCTCTTAAATAACATTGGCACACATTTGTCTGAATTCTTAATGAGTGTTCTATGTGCCTTGAAGTGCTAGAGCTACACAACGAAACAAACAATTTCCATCACCTTTCACATCAATCATTAAATTAATGAAATCATATATTATAGATAAAGACTTAGGATAAGGAACATTCAGTAAGGTCAAATTAGGGATTCATAAGCTAACTGGTGAAAAGGTATAAGAGTATACTTAAATTAATTTAGGTGGCAATAAAGATCATTGACAAGACTAAATAATAAGAGTCTGATTATGTTAGAATTCATCGTGAAATTTCAATTCTAAGAAAATTAAGACACCCTAATGTGGTGCAATTATTTGAAGTAAGCCATTTGCATAGTAGATTGTCGAAAGTGACACTAAGTTGTACATTGTTACTGAATATGCTAGTGGAGGAGAGCTATTTGACCATATAGTGCGTAATAAACGTCTTGAAGAACGAGAAGCTGCTAGACTATTCATCTAATTGATACATGCAGTTACTTATATTCATGAACATCAAGTTGTTCATAGAGATTTAAAACCAGAAAATGTACTACTCAATGAAGGTACTTTAAAAGTAGTTGATTTTGGATTATCCTCTACTTATCAACCTGGATAGAAATTAAAAACACCTTGTGGTAGTCCTTGCTATGCTGCTCCTGAAATGTTATAAGGACTTTCTTATGATGGATTATTTACAGATATTTGGTCCAGTGGAATCATATTATATGCTATGATTTGTGGGTATTCTAATTTTATTAAAATGAAGATGTGTCCCATTTGAAGATTAAAATACTAAGAGATTATATGAAAAGATTAAAACTTCTGATTTCCATTTACCTAAACATGTTAGTTTATAGGCTGCAGATTTACTCAAAAAATTATTGATGAAGGATCCAACATAAAGAATTACATTACAAGAAATTAAGAATCATGATTTTATCAAATTTGCTGGTTAATATTCAATACCTTAATAACTTAAAATTGATAATGATATTGTATAATAAATGGTTCAAAATGGATTATCTAGTTAATCAGAAATCATAGAAATGATTTAAAATAATAAACACAATTAGATAACAACTACTTATTACCTTTTATAAAATAAAAACCCTTAATCCCAATAATAATTTTAATAATAAACATTCAATAAAATTACACAATAACTTATTTCATAGGTACCCCATAATTAAATCAATGAAAATACTCCTTATATATTTAAGATAAAACTTAAGAGTAAATCTCCTTATTAATAATAAGAAAAATAAAATGATGTTACATTAGCACATATTACATAATCTCCAAGAAAAAATCATTTAGAAAATTAAAATAATATTTCTATTACTAAAAAAATGTATATATAATAATATTTATAATTATTTTTATAGACGTACCAAAACTAGATCATAAGAACCCATTCAAAAAAGAGAACCTTCACTTAGCAATCAATAACCACTTACAAAATAAACAAGATAAGTTTAAATTGGAGAATTCTTTAAAAAAACTGATAATGAATAATTTTTAAATCAAAGATAAAATGTTATCCCTTAAGGATATAATAAGTTTATTATCACTGAACGTGTCAGTATGCAAAATAACACATCTATTTCCAAGATACCATCTAGATAAGGGAGATTATCATTCAAAATAGAACAAAAACCTTTGTCAACCTAACCTAATGAAAGTAATAAGGAAGGTAAACATTAAAAATCTACTTCAAATACAAAAAAACCAACTGAAATTAGTTCCAATTAGAAACTCTTATAAATGGATTCTATTGCTACACAAATTTAAAATAATATTTAGAATAGGTTTCTAATATATAAAAAGAAAATCAAATAATGAAAATAAATTTTTGATTTTCCACTTACCATATAATTTTCATTTTTAAGATGACTTTTTCTATAAAACATACATTTAGTTATTTTTAAACTTATAAAATTATTGTAATAATTTTAAATAAGATGGCAGAAGTTAAACCTCCTCGAGAATCTTTAGTCAAATATGAAAATCCTATAGAAGTTAGCAATGTTAATGATGCGTCTAGAACTTTATAAGGAAAAAAGAAATCATAACTTTCACCTTTAGAATCAAAGCCTAATACAGAGGTAAAGAATGAGATTAGAAATTTTAGGATATATTAAATGCAATTTTACCTCCAATTGAATGGGATCATGATGGAAAACATTATATTTAATATGTTTCACATGTTCCAGCTACAAGAGAAGATGTTGGTAACTTGTAAAAATTATTGGATGAAAGATTGTTGGCAAGATAAGCTAGGTAGTTATGGGATATATAAAATAATTTTAGAGAGACTGGTATCTGTCCAATAAGAGAAGAGTTATTAAGTTAATGTTTTGATGAGATTATAAGATAAGTTACAATAGATTGTCCAGAGAGAGGTATTTATTATTAAGTTATAATATAGGATTATTATTAATGAGAGTGAGAGATGAATTAAAAATGACAATTGCTGCATATTAAACTTTATATAATTCATCTGTAACATTTGGGATGAGAAAATAATTGTAAGCTGAAATGGGGAAGAGTGAATTAGAAGAAAAGATAGTTTAATTAGAATAGAGGAAATAGAAATTAGAAGAAAAGGTATGAATGTGTATTAGAATTCAGAGAATTGATTTACTTAATAAAAAGGATTCATTAGATAAAAAGATAAAAGAAAGAAATTAAATTGAGGAATAGAAGAGGAAATAAGAGATCGAATTTCTCAAATATTAAGGATAACATTTAGAAGCCTTCTTAAAATCAGTTTAACCTGAATTGAAGTGATTTTCATATTATAATAATTATTACAATTAGAATATTTTATATTAATTTATTTAGATATTGTGTTATGGATGTTCTACTTTTGTCTATTATTTTAGACTTTCTTAATTATAAAACATTTTAGAATAATTTTAATAATTTTTATAATGGGATAGATTTCAGCTTTATGTTGCAAAAAAGATTAAGTCATAATTATAGAAAGGAAGATTACTTAAGAAATAGTTGAAGCTTTTACAATAGATGAAGGAAAAGAAGAATATGAAAAAATATTCAAGGTCATTAAGATTCAGGCTTATTACCGAGGTTATCGAATAAGGAAAATGATGAAATTAGAATCAAACTAACCATTAACAAAATAATCTGAAAGTTAAGGTGATACAGTAGATATAGTTGCATATTCTGGAAAAAGAGAAACTTTAAAATAAAGTGTTGTTGCTGCTATCAAAAGTAAGAAAGATCAATTGTTAGTGAAAAATACAATGAATAACATAGAACCAATTAAGTTACCAGAAATAGAAATGCTTGATGGTAGTTTATATGAAGGGGAATGGATGAAAGGATAGAAATGGGGATAGGGAAGATTAATTTATAAGGATGGTTCAATTTATGAAGGTGAATGGAAATAAAATGTAGCATAAGGTATTGGAAAGTTAATTCATACTGATGGTGATACTTATGAAGGATAGTGGGTAAATGATAGAGCTAATGGATTTGGAATATATATTCATTCTAATGGTGCTGTATATAAAGGATAATGGAAGGATGATTAATAACATGGGAAAGGATCAGAAGTTTGGCCTGATGGTTCAAAATATGAAGGTGATTACTTTGAAGGTAAAAAATAAGGAGATGGAAAGATCCTCTTTTATGATGGATCAGTTTATTAAGGTCAATTTGAATAAAATAATATTCATGGTACTGGGATTTATACTTGGTTTAATGGAAAAGTATATGATGGATAATGGATACAAAATAAAATGAATGGAAAGGGTACTTTAAGATGGCCTGATGGTAAGAAATATGTGGGAGAATATTAGAATGATATTAAACATGGTTATGGAATTTATTATTGGGAAGATGGTAGAGTTTATGATGGAATGTGGATAGATGGTTAATAACATGGAGAAGGGATATATATAGATACTAATGGAATTAAAAAGAAAGGAATTTGGGAAGGTGGAAGAAGAGTTAAATGGGTATGAATGTAAATGAGTTGGTTATTTCTATTGTAATTAGTTGTGAATCAATAATATATCTAGATTAAATTATTAATTGCATTAGATTTAATTTAATTAATGAAAAATGGAACTGTTATAGAATAAGTGGATAGTTTTTCTTAAAGATCTTTAATGAGTATAGAATTTAATGATGAATTTAAATAAATATAAGTTCAAAAATTGTTAATCTATACTTATGTTAAGCTATCTATGTTTGATTAATCTATTCTTTATTATATTATAATAGTAAAGAATATATTAATTATTTTACTTATGCAAATTCATCCAATTCAAGCTCTCAGTACTACATTAAAAGAAGAATCATAAATTCATATATCTGGAAGTGAAGAGAAATTACTAAAGACTAAGCAAACAATTCTTGATCGTTCTCCAGTTAATTAAGAAGCATTAAATACTTATCTGAAAAGTACTCATCCTACTGATGTTGATGATAAATTATATGATTGTACAAATTGTTATGATGTGGATGTTGGTTTTAATTGTTGCTGTAGTACTGAATTTTAATCTGACATAAATTAATATGGAGCTGGTATTACTATATATTTTCGATTTCTCAAATAAGTATTACATCATATATCATATATAGATTATTTTATACTTTTTACTATTTGCTCTTCTGAGTATTCCTTAATTGATGTTCTCATTATCTTGTGTCCAAGATACATTGACACTTAATTCAATACTTATGGGTACTACATTAGGATCTTTGAGTCTTCAAGGAGATTCTTGTATCAAAATGTCTTGGGATGATGTAATATTGAATGTAATAAATTAAATCATTATATATATATATAGAATAATGTATCACTTGATACTGCAACTATTTTAGAGAAAACAACATTTAATTGTAATTCTGGAACTATATCAGCTTAAAATTTTGTTTTAGGTTTTGTATAAGAAGGTAGTAATTCTATCCCTTGTACTTATTATGAACCATCTTAAGCAATAATAAATTGTACTAATTCTAAAGCATTTGCAGAGATAGAAAATAAATGTATTGGACAATAATCTTGTGAATTCATAATTAGAGAATCTTTATTTGATAATTGTCCTGATATGCATAATTATATGGTTTATGCATATTCATTTTGTTAGGATTCTCAATTTTCACTTGGATCAATAAGTATTAAGAATAATACAGTATCTATAATATGTGGTTATATTGATTTGACAATTGTTCTTATTACAGCAATCTTTCTGTTTACGTATATATATATTTAATTAATTTAAAGATTGGAAAGTTAAGAGAAAGAAACTATGAAAAATGTAAATGAAAGTGGAGTATTTATAGAAAATTTTTCATTAGAATTTAGAAATCTTCCTGAAAGTTCAGATCCTATAGAATTATTTTAAAAATTAATAGAAATAGAATTATAATTAACTAAGAAATTTCCTTAAATACCTAGTTTTCATATTGTAGATATTTAATTTTCAAAAGGAAATAAATCAGTATTAATAGGTGAGGAAAGAGCCTTAATAATAAAAAAGAGAAATAATTTAGTTAGAAGATTTGAAAATAAATTTAAGGTTTCTTTAGTAACTTCAATGGATTTGAAATAAAATTTAGCAACTGCTGTATTGTAATAGTCTTTAAATTAATTATAATAAAAAGAAGATGCATAAGATATTCTAGATGAAATATAGAAATTAGAAAATTAAATATCTGAATTTGATAATTAAATATAATAACCAGAATAATTTAATGAGAATATAAAATATGCTTGGATTACATTTGATACAATTGAATAAAGAAATATGGCATATTTTATTTATTAAGAAGATTATTTACGTGATCTCTTTTCTTGTTGTGGTTGTAATGAAATAATGAAAATTGATAATGTAATAATCAAAGCATAACCTGCACCTCCACCAGATGATATTAATTGGATGAATTTATAATATTCAAATATAGAATTAATTGCTCGTAGAACACTTAGTTTTATGCTTACTTTCATATTAATGATATTCACTATTGCAGCTATTATATTTTTAAAGTACTTATTTATATTTAATATAGATATTAATAATTAACTTATTAATAAGATTATCCAGAACCTAATTGTACTATGTATCCTAATATTACTGAACCTGATGTAATTACTGATTAGAGTAAGGATGTCAAGAAAGGATTATTGGAATGTTATTGCAAAGAAGATTTTATAAATAGAATAAATATGACTTTTAGTAATGGTGAACAATTATGTTAATAATGGTTTAATGATTATGTTAAAATTGTTGGTTGGCCATTTTTAATAGTAGTTGTTATTATTTTTATAAATTAAATTATTTAAATAATATTTACAAGTAAATATATTATTTTATTTTAGAATTTGCTGAATTTGAAGGTCATAGATCAAAATCAAAATAATTATCATCTCGTCTTCTGAAAGTATTTGTTGTTTAATACATAAATACAGCATTAGTAATATTGATAATTAATATCAAATTTACAAGTGAATTAAATATATCATCTTTTTCAGTATTATTAAATGGTAAATTTGATGATATTAGTGTTTAATGGTTTAATTAAGTTGGAACAACAATTGTAATTAATAATTATATTATATTTAGTTATTGACTATGTTAATTTATGTAATAGGTCCAATAATAAATATAGTTATTAATAGTATAATCAGATGTTTAAAGAAATGTTTCGATTAATGTGGTTTATAAGATGGTCAATTTACTAGAAAATTAACATAATAAGATTTAAATGAATATTATACAGGTTCAGATTTCAATGTGGAACTTAAATACTCATAAATTTTAACTGTTATTTGTGTTAATTTCTTATATTCTTCAGGAATGCCATTATTGTATTTAACAACAGCATTATTTTTGTTTATTACATATTGTTGTGATAAATATTTTTTATTACATTTTTGTAAGACTCCACCAAAAGTAGATGATAGTGTTGCTAAATTAGTAAGATAAATATTAAAATTATTATTAATATGGCATGTAATATTTTCAATTTGGATTTATGGATCAACAAAGTTATTCCCTGAAAATATAGATTTCACTTAATCAATCTAATCATCATCTATTGTTTAATCAGCATAAAATAATGTATTTGGAGAATTCTTTACAAGAGCTATAACAAGTTAATGTATTGGTTTAACTTGTCTATTGATTTTACTTATAATATATTACATACTTTGGCCATTTGTTATAACTCCAATTTTGAGTACAATATTCTTTTTTTGTTATAGTGAATCTACTTTATTTGATAAAGTAGAGAATACATATATTACTATGTAATAATCTATTTATGAATGTAATAATAAATAATATTTTAGTATATTCATAAGATTAAGCAAATTAAATAATGTAATTGTTAAGAGTTTAAAGGTAAGATGCACAAGAAAAGGGATAATAATAATTTGCATTATTAATGGGAGAACGATTAGCAAGAATGCAAGCACTCAAATTTTTTAAAGGGTTGATAAATGGACTACATTCATATGACATTGTCTTGAATCCTAAGTATTCATAATATCACACTCTTTGAGTGAATATTTAAAATTATATGTTATTTGAATAATATAAAGATTATGAGTATGATCGTAAGAAAATGGAATTGGAAATAGAATATCATACTCCTAAGACTATTTTTGTTAAAGCTTTTGGAATTGAACTTCTTTTTAGAGATGTTTGGCCATATTTAATTGATGATGATAGGAAACTTAAATTAGTAATTCTAAATTTTATTGTTCAATATTGTAAGACAATGATACCTAAATGGAAGACAACTGAAAATTATTATGAGAATTTTAATCATGGAAATATTGAAAAACCAAATGAAGAATGTTCTCATACATTTTATTTTTTTTAATATTTAGATGAATGGTCTCTTTGTATTTATTCAACATAACAAAAAACATTATATAGTTATGTTCTTAGTGAATCAACATAAAAGAAAATTAAAACTATATTTACAGATAAAGGAATCAAAGTTGATTAAAGAATAAATATATAATAGAGTGTAACTATTGCTGAAGAAGATACTATTGTTATGGTAAAATTACTTTATTAAATATGTAAATAATAAGAATTAATATTTGAATTTACTTAAGAAATGGCTATTGAATGGAGAAAGATGATTAAAGTAATAGATTTATTCTTGTTCGAATTACATAAACAATATAAGGAATAAATGGAAATTTAATAGAACTAAAGTAAATCATAAACACATTCCAATCCCAATCTTTCCATTAAATAAGATACTAAATCTTTAGAATTCAATCCTGATAAATCCAAAATTGGAGAAGCTCCTTTATCTAATCAATCACTTAAATCTATTAAATAATAAGCATCATTTGAAAAATCTCTTAGTGTATCAAGAGTAGCACATGGTTAAGTTACTGATGAAATGATTTAATTATCAAAAGAAGAATATAATCATCTTATTGAAACTTTCAAATAGTAAGTTATTTAAGAACTTTAATAAATTGAACCTTAACATCCAACTGTATTCTTATAGAAATATTTAAAAGGGAATGGAGATTTGATGGTTAAAAAAGATGATTAAGGTAAAGATGAATTGGTTGTTAAATTAAAAGGTGAATAATTGTAAGTACTTCTACAATAATATGAAAAATATTATTAATAATAAATCAATAATAAACAATTTGAAAAATAATAAGAATAGATGAAATAACAATATCAATAATATATACAATTTCAATAATTACTTAATTATTATTATTAACATGATCCTCCTAAATATTCTAAATTAGTTACTGAATATTATAATAGATTAAATGAATAAACATTACAAAAATTGAAACCCCTATTCCCATAAAATATTTAATAATAAGAATCATCCTAAAATAATATTAGTTAATAATCTCTAAAAGTACCTTATTCTCCTTAAATGTAATCATTATCTTATAGTAAATCCAGTGATCGATACAATAAACCTATTAATCCATTAATACAACCTAATTTCAATGTTTCTAAATCATTTAGTTAAAATTAATAACTTCAAAATAGTATTAATTTATCTAAATCTATTGATCCTCAATTTAAACCATCTCCTTAAAATACAGTTGTATGTTCAAGATACAATAAACAAATCACTTATTCAGAAATAAATCTATTATAAAATAAAGGAGAAATGACTGAAAATTTACTTAATTTCTATATTAGATATTTAGAAGAGAAATAATCTTCACTATAGTTAGGAACTTTAAAATAATTAAAATTGAGAGTTTTCTATCTATCTACTACTTTCTATAAGACTTTAATTAAAGAATATAATAATCCTGATAGTATCTCATATCAATCTGCTTCTGTTTATACATCTAAACATATTGGCAAAGACAATACAATATTTGATAAATTTGATATCATACTTATACCTATTGTGATTGCTTCTGGATTAGAAACTATTCTTATCAATATCAATCTAGCTTAATAAACAATTTATTTTTATGATAGCTTAATTAATGGTGTTGGATCATAAAGTATGGCATAATCACACATTGCTCAAAATGGTTTATTGAATAATCCATTTTTAATGTGTTGTCTAAGATTCTTAGAGATAGAGTATAATTAGAAATTAATGAAGACCTTATCATTATTGAAATGGAACATAGTCTATTCTCCACATGAAAAAATTATAGAAAACTCAAAAACGAATACTATGATAGCTTTCTTAATGACACAAATTTCTAAAGGTATATAAGTTGAGAAGACATTTACAATATAGCTTGATCTGGCTAAATTTACATCAAACCTTTTAAAATTGTTTTCATAACTTGGTATTACATAGAATAGAAAGAATGAATTAAATTTCGAGAAAATGGTATTATGATCATTGTTATTTTTTTATATTTTATCATTTAAAGAAAAAGAAGCATTCTGATTGATCATCTAATTATAAATCGATATATTTTGTTCTAGTAATTTGTTCGATTTTATTTAATTGAAGTTACCATAATTATTTTTCCTTTCTTAATCCTTTAACATTTATTACATCTGCTCTTGCTTTATATAGGTTATTCTTTACTAAAGAAATTTGAATATTCAGAAAATCATTTGTTAACAGATATTTATTTTGACAAAGTTATGTTTATATATGAATATTGTGTTCTCTTATGGTAAATTTAACTTATTGTTTTATTATTCTATAATAATATGACTAAAAGGCACATAGATAATCAGATATTTTAATAATTTTTTTAATTTGCAAAATATATATCAAGAACACTTCAGAATGTCCTAGAAGAAAAATAAAAGTATGAAAAAAGGAGTACCAAACTTTTTACTCAAAACCTACAACATCGTTATGGTATTAAACAATTTATACATCTACGAATATTCCTAAATTGATCATCAGAAATTTTGATGATTTTAGGAATTAAATTCTCGAATTATTAATTATATTCATTTGATTTTTAATAACTTTTAGAATCCAGAAAACGAAGATATTATTGGATTTACTGATAAAGGAAATGCATTTGTAGTTAAAGATCAAACCAAATTAAGTAATGAGATTCTACCAACTCATTTTAAACATCATAATTTCAGTTCTTTTATAAGATAATTAAATATGTATGGATTCAAGAAAATTCGTAATGTTAATAATCAAAATGAATTTAGTCATTATTATTTCAGGAAAAATATGGAGTATTTTAACTATTTTAATTTTAGACACTTATTAATCAATATACCAAGAAGAAATGGTGGTATTAAGACTAAAAAAGAAAAATCAATTAAAGTAAAAAATTACAAAGTGAAATAAATTCAAGAAGACTTATTTGAGAAATATAATTCTTTAAAATAAGACATTTTAAATATCAATATAGAATCAAATTTTATAAATAAATAAGTAGAATAGGTATTATTTTGTAATGCTATTAGTTTTAAAACACTTAATCCACGCTGCTTGAATCCTATCACTCTTTATTTATGGAATTTAGTGTTATAAAAAATAAGCGCCAAACTTATAATGATTTAATGTGTTAATTGCTATTTAAATTAACAAACACTTCTCCTAATGATTAATTACAAAGTATTATAATCAAATTAATATTTTAGATATGGTTTAAAAATTCAATAATACAAATTAAAATACAATGAGCAATGGAGCTGGTAGCTCTGATAATAATAATGAATAGAATGGAGGATCTAGTAAAGATGGTAATTTAAATATTTTTATATTCTAGATACAAATTAGAGTAATGCAAGTAACCAATAATTAGAAGAAGAAAGAATAAAGGCTGTATGATTATAACAATTTTTTTTGTTTATTACTATTAAATGATATTATTAAAATTTTATATTTATTAATTAATAATTGTTTTATTCAACGTTCTCAATTCAAAACTATTAAAATTACATTTGAAATTGCTTTTATGAATATTACTTTCAGAAATTTCATGTATATAAAATTTTATTTAGAAAAAGGTTTTCTTTTAATAAACACTATATTTATTCTTAATGAAAATAAAAACTCTTTATTACTGAGAGAGGGCAATATATAAAATTAATTTAATTAAAATATAATGATAATTACTGGATGCGGTCACTTTTACTAAACAATAAAGTAATTGGGTTCAGGTTCTTTTGGATCTGTTTATTTGGTCAAAGATCTTAACACTCAATATGAATTTGCATGCAAAATTGTAATTATTACTTTAAGAATTTTGAAGATTTCGAAACATCTAATTAATATTTATAATGCATCATAGATGATCTAAAGTGAGATTTCCATACACTCTTCTTGTAATCATAAAAATATTGTGAAACTATATTCATATTGGGAAGATTAAAACAACATCTATATTCTACTTGAATATTGTAGCAAGGGTCATCTAATTAACCCAAAGACTCAATTCACTGAAGATGAAGTATTCTAGATTTTCCATCAAATTCTAAGTGGTGTTGATTATCTTCATTAACATAACATAATACATAGAGATTTGAAAGTAATCATCAAAAATTACTATGTAGTTTGAAAATGTACTTATTCATGAAGATGGAACTCTAAAATTATGTGATTTTGGATGGGCTATCAAGGTTCAATAGTTACCAGTTGAAAATGTGATGTGTGGTACTACTGAATATATGCCACCTGAAGTAGTATCAAAATAAGTACTGGATTTTAAAGTTGATACTTGGTCATTAGGAGTTATCCTATATGTATTTAAATATTCTTACAATATAGGAATTATTACATGGTTCTTTCCCATTTATTGGACATGATCAATAGGAATTGGTTTAAAATATTACTATGAATCAATTAATAATTTCTAGAAGAAGTGATATTAGTGAAGACTTAATCAACTTAATTCAAGCATTGTTGATCAAAAATCCTGAATTAAGACCTAGTGTATAATAAATATATTTATGTAAATGGGTTAAGCGATGTATGAAGACACATAATCTTTTCAATCATTATGAAAATGAATAATTGAAATTGAAGGTCAAACAAAAAAATATAGCTCTAAAAGTTGTTCAAGATGTTAAATAGTAAATGATTTTATTAATATTATATAGTTTAACACCAAATATTAAAATTAAGAATTCACAAGAGGATATTGATGTCAAATTAACAAATAGTATAAATACCATCTAATCACAATCTACAAATACATCTCCAAAACCTAATAAATATGTTGATAAGTTTTTTAGTTTTATAGAATTATTTAAAAACTTTTGATATAAATTCTTAACAATTTTATATTTGAAAATCATTAAGTCAATTATCTTCCAATTAACCATTTCCTAATTTCAGTTGTTCCTGCTCCTATTTCATAAAGTTTAGCATCATTCATAATTCTTCCTACTGGATATTCTTAAGTATATCCATTTCCACCTAAACATTAAATAGCCTCTAATCCAACTTAAGTGGCATTAACAGAAGTATAATAAATTAATGCTGCACAATCCTTAAAATAGATAAGTATATTACTGTATTTGTTATATTTCCTGAATCAACAGCACGAGATACTGAATACAGCATTGCTCTACTTGCTTATAAAGTTGTGTACATCTCAGCCAATTTTCCTTACATTAATTAAAATTGTCCAATTTGTTTTCCAAACTATTATCTAGTATTACAATATTCTCTTGAAATATCAAATGCAGCTTGCATTAATCCTACAGGTCCAGCAGCCAAAACTAATCTTTCATAATCTAATCCACTCATTAAAACATAAACTCCTTTATTTACTTCACCTAATACATTTTCTGCAGGAACTTCAACATTGTCAAAATAAATGGGTCCTGTATCAGAACACTTCATTCCAATTTTATCTAATTTTTTACCTCTTGAAAATCCTTTCATTCCTGATTCTACAATAAAAGCAGTAATTCCATGTTATTTCTTTTCAGGTTCTGTTTTTGCATATACAACAATAACATCTGCAACAGGTCCATTAGTAATCCACATTTTACTTCCATTAAGTATATATTTATCACCAACTTTTTTGGCTGTAGTCTTCATAGATACAACATCTGATCCAGCATTAGGTTCACTCATAGCTAAAGCTCCAACCCATTCTCCTGAACATAATTTTGGTAAATATTTCTTCTTTTATGCTTCATTTCCATGTCTTTAAAGTTAAGCAACATTTAAAGCACTATGAGCAGAATAACTTAATCCAATTCCACCTGATGCTCTACTGATTTCTTCCAATATCATACAATGAGCAGAGTATGAAAGACCTGATCCACCATAAGCGGCTAACATAATTACATTAATCTCTTACGATCAACTGTGGCTCCCAATAATCCTAGATCTCCCATCTTTCTCCATAAATGTGGTGGAAACTTGCCTTCTTGATCTGCTTTGTCAGCTAATGGAGCTACTTCTTCTGTAGCAAATTTAGTGACATGTGATCGTAATTCTTCTACTTCTGGAGATAGATTTGAAATGAAATTGAAATTCAAAAGGGAGAAACAAGATCTTAGCTTAATAAACTTTGGAAGCATTTATTATTAATGATATCAATGACATACGTATCATTTTAATAATGAAAGACTTAAGAGAAGTTAAAACAATTAATTATTAATAATATTCTCTAGAATATTGATAATAATTAATTATTTAAATATGAAACTTTTGGTTATTATCTTTATTGTGATATTTATAAATAGTGCATACACAGGTGCAAATTGTGTTTAAGCATTTTGTTCAAAGGAAATTAAATGATGTAGAGAAGTTTAGACTTGTTCATAACATCTTTCTAAATGAACAAATGAATTTAGAAATAGTGTTAAAAAGGCATAAGATTCTAAAGCTTATAAATGAACTGAACATGCATATGATGATGTAAAAAGATTTAATCATTTAATTTAAGTTTAATTATTGTATGCGAAATCACGAAAATGCCAGAGCCATTAATGAGTGTTAAGCTAGGCATTGTCTTAAAAAGAATTTGATTGGTATAAATATTGATATTGAAAATTTGAAGAATATTATTGCATGATTGGAATAATAATAGATGTTTTTATTCAGATATTTAAAATATCCAAATAAACAAATTTTTATTGCTCCTTACAATCATTTTATTAGTATTTTCTATTAAAGAAACAAAAACCCATAGGTGATTGTTTAAATCAATACTGTAGTGTTGAAGTAGAAGGTTGTAGAAAAGATTAAACTTGATAATGAATATAATTATTTATTCTAGCAAAAAATAAATCTCTAATTGTTATTAGATAACTATGGATGATTTATTACCTGCTGAAATTTAAAGAAGTAAAGAAGCTGTAATATACTTAAATTAATTAAATAGTATGATTTATGTTTAAGTATAATATTAATATAAGTATAATTTCTATTTAAATATACTAATTCTTATGCAAAAGTATAAAATTTAGCAAAATTTAAGTAGAGAAATTGCCCTAATAGATTATTTTTCATATAATAAAAATAGATTATATATTTATATATATATATTTCTTTAATAATTATTAATGTAAATCAAATATCAAGCAATCATTCTTGGAGGTGGATAAAAAGCAGGAAGCATGTTATTCCCACTTTGTTAAAGTTATTCTAAAAGTCTCTTACCTGTTTGCAATAAACCTATGATTCTTTACTAATTAGATGTATTAGAAATAGCTGGATTTGGGCCACAAGACATTTTAATTTTGTTAACTAAAGATCATTAAGCTGTGGCTGATTTAGTTTAGAGAAGAGCAGAAATATTTTATGTTAGTGATGATTCTGACTCTGGATCTGCATTATTGGAAGCACATGAAAAAATAAAAAAAGATTTCATACTTTTATCTTGTGATAGTATGATAGGAGCGAATATTTTAGATTTATTAGATTTTCATTATTCAAAAAAAGCAACAATCACTTGTTTAATTAAAGAAGAAGATTTAGATAAAAAATAAGGAAGAGCACCTATTTCATGTAATTTAGATGAATCGTATGATATTATGTTTATTGGCTCAGATCATAGTTTATTACATATAACTAATTAAGAAGATGATGATCAAGCTAATCTTTCAATTAGTCGAAATGTTTTATTAAGTTGTGAGAGTGTGTAAATTATGACAAATTTATTTGATACACACATTTATGTTTGTTAATATGAAGTATTAGAATTATTTCAAAAACTTAGTAAATTAGAAAATGAAATTTAAAATTGGAAATTAGAATTTCTACCTTATATTGTAAAACATTAAAAAAATGTGAATTTACTAAATTTATTATCTAAATAGGAATAAGGACTCTTTCATGAAAGAAAATAATAATAATTTTCAATTAAAGTATTCATAACTTAAGAATATGCTAGAAGATTAAATAATATTAAAGATTACTAATAAGCAAATTATGAAAGTATGATTAAAGGGAATAAAGGAATATAACTTTATTAAGGAGTTCAGGATTCTCAAATCTAAATTTAATATCCATAAGATGCTCGTATTAGTCCTGATTCAATTATTGGAGAAGGTACTAGAATTGGCAATAAGGTTAATATATAGAGATCAATTATTGGTAAAAATTGTACTATTGGTGATCATGTAAAAATTAGTAATTCCATTATTATGAAAAATGTAGTCATTAATTCTAAGTAAATATTATTATCACATTTAAAATAGCTGCATTATCTAACATTGTATATTATCTAATGAATCTGCTGTTGGACATACAACAGAATTAAATAAATGTAATTTAGGAAATCTAGCATCAGTTGAACCTAATTAGAAAATAGTTGATGAATGTATAATTTGATGATGTTTGTATAATAATATATTGAAATAAAAATATTTATTAAATATGTTTGTGAATACAATTACGTTATTGATTTCTTTCATATTTATATATTCATTAGGACATGTATACATGACCAGAGTTACATATATAAATAAGGGGAATGTGGAAATAGTAATTGGTTTCTTGAATCAGTTTATATCATAAAATTATTATTCTCCTGAAGCATTTACCAAAGAAGTAAATATCAATTCAATTTTAAGTTTAATACCATTCTTGTTTAGCCTTAACATGATTATTGCATTAAATCAGATACTTATAAATACTACCATCCAGAAGTTATTATGAATGATACATATACCTTTAGAGAATATAGAGGTGTTGTAAAAGATGCATTATAATAATATTTTTTTGATGTCTTGCCTAACGTTTATCTCCATAGAAAAAATAAAGACAGTATGTTTCCTAATTATTGAAGAACCTCATTTATTTAAACTACCACTCAAACTTACATTACCATTTACTTATTATGATTAATTGATCCATTAATTTAAGGTTGGATAATGTAATAATATAATTAACTATAGAATCTTTATGCTTATTTTAAAATTATAATCATTTACCTTAAAGATCATCCTTATCTCATAAAAATAGATTGATGACAAATTAAATGAACTATTTGCGTGTTCTGCGTCAAAATGGTGTTGATGCAGATTGTATAGTATCCATTTTTATTTTAATATAAGGCTAATGCAACCTATTTACCTAAAACATATAGATTATTCAATGAGAATGAATGTTTGTAGTTTTTTACATACATAAATTCACAATAATATGAAGATAAAATTAAAACAGATGGCCCTTAATTTATTATAAAAATGGGAAAGGAAGTACATAGAGGTCGTGGGATTAATATGTTATTTTCTTAAGAGAAAGAAGAATTAAATAAGAAATTTGATAAAGGAGAATTATGTGGTTCAGTAAAAACATTTAAAGTGGCTTAATAATATATTGGAAATCCTCTTTTGTATAAAGGACATAAGATTGAATTCAGAGTGTATTGGATTTTGGCATCCACTAATCCTATTATTGCATATGCTTATGATAAAACTTTAATTCGTAGATGTATATATCCTTTTGATAAATTTTCTCTATTAAAGGGGGCTCATGTGTGTAATACAGCTATAGTAAAAAGTACTTTGAAGAAAATGTAGAATGAAGATGATGATGATAATGATAGTGATGAAAATGATGATGATGATAATAATGATGAAATAAATAGTTAGGAAGATACCTTATTTATAGATTGGAAATTAGATCATTTATAGGATATCTTATTGAAAGAAGGTAAAATTTAGAACAAAGAATGGTTATAAAATGAATTATTACCTAAAGTGGATAGGATGATTATTCATGCAATCAGAAGCACTCAGCACACATTTGCAAAAGATAGTAAATTAGGAGAATTCTTTGCAGCAGATTTCTTATTAACTGATGAATTGGATCTCCATATTATGGAAATTAACTATAATCCATAGACTCTAAATACAACTGAATCTAGAAGATAACAGCATTTTAAGATGGTTTATGATATGGTAGATATTTCAAATGCATATTTGAGAAGCAGATATATGAGGTTTCAAAGAATAGTTGAGAAATTACTTAAAGAGTTGGAAGAAAAGAAGTAGAAGGTGAAGGATTTGATTACAAATTAGATTGGATAAGAGATTCATAAAGCATATGTAGATAGATTGGAATAAGGAATAAGTATTAGTTCAAATAATTTGTTTCGATTGTTGATGGATGAGAATTTAGAAGGAACTAAAATTTATAAGGATCTTATTTAAGAAAAGTGTTTAGTATGAAAGAGATTTTATAAAAATATATTTCAAATTAAATATTATATATAAAAATGAGTTTTCCAAATTAAGATTATTTAACAATGATCAAAAACAAATAGTAACAATAGCAATAGTCACCATTATAATAATAATTTTGTTATCCAATGATGTAAAATATTGTTAGAATTTAAAGGTCTCCTTAACCTTGGAATTATTGGATGATGTAGCAACAATATTAGTAAATTCCTTAGATGTAGATATCTCCTATATTGTCCTAATAGCAAATGATGTCTCCAATCTCACCTTTAAATGTATCAATGATTCCTCCTTAATTTTTGTTGCAACCTCAGTAAAATTAAAGTAAATTATCTACTTCCCAATCTTAACCACTCTAAAATAAACAATATGTGGAAGTAAATGGGACCAAAGTGAAAATGTTTATGAAATTAATCAAAGATGATGATGATATGTTGGATTATGATGAAATAAAAAGAGAAAAATTAAAAAAAGTCAATTTGACAAATAAAAGGAAATGAATTTTTTCCTTTATGAAAATAATTAATTTATTCACTTACCGTTGAAATTAAAAATTAAAAATATACAATTTATTATGCTTGTCTAACAGCAATAAAGATAGATGCCTGCTACACCCATTCCAGGCAATGCACGCAAAGTTATAGAGAATTTCAGTTATGCCCTATCAGATGCTATCGGAAAAGGCTTTAGTTCCATTGTATACAAAGGGAGAAATGATGAAACCAATGAGGTTGTCGCCATTAAAGTCATTGATAAAAAAGGACTTAAGACTCCTCTACATTATCAACTCTTGAGATCTGAAGTTGAAGCTTTATCCTAACTCAATTCTCCAAATATCATGAGATTATATAAGGTTTACTACACTGAAAATAATACATATCTAATCACTGAATTTTGTGATTCAGGTGACTTAGGATAATTGGTAACTAAAACTGGAATTTAAAAAGAATAGAATATGCAAAAAGTATTCTATGGTATCATACAAGGTTACAAATAAATGAAATAAAGGGGTATCTTAATTAATCTATTTAATTAGGTATTGTACATAGAGATCTTAAACCAGCCAATATTCTACTTAAAGGATCAGTTCCAAAAATAGCAGACTTTGGATTTGCAACAACTCCTCAAACTGTTCTAACCATGCCTAATGTTAATGTTGGATCCCCTTTATATATGAGTCCTTAGGCATTCAAAAACAGATATTCAGAAAAATCTGATATTTGGGCTTTGGGTGTAAGTCTATATGAATTATTATTTGGGCAAGTTCCCTGGTAAGCAGGAAGTGAGAGAGAATTAGCCTAAAGAATGGCCACTGTGCCAGTGCATTTTCCAGGTCATATATCAGATGAATGCAAGGATTTTATTTACAGATGTTTGATAGTAGATGAAAGTAGAAGAGCCACAGTTGAAGAATTGGAAAGCCATATATGGTTGTCAAAATAAGAACTCTAACCTATTAAAGGAAATGGATTCTCTAGTATGTTTAGGAGTAATCAATAAAGCAATCAACAATAACTCTTATAGAATAATACTGTTGCAACTCCTTTGGGAGATACTCAAAATAAATAATCTATTTAATTTCAAACAAGGGAATCCAATTATGGTAAAGAGAATGCTATAATTGTTAAACAGTCATAATAATCTATCATGTAGTAACCATTAAAATCAATCAAAAGAGTCTAGGAGTCAAGGAAGGAATCTTAAATCAGTTAATAGATGAATCAAGAATATTCAAATCAAAGGGAGGAAGAATATTGGAGTGAATCTAAAAAGAATGATTACATCATTTTAGCTTAGCTAAATTTCTGTAGATATCTGTATAGGGTTTCTGCTTTAATGGATAAACATCGATTTGTTCAAACTCCTTATTTGAGAGAAAAACTTATGTTTTTAGTGAATAAGAATATCATGATTAAATTAAATTGTTTAAATGAAGTTATGTAAGGACAAAATACTCTAGGATTAGAAAAGTTTTAGTAATATGTATAAAATCCTTAATATACAAAATTATGTACAGCAATTCATCAATATAATCAAAAATACACTCTTTAATTTAATACTGTTTGGTTGTCTCTCTAGAATCCAGATTAAAAATCATAATTAGCAATGGATAAAAAATTTGATGCTGTTTTTGATGAAAATTTTACTGAATATGAATCGTTCTATATAATTTTGAATTCTATCTTAAGAAATGCAATAAAAGAGATTGAATATTCACTCGAATCCAAAATAATAGTTTAAGATACTTAATAATTATTACCTATTGATATAGAAGGAGGTGTAATTCTACTTGATTATTTAATCACATACTTTTAGTTGGCTACTCTAATCTAAGAATGTTTTGAGAATCCTTATGAATTTGCTGTTGATTCTAAAATTGAATAAATTGCAGATGGCAAACCAGTCCGATTAACTTATGGCCATTACATTGAAATAAGAAATAAAATAAAATAACTTGATATCTGATTTATATGTAAAAATATTATTATTATTATTAATATTATAAAATTTAATGACTGAATTTGATGTCATTTTAGTACCAACAGAGGAAGCTTTTCATTTATTAAATTTTCCAATCACTCACATGAATGAATTTGAATCTGTTTATTAAATTGATAAAATTAATTACAAACCAATATCAACACATATCGAATTACTTTATGCAAATAAGAGCTAAGGAGATTAGAGATTAGAAGAAAAAGTTAAATTTAATTCGTAGATTATTAATAATCGCACATATTATGCATTGACAAAATTAGATGAGCATAATAAGAAAATATATCTTTATGTTATAACTAACTTTTAAAATATGCGTGTTTAAACAACCAAAGATGTTGAAGTTTAACCATAACCATAATAATAATAATAATAATAATAATAACAATAATAAAACTTATAGAAGAAATATTATAAACATTATTAAGAAATTAAATCCAAAGAGACAACAGTTGAATTAAAGCTATAAAATTTGAATTTAGAGATTCCAAAAAATATACAATCATCTAAGTAGATGTCCTCTGATGAATATATCAAATATATTTTCGATAATTGATATTGATTTTATTTTCAATAAATATTTATAATTTTTATATGAAAGGAGTTTCTAAATTGAAATATAGGATTGTGTATTGTTCAGGTGAAGATTAAGACTATCCTGTGACTGAATTGCTCACTTAATCACCATAAAGCAGAGGTTGGCAAGCACCTAAATATTGTGAATATCCACAAGAAATAGCAATTTAATTTGTTAGTGCTGCAAGAGTTAGATAAGTTTAATTCTTATCTCATCATTGCAAGATATCTACAAAAGTATCATATATTAAGATTTAGATTGAATTGTATGTTCATATGCCAGATAAGAATGTACCTCCACAATATAATCAAATCAAATATAAGAAATTAGGATATTTATCTCTTGATTCCAATGAGAGAGGAGGATATCAGGCAAGAGAATTAAAAAGTGTATATATTGACACCCCATGTCTATTCATGAAATTTGTATTTCAAAAATGCTACGTGAACAAATTTAATCTCTTCAATTAAATTGGTGTAATTGCTTTATCTGTGTTTGGTGAACCTCTCGATTCCCCTCCTGGGTATGGATAGATGAAATAAAAAGAATTTTATAATGAAATTTAATTTGAAACACAATTCGATTAAAATACACTAGAAAGATTGCGATTATTAGAGGAAGCAAAGGATAAAGGTATTTCTAAATTAAAAATAATTAGCTGTGTCAAGGGAAGATTTCATGGAAGCAAAGAGAATAAAAGAGGCTATAGAAAGATTAAAGTAAATAGGAGTTCAATTAAGAACATTGGAAGAGAGAAAGGCAGTGGCGATATAGAATGAAGACTATGATTCAGCTAGTATTATCAAATAAGAAATAGAAAAGTTAAGGAATGCTGTAGCTCCAGATTCTATGATAAGAAGACCAGATAGTGCAGTAATATTAAATAATTAATTTAGTAATATTAATAATAACCTGTTTATTAACCATAATAATAATTCTAATAATAATAATAATAATAATACTATTAATAATAATAATAATATTAACCACCACCTGTTTAGTCTTAAATGGCTTTTGTTCCTCCTTATTAAGCACCTCCACCATAAATGCCAATATAAGGTGATGAAATGATTTCATAATCATAATTTGAAGAACAAAGAGCAGATCCATCATAAATGAAACAAAAAAGAGTAGCAAAAGAACTCAATTAACATCATGAAGATATGGTTGTACCAGCTGCCTTAAGAAAGTAAAACAATAACTAATATCCTGATGATGATAAATAATAATAATAATAATGTATGATCAATTTTTAATTAAAGATACAACTGAACCATTAACAGGAGACAGTCTATAAAAAGCTGAACCATTAATACCTATTTTGACAGAGGAATTCTGTTAAAAAATATTTAGTAAATAATGGGGAGCTAGAGAAGATGGATTAAAATGGCTTGAAGATTAGATAGGTAGACCAACTTAAGTCAATTCTTAGGATCCATCTATTTTCTTTTTAAGTTCAATAGCATCTATAAATTATACTCTGGGTGATAAAGTTGCAGCTGTTTCAATAAGAAGTTTAAGTGTATTACAATCTTTACTTGCAAAATATCCAAAAATAAAAATAAATAAAAGTGCTGAATTCAATGAACATATTGATGGAATTTTATAGTCTTTGATGGAAAAGCTAGGAGAATAAAGAAAGGAATCAGCTGAGAATGCATTCTTGTAAATGGCTGATCATCCATCTGTTGGTCCTGCCATTTGTGTTTAACATTTAATTAAAGGATTTGTTGGAAAGTCTAAATTATAAAGCTCAACTAAGCATATTGTAGGGAGATTAGCAATGTTGACAGAATTAGTAAAGAAATATGAAATCAATAATGCTAATATGCCCTATTAACCAATTGTTGATTTTGCTGTAAAATTGTTGGACGATAAAGTATACTCTTATTAAATTGCTTTAGAATGAACCAATTAGAACGTAAGCCATCTTACTCTTGGTAGAAGTGTATAAATTTACTGGAAATAGACTTAAACAATCTTTGACAAATGTCAGATAAGCTCAATTAGATGTTTTAGAAGATTTCTTTAATAAAATTGATGGAGGTGGAGATTTTGATGATCAACCATAAATCAATTAATAAAGAGCAATTATTCAAACTAATATTGAATCTTAAGGAGCCAAGAAAGGAAATCAAAATTAGACATAGAATTAAAAACCATAGTAATAATAAAAATAATAATAATAATAATAATAATAAATTGATTAATAAAATACAACAAAATGTGAATTTTGTGATAAAGTTGATCCATCATTTAAAAATACAGATTATTCAGATAAGCATCTTTGGTCAGAATGTCCTATGTTAGTCACTTGTTCATAATGTGGATAAGTAATTGAGATAGCTGAATTAACAAACCATTTGTTGAGTGAATGTGATCATAAAAGAAAATTTAAGAGATGCCCCAAATGTAAAGAGGCTATTCTTTTGAGTGGTTATGATAAGTAATTAATTTATAAAACTTAGACATTTAGAAGATTGCAGAGGCAGAAATGATAATACAACAGTGAGATGTCCTTTATGTCATTAAGATTTGAAATTAGAGAAGAATACATGGAAAAATCATTTAATCAAATAAGGATGTCTAAATAATGAAAGAACTGCAGGTTGACATAATCATTCATCAATTCTATACTCAATATTATTAATTAAATTGTAAAATAATGTATTATTTTAATTTTCAATTCCAAATTTAGTTGAAAAAATGTTTTAATTCCTTTAAAAAATTGATAAAATTATCAAAATATTTATGATGAAGAATAGATGATAGGTTTAAAGTTAACCATATTAGGTCAATTTATCAATAAAATTTTTTATGAGTTGTTTTTATGCATTAGCTTTTAATGAAATTATAGTTATTCTAAAGGAGTATAATACTTTTAAATTGAATATTAATAACAAATGATAATGTTTATAGCAAATTACAAAATAAGGGGAATTTTTTTATCAATTAAACAAGAGATAGGTTTTTTAATGTACTTAAATTAATTAATTCATAATTCTTGTTTAGAAAGAAGAGAGAGTCATTAAGTAATGATATTTATAATAATTATACAATTACTAATTGTTTTTTAATCAATATATTTTAAAATTTTTTCTGTTCTTAATTAGTGATTTAATTAATTAACGAATGTATTAATATGTGGAGGGTGCCAAATTTATCCAACATCTCTAAAATTTGGATTGGAAAATAGGCTATGAATAATTGATAATAGGAGAATAATTAGCATAGGAATTATTAACTTCAACTAACATTAAAGGTGTCAATTTTAATGGAAATGAAATTGTGAAAGGCAATACATATCCAGTAGTTTATGAGGAATCATAATTAAATGATTCAATCATATAATTACTTGTTATAAATGGATAAATTAGTATTTATGGACCCTCTTTGAATTTCTAAGTGATAGATCATTAGTTTTAATACATTTAGAATGAAGCATTTTAAAATCGATACAATTTGAGTTCTGGAACAATAAGTTTTGATGATAGATAAAGAATTATACTAAATTCTGAATAATTAGTAACAGGAATGTGGAATTGTGCTTCTATCTTTAATTTACCATAAAATTAACAGTTTATTAACTGTCTTCTTAAATTTATAAATTAAATCACACAAAAGGGCAATAAGAGAATTAAATTTACTAAATAAGATTCCTTCATTCTAGTTATTTTTGATGTATCAGCAACCTGTATATTGGTGTCATTAGGAGATCCAACACAGAAATTAATTTATAAGCCAAAAGTTTATAAATTATGGGAGAATTTCTTAAATAAGAACTCTTTTTCATCTGATCTTCAATTTTCAATTAATGAATATGATCAATTAGAAAGTTAGATATCAATTCTATAAAATGAATATTCTAGTATGTTAAAATTTTTATCAGAACCATCTACACATTTAATAGACAGTGTTCCAAATAAAACAAGTCTTTTAATATTATCAAAATCAAATCATCAAACAAATAATCACAATTCAATGGCAAGTCATTAATTTTAAGGATTACTTTAAGTAAGTAGCCAAAAATTATTTACAGGAAGATCACATTTAGATACAAAAAGGGGATATCATTTATCTGTAGGATAACTTTCAGAAAATTCATTTCTTTAAGATGCTCCTTTAATCAATTAAATTAATTAATGATTTATAATTATTTTGATTTTTAATTAATCAATATTTTATTTAATAATTCAATGTAGAAGTAAACTAAAATTAAAGTAAGGAAAATCATTATTACCAAACAATTTATAAATAATTGTTTAATCAATGAACAAGCAGATTAGTAATTAAGAAAAATTTATAATAGATGTATTTTCTGTGCTTACTAGATAATCTTATTTTATTCTATTTCTTGCGGTAAACTATTAAGAAATTTACCAATAGAATAATCAATTATACCTGATAATTATTATTTAAAGTAATCATAATTCTCATTAATTAAGAAACATAGTAATTACAAAGTAATTTGATTCAAATAAATTAAGAATTTATGATATAACCACAGCTATGCTATTGAAAACTATTATGAAGAAGGATTTAAAGATTTCATGTTTAACTATAGATTCTAAATAAACTCTATTGGCATTATCAGATTTTAAGGGCAAAATAAGTATAATTAACATTAAAAATGGATTATTGATTTCAAGTTATTATTAATAAATGGGTTGTGCTCATTATTTAAAATTCAATAATTCTGAAACTATTTTGTACTCTTATTCGAAATAATCTGCTTAAGTATTTTTTGTATACCTTATACTTAGGGATTTGATGTGATAAAGAAATAAATAGTTTGGTAAATTGAATTAAATACTAAGAGCCCTGAAATATATATTAATTAAAATGGTAGATATTGTTTAAGAACTTAAAATTGTATTGATCCTATAAAATAACAAACTTATATTCAAATTGAGAATTTAGAAACTTAGGATATATAAGGTTATTTTTGTAATATAGGAATTATTAAGGAGTTTTCAATATCGAATAATGGTAAATTTTAAATATATAATTGAAAGAAAAATACATATTGATTGTATCAGATCATATAATATAAGTCTATGACAGAGTATTATGTGATCTGATTTTATAATTGGAATTTAAAGATATAATTTTTAGAGCTGCTTTGTGTTATAATAGTGAATAAATACTTGTTACTAGCGAAAATTCAAATATATAGTTTTAGTAATAGCTGATTTATAAGAAGTAATTTTTAAGGAGATTGTATACACACTATATCTGGCATACAAAATTTGTGGGTCGACATTTATTAGAAGAAATACATTACGTATAATAAAGGATAATATAGAGTTTAGTTTTGAAATAATTCAAAAAAAAGATAAAGATGAAACTCTTTATAAAAAAAAATAATTTTTTAATTAAATTATTAAAATTCACAACCCATTCAAGTTTTTAAATAGTCTCAAATTAATTAGTTTATAATAATATAAAATAAACTAAATAATATCTTATAATGTGTAAAATATATTATTGTTAAATTTAAGAAAATAAAATTTATTGAATGAAATAGAATTTTTAATTAAATTAACATTTACGTTAGTTCAAAGCTTTACGTTAATTCAAAATAGAGTATTCCCGTTTTTAAAGAATGTAGCTTCAAATACTAACCATACATCTAAAAAATTCAATAATATTAAATGAAGGCAATATTAGGATTGTTAGCCATTATTGTGTTAACATAAGCTGGATTTGTTTAAAAATATCCATTGAACTATTCTAATAAAAGAAATATTATGTCTATTATGACAGAAGTTGAAAGCAAATTACAAACTAGAAATCCTCTTGACACAATCAAAGGCATTTTGAATTCATTCAAATCAGAAGTTGCTTAAGAATAAGGAACTCATGATGAAGTTTATAATGCTTAAAAAACTGAATGTGATAGTGAAATCGATTACAGATCAAAAGAAGTTTAAGATGCCAATAGCATCCTTACAAGTGCTAATGGTATATTAAAAACAGCAAAAATTATCAAAGGTAAGACTAGTGCAACACTTGATGCTACTGAAGAAATTTTGAACACTGCAACCAGACATATTGAAATGATTAATTCAGCCAGAAAAGAAGATACTCAATCTTACAATAGAGCTGCTGTATCATTCAATGATGCAATTAATGCTATTGATGATTCAATTGATTTGGCTACAGCTTTAGCTAAGGGATAAGTTAGTTTAGCTTAAGTGGCTGAATTATCAACTAAATTATTGAAATCAGCTTTGGCAACCAAATTAATTTAAGAATTTAAATAACCAATGGCTGCTTTAGCTGCTATCACATAAGAAGAAGAGGCAGGTGCTGCTGAAAGACTTGTATAATTACTCCAAACTTTGAGAACTGCTGTTGAAACTGCTTGGACAGACTATACAACTTAAAATTAATTAGGTCTTCAATAATTTATGAATCAAAAAGATTTATACAATGCTACTTAGGAAAGATTAGATAAAGCTAAATCAAGATTGGTTGCAAAATTAGAAGCAACTGAAGGAGTTATATCAGTTTAAACTGCTGTTGCTCAAGCTGCCACTAATAGAAGATCAAGAAATCAAAATTTATTGGAAGATGCAAATGACTTATGTCATAGCTTTGATGTTGAATATGAAACAGTTACTGCAGGAAGAAGATAAGAATTAGTCTTAATAAATGAATTAGAGAGATTGGCCACTAGAAGAGCTGCTGAATAATAAATATGATTTATTTTTCATTTAGTTTTTCATTCATAAGACTTTTACATTATTATATTTATAATTAATATGATGTTTGTTTTTTGATGAAAATTTATGTCATAAACTTTTGTAATTATCTCCTCCTTTTTCTTAATTTGATTCAAAATCTATTGAGAAACTAATAAAGATCTTTTTATCAAAATTTTTATTAGAAAATGTTTTGATAACTCCATTAAATCCTATTATTATTAATTTTTTAAATGAATAAGAGAACAATTTTTGTATATATATAATTTAGAATAATGATCAATAATTCAATAACAATAATTAGCTCTTTTAAATTTCTTTAAATATAATAGCATTATTATTAAAAGATATAAAAATTGAGTAGAATTTATAAGAATATTTATAATAATACTAAAAAGACTATAGATTTATTAAATGTAATACTTTTTTAATTATATAGAAATATATGAAATTATCTATATCATTAATTATAGTATATGATAATATTGAATAAAAGAATATTTGATGAAGTACATAAAAATTATGTTTAAAATAAAGATATAAATTATATTAATTAATGGAATTGTTCTTATCAACAGATTTAAATTCATAATTCTTAACACTTTTGGCTCATTATACAAGATTGGTTACAACTGGAAGAGTAAAATTAGTGGTGCTTTCAAATCAAGCATAAAAATTAAATGAAGAGGGCATAATAAAATTGCCATCCATTCCTTCATTGGTAACAGAAGATGCATAATTATTAACAAATGTTTTCTCCATTGCATAGTATTATTAAAAAATACTAATTTAGATATTTAACTAATATTTCATTTACAGAGAAAATACTCATTGGTACAGATAATTAAATATTGGGACAAGTAAAATAATCTAATAAAATGATAGGTTTTATAAGTTTTTGAAGCTTAAAGAAAGATTTAAGGAGAAGAATTAATTGAAGTATATATAGTATATAATTTAAGGCATTTTTGAAACATTTAGAAAGCAGAGTATTTTTTGTTACAAACCATGTAACATTAGCAGATTTATTTTTATATATTCATACATATGATATAGTGTCTACATGGAATGATGAATAAAAAGTTGGAAAGTATGTGCATTTCTTCAGATGGTATAAAATTTATTTAATAATTCTTTCATAATAGGTTTAAATAAGTTTAAGCATTACCACAAATAGCTGAAATAAACAGAACTTTGGGTAGAGTAGATGTGAAACCAGCATCTCCATTTGTTGATCTTTCAACAACTAGTAAATAAAAAAAATAGAAATGAGATAATTATGTTACATTTAGAAAAATGGAATTTATATTTATTTCAATCATCATGAATGTTATCTTCAAATTAAAATTAATTAATTTGGTAACATTCCTATTCCTATTTTATTAATTATTTATATTTTTTATTCTCTCTACATAATTTTCTAATATAACCCATCTTTTCATTTCTCTTTTCATCTAAATTAACTAAAACTTAAATTTATAAATATATACCTAAAGTCTCAGCTTTCCTTAATAGATAATAATAATCTTCTAATGTTTTTCGTGGNCATTAATTATAGTATATGATAATATTGAATAAAAGAATATTTGATGAAGTACATAAAAATTATGTTTAAAATAAAGATATAAATTATATTAATTAATGGAATTGTTCTTATCAACAGATTTAAATTCATAATTCTTAACACTTTTGGCTCATTATACAAGATTGGTTACAACTGGAAGAGTAAAATTAGTGGTGCTTTCAAATCAAGCATAAAAATTAAATGAAGAGGGCATAATAAAATTGCCATCCATTCCTTCATTGGTAACAGAAGATGCATAATTATTAACAAATGTTTTCTCCATTGCATAGTATTATTAAAAAATACTAATTTAGATATTTAACTAATATTTCATTTACAGAGAAAATACTCATTGGTACAGATAATTAAATATTGGGACAAGTAAAATAATCTAATAAAATGATAGGTTTTATAAGTTTTTGAAGCTTAAAGAAAGATTTAAGGAGAAGAATTAATTGAAGTATATATAGTATATAATTTAAGGCATTTTTGAAACATTTAGAAAGCAGAGTATTTTTTGTTACAAACCATGTAACATTAGCAGATTTATTTTTATATATTCATACATATGATATAGTGTCTACATGGAATGATGAATAAAAAGTTGGAAAGTATGTGCATTTCTTCAGATGGTATAAAATTTATTTAATAATTCTTTCATAATAGGTTTAAATAAGTTTAAGCATTACCACAAATAGCTGAAATAAACAGAACTTTGGGTAGAGTAGATGTGAAACCAGCATCTCCATTTGTTGATCTTTCAACAACTAGTAAATAAAAAAAATAGAAATGAGATAATTATGTTACATTTAGAAAAATGGAATTTATATTTATTTCAATCATCATGAATGTTATCTTCAAATTAAAATTAATTAATTTGGTAACATTCCTATTCCTATTTTATTAATTATTTATATTTTTTATTCTCTCTACATAATTTTCTAATATAACCCATCTTTTCATTTCTCTTTTCATCTAAATTAACTAAAACTTAAATTTATAAATATATACCTAAAGTCTCAGCTTTCCTTAATAGATAATAATAATCTTCTAATGTTTTTCGTGGACAGCCTACTAATTCTGCAGCTTAATCTAAAGTGATTCGAACACTTCTACCATCCACTATTTTGATTTCAGTTTAATAAACTTATCTACTTTATGATGGAATGAACAAAACCTCCATAATTTAACTAAATTCATTGCTTCATTAACAAATCTCTCTTTTGTTCTTTATCTTGGCTATTATTATTATTATTACATATATTATATATTATTATATTTATTATTTTAATAGACTCTATAAATATAACTAATTTAATAATTCATTTATCTTCTACTTTATTTTTAGGACTATGTAAAAGTAGTTTCATTTTCTGACGTTCAATTTCTTTAGCTAATTTTTGTTATTACATAAACAATTTTTCTTTTTCATCCTTAAATTATTATGCTTTATCTAATTTCTCTTTTAATTTCTTATTCTTAATGTCCACCATTTCTTTTAATATATTTTCAGCCTTCTTTTTATGATCTCTTATTAGTTCTTCTTTTTTTTGTTTTTCCTATTACAATTTGACTTTAGAGATTGATTGAGTTTCTGTAATAGATTTTAAATGCTCTTCTTCCTTTTATCGAATCTTTTCTTGACATGTTTATGATTTATTATTTTGAATACTACCATTTCTTGATTTTATCTTATAATACTAATATAATATTACATTCTATCTATGTCTAGCCTTTTCTTTTTCTATTTTTTCTATTTTATCTTCTGTAAATTTCATTCTTTCTGAAATCTAATTAATTTTATCTTCTAATTGTGAAACTTTTAATTTAGCTTTTTCATTCTTTTCAGACATTATTTTTTTTTAATTTTCCTAAAAATATCAATATAATAAATTAACCATCACTCTTTTTATTTTCTCCATTTTTTCTTTCTTTTTTTATTCAATTAACTCTATTTTAGCTTATTAACTTATTTCAATATCATCTAATTTTTTCTAATATTATTCTATTTTCTGTAACTTTTCTTCATGTTAAGCATTTTTTTCTTCCTCATTCCTTTTCTTTACTTTTTTTAATTGCTTTCTTTTTGCTTACTTCAACTCTTTCAATAATAATTCCTTTCTCTCTCTCAAATCTTTAATCTATTCTTCTTACTCCTTTTATAACTTATCCAATTCGATTTTCTTCATCAGAATTTCTTCCTATTATGTATTTATTATTCCCTCAGCTATTCTTACATAAATTATACTTTTACTTTTTTACAATAGATGGTTTAACCTTATCAGGAATTACTCTTTATTAATTATTTTTATTGCTATGTAATTCTTATAAAATATAATCTCTACTGATTTCCCTTTCTGTCAATTCTTTTAGTTTTTCTTATTCCATCTTTTACACATATAACAATTTTTCCTTCTCTTTTTCTTTTCTCTTCAATTCTATCTAGATTTTATATTATAATATTTACTCACCATTTATTTCTTTTCTTTTAAGGCTAATTCTATTTATTGCTATTTTGAACGAGTGGATTCCAAAATAGAAAATTTCCTTCTTTCTTATTCAGCTTGTTATTGCTCATATAATTTTAATTGTTCTAATTCTCGTTCCTCTTTTAGACATTATCATACCTGTTTCTTTCTCATCTTTGCAATTAATTTATCCTCCTAATCAGCTATGTATTCATTTTCATCTAACAATATAATTCATATTAATACAATAGATCCCATCAGTTGCTTTTTTCATGATAAAATAATTATATAAATGAATAATCAAAATCATTAACTTTCTATATAATTATATAAGGCTAACCTATGTTATAAATAAAGTGTAAAAATACATATGGTAAACATTATAACTCAGAATTTATGATATATTAATAAGTTTTATAATTTATTTAATAAGCATGAAAATTGACTTTTGTATTATCACTAATAAATCGTGAATAATGAGTTTTATATATCAAAATATGCATATAATAGGTCTATTTTTATTGCATCATTCATTTATATTAACAATTTGCTCTAACCGTGAATAATGTAAAATTAAAAATTTGACATTTATAGAAATTTCTCAAATTAAATTAAAAATTAATAAATAATTATAAATTCATTAAGAATAATAGATCATCTATTTCTTCGATGTATTAATAAATGTTTCTTCATAAAAGAGATTCCATTGTAATCAATAAAATTAAACAAGAATTTTAATTTCTTACCATATTTTTTAATTATAAATTTTCAAATCAAAAAATTTCAGTTATTAGAAAATAGTAAAAAAATAAATATTTAAAGAAAATCATTCTAATAAAATTAATGGATTAAAAAAAAAATTAATTTTAATTATTAAATATATAAAAATAATCACGTTTTTAGATAAATTATTATTTATTTTTTAATGCCACAATCCGTTTTTAAATCTGACGATCTTGTGGTATATAAGGAACTTTCCACAATAAGAATAAATCAATAATTAATATATGAAAATTGCATTCACAGTCTTGGTTGTCTTAGCTATAAGCAATGCTAGCATGATGTCAAAGTATCCACTCTAATATGGTGGTAAAAGAAGCATCATGAATATCATGGTTGAAGTCGAAAACAAGATTAAAACACATTCACCATTAGATTCAATCAAGGGAATCCTTAATTCATTCAAATCAGCAGTCGCTTAAGAATAAAGTGGACATGATGATGTCTATAATGGATAAAAAGCTGAATGTGATAGTGAAATTGCCTACAGAAGACTTGAAGTTGAAGATTCCAATGGTACACTCAAAATTGCCAATGGAATTTTAAAGACAGCTAACATTCTTTTAAAAAAAACTTAAGCAACTCTTGGAGAAACAGAAAACATTTTGAACACAGTTTCTCAACATATCAGTTTAATTAATGATGCCAGAAAAGAAGACACTCAATCATACAATAGAGGAGCTGTTTCATTCAATGATGCCATCAATGCCATTGATGATTCCATTGATCTTGCTAATGCACTTGCTAAAGGAGAAGCTTCTTTGGTTTAAGTTGCTGATATGACAACTAAATTAATGTAATCAGCTATTGCTACCAAAATGAACAAATCATTCATGTAAGCTATTGGTGCATTGGCTTAAATAACTTAAGAAGAAGATTCAACAGGTGCAGCTGAAAGACTTGGATAATTGTTATAAACCTTAAGAAATACAGTTGAAGAGGCATGGGCATTATACACAGCTGAAAACACTAACGCTTTGGGTCTTTTCTCATAATAAAAAGATCTTTATCTTGGTTCATAAGTTAGACTTGACAATGCCAAAACTCATTTAAGTAGCAAAGCTGAAAACTTATAAGGAACAATTTCAACTTAAACCGCTGTTGCTTAAGCTGCTAGTAACAAAAGATAAAGAAACTAAACTTTATGGGATGATGCTGCTGATTTATGTCATAGTTTCGATGTTGAATATGAAACAGTCACTGCAGGAAGAAGATAAGAATTAGTCTTAGTCAATGAATTAGAAAGATTGGCTACTAGAAGAGCTGCTGAATAATAATGATGTTAAATAGATAAATATTTTTTGTCATAAATTAAACAAAATAATTATTAATTCTTTTGATTTAGAGTTTATCAATCTCTGACTCACAAAATAAGAGAGAAATATTAAAATTAATAATTTTAAGTATGATTTTTTAGAAATAGAAGAAAATGTAAATAAATATTTAATATTTAATATTTTTATCTTCTACCTCATATTCTCAAAAAAAAATAATTTTTTTTTATTATTTTAACTTATTTCATTATGAAATGGGTTCATACAAGCAGTTAAACCATTAATTTGAATTGATATTATATTTCTATAGATCATAAAGAAATTAAAGTTTTTGTAATTTTAATTATATATAGTTAATACTGTGTTTATTTTACAATTATTCTAATATAAATAACAATGAAATTGAGATATGAAATGATATTTTATTTCGAATATATTGATTTCATAATTGATAATAATTATAAATAATTAAGAATCTTTTTTATTAGAATTATAGAAAGACAGCCTTATATATTTATATTTTAAAAAATGCACTCTAAATTATGAGTATATTAATTATAAAATTTTAATTGTTAATTGAATTACATAATTTAGATAATCTTCAAAATTACAATGAAAAGAAAATTTTATTAAAGTTTAGGGATGATAATTTGATTCCAGTAAAATAAAAAATTTTTCTTAATGACATTTCATTTCTTAATGGTTTATGATTAATCAGTAAGATTTTATTGAATATATGAGGAGAATAAACTAAGTATTGAGTTATCTTTATTTATTGTATTTGTTTATTGAAACATAAAAATAGAATCATGTTATAATTGCTCGAAATATTATATAATTAATTTAATGTCTCAAACACCAGAATAAAATCGAAATTAAGAAGTGTGGCTTAGAAACTCTTTAAACAAAAATAACAAATTAGAATTTGAAATAAAGTCTTTGTAAAATGAAGTGAGAACTAAGAATCAGTAATTGTCATAATTAGAGTTGGATTATAAGGGTCAAGTCAATTAATTATAGTAGTAAATTCAAATAAATCAATCATTACAACTTTAAATTCAATAGATTTCTCAACTTAATATTGATCAAAAGAGAGCAATTGAATAATTAACTGACCAAAATAATTAACTAAGAAATTAGCTTAAATAGGTTTAAGATACTAATAACATTGAAAAAAATTAAAGTAAACAACTTTTGGAAAGAGCTAATACAGATATCTAAAAACTAAAGAATGAAATTCTGTAATTATAGAGAAATAATGACAGTTTATAATAATAAAAAATATACCAAATCTCATAATTAGATACGAATTCCAAAAAAATAATAGAAGAACTTTAAGAATAAATTCGTAAAATGTAATTGTCAGCTACAAGTAAGATAGAATCATTGACTTCTGAATTGACATTAAAAAATGATTAATTGGATAAATTAACGAAGGAAATTAATATAAAAAAGAATGAAATCTATTAGAGTACTGCTAATTATGAAGCTGTTAATGCAACTAAATCATAATAATTGATTTAAGCATAATAAATCTAATAAAAATTATAATAAGACTTTAATGATAAACTAGCATAATTCTAAATGTAAGCCTAAATGAAAATTACATAAATGGAATAAGAAATTGTATTAAAAAATACAATAATTGAAAAGGCAAATTAAGATTTGGCTAAAAAGACATAAGAAATCAAAGAAAATAATTAAAATTTTGAATAAATCAATATATAGAATTAAAAGAAATTATAAGAAATGATGATTTAAGTTTAAAAATTATAATTAGCAATTGAATCAGAAAATACTTAATTTGATAGAAAAAAAGATGATTTTATGTTATAAATGGGAAATCTAGAAAAAGATTTAAGTATGTAATAATAATCTTCAAATTAATACACATAAAAATTAAATAATGAAATTAATCAATTAAAAAATTAAAATTTAGATTTATAAAAGTAATTGAGTGAAAAACATAAATCACTTTGTTTAATTTAAACAGAATCAGAAGCTTAAATTAAATAATTGAATTTATAAATAGTTTCATTTTAAAAAGAACTTTAATTAAAAAATTAATAAATTTAGTAAGCAGAAAGTTAATTATTAGAAATAAATGTGTTGAAATCTTAAGAAGTAGAGTAATTAAAATTAAAATTTGATCAGAGAGAGAAAGAATTATTATTGTAAAATGAGTAATTTAGTAATAATAATAAAATATAATCTTAAAGAGTTATAACTTTATCAAATGAAGAATTAAATAGATAAGTAAAATAAGTAGATTAATTTTGGACTGAAAAATATAATAATTTATCTAAATAGATGAAAGAAGATATATAACAATTAACATAATAATATCAAATATAATTGACATAAATGGAATAAGCTAATAAAGATAAATTAAAGGTAATTGAATAAAATAATAATTAATTGTTAAATTCATAGAAAGAAATATTTAATGATTAAATTAAATTACTTAATAGATAGATTTTAGATTTATAAAAGGAGAAAGAGAATTCTATTATTGAATTGGATATAATGAAAGTTAAGTTAAATGAACTTTAAGATAAGACATAAAATTTAAATAGTAGAGATTAAAGAAAAGATGAATTAATATAGAGTTAGATGGCAACATTAAAAAATAGTAAAGAAGGTATTATTTATATTCATTTTATTTAGAATTATTAAATGTTATAAATTAATAAAATTTAGCTCATAAAAAGGAGATATTTAATTTATAAACTAAATTAGATTAAGTATAACAATAATATGAAAATTCTATTAGAGAAACTAAATAAATTAAGGAATAATTAAAATTATCTTAACTTGAAGCATAGTAAGTCTAAAATTTGAGCCATTAAAAGAATAAGGAAACATTAAATGTTCAAGCTGAGAAAGAATCAGAAATAATAAAATTATAGTCAGAATTATCAAGAGTGGAAAGTTTATATAAATAAGTTTTCTTAGAATTAAAGATTATCAATGAATAAAAGAATGATCTACAAGTTATTGATGATTTTTAATTAAAAGAAAAAGATATAGAAATTGGAAATTAAAAGAGTTATATATTGGAATTGAAGTAGAAGTTATAATAATTATAAAAAAGAATTAATGAATTAGAATTATAATTATAAAGTGCTAATAAAAAGTTGGCATAAAAAGATAAAGATGCAAAAAAAGAGATTGAAGTTTTAAATCAAAGAATTAATATTTAAAAAAGATAAATTTAAGAGGAAAGAGAAAGATGTGATGAATTAGCAGGTGCATAAGAAATGGAAGTTTAAACTTGGAATGAAAGATTGAAAGAATAATAGAAATTAAATGAAGATTTATTTACATAATTAATGAGATTACAATAATAGACATCATAAAATTCAGGTTTAATGAATGAATTGCATAATTTAAAACAATAATTTGAAATAATAACTAATTAATATAAATAATTATAAGAAGATGCAGAGGAAGCTACAAAATAAAAGAGTATGGTTAAAAATGTTTAAATTTAAATGTTATAAAATCATTATAATAAATAAATGGATGAGTTAAATAAATAATTAGAAGAAATGAAATAATAAAATTTAAATTCAAAATTAGATTTTCCAATTATGGATTTTAATGTATAAATTATAGCATTAAATGATTTATTAGTAAAAAAGAATGTTGAAATTAATTAAATAAAATCTTAAACATAATATAAATTATTAGAAAAAGACAGTGTTATTGATTAATAAAGAGAATTTACATAATAATTATAAAATGAATATGAAAAATTATAATAATAATTAATGGATCAACATGAATTTTAAGAAAGAGCAGATAATTTATAAATGATTAATGAAGAAAAAGATAATACAATATAATATTTAAAAGAAGAAATTGCTAAATTAAAATAAGAAAACAAATTAATTAAAGGTAAATTAGATTTGAAAGAGTAATCTATGGTTGTAATATAAGATTAATAATAATTAATCAAATAACTAAAAATTGAATTGTAAAATAAATAAAAGAATATTCAACCAAAATAAGTTGCTATATCTCATTTATAAACAATGAAAAGTTCAATACATAGAATGAGTAAGAGATCAGAGTCTAGTAGATAAGAAAAATCTGAAGTTGATTGGAATGGAGAATCTTAATTTTTATTAGGAAATGCAAATAATTAATTGCCATGTTTTCATCAATAATCTTAAGATTCATTTACTGATAATAAACTTATTGAAAAAATGAATTCAGAAATTGTTGATACAAATATTAAATTAAGAAATCAAGTTGATTTACTTAATTAGGATAAATCAAATCTATAAAATGATTTAAATAAAACAATTTAGAATTTGAATTAAATTAAAAATGAAAATAGTGAATTGATTCTTAAACTTTAATATGTTTAAAAAGCTTTATAATCTTCATAATAAAATTATGAATAATTAGAAAGAGAAATAAATTAAAAGAATAAAAAAGAAATTAGTATTGTATCATTTGATGATTAAATGAATTCTAAAGTAAAGGTTTTGAATTAATAATTAGAAAATTTATAATCATCAAAAACATAATAAACTTAAATAATAACTCATTTATAATAAGAATAATCTGAATTATATAAATAAATAGATAGAATTAATGATTAAAATAGAGAATTAAGAAAAAATATAACTGTAATAAATGAATTAAATAAATCTTAAGAATAACAAATTATAGAATTATAGATGAAATTAAAGTAAGAATAATTAGTAACTGTTAAGTAAAATTCAGAAGTTAGAGTATTTTAATTGAAATAAGATTAAACTTCTTAAATTGTATCATTTGAAAATTAACAATTAAAATAATAAAATGTAGAATTATAGAATAAGATTTAAGAATAAAATTAATTAATTTCTAATTATGAAAATTAATTGTAAAAAAAAAATGGAATAGATAAGAAATATGAAGAATAATAGAAATAATTACGTTTATATCTTGATAAAATAGATAATTTAGAAAATGAGAAAAGATAGTTAGAATAGGAATAAAATAAAATTATAATGGATAGTAATAAATTATTAGTAAGAAATGAAGATTATGCTATAAAAGTTAACTAATTAGAAAAAACATATTAATAGTTGAAATAAGAATTATAAGAATAATAAGTTTAACATGAAAAGTAATAAGTATTTTTAGAAAGAGAGAAATAATAATTGTAATCTTAAGTAAAATTGTTAAATATTTCATTATAAAATTTACAGAGATTAAATAAATCATAAGGTTCTGAAGAAGATAATAAGAATAATTAATAAATTGTTGATAAATAAATTAATGAATTAAATTCTAAATTGTAGGAAAAGATTATTCAAAATAAAAGTCTTTAATAATAAACTGAATAATAGAATGTAGAAATAAGAAGTCTAAATTAATAAATATAATCTTTACAATAAATGTATATGCCTGTTTAAAATTAAATGGAAGAATTATAAATTTTAATAGAACAATAATAGAAATAAATAGAAAAATAATCATAATAATAAACAACATTTTCTTCAACTTAAAGGATTAATGATTTGGAAAAGGAATTATAAGAAAAGTCAAATATTATTGAAGAAATAACTTATAGGAAGTATTTCTTAGAATAATAATAATAGAATAATGTTAGAGAAATGAATGATCTTAGATAAAAGATTACATAATATTAATTAATTAATGAATAATTAAATGAATAAATAGATTAATTGATAAACGATTAAGAATAAGTAAAATTAGAACATGAATAGAAGATGATAGATTATTAAAATAGTGTAAGAAGATAGATATAAACATTTCATAATAATTCTGTTGATTTATTAGATTAAGTGGATTAATTAAATAAACAAAATTAAGAAAATAAGCAATAGATAATAAAATTAAGTTAATAATTAAGAGAACGTGAATTTGAGATTTAAAGATAATAGTAAGACTTTTTATAATAATAAAATTATTATTAAGAATTATAGGTTACAATAGTGAATGAAAACAATTAACTCAAAAGTTAGTTGCATTAAATGGAAATTGAATTATAGAATGTAAAATTCAAAGATACTTAATCAGTTACAAATTTGACAGCCTCTTAAGAATTGAAATTTAAACATTTATATGAAGCATTACAGGAGAAAGAGAATAAAACAAATTAAATGAATAAAGAATTACAACATTAATTAGTATTGTATGATAAATAAGCAAAAACATATTAAAATAGGATTTCTCATTTAGAAGATGAAATTAAATAATATTAAGAAAAAGAATCAATAAATTATGAATCTGCTGTTACTTTTCATTAACCAGAAGAGATATAATAATTACATGAATAAAATATAAAGTTGACTAGTTAAGTTTAAATGTTTTCATCTTAACATTTTCAATTAGAGAAATAATTAAATGAATATGATGAAAAGATCAAATATTTATAATTTAAGTAAGAGAATGAAATTAAAAAATTAACAGATGATCATAAATAAAGACAATAATAATTAAATGAATAAATATAAATATAAAAAAAGGACTTAAAAGATTTATAAGTTAAATTTGATTAATTAAATTAAAAATATTAAGATTAAAATTTATAGAATGAAAAGCTTTAAAAATAAAATTAATAATTATCATAATAAATATATAATCAATAAAAAGATATTAATAATTATAATTAATAAGCAAATGAAAAGTTAGAATCAGCAAATCATTTGAATTAATAACTATTAAAATAGATTAGCTAATTGAATATTATCAGATAATAAGATTAAGATGAAATTAGAAAAATGTCAGTATAGATAAAATAATTTTAAGATTAATAAGGAAATTATCAAAATCAAATTAGATCATTATAAAATTAATTAAATGAAATAAATTAGGATTAAAAGTTAGAGAAAAATGAAATAATTGATTTAAAAAATAATATAAATTAATTAATAAATGAAAATGAGAAATTAAAAAATGATTAATCTAATTCTAAATTTGATTAATTAAGATAATAAATTAGATAATTAAATTAATAAAATGAATTCTAAAAGTAAGAAATAATAATATTAAAATAATAAATTACTTCAGAATAAAATACTAATTAGAATGAAATACAAAATTATAAAAAATAAATTGATAAACTTTAAAACTAACTTAAATAAGGAAAAAATGATATTTCAAATGTTCCTGATAAATAAATGGAATAAATCATATTATTATAAGCTAATCTATCATAATTACAGAAAAATTTAAGAGATTCAGAAGAATAAAATAGAAATCTTTAAAGATAAATAAATTTATTATAAAATGATGATTATAAGTAAAAACAAAAGTTGAAAAAAAGAGCTCTTAAAGATAAAATTATAGAATTATAATAAGAATTAACAAATTCTTAAAGAGATTATAGTAGAAATGAGAAAGATAAATCAAACAATTTGGTTAAATTTTATGATAAGGAAATTGAAGAAAAATAAAGATTAATAAATTCTTTAGAAGAATAATTTAAGATTTTATAAAAGGGTTATGAAGATTAAGATCAAGAGATCAAACAATTAGAGGAAGAGAATAGCAAATTGAAATATTAATCAGATAATTATTAGAATGAATTAGCAATATTAAGAATTAATCAGAATTTGTCATTGAATCCAAATATAACTATTAATAATCTCAATATTCAATAGGAAAACAAAATACTTGAATTAAAAATTTAGAAATTGAATACATAATTGGATGAATTGAAATTAAAGTTACAAGATTCAGAAAATGATTTAGCAGATATGATAGAAAACTATAAATAAGAATAATAAGTAAATATTTAATTTAAATTATTAGAAAAATAAATAATTAGAATTAAATCTTAGAAATAACAAATTAACATCTAAAGAAATAGAAAATTAATATAGATAAATGATTTTAAAAGAATTTCCTATTTATGTATAATTTATATTTAATTTTATTAGAATGATAAAACATTAGAATAAATGATTAGTTTATTGATTCTTAATGGAATTCCAAATAGATCATCTTAAAGAAATCAATAATTTATTGAACTCTAATAATAAAATTAAGAGATGTTAGAAGAAATTCAAATTTTAGTTGAGAAGATAAAATCACAAGAAATAGAATATAATGATCTTTAGGAACAACTTTAATAGACAGCTAAATAAAATTCTGTTCGTAGTGTCAATCATAGTCATGGAATGAGCAATGATTTTGAGAAAGATAAGAAGATTATAGAATTGGAAAACAAATTAGCTCTATTAGCTAGTGAAAATTCTAGATTAAATCATATAAAAGTATTTTAATTTTGAGTAATTATTTATAGAATCAATAACATAAACAGTTACAATCATAACTTACTAAATAAGATATACAAAATTATTGATTTATATATAAATAAATTTAATTATTGAATATCAAGATTTATAGAATCTCAAAATCTCATAGATACAAAACTTAGCAAAATAACAAACTTGATAACATACAGAATTAATTTAATAAAAAAAGAACATTTTCAAGAATATAGAGATGGATAACATTTAAATATAGAAAGATTTTGTTAAAAAGAATATGAGTAATTTATAAATTTATATCAATAATTTTTAAAATGATCTCTAAAAATAAGCTACAGATAAATGTAATTCTTATATATAACAATAGTTGATTAAGAAATAAAATTTTATGGTGATCAAATAAAATTTAAGGAGTGAGATCCATTAATGCTTTATAACTTTTATGAAATAATAGAAAAACTGTATGAGTAAGTTAAAATTTACAATTAACTCAGTTTATTTTGAAAGTAATGAATTGTTTTATTTTATCTAGATCTCTCTTTTTTAGGAACATCTCCATTGTCAATATTATAGATCAATCTTTAACATAAATTTAACAAGATAACAAATTAGATAAATTGAATTAACTGTAGTTCCACAAATTAAATTATGATATAAATTTGATGATTTTAAAATCAATTACAATTATGAACGTATAAATTGATACAATGAATTAACATATATTAGATTTATAAGATACACTAATAAATTTATAGATCGAATGTGATATATTAAGTGATCTAAATTAATGATTTCAACTAAAATAAATTGGTTGAATAAAAAAATATAATTCCCTTAATCATTTTACTAATATTAACTTATAAATAAGAACTATTAGGGAATGAGTTGAGATAATAAAAAAAGTTACATTATCTTATTTAATTTAACTATTGTAGAAATTATTTCTATTAACTACTAAACTTATTCTATAAAATAATAAAATATCATATTAACAAACAAATTAATTAATAAAAGGAGAATATAACAAAAATAACTAAATAAAAGTTAATTGATTAATACTAGAGAATATCTCATAATAAAAAAAAAGCTTAATTTTGTTTATTTTAATTATATATTTTTGAGATTATTTAAAAAAGGGTTAAATAAAGATATTTAGTAAATTAGATTTAAGGTTTAAAAGTAGGATATACAAAAATTAGATTCTTTTATATGTACCTTAAAAGCAGATCAATCAAAGAAGTTGAAATAAGTGAAAAACATAATGCAGAAATTTGAATTGATAATATTAAAATTTCATATATATTTATAACTATGAATCTGATGATTAATAAATTAGAAACCTATAGGGGAAGTTAAGATTTTACAATAAAAAGAGAAAAATATAAACTTTTACACACAAAATTTTGTTAGTATTTATAAAATAATAGATGGCATTACTTGAAATTTAATCAAAATAGAATCAATAATCATATTATCAACTGATATTTTCTTCTATTAACAATTTCGGGATTCTTCTTCTTTGAAAAATTGCAAATTACAATTCTATCCAGTAATTTATAAAATTTAAAAATATTTATATTATATTAAAATAATAATAATAGTATGGTATTTGTAATGGTTACTAAAAATTTTATTAGAATTTCAGTTTGAAAATGCTTCAACATGAATTAAATGAATTTTTATTCTTTCAATAATTCAAATTATATCCAAATAAGCGAATTCCTTTCTGAATACTAAATTAATATTTTTTAATATATCAATGTAGTAAATCTAGTAAATTGAGAATTTTTAAATAAAGAATTGTGCCAAAGACAAACAAGAAAAGGTTGCCTCTAGAATCAAATTTTTAAGACTTGTCTTATGCGATAATAAAACTATAAGGGTTTCTGCCTAAATTTGTAAGATTAACTTTTCAACAGCAAAAGCTATTCTAAATAAATTTAGAAAACAAGGAGTTATCAAACAATCTTATTAAGGTATATTAATTCAATAATCTCTAGATTATGATGGACAAATTGATTTACTTAAATAAATTGTATAAATTCAGAAAGGCATTAGATGTGAGCAAATATCTAAAAGCTTAGAATCCAAATAAAAGCTTAACAACTAATTATAGTTTTTCCTACAGAATATTTAAATTTAAAGAAAGAGTATTAATCAAGAATTGGATAAAAAAGCACTTGAAGAAGAACTTATGTGTGAAAAATAAAAAGAATATATGTTAGTTGAGTAAATTTTGAAAGAGTAAATAATTTTGATGAAAAAAAGGTGCCATTGATTTATGAAACACCATTTTAATTATATCTTAATAATTAATATTTTATTTATTTCTTATTTATATTTTTTTGAGCTTTGAAAACGATTTATATTAATGGTTTTAACAAAAGCAAAAAAAATGCCATTATTTTAATAAATTCCAAAAAAAGATCGAATTTTAGAAGAAAGCATAGGTTTTTTATTTAAACCAGATTTTTATTTATTATTTCATCAAAGTTTGGAGTTATTATATAAAAATCGAAATTAAATGAGATAGCATAATAATAAAGATTGGAATCAGGAATTCTAAAATAATGACTCTATAACCTAATTTCTTAGAATAATAATAATTTTATTATTTAATTAATCTTATATTCATCTTATAATTAATTAATAAACTTTAAAATATATAATAGTATTGTTATGAACAATCTCTATAGTTTTAGAGCTGATTATAAAAATTATAAATCCTTATTATATCAAGTGTTGCCTTTATAAAAAAAATCCATTAAATTTTTATACAGTGTAATATTAAATAATTATTCGTTAAAACAATACTATGAACAAATACTACTTAGATAGTGAAGAGAAGCAATTTTAATAATCAAATAGAGAGGTCTTAAAACAAATAGATGTAAATAACAGATCTGAGGCATCTTTAAAAACATCAGTGGTTTCATTTGCTTGTGATCGAGATAATAAATATGATCTTGAAGATTATAGAACTTAACTTGAGGATTAATTAGCTGAAAATATTGAATTAAAAAGAATGTTAATGGATGAGATAGAGAAGAATAAAAGAATAACTGATATTGATAAATCATCTTAATATTTAGAGTAGTAAGACAAATTTGCATAAATTCTCAATAAAAAGGATAATGAAATAATGAATTTAAACAAATTGTTAAGACAATTAGAAATTGAAGTATATGATTATTATATAATAAAAAGAACAAATTATTACATAAAGATGATTAATTAGAATCTTCAAAAAGAATGGAAAAAGAAAAGTAATAAGAAAAAAGAATTATTGAATATGAATAAAAAATAAATTTAGTTTTAGGAGAGAATTCAAAATTGAATTAAGTATTTATATGACCATCAATAGATTTTATAAGAAAGAATTACTCAAATAGAAAAGATGAAACATACAGTAGATTAATTGGAAAGAGAAAAAGTATAGATAGCTGAAAAATATGAAATATTAATTGCAGAAGCAAATAATCTATCTTCAAGAGAGAAGTGTACTATAGAGAAATGTCTTAATTAATAGAAGTATGTTTATTTAATTTGATTTTTAGAAACGAATTCTAGAAATAATTGAATATTGTAAATACATAGAATAATTAAATGTCTAATATACTTAATTAATAGAAGAATTAGATTGAATAATTAGAATTATAATTAGAGGAGAATTAAGTTTAATTAGAGATGTCTAAATAAGGTTATGATGAATCAATAAAAGAAAAAGAGAATTTGATTTATCAAAAAGAAAAGGAAAATTAAGATTTAATGGTTAAATTTAATGAATTAGAAAAGAAATTAATTTAATAAAATTAATAAGTCACTTAATTAGAGCAATAATTACAAACAAATAATGAATAAGTAGTGATTGAAGAAATGTAGAAGTATTTTGAAGAATAATATGATATTAAAGAGAAAGAACTTGAAACAAAACATTAAAAAGAAATCTAAAATTTGATGATGTAATTGAATGAGAATTAAAATTTTATTGAAGAATTATAAAATCATCTAACTGAAATACATAAATAGATCACTAAATTTAAATAGGAGAAATAAATGTTGAGATAATAAAATTAAGAATTGCAATAATAAGTGAAGTAATTATCATAAGAAATTAAATAATAAGAAAATTTAAGGTATTCTTAAGAATATATGTTACCTTAATTTAATATTTCTTGTCAAAGTGCTATTACTGATTAATCCTTATGTGATGATAAAGAAAAACTAAATAAATAAAGTAGAAAATTAAATAAAAGTAAAGATACTATATAATAAAATAAAGAAAATCATGAAAAAAGAGATGTCAAATCTATTTAATGTATAAATTAATTAAAGCAATAATCTCAATAAAATACATCTTACAAAGCATAATTCTAATAGAAAGTAAATAAAACTAATCCTCAAAATAAGGATTCTTATGCTCTCGATACTTTTGGAAATAGAGATAGATCAATATCATGCTTAGATATGATAAATAAAGGAATCAAATTTAGAGAATCTTTCGATGAAGAGGATCAATCACCTATAGCATAGTTTAAATAATGGAAACAATAGATGACAGTTCGTTAATGATCAATTTTACAATAATTTTCTATAAATTTTAATTATTATATAATTGAATATTAATTATGAAGATAATATATGGAATTTGATAATTAAATAATTTGATTTATTATTAAGTTCACAAATTACATTAAACAAGAACAATTATTTATAAAATGTATATCTACATAATATTTATTGAGATTGTATGTGGTTCTCATCTATATTCAAGATCAAACGGTAGTGTAGAGAATCAAATTTTTAGAGAATGCTCTTACTCTGGTTTGAATTCTGATTACTACCTATTTCAATGTATTTAGAATTACATATTTGTTCCAAAATTAGAACTCACATAAAAATAAGTAGAAATAAATAGTATACATAATAGATTGGCATTCATTCCTTCGAAAGAAATGGGGAAATTAAGTTAAGTAACTTCTTAATCTGTGATCTAATCACCAATGAAGGATAGAAAACCTTAGAAGTTCGAAGGATTCTATTTCCTTAACATTCAAATTTGATTAAGAAGGAAAATAATCTAATGTTTTATGATCTTACTTAAATAGATTCAATCTGTGTGATTGTATCGCTATTAAAAAGATTAGACAATTAAGATTATTTGATTGAAATATATCCAATGTTTCCTGGAGATGTGAATTAGTTTGTTAGTATTTCATACAAATTCAATTCTGATAGTAATAGAAGCATTTTTGGATTTTCATAATTTTATAACAAAATAAGAAATGCTTTATTGCTAATCATATTGAAGTAGAATCAAATCTAATTAATTGAATACTCTCTATTTGATGAGAAATTCAGAGAGGTTTCTACATACTCTTTATCTGAAAATAATGTTCCATTAAATTGGAAAGTATGGTAATCAGGCTATATAATCATCACATATGAGCAATTCTAAGTATTATATAGCATAGGAGAGATTTTATATGAAATTTAAGAAATTTATAGATTTGATTCATAACCTTTATAAATGTTAACAAATTTTAATGGAACAAATTCAAATTATATATTGTAACAAAATATGAAAAGAACAAAATTATTTATTATTGAAGAAATTGAATAATAATATTAATCTAAAAATGTTAGATTTATTCAATAATTCGATCTGCAATATTCTAATATAGCATTTCTAATTGATGAAACTTAATTATTATTAATTTATGATGATTTTGAAACAGTACAAACTAATATTATGAATTTAAGATTGGATCAAATTTAATTTTGTTAATATGATATCGAAGAATTACCTGAAATGAATTAATAATCTATTAATTATTAATAATAATTTGATCCAGATATATATTCATAATCAAAAATAATTAAATTACAATAAGATTGTTAAATGCCTTGTGATCTAATATATGAATCTTTGAATATTTCATTAGTACCTTATAAATCTGAATGTATTTTTGAATCTTTGTACAATCAATTTTTACATGGTTGCAATAGATTTAATAATTGTTATACTTGTATGTAATAAATGGGATGTGAATGGATTGAGGATAAATGCTAAACTGAATAGAATTATGAGAGATTGAGCTTTAATTAAGTAAAGGAAAGTTCAAAATGGTTTGTTAATAAAATATTAAAGTGTGGTTAAGAAATCGAGTTTAATTAAACGTACTATGGTAGTGTTTCAAAAGGTACAGTATTTACCTTATTTCATGATGCTACTATATATTAAGAATTTAATTTAGTTTTTAACTTATAAGTAGAATAATCATAAAATATGAATTTTATTGAATAGAGTTTTTGTTTAGGAAATGATTAATTATAATTGTGCAATTAAATAATACTCAATCATTTTAACTCTGATTTTAGATTCAATGGCTATTATTTTAGAATCATTTTCGTAATTTTGGATGATATCAAAATAAATGAGCTTACAATCACAATCATAATAGATACAGAATATTATAGAATTGTAAAACTAACTAGTTGGTTAGTTTTAGCAGTAATTCTTTTTGGAACTATCATCTATATAGCTAATAAAAGAATGAATTATTTAATTTCGTTATCTCTTTAAAATCAGCAATAGAAATTAGATACAGAAAGTCTATAAAATGTGATGGAATATATGATTAAAGAGAAGGTAATAGTAAAGGAACATTTTTCATAACAGATTCTACAATATGATTAAGAAAAATGTCCTTTTTGTATTGAGTAATATGAAATACAATAGGAAATAATTTAGATATTTTGTGGACATATATTTCATTTAGAATGTTTTGAAGATTGGGTAAGAATTAATACAAAATTAGTGAGATGCCCTATTTGTAATCAAACGTAATATAATAATATAAATTTTAGGATTGAATATTTTTTAAAGCATAAAGAGTAATTTAAAAAATGAATCAGTGTTTGATTATTTTGTAATCATTGATATTTATATTTTAATTATAAATAAAATTTAAAGCTAATTAATTTAAATAATAAAAGAATATTCTTTCTAATAAAATTTAAATAATTTTTCTTTTAATTTATTCAAGGTATGGAAATTGTTAAAAAGAAAGATTATTAATTAGTCACTAATTAATATTAATAATAATTAAAATTTATAGAGTAAGATAGAAATAATCTTAATAATCCCTCTAAATCAGTTTTATAATAAAGATGGTGTATTATTTTTGAGATTTTTAATTTGATACGTTAATTGTATATTCAATTAATTTAAAATATACAAGTTCCTGACTAAGAGTTAAAAATTTCACATTTTTAGATTCTATTGAAATAAGCATTATTAATATAATGAGAAAATTTCAATACCCTTACAGGTAGGTTTGAATAATTAACAATTATTAAATTCGATATACTTAAGTTATCTCTACTTAGTTTGATCATATTAGACTAATATTATTAATCTTTTATTAAAAATAATATTTTAGATTGATCTTGACTAGTTAAGATGAATGAATTGAAATAGAGTAATAAGTATTTTGAATATTCTTCATCCTCATCCTATATATATTCATTATTGTTTCCATGATTATTATTCTAGTTATTAGAGTTTTCATTATTAGATAATCTTACTGACTGGCTTAGCTAGTTAAATAGTATGTTAATTCATAAATGGATATTTATAAATTAACATACTATTCCTTATTTTTCTATTTTGTTACATTCAATATTAACAAATGAATCTTATTTCTGTATTCATTTAGGATGTGTTCCAAGGTTGGATTATTAAAAAGTATATCGATATACCATAATTCATGATATAAAAATTTTGACAGTTCCCCATATTTTTATTATAGTATGTTAAATTAGGATGTTGATTTGAACATCCAACCATTCCTTAATCAAATTCCTAAGGCCATTACTCTTACAGATCATAGTTTTAGCTTAGAGAATGACATGCTTCTTGGATGGGCTCCAAAAGTTGACTATAGTAAATTACTAACACTCAACTTTGCTAATCACTTAAATGACTCAATCATTGCCAAAGCATTACACAATAATCAATTACTTTATCTTGGATTTAGACCTTAAGACACTGGACAAATGCATAAATAATACTCTAATGGATCATCCTATCCTTTCAAATAAATTAAAATATTACAAAGAAAACCTTAATTACCTTTTCTAGGCATGAATCCGAATCTAAGTAGTAGAATCCTATTTAATTCAACATTTGAGAGTGGTAATTTAGATATTGTAGTCAAGTGTTCTGATACAGAATACGATCTGTATATGAGAGTAGATGGTAATACTAAAGGACATACTTTATGGTACAACTTTGAAATGACAGGAATGAAGAAAACAGAAGTAATACAATTAAATATATGTAATTTTCGCAAATCACGTACTCTTTATGAAAGAGGAATGAAACCGTATATATGGAGATCAACAAATCCTGAATGGTTATAAGGAGGAGAATAAATATAATATAAAACTCATTATAATTCACATTATAATAGTTTATCTTTTAAATTAGTTTGTAATGGAGATAATGAAGTTATTAAAGTAGCTTATTGTGTACCATATACATATACATAAATGCTTGAATTTTGTTGGAATATGTAGAAAAATTGTAATCATGTTGAAAAAACAGTATTTTGTGAATCATTAAGTGGTGTACAATTACCACTATATACATTTAGTTATGGTAATAATTATTAAAACTAAAAATGTATGATAATTTAAGCTAGAATACATCCTGGTGAATCAAATGGTTCTTGGGTAATGTAAGGATTATTAGAATTTTTATCTAGTCAATAAGGATTGAAACTTATTAAAAAGTATTTAATATAAATTATAATATAGATGTGTAATAAAAGTTGTACCTATGATGAATCCTGATGGAGTAATTTTAGGAAATTATAGAACAGGGATAGCAGGTAAAGATTTGAATCGTAGATTTAAATTAACAGATTAAATGTTATTTCCTACAGTATGGGCAATGAAAAGATTAGTGAAAGAGTAACATAGTATTTTTGGGAACAATTTAATTGGATTTATTGATTTGCATGGTCATTCTGGTAAGAATAACAAATATATAAGTAAAAAAGAATGTATTTCTTTATGGTCCTGAATATCCATTGTGGAATTATAATTATTATAAATGTAGAGTATTGGCTAAATTACTTGGTTAGAAGACTGAAATGTTTAGATATTATTCTTCAATATTTAGAATAAGTTAATCAAAGAAATCAACAGCAAGAGGAGTGTTTTTAGATTTATATGATATAGTAAATTGTTTTACAATAGAATCATCAAATGGAAGTTATTATAATTAAACATAGACATTTGAATTTACATGTAAACATTGGATTTAGATGGGATGGATAATAGGAGAGACATTAACAGAATTAGTTGAAATGTAAAGTGAAATGGATATGATATATAATCAAAAAAATGATGAAACTAAAAGATCAAATAGATAAATTAAGAATTAAATGTTTAATAAAAAACGTAGTTTTACTGGTTATTAAGAGGATTAATGTTATTAATAATTTTAAAATACTAAATTTGCTAATCTTTTTGATGAACTTAAATAAGATGCTGATAAAATGAATATATCAGTATCTGAAAAAGAATCTGATTCTTCTGATGATGATGGTAGTGAAACCTATTTAGAAGATATTAAATAATAAATATTATAAGAAGACTTTTCTAAATCAAAATATAAAGATAAACCAATGATTTCTATTATGTAACCAATTTCAAAATCTAAAATTGAATAAAGATTTAGTCCTAGAATATAATAATAATAATCTTCACAATAATCCATTATGCTTAGTATATAAAAAAGTGAAAAGAAATTTAATAATCCTTCTAGATCTGTCTAAAATTCTATTATTAAAAAAGTATCATCTAATTCTTAATCTAAAAAGTCTACCAAAATTACTAATTATATTACTAATTATCCTAATGGATAGAATTCAGCTACTCTTGTATTTTAAGAAGATTATAATCTTAATTAATTTTAACCATCTTAATAATTGATGCATACTACATTATAAAGACCATCTACTGCTAATTTAGAAGTTACAGAAGAAGATATCCCTTTTCCAATTCAATCATTTAATACATCTAATTACAATGTGTTTAAATAACATACTAGATTAAGAAGCAATATCACTATTAATAAATAAATTAAAGATTAAAAAAAGTTACAATCCAAATCACATTAAACTACACCACCTTTATTATAATAAATGGGTATCAATGTAAAAAGTAAATTAAATACTTAAACTAATTTGGAATAACTTGGATTAAAAATCAAACCATAACATTTCTTAGCTCCAAAGAAATCAGAAGAACCAATAATAACAGATTTATCTAAAAATATCAATAGTATTATAGAGAATTAAAAATCAACCAGACCTCCTAAACCTAATGTACCTCCATCCTTCTACTCTGTAAAAAGGCATATGATGCTTAGACTTAAAAATTGATTAATTAATTTTTACATTTTTTTCTATAAGTAGGCAATAAATATAAAAATTAACTGATGAAACAATATTTAAAAGAAAACAGAAGACCAAATTAACTAGATATCAATAATAAAACACCTAGCAGATTATAAACTACTCGTCTCTTACGAGTTCATTCACCAAGTACCTCATAAAGTCCATTTAGATGTATTGATAATAAAATAGCTGTTGTAAATTATTTACCTCCTTCTACTATGCCAAAATCACCCACTTCATAAATTACATATTTTAAAAGAAAGAAGAGTAAATAAGATGATATGATTGATGAAACTATAAGTAAATTGAGTTTTTTAGAAAAGAAAATAGCTCATATAATGGAAAAAAATGATTAATTAAGATCTCAACTTAAAAAGACAGAAACAGATTCTGTAGAATCATATTCATATTACTTAAGTGGACCAACAAGATCAAATAAGTAATCAAATTGTATAAGTTAACATACATTATAATCTTATGTAAATTCTGTTAAAAATACAATACACACTAATCATTCTCCAATTGAAAGTTCAAGATTGAAAGATAAAATGATTGGTCATCATAGATCTTCTAGTAAAACACCATCAGTAGGGAAATTTAAGAAATCTAATATCACTATTAGAGAAGATGTTTAAAATGGGAGAGGTAGGAAAATGTATGAGAATGGATTTGTTTATGATGGTGATTGGGTTGATGGAATGAGACATGGAAATGGAACTTTAAAAGATTTTAATTAGAATATTGTATATTAAGGTTAATGGTAGAATGATTAATTTTCAGGAAGAGGTAGATTTATAAATTAAGATTATTAAGAGGATGATTTCAAATTGTTAAATTTTAAGTAGTTTAAATTAGTTTAACATTAATTCACTTCTTATGAGGGAGAATTTAGAAATGGATAGTTTCATGGTTAAGGAATGATGACTTTCAATTGTGAGGGAGAAGAGTTTAAGTTTGTTGGAGGATTTGCTTTAGATGCATTTCATGGAGTTGGTTCATTGTCTTAAGATGATAAAATAATATTATAAGGGAAATGGATTTATGGATGTTTTGTTTGAATTATTATATTATTTAATGAATTTGATACCTGAAACAGATAAAATAGATATGGCTTATCTTAAGTCTGAAAGGATCGGAAAGGTAATTACAAAAGGTTTGGCTGAGTTGTATCGAGTGAAACCATAATTCCCAATAGAATATTTAGCTAAATGGTTATTGAATCATAATCAAACAGAGGCTAATAGAGGTTCTATGCAAGATCACATGAGTCATAAAGAGGCTTTAATGTAATTAATACAAATAATTTAGAGAGCAATAGAAGAAGGAATAAGAAGCATAAGAAGAGAAAGATCGTAAAGAGAAACAGTTACAAGATGAAGAAAATATGAAGGAAATGGAATTTCAAAATATTATTAAAACTCATGAATTCCATTAAAAATTATTGGTTAAAGATTTTTGCAATCATCTTTAAAAGAAAGGTCTTACAGGAGTATATGTAGGATATGTTGATTTTCCAAGTAAATAAATAAATGAAAATGATGATGATGAAAATGCTCATCTTGATACAGAATAACCAAAATTGATAAAATATATAGGAGCTAATGATGATCATAGTTTCATGATTGGTTAAACACTACCATTAAATGAAGTAGGAGTAACAGGAGAAGTATTTAGAGAAATTCCACCTCCTGAAGAAGGACAATAACCTTAATCACCTATTATTTATATACCTGATGTAACAAAAGAATAGAAACTTGTCTATTTTAAATGGAAAAAGTTGGGAGCATTTTTAGCCATTCCACTTATTTATTAATCTTGCTTATTTCCTGCTTCATTAGATGCTGGAATTGAAGAAAGATTAAGATTCAAAAAAGCAGATGTTGAAAAGAAATTAGAAAAAGAAAATAAAATTAATGAATTTAATGCTAGAATTAAAGAAGCAACTGAGACTGAATAAGATCCAACTCCTATTCAAGAAGAATTAGATCAATATTTAGCAAATTGGTAAGATGAGAGTGAAGCACCATTTCAATCTTAAAAACGATAATTTGTTGTATGTTTTGATACTTTAGGTAAAGATGTTGGAATCAGTGAGAAAGATAGATAATATTTTGAAGATTATGTTAATTTATTTGCTTAAAGTTGGAATTAAATGGAATGCAAATTATTATCAGAAGATATAGATCATATGATTGTTTATTAAGAGTAAGGTGTCAAAGAAAGATCAGAAGCATTAACAATATAAGAAGAATAGGCTGTAGAATCTTAATAATCTTAATATGATGAATTAAAAGACAAAGAAAAAGAACATTAATTTGCATTACTTTCTATTAGAGCCAATACTGTTGCTTCATAAATTCAATAATTATAATAAGAATTATTTTCATTGAAACAAGTTAGAGTTCTTAAATATCCTGGATTATTATTAGCTTTAATGCTATTTCTAAATTATAATAAAGAGAATCTTTTAGAAAAGGGAACTAACCAATTAGATTGGACAGGAGTTAAACATTATATTTGTGAAGATTTAATTCAAAAAATACTTGATTATGAATACAGAGGAGCCAAAACAGAAGAAGTTCCAAAACATGCTAAATTAAATAGAATTTAAAAAAGAATTAGTAAATTCACTGTTGAATAAGTTGAAGAATATAATGTTTGTTATGCTAAAATCTTAAAATGGATGCAATATATTATCAAATTAAGAGTTTTAGATATTGAAATCAGAAGAGAAAAAATTGCTAATCTTAGAAAATTGATTTAGGAAACCACTGAATAAGTTGCTAAAATAAAAGAAGTAAAATATTTATCATACTTTAGGAAAAAGAATAGAAATTTGAAGAATATAAGAATTCTATCCAATAATAAGAAGATCAAGAACCACCAAATAGAGAAGAATGGGAACTTAGATACGATGAAGAACATCCCTTACCAAAAATACCTGAAAATGTTCCAGATGATGTTGATAATGATTTTGATGAAGAATGATTAAGTATAAATTACATATATCAATCATTTGTCTCTTATTATCATGTATTAATTATTAAACATCAATAGATAGAAAAAATAATACATAATATTTTATCCCATGTTGAATAATTCTGTCCTAATTTCAATATTTTATCATCATATTACAATATCTGATTAAATAATTTTTATGTTTAAGTAATAAATTACTTCTTTTTAATATAATCTTTAACCAACTTATTACAATTAATTCAATATATTATATATTCTAATAAAATTAAGTTTAATTGAATATCCATCTATTACTTTAAATTTCTTTACAATAAATCCTATTATTTTTAATATATTAGAGTAGAGTTAATATAATAATGATGCAAAATCCACTTCACATTTATCATATTTAATTATGTAAAACCTTGGAGTTATCTACATGATGATTTACAATTATTAGGAATTTTTTTAAAACTAGCTTAGAATGGTTATTTAATCTCTTATTTTATATTCGTAATATAAATATATTAATCTATGGATTAATAATTAGAAGTTGTCAGTTTGTCCGAGTGGTTAAGGAGGCGGACTCGAAATCCGCTGGGTTTACCCGCACAGGTTCAAATCCTGTAGCTGACGAATTTTTTATTTTTTTGTTTAATAATACAATAATTCATCTTTCTTCTCCTTTTCTTACACTATCTACATAGATCTTTCGCATTTCTTCAAATAATTCTCTTTCTCTATATTCTTGACACTAAAATATTGAAAGTTTTATTTACTCTCACAAATATTTGCTATTTTTTTGCACAATTACTTAAAGCACTTGCAAATGGTAATGAATGTATCAATTTATTTTCAAAAAATCTGGGATTGTGTCTTAGACATTATTGGTAGTACACATATTCATCTACGCATGAATCTTATAAATAATATGGCACTTTATATGAATCAAGTATATATTCAGGTTATTTACTCATATTAATTTTAATAATAATTCAAATTCTAATGATAATTTTCAATCATAAAAGTAAGACATTATTGTTATTATTTTTGAGTTATATTTTATATTTTTTCATAAATCCAAAAGTAGGATTAAGTATAAAAAATAATGAAAAAATATATATATTTCTTTAAATACTAATAATTATAATTTATTATAGTAAAATACTATAAAAATATTCAAGTGAAAATTAGTATTATTATATTAGTTATATTATTATTAGAATAGTAAAATATAGATTCAAATGCTTATATATAGTTTATATTATAATAAGTAAAAATTATAGTTATTTTTATCAAACTTTTTATAAAGTAATACATAATATAATTACAGTTAGATTACTATATTGATAGATTTTATGAATGAATTTGTATGAATATTTATAAAATATATATGAGGATATGTGTATCAATCATCATTTTGAGAGAGCTACTTAAAGAATATTAGATCTCTATTATTTTAAATAATTGAAATCACGCTTTTAGGTTATACGTTCATCATTAAAGATATTGTTCATACTTTTAAGTTTTCGAGATAGACCAAGTTTATATTATTACTCTCTTAATAAAGGATTGAATAATCTTGGTTATAAAGTTCTTCCATTCTTGATTGGTGATTCTTATTCAATTGGATTCTAAAAGACTGTTGATCGTATAGATATTCGAGAATCCAGTGGTCTTTATTATTTAATATTCTGTCTAAATATTGACTATTGTTTAATTTAAATATCCTAGATTTGTTGCACTATTTCTTTCTTTGGTTCAATAAACTCCTCTACTTTTGGCATCGACATTGTTCTAAATCGCATTTATGTTTTTGGAGAAATTTTTGCTTAGATATTAGGTTTTTCAACTACTTAATTCTTAATAACTAAACTCTCAGTAAGAGATAGAAAATGATCTAAAGTTTAATCTTCATCAACTTCCCAACCTTTATTCATTATTTATAAATTATGTGTATACAATAATAATTACTTTATCTTAAATTTAATATAATCAAATAAAGGTATTTATTAATTTGAATTTGATCATGTTTTTGATTATGAATTTGATCTTGAATGAGTAAATATTTAAATAATTTTATTTGATTATTATGTAGTATATAGATATATAGATGTTTTTGAATAAAAGACATTTATTCATTGAACAATTTAAATCTATATGAATATCAAAAATATTATATAATCTTATAATATATAAATCATAAACAAATAAAATTGTTAAATCATAAATATTCTTTATAAGATTTAATTTAAACTTTCTTAATTTTCTTAGATATGAATAGATTTGGAAGAAATAGTAAAGTTGTAGCAACTAAATACAAACCTAAAAAACTGCATGATCTTTGAAACGAAAAGAACTCAGCCATCACACCTGAAAATACTGGACCTAAAAAATCACCAGTTGAAATAACAGCATTAAATAAACCAGATGCTAATGAGTTATAACAATTAATATTTAATTCTATAATACATTTATCATGATCTGACTTTTGAAATCTATTTTATAATTCTTCTGTTATTTTAGGGAGTGCCATTATGTAAGGTGGTGCAGAAAAAAATCCAAAAATTGATTAAGCACTATTGTTTATTTAAATAGATAGATTATAATAATTAAATTAAATTTTCATTCTTTTAAATAGTATTAATTTATATATATTTATTAATTTTACAATAACAGTAATTAATATTCTAGGACTGATATTCATTATTGGATCTGGACCCATAAAAAATTATGATATCGATACAAAAACCATCCCTGTAAAAATAGCTATTGATTTATTCACAGAAATTCGAGATATAGTCAAAGCTCCAATACTATATGCTAATGAAACTGCAGACATATAAAAACCTACATGTTAGGGTGGAATGTTAAAATTCTCTTCAAAAAAGATTGCATAAGTCGGATAATAAAATGTAAAAGTAATACATAATGCTAAAATTACAAATAATGATGATGATACTGGGAAATATTTAATAAGATCAAAATAACCAATTGATACATCATTTTCTTCATCAATAAATAATGATTTTGATGAGCAATCTATATCGTATATATCAGATATCACAGATTCATTAACTTTATTAATGGCTCTTTTTTCTTATTTCTCAAAATTTAATTTTAATATGATGGCTATGATTACAGAAAAGCAACCAAATACAATAAATGGAAATGAAAATCCACCTATAGAATATAAGGTCGATCCAATTACTGGACCACATAAATACCCAAAAGAGGAAAAAAATTCTGTGATGGCCATTTTTTAATTGATTGAATCAGCATATTTCTATGTAATTATTGCATAAAGAGGAGTTACAAATGTTTATGCTCCCTAAAATATTTATAATATATTACAAATCCACTTATAAACCTTCCTAATAAGGAAATGATAATAAATAATGTTCTATTAGTAGTAAATGTTAAAAATGGATAACAAAACATTCCAATAGATTAAATTAGCATTCCTAATGATAAAAGATTAGTTTGATTGTTCTTAGTATAAATTAGTATAAAATTTTACTTTATTTAGAATCTTTCCAACAATTAATGAAGACAATATTCCTCCTATTGGATTAATAGCAAAAATGAGACCTAATAAGGATCCTGAAACATCAAATTTTTCAGCATATGTTGGATAAAATGGAGCTATTACAGATAATCCAAGGCAACAGATAAGATTTCCTATATTCAATAAAGAAAACTCGGAAAGGAATTTCATTTTTAATTGAAATATGTTAATAATTCATATTCTATATAGAGAATTTATCAATTTAAAAAATAAATAAAATGAATAGATTTAAATTATGAAAATGTTATTTATTCTAATTTAGAACTATTAAAGCTTATCATTTTATTCATCATATCTAAAATAACCTATATATTAAAAACTATGAAATAATTATTCATTGTTAATCTTAATAAATTAAGTTATTTATAGAAATTTGAGATAAAATATAATCTTCAATAATAATTATTCATAAAAATAAATGGGTTCTTTAATTAATATTACACAATTTAAACTAATAAAATTTCATTTAAGTTGGTTTTATGACAAAAAACATTATTATAAAAAATATATTCCTGTTAATAACTGATTGGAATTCTTGTAATTTTTTAGATAATAGCTTTAAATCTATGCAAATAATATATTGAAAATAGAATTATATGTATTTAAAAATTATTTCTTTTATAATACAAAATTGATGAAATTAATAAATAAATATGTTTTCATTCTAAGTTTTCGGATATTTATTTCAAAGTTATTAGAATCTAATTTATATTTGGTCTTTTCAATGGATCTTATTACCAACAGCATCTTATTAAAGTTGCTATATTTGTATTAAGTGATTCTGGAATTTTGGGTCTAGATTACTATTCTTTAACTAGTTAGACAATGTCTTTTTGTGGCATATTCTACTTAAGATTAAATAAATACATAAAATGGTATAGTTTCTGTAAATAATTGATATAGAATCATTCCAAATGAATATATATCTGATTCTTTAATTGCAGAATGAGAAACTACATTTCCCCTATCATTTAAACATTCAGGAGCTGTAAATCCATTCTTATTGCAATATCCATTAACTAAACTAGCATATTTTTTTATTGCTCTTAATCCATAATCTACAATTTTTATTTTAAATTTATCTGTAAATAAAATATTATTTGAGTTTAGATGCCCATGAATTACATTTTAATCATGTAAATTTTAAATTGCCTTAATGAGATCAGTAGCAATATTAACTCTAATTAATAATTATTTATTTGTGTAGGAAGTAGTAATATCTTTAATTTGTGCAGATCCAATATCTGTGTTTTTATGAATAAAATTATTTAAATTTGAATTTGGATAGAATTTAGATAATAGATACATACTTGATTCACTAAAATTAAACCAAAGAATTTTATATCCCTTTTTAATGTTATTAATCTATTGGATTTCTTATTTTGTTTCATCAATTAAAAAAGAACTTAATTCTTTAAATTATATAACTCTTATTGCATATTTTTTAGTGTTACTCTTAATTGTTGAAGTTTTAATTTCCCCAAATCCATTATATTTTTTATAGAATTATTTTTCATTAATTTCTAAATCACTTAATTTTAAATCAATAAATAAAGAGTAATCTCTAGGATTATTTTTAAGTGGAATTGTTCCTCCCTATGTTTATTATTAAAGATTCATTTCACCTTAAAATGCTTCTACACTAATAAATTAATTAATTTTATTATGATCAAGTAATAATGCACTCAAAAAACTATTAGACATTGCCATTAAAACAGGAATAATTTAAACAATTATAATATCTCCAACTATAAATAAAATCAATAATAGTTATTCAATAAAAGTTACTTCTAATTTACCACCCATTAAAGCTATTAAATCATCATTGTAAATAACCACAAGTACATTAACACCTAATTAAGGAATTCTTAATAAAATCCAAATCCATAATAATTGTTATATTTTATTATTACTCTTTTCATATTTATTTGAAACAAAAGGGGATCCAGAAAATTTAATATTTAAGTACAAAACCATTATTACAACAATAATAGGCACAGAAGCATTAACAGCTATATCACATATCATTATAGCTTTTGGTGATAGTTCCTAAGCCATGAATTACCAAATAACAATAGCTTAACCTATTATATAGAGGTATAATATTAAACGAACTTTAGAATTTGCTTATTCTGGATTCCAGTTCCTTTTACCTTGATATTAATAACTTTGATACCAACTTAAATGCTTCCAGTTCTAATTCTACCATGATGCATCATTATTAAGAACTGCCAAAATAATGAAAAATAAATCACAAAAAAGATAGCATCTGGGACATATATAGTTTGAAAGAAAATTATGCGGAATGATTCAGTTTATGATTTATCATCTTTTTCTTTCTTTATTGCTGTAATGACCTTTGAAATAAGTTCTAAATACTTCATATAAATAGAGCAGCTAGTATGCAGCTTGATCACAGCAAATTGCTAATATAGACAGATAAAAAATTTTTGGGAAGAATTGTCTACATTTCCAAGCCTTCCAAAGACATGGTATACTATATAATGCCAGAAAAATAAAAATCAAACCCAATAGTAGATAAGCTATGCTGAGTAAGTAAGCTGATTCTTAAATAGTGTCATCCATTTATAATGTAATTAATTATAAACTTTAATTTAAATAATTCAATATTTATTATAAGTTTATGTTGAAATCATATACAAATTATAATATATAATATTATTTACAGATCGTATCAAATATTAGAGTAAATAATAATTTTATTCAAAAGATAAATGTGATAGATAGGATATTACCATCGCATCTATAGAAGATTTAATGAATATATATATATATGTAGATATATATATGGAAACAGTCATTTTTTAACCTAAAAATTAGCTTCTTTCCAAATTTTGCATGTATTATCTTTAGATCCTGTGATAATAATATCTCCTTCATAATTGAATGCACAACTAAATATTTCATCAGTGTGACCTTCCAATACTTGCAGACACTCTCCAGTTTCTGAACTAAAAATGATTAATATGAAAATTACAAAATTCTTGCTGTATTGTCTGCACTAGCAGTAATAATTTTGTTTCCTGACGGATTGAAAGCTACTTTAGAGATTTCACCTTTATGTCCTAAGAGTTAGGCAATGCATTCTCCAGAATGAACATTGTATAATCTACCACTTGCATCAGCTGAGACAGTGACTAATCTAGTTCCTTAGAAATGATATATAAAAATAGAAACCTGTAGAATTGAAGCAAATATCTTGTACTTCATCCTTATGTCCCCTAAGTGTTTCAATACATTTACCAGTTTTTATATCCCAAATTTTACAAGTTCTAAAAATTTTATATTTATTTTATTACTTATCTATAGAACCAGTTGCACAATAATCTCCTGTAAATTCAAACTAAGTGCTTGAAATTTCACCTGTATGTTCATCTAAAATATGTATACATTCTCCAGATCTTACATCCCAAATCTAAATATGTAAAGAATATATTTTACCATAGCAGTTTTATCAAATGAACCTGTAAGTAATTTATCACCATCAGAATTGAAATGTAAACTTACAATTTCACCTTCATGTCCATCTAATCTTGCTATTTATTTTCCTGTTTCGACATCCCATAATCTTGCAGTTTTATCCATTGATCCTGTTGCCACAAGTAATGAATGAGGATCAAAAGAAATACAAACTATTTCATATTGATGACCCACAAGTGTTTATAAACATTTTCCTGAATTGGCATCCCAAATTTTAGCAGTTTTATCAAAAGAGCCTGTGACAATGCGATCTCTATAGAAATAATGTTAGTAGTATACCCAAAAGGATTGTTGAATGCAATACAATATACAACATTCTTATGACCTTCTAAGGAGACTAATTATTCTCCTGTGAAAGTATCCCATACTTTACACGTTCTATCATAACTACCTGTGATGAATCTACATAGTGGAATCTCAATACTTGTCCCCGTTCTTGTTAAATGCGCAATTTGTTAGTGGCAACATATGTGCTTTGAGAGTCTTGAACAACTCAAATGATTGTTCCTTTTTTGATTCGATCTTTTCAATTAGTTCTTAATTAAATGAGTTTATACTGCGAATTAATGCTGCTAGTTATGGCTTTCTATTTTCTGAAATGATAGGTTCTTCCATCACAATTTCATCAACCAACTAATCTACATCAGTGCTATTGATAAATTGCTATCATTACTCATTGCTTAGATTTAACAAATCTATAGACTTTGTTTCCTATTCTCCATTGCTACGAATATATTCTAAAATAATGCCAGGAGGGTAATATCTCAAGAGAAACCTCTTCAGCTTCATATTTAAATTTAATTATATAAACAAATCCCCTTTACACACATCTATAAATATTATTAAATTAAAATGGACGATGTAATCCCAGTTGTGGTTATAGACAATGGATCAGGATATATTAAGGCAGGCATATCAGGAGATGATGCTCCAAGAGCAACTATTTAGACAGTTTTGGGAAAGTATACTTTAATTCTAATTTATTTTAATAGACCTAAGTAGCCTGGTTAAATGGTAGGTATGGATCAGAAGGATACCTATATTGGAGATGAAGTCAATTCGAAATTAGAGTATTTTAAATTCGATATATTTTAGAGTTTTGAATGTAACTTACCCTATTGATCATGGAATTATTACTCGTTGGGATGATATGGAAAAGATTTGGCATCATGCTTATTACAATGGTATTTAAATCCATTAAATTAGAATTGAGAGTTTCTCCTCAAGATCATCCTGTTTTAATGTCAGAACCACCTCTCAATCCAGCAGCTAATAGAGAAAAAATGATTGAAATAATGTTTGAAAAGTTCAATGTTCCATCTTTCTATTTGGCAATTCAATAAGTTTTAGCATTATGTGCATCTGGTAAAACAACTGGTTTAGTTGTGGATTCTGGAGATGCTGTTACAGAAACAGTACCTATTTATGAAGGTTTTGCATTATCTCATGCTGTAATGAAGATTCATCTTGCTGGAAGAGATTTAACTGATTATTTAATAAAGTTGATGTCTGAATAAGGCAAAGAATTCTCAAATTAAAAAGAAACTGAAAGAGAAAATGCCAAAGACACAAAGGAAAAAAAAGTATAAAATATATATATATTGTAGTGCTATATTGTTGGAGATTTTGAGGCTGAAATGAAAGTCTACTAAGATTCTGGAAAAGAAATAGTTCATAGAATGCCTGATGGAAATGATATCACTTTGGGGAGTTAATTATTCAAATGTCCTGAAGCTTTATTTTAACCAATTAAGTTAAGCAAAGAATTTTAAGGTATTCATGAACTTACATTCTAATCAATAATGAAATGTGATGTTGACATTAAAAAAGTAATTGTTAATATTTATTAATAGGATCTATATGGAAACATTGTTTTAGCTGGAGGTAGTACTATGTTTAAAGGAATGAAGGATAGATTATAAAAAGAAGTCATTGCCTTAGCTCCTTCTACAATGAAAATTTATGTATAAGAACCTCCAGAAAGAAAATACTCAGTTTGGATGGGTGGTAGTATTTTGGCTTCCTTAAGTTAATTTTAACCTATGTTTATTACTAAAAATGAGTATCAAGATTATGGCACAGGTTATGTGCACAGAAAATGCTTCTGAATTTATTATTTAATTTTAAGATGTATATTAAAGTTTTTTATTAATTTTTACATAGAGGAATAATAAAATTCATTTTAATTAACATATCATTATGGAGATAGACATGTTTGATTTAAAAGTAATCTCTCCATCTAACAATGGTAAGTTGGTAAGAATTTAGCATAAATTTCTTTAGCTTTGGATTAACATTTCTAAGCATTTTCTATATTACCCATAGATTAATAGATCACAGCAATATTATTGAGTATTTATGCTCTCTAAACACAATTATATCTATATAACACATAAGAAATACTTAAAACATTATAGAGCTTATATAAAGTAACTAAGTGACTATTAAATATCAGGTACTAATCCATAAGTCAACCCTACTAAATTGTATACCTCTAAAAAACTGATGTGCTTGTAAGTATTATATTTTTTAAATTTAATTGATATTGCTTTCATTAAAAATTCTAATGCTTATTCAGAATTTTTAGCTATATAATTACATTCTCCTAAAACTATATAAGCTTCAGCTATTTATTCATCATCATCTGGTAGATATTCTTTTAAAATAGAAATAGCTCCATAAACCATCTTTTTGGCAGATTCAAGATTTTCTATTTCTTTAAATTTAATAATATACTTGTCCAGGCGTTTAATTTAGCCATCCATAATAAAATGTATGCAATTTCTGATTTCCATTGCAACCTTTCATAATGAAGGAGGGCATCATAAAAAATTTATTGAGCTATATTAAAGGATTGATTCAGAAAGTATAATTTTCCTAGTTCAATCTGTATTTTTCCTTTTAAATAGGGATCAGAAATATCAAACATTTTTTTAATTTATTTTAATGATTTAATTGCATGTGGAAAATCTGCAACTTATTTATAAAATTTAGTTAATAAGCATAATGTTCTTATCATTTAAATTGCATTAGATATTTATTAATTGTTAGAAATATTATTGTTTTAAATAGTTTCTTCTAATTCTTATTATATTTTTGTTAGTATTTTAATGAACTCCATAAAATTTCCAGTATCTTAATTGATCTCAATGTCATCTAATTAATTATTTATATTGTTAAGATGATTAAGAATATCTTGTTTACTAGGAAACGATTAAAATGTTTGTTCCGATTATAAATGGAGATCTAAGACAATTGGTTTTACAATTTCACTCTTCACTTTTGGAGGAGATTAATTTAATGAATTAGACAATCTAATAATTTATTGATTATCATCACGTTATGATGATATAATTACTTCGTCTAAATCTCTTACTTTATCAATCTAGTCTTGATTTAATCTGGGATTCTTAATAAAAGAATTACACCTAGAAGAATCTCTAGAACTTTATTTTGAATTATACTCTAACTAATTTGATCAATTATTTTACTTAATGATAAGTTTATGCTCTGGTCTTAATCTCTACAACATAACCTTTCATAACATCATCTCGAATCTTTGCCAATAACCCATTAAGTTACTGGTCTCTTCTTAGAGTGTCCTAATCAATACAATTATACTCTTATTACATTAAATAGATATTATTAATAATACAATTACAATATACCAACTTAAAACTTTATAACTAAATCAAAGTAGATTACAATCAATTTTTTATTAATATATCTGAATCTTTCTCTTTTATTATTATTATTATTCTAAATTAAAAATATGCATCCTATATTGGTTTTATTATTCAATATTTATCTAAATAATTCATAAAATCTAGAATATATTAAAGAAGATTTTCAGATTTCAAAAAAATTGATAAGCAAATTAAATTGAGTATATGAAATTTAAATATCATCACACATAAATAAGAATAAATAAGAAAGAGAACGAATATGAAGTTTTTGCTCTCGTACAACTTAAATAAACATATTTAAATTATTCCATTACATAACACCACTTCTCATACTCAATTATAATATTTCTAGTGTATATAACCCATATTTTTAGTTTATAAATAATTTAAAATTAGATTAAATAGACTAAACCATTATTTTTATCATGATTACTAATTGAAATATTTACATTTTATTTTGAAAATCCTTCATTATTTTTCAATTATATTATGATCTTAATTTTAATATTATTAAGAAATCTAAAACCAATTATTTATTTTGGTAATTATGTTTACTTTTGACTTTTTTAATAATTTTTGAAAATATCTTTAAGATAAAATTATTTGAATTAGCATCACCATAAGATCAAAAAGTAAGAGAAGAATATTTATTTACTCAAAGATTTATCATAAATATTTATATATTTTAATGATGAATGATAAATAATAATATATATTTATTAATTTATATTTACTCTGAATTAACCCTATTTTTGTCTCTATGATAAAGCTTTCGTTATAAAAATAATAAAAACTATTCTTCAAAATATTAAAAGATGCTTATGATTATTAAATTGTTATTTCAAATTTTAGCAGATTCTCCTTTTTGTTTTAGGAAGTTTTTTTTAATTTTCTTCCAAAATTATAAGTCTTAGAAATTGAATAAATGTATCAGATATTCTATAAGAAAGTCCTGTTAGTGAAAAAACAGTATCTATATTACTGTAATATCAAATAACTTGATTGCTTCAAATAAAGGTAATGTTCGCAAAAGATCATAAATCTTAACTGTGTTTAGCTATTCTTGAATTAAACTACTCAGATTTATATTATTTCTGTTAAATTTAGCTATAATTTATATTTCTATTTTATATTTTAATATATATTGTCTAACTGCCTTATGTGTTATATTTCTTAAATATGTTCATTATCATATTAAAATATTAATTATATAAATAGAAATCATAATCTAATGAATACTAAATTCATTTTGAAAGAATAACACAAATGAAGTAAAAAATTTTATTCAATATAAACTGAATAATTTTCATATCATAATAATTTTACCAGATATTATTTAGTCTTTTATATATATATAATAATTAGTATTCTTCTAAATAATTTTAATTGTTATCTTCTATTTTATTAAATTTCATTTAAATTAGTATACTCTTAGAAAAATGTGATAACGATTGATCATAATTAAGCATTTAATTTAATATATACTAAAGGAAATAATCATTTTTTAATCACTATAAGTTTTCAATACTTAAATATACTTTTTTAATGTAATAATTATTTTGAGGAAGAAAGCTTTTTAAAGAAATCTCATTTATTGTTAAAATAGTTTTTATATCCTTAAAATAATTTAAGCCTTTGCTTACGTCAATAAAATCTACGAATATTATAAAAAATAACATAATTAATTAGTAATGGTTTCAGTATTAGCAGGTTTCTCTATAATAGATTATCAAAGGTATTGCAAAACTGGACATTTTTGGATAAATGGTGTTCTTGAGAATTAATAAGCAAGCATATTATAAGACAGTTTTGGGAGGATGTGCTTCTATTGGTGTGATGGGAATAATGATGCTTATTTTCATCACAAATTTTATTGCCTTTATATAGAAAGAATAGTTAAAAGTTATTACGATTTCAGAGTACGATGATAATGTTGATCATATTGCTTTTAATAACTCAAATTTTTTATTTGCTGTTTAGATTGAATAAGACCATTTTATTGAAAACCCTTATTTTAATATTACTTTGAAATAAAAGTATACTTTTATTATGATCAAAGAGTTTATTCTCGCAATTTATAAGGAGATCTTGAAAAAAAGACAGTTCCTATAGAATTAGTTCCATGTACACTGGATCGTTTCAATTAAATTTTTGCTGAAAACAATGTCAATTTCAATTAATAATTTTAATAACTTCAATTAAATGATTTTCTGTGTCCATAGTATTTATTTAATTTCAATATATATTTTAGAATTAATACAGAAATTCATATTGGAGGAACTTAATCAAGTAAATATCTTATTGATATAAATAAATAGGTGCTTTGTTCTATTTTATTGATCTATCAGTTTCATAATGCTAAAATAATTCATCTAATTAATGGAAACCCATTTGTCGTAAACCTGCTTAACATACTTTCAAAATTAAATTACTCACAGTAAATTAAGTAAAACAAAAACACACATTCTAATAGATTATAAACCCCTATAAACCAAAAGAATCTTATGTTCAACCTTTCATAGATGATTCATTAACTTTTACATTCAATCTCAATCTAACTAAATCTATTAATGCTTTCGTTACAAAATATGATTTTCTTAATGATGAAAGCTTACTTCCTATAAGGTAAATTTAACCTTTCTATTTTAAATATTAGCATGATTGAAGAAAAGTCTTTTTTTGTATTAGATCCAACTGATGTATAATAAGATTACACTGAGATTATTGAAGACTCTTATGTTAAATTATTACTTCGCAAGAAACCTTTTAAAACTAAGTTTTAGAGACAATATCAAAAATTAGATGAATTACTTTCCAATATTGGAGGTATATTATAAATATTCTCTTTTTTTATTGGATTACTTGTAACTATATATAATCGAATTAATTGTATTTCTTATATATTTTTGATTGTAGATATGGTTGAATTAGGAAATAAACTATATGATTTTAGTATTGATGATTCAGACTAAAAGAAAATATATCATGACAATCTCAAGATTCTTGCAGAAACTTAAGCTGCTGCTAATATTGCTAAGGGTTCTTAATCATATTAACCATTACAAAAGGCTATTCTTACAGATAATGAAATTCGTATAACTGATAGTTAGACATAACCACTTAAATAAGAATAAAGTTAATAATTAATATATCTTTAGAATTATAAACTAAATTATGTTGTTCATCTGGATTAGATTATTTTTAAACTTAATTATAAAAAATGTTTGAGAAAAAGAAACCAATAGATTTAGATTTACAAATATTTTTTAATTTTATTACATGTGGTTTATTATTTAGTGAAATTCCAAAGGTCAAATTAATGAATAAAGCATAGTATTTTATATTTATTAATTCTAAGTGATTAAATTATTCTATAATCAGATATTTACTCTCTATTAACTAGATTGAATGAAATTGATAAATTAAAAGAAGTACTATTAACTCCAAATTAATTGGTTATGTTTAATTTTACTCCAAAACCATTAATTACTTTAGAAGATGAAGATCTTAAAATCAATAGAAATATGGTAGAAAATTAAATTAAAACTCCATAAGATAAGTATCAATATTTGATTATAATATAAAGTAAAGAAGATATGTTAGTATATACAAAAATGATGATGAAACAAAAAAGATAAAATAAAACTGGAAAGAATCATGAATCAATTAGAACAAAAAAGAGATCGAGCTTTATTCCATAACCTCTTAATAATTATGTGTATTAATAAATTTATAATGTAAAATTGTAAACTAAAATATAGGCATACGAAGAGATTGTTAAAAAGAAATCTGAATCTAATGAAATTCTAAATTCATAACTTATATAAATGTTAGGGGCAGAATTAGAATTAGTTTATAAGGTTTGTTAAAAAATTGATTAGGATGGAAAACCATTTAATTCTTATCATCAGAAATTAAAATCATCCCTTTGTTAAAATAAATGTCTTATTTAATAAGATATTGAAAAATAAAATGATAGCACATGAAATAAGTTTGATTAATAATTTGAAAATATACTAAAAATAGAATTTAACCAATATATAAATAGGGATGAATTTATAAAGAATTTAATAAAAATAATACAAATCCTTTATGAATAGCATAAATCATAAATTCATAGTATTATACTTTCTATCATTCCTTATTTAATATATATTTTATTTACTGAATTTTATTATTATTATTTTTTTTAATTTATCAGATATTATATTTTACATAGTTCTTCATCATTAAAGTATATATATATATATAAAATATAGATTGTAAATACATAAATATTGAGATTGCATAATTATCAAAGTAAATACTTATTAATAATGTGCTCCAGTTTTTAGATATCAGTAGGTTTTGAAATTCGTTCCTTCATTCCACATTAACTTGCTATAAGTACATCATCATCACCTGAATAAGCTGAATACATAGTAATTATACATTCGTCATTAAGAGAATTTTATCTTAATTTTTACGATATCTAAATATATTATATTTTAAATTACTTCCGAAGATGCTTGAAATCCATTTTTCTATGGCATTTCAATATCCATAAAAATTAATCGATAAGTTTAGCAACATTATTATTTCAATCTCTCTTCTACTAATTCTATAGCAGAATTTCCATTGTAAGCACTATCAGTTTTTATTTTAAATTTCTTAAGTAAAACTTAAAGTGCAAAATGATTACAAATTATATCATCCACAATTAATATTTTACTACAATTACAATTTTTTTCTAGCATAGATAATTAAGCACCCATCTAAAATTCTACTGAATAATTTTCTATTAAATTTGATAATTTGAAACTTATTTTTGTATATTAATTAAATTTAGAATCTATCTAGAAGGTTTACTCTTTATATAAATAATTTGAAAGCAACATCGAGATTCTTAATCCCAAACCTAATTTATTTGAATTATATTGGATAGAATCTTAAAATAATATTTCTGCTTATTCTTCAATTTTTTCTATGATTTCATCTTTTATACCTTATCCATTATCATATACAATAAATTTAAAGTGATCCTTATATATTTCTGATGATACTTTAATTGTTCCTCCTTTATTTGTAAATTTAACTGAATTATCAAGTAAATTAATAAAAATTCTTAGCAATCTCTCTTTATCAGTATGCAATCTAATTTAATGATCATCTTCTATTACTAATTAGATTTACTTCTACAAACATTCAAAATAAAATAATTCTTGCAATTGTTAATATATTTCCTTTAATTTAAAGTAAGATTTATTTAGAGTCAAGGCATTACATTGAATCTAAGCATAATCTAATATATCATTTAATTAGTATTATAATCTCTTTGATGATACAATTGCAGGATTTAGATGAGATTAAATTAAGTCAATTGTTAATTCGTCTTTTAATGCAAATAATTAAGAAATAACACCATTAATTGGAGTTCTTAATTCATGACATAATGAATTTAAAAGTGCCTATTAAAATTTATATTTATGATTAAGCAATTTAAATTCCTCCCTTTTTGTAATGTTTTCTAATACAAATAAATAAACATTTTATTCCCATTATCCATTACCATCAATTTAAAAAATCTTAAGTTTTAAACTCTTATATTTAGATTTACATTATGAATTATTCATAGAATCTAATCTAATAATAAATTAAAAGGTTTCTCTTGAAGCAGCTGTTTATTAACTTTAATGGATTTTCTAAAACTTTTAAAATATAGACTTTAAATTTCCTTCCTATTAACTTTCATTATCTATTTTAGATGGAGATCCACAATTATAAAATTGAGAAACTAAATCTGAAATTTATTCATTAATTTATCTTTTTTATAGATTAATGGACGTCTATTGATAAAATGACATTTTTTTTGGTGATTTACTCAATGACTTTTTAATTTTCTTTGTAGAACGAACTTCTTAAATTTCTCCACCTCTGTTATAATTATTTATATATTTTACTTTTTAATGGCTTCATCTAAAAATTGAATTATTTTATTAGGATTTGTGATTCCTAATAATTATGTCACTTTTTAATTATAGTCTAAAATTGTTAACTATTAATCGACAAATAGGATTCCAAAGGGAAGATTACTCATAATTGCTACTAAATCAGAATATTTAGAATCCATATTGCTTTCCATTTTTAGAGGTTCTTATTAAAAAGAATCTGAAGAATTTGTAGTTGTTTTCTATACATTTATAGGTTATTTTTTAATGATAACTCTTTGTTCAATAGTATTTTTATTAGTACCTATTGATTTATGTTCTTATTAAATTTTAGGAGATTCAAATTCATAATCGATTTAGTTAACAATAACACTCTCATTTAAATCACATTTTAAATTATCTCCTTTGCTATCATTAGATAAACATATAACTTATTCTTATGAATTTTATTAAATTATTAATTACGTCTGAGTTTACTGTGAAAATTATATTGTATTCATTGTATAAAATATATAATGATTTAAAGGTTAGAGGAATATTATCAATAATATATATTGGATTCTATAATCTGATTAAGTTATTATTGCTCTAATTACCATGTATACTAACACTAGATGTACAATTATCTTTGTTAGTATAGCATTATCATAAATCTTAAACAGAATAAGTAATATATAGAATAGTTAAGCAGCATTAGCAATATTAATAGACTATTAGAACAAGGTTTCATAATTTATTATGCATAATAATTGCAAACCTACCTTAATATAGTTCATTGATATTTTGTAATAATCAATTATTATTAGTAATAAGCATATTGATAGGGATAAGACATTCAATAGAACATAATACCAATTTGTATTTATCCAAATAAAACTGATTTGAATGATGTCTTAAATTATTAATTAGCATATCAATAATTTCATGAGTATTTCCATTTATAATTATAATATATAATCATAATAAATATTTGTCAAGTAATTGTTTGAGTTATTTTTATTCAATAGGCTTTGGTAATACTTCTTTAATTCCACAAGCCTTTGCTTAATTACTATTTTCATATCCATCATAAGCTGAACACATTACAATAACAGTTTAGTCTGTAAGGTTAAATTTAGTTAATATGGCTGTTATCTAAATTATTATAATTTAAATTACTTCTTTTGAAGCTTAATATCCATTTATTATTGGCATTTCAATATCCATGAATATTAATTTATATGTCTTACAACAATTTTAGTCTAATCTTCTTTTAATCATTTGTATTGCTTATTCTCCATTATATGCACTTTCCATTTTAATTTTATGTTGACAAAAGAGAGCTTCCATGGCACTATGATTAAATCTGACATCATCAACATTTAAGATTTAGATGCAATCACAATTAATATTAAAATTACAACCTTAAAATGATGGTAATTTTAAATGTTTTAATTATTTAGAATTAGATTCTATTTTAAATGAAATTTTAGTAAATTATTTTTCTTTGCTTTCAAATTTGAGTTCTTTATCAACACATAGAAATTTGGCAATTTATTAAGATATTTTTAAACCTAAACCAAGTTTTGTTTCATTTTAATTATATTAATCTTACATTTGAAAATCTTTATTACTTCTAATACTTGTTAAGGTTTTATCAGAAATACCAACTCCATCATCCAAAACACAAAAGAGAATATATTAATTTTCTTGTTAGACTGTAACTGTTATTATTCCACCTTCATTTGTAAATTTAATTGAATTATCTATTAAATTTACTAATATCCTTACTATTCGTTCCTTATCACTATAAATATTTTAATTATCTTTAATATTTTAATAATTTAGAACAAATCTAAGGTTTTTCTCTTTGCATTCCTATTCAAAAAGTTCTCTTAATATTTCAAATATTTCATTTAGTTCAAATTATGAATTCACTAAATGAAAATTCTTACAATCTATTTATGCAAAGTCCAAAATATCATTTAATTAAAACATTAATTTTTTGGCTGAGATTATGGCAGGTATAAGATGTTTATCTCTAATTTAAGGTGAAATTAATGATGTTAATGCATTCAATTAAGATAAGGTACTATTCATTGGTGTTCTTAATTCATGACATAAAGAATTTAGCAAAACTTATTAAAATTTGTATCTTACACTTAATTAGCGCAATTCTTCCTTATTTGTTATATTCTCTATCACAAATAAATAATTTATTTTATTTCCTATAGTGTCTAATTCATATACTTTAATTCTAAAATGATATTTCTTAGAATCTATATCTTATACTTTCTTTATAATTTAGATATTTTGACCTATAGATTGAAATGAACAATCTCCATTATTAGTTAATGAATAGGATTTTAATGCAAATTTCTTAAGTAACTAATCTAGATTTCGATATCTAGACTTTGTTGTAAGAATCTCATCTCTAATCTAATTGTTAGTATTGGGTATAAAGGCAAAATTTGCATTAATTTAAGAATTATTTCCACCATCTGGATTTTATTCATGATTGCTTTTGGAAATTATGGACAATTATCTTTTTGTTTGAAATCTCCTGCTTTAACGATTGCTACAATGTGAGCTAAATTAATTTACGGATTTACTCTCCCATGATTCAGGACTTATTATTTTAATTGAATATACCTTTCTAATAATAAATCCAAATTTAATATGATATTTCTTCCATCATTATCTGACACTTTTAAAAAATATAATAATTTTTAATTATATGTCAATATTTCAAACTTACTGTTGATAAGAGCAATACCAAAAGGCAACAAATTCCAAATTTACGGAACATCTAAAGTCGATGTTTATTTTTAAAATTAAGAAAATGTTTTCTAATCTAAATCTGCCATCTGAGAAAATGGATTATTCATATATAGTTATTTTAATTGCTTTATATTTTATGATAATTTTGAACTTCTCTAAAAATTACTGCTGCATAATTCTTCCTATTCTGAAGAATCTTTACATAATTGCGGTGTCAGTTCAATTTGACATTTACTCAAATCAAGCGATTATTTCTTTAATTGATTTATTTTCAATAAATTCTTATAGTGCAACATCCAATGATTAATTGGTTACCATAATACATATGTCAGTAATTAAGTTATGTTAAACAAGTCTTTGTATTGTAAAAGTGTCCTCAAAAATATATAAAATATTATAGAGTGTTTTGCAATTTTATGCCATCTTTCTTCATCTTCATATTATGTAATTAATATAACAATGAATATTACCAACTGGATGGTATTTATTTATGAAATCTCTTAATACACTAATTCAACATTTAGTAAGCATAATATTAAGGCACCCACTCGATTAATATAGATAGGTTATTTTTTAAATAATTCCATTCCAAATAATAACACAGCTATTAGCAATGAAAATGAATTTATGATTATGTACTATAACTAAGTTTATTGCTACATTCCCACTTCCACCAGAAAAATTGTATTTTTTATTGAAAATTACAGATATATTGAACTTGTGTAAATTAGCATTTATATATAAAATATATCATAATCTCCACACTTGACATGTTGAATCTTTTCCTACTGTGATTACCATCTTTCCTTTTGAATCTACTAAAAGAGTCATAAGTCCGTCCTCTTATCCCTCTAAAATCTATTGGCAAACACCATCTATTGTGCTATTGTATAATGTTGAAAGTAATACTATAATCTAGCAGTCTTGTCAGTACTAGCTGTAATAACCTCATGTTTTTAAGTATAAACAATTTTGACTATTTCATCGGTGTGACCATAAAACCTTTAACTCATCTTACCAGTAGAAGCCTCATACAAAATTACTGTTGAGTCTTATGATCCTGTCAAAACTCTGGTTCCCAACTAGTCAAAGGTAAATGTAGTCAAATCTTATGTATGTCCTGTCAATATGTGTAATGGTTTATTTAGCTACTTAAGATCCCAGATTTTGCATTGTTTATTGCCACTGATAGTTCCAAGATACTTTCCAGAAGGATCTATAGCCATTTAGAATATTTCTTTAGTGTCATCTTGCAATTTAATAATTTGCTTAAATGTTTTGGTATCATTTACCTATAATTATTGAAATTATCATACTGAAATTTATCCATCAAATGAAGCAGTGTAAACATTAGAATCATGAAATTTGACACCAACTATAGATATTTTATGATCTTTGATTGTATGTAAAATTTAAAATTTTTCTATATCATAGATATTACAAGTTGAATCCATTGATCCAGAAGCCAATTTATTATTGTATCCAAATGATAGACACATAACTTCTGCATCGTGTCCTTTAAGTGTTTCAACACAAATTCCTGATTTTGGTCTCCATAATTTGATGGTGTGATCAAATGAACCTGTAGCCATTAGATCACTATAATAATAAAATTTGAATACTCTTTACTCTAATCAATTTCAATACATTGAATTACATTACTATGTCCTTACATTTCATTAAGTTTTGCTCCACTTTCTATATTGAATATCTTGCATGTTTAATCGTAACCTGCAGTAATGATTCTAAATGTTAATTATGAAATGCATTACTAAGTTTCGAATTTATTTAGGATACAACAAGAGAGAGGAAGAGGATGGGTGATGAAAGAATTTTCTAATTAGAATTTTGGTCTTTAATTCATTAATCTCTTTTAATACGAATAAAAAATATTAAAGATTTCGTAATGCTAAAACTAATTAATATTTACTGCCCTTCCATATTTTCTAATTAAGTTCTCTCTGTGCTATAATTAAACTAAATTATTATCAAATATTAGTAAAGATTTTGCAATTATACCTAGGTAATGAAATATGAAAAAACTATAAATTGTAAAAATTATTATAACCAATGATTAAGTTGAATATCTAATTTTTTGAATATAATTAATTGAGTCTATTTTTAATTATGATTAAGATATAAAATAGAATTATATATTCTTATGAAATTTAATAAAACAAGAGGAATTTAAAAAACAATTAATATTATAACTATTTTAAAATGCTAAAAAAATATAAAACTTTCTCCTTTTGCACAACTCTCTATTAAAAATTAGGTGTATAACCTAATGATTCTATTGATGCAATTAAGTCTGCCTACATTAAATTGGCTAAACTATATCATCCTGATGTTAATCTGGCTTAGAAAGATTAAGAATTTAAGGAAATTACAAATGCATACAATATTTTAAAGGACCCAATTAAAAGGAAACTCTATGATTAATCAATAGATGTATAATAAGATTCTAGTAACTAATCTAATCAAGAATCCAATCAAGAAAAGCAATACTACAATAATCCTGGATGGTAATACAATGGAGAGTAATAAAAATAATGGCATGAATATAATAAACAGAAAAATACTTATCAATAAAGAACTTATTAATATACTCAGTCTAAAAGTAATTCTAATCAATTATATGGATATTTGGCCATAGGTGGAATATCTATAGTATTTTGGTCAATCTTATCAGATGATGATTATTCTGAAAAACCAAAAATAACTAAAGTAGCTGGTCCTTCAATTAAAATTAGTGATAACCCGACTTCTTATGCAGAACTTAAATAAATATATGATTCAATTGAATAAAATGATAGTAAAAAGATGCAAAGGTATTATACTCATCAAGCTGAGGAAGACTAGACTGAACTAAGAAGATAGAATGTAATTTATTAAGGTTAGAATTTGAATGATTCACCATTTATTATAGAATAGAGAAGAAAGATGATGAATGAGGAGATGAAATAAAAATAATTTAAAATTTAAGTTGAACAATATGAAAAGGTTATTAAGGGAGATTCAAAGATTCTCAAAAGAAAAGATTCAAATTAAAAAAAACCAGAATTAAAAACTAAATAAGGAGATATGACTTTACAAGGATTTGCAAAACAAAAAAAAATGGACATCAATAAATCAATTCCAATATAGCAAAATTAAACTATCAATATAAGTATAGAACATTTAGAATAAGGTTATATGTGATCATATATTATTATTGTTATTTCTTAAAAATATCAAACTTTAATATGTGATGCAACAGCATTATCTAATTTTTCAAAGAATTCTTATGAATCATACTATAAATGATCTTCATTAATTTCATATTCAAGATAAGCACCCTATAAATTATTAATCTATTTTTTACTTTCTTTTGATAGTATTCAATAATTTCAGAATTGACTTAATCAATTGGAGCTTAACTTGATTCTAAAGCACATTTACTTGGTGTTTAACACTAAAATAAAATCTATTTTAAATATATACATTATTTTAGTATCCTGGATGAGTAGGAGTAATGAATGGTAAACTAGTATTGAAAACTTTACCACAAGATTAACATGAAAGAAAAGATCCTGCTATTTTCTTAATTAATGATTCAGATAATCTAAATCTAACAGCTAAATTAACTCCATCTAATAATCGATCAAGTCTAAAATTATTTTTTATTCTTTTTTCAAGTACCTTTCTGCTTCAACTGTTGTATTTGGGAATCCAAATAATAAAGCACCATTTGTTTATGTAGATTATAATTATACTTATTCTGCTAATCTAGCTAACCCGTCCTTTTGGATAAATATAAATTTTACTTCTCCACTTGATTTTTAAGCATCAATTATTGAATATTAAAGGAATTATCTATTATCTAATAATTAAATTACTTTTCAACAAGATTTCTGAAAAATTGATTTGATTGTAAAAATACAATTTTAGGATATTATGGCATTTTAGCTGTATATTTGAATTGATCATATATCACTGATTAAGTGAAGAATTAGTGAAGTTATTATGCTCTTTGTATTGCTAATCTTGAATTACCAAAGAATTATTGATTCATTATTAATACTAATAATAATTATTATCTGAATCCTAAGTTAGATAAATATATAAAAGGTAGTTGATATAATTCATTTTGTTATTCCTTAACCTTCTATTTCAGGTAGGTCTTTCCAAAGAATTAATTTTATACCTATAAATTATTTACTAAATAACTATTACATGATTAGTCAATTGTGAATTTCTTGAAAAACCATTCTTACGTTTTTAGTCTTTTGTATATAACATTCTAAGCTTTATCATTTATAACACCTTCAATTTTTATTTAGTATTCATTTTCATTTAATTATGAACATGAGATTTTAATGTTATGGGTTGTTAGTTACTCAATCACATCAATAAGAATCAAACATAAAATTGATTTATTACCCATTATATTTGATGATATTGAATTATATATTTAAATAGATCTATAGTTATAAATCATCTTTATTTTCTTTAAGACACTTTATAATTTAAAAGTGTAAATAATTTACTGAGAACTTTATTCACAAAGTTCTATTAAATAAAAATACAATATTTATTTATACATTGAATGTATAATAATAAAAGTAGATTTCTTCTTCATCATTTTATTAAGTCTTTTATAAACGATACTTAATAATTTTTTATATTTGAATTAATAAGAGCTTTCTAATTTTATGAATTTTTTATCTTCTATTATTTGGATTTTGCAAAATTTTAATACTTATATCAAAATTAATGGTTAAACTCCCAAAAAAATAGAATATTGTAGAGTGAATTCTTTTTTGTCATGAATAATTTAAATTTGTTATTTCAACTATTGATTTGTATTTTCAAAAATGCAATCTTAGATGCTCTTAAATAAAAATTATTCTAAGCTATTTTTTCCTTCAATTAATTTAGTGTTTCTTAAAAATAATTTTAAATCCAGTTCATTTTCACAATTAAACTAAAACTTATTAGATTTCTTAAACTTAAAACTTAAATTGCTTTCATTGAAATTAATTAATAAATATGGATCATCTATTAGAGTTGTAATTACTTAGTCCCATTGATTGTCCAAACAGGATAATTAAAATTATGATCTAAAAGCGAGATTATTTTTGTAAATTATGTATAACAGATAACCTATCAAAATTATTGCTATCATCATTGATGGATAAGGAAATATTGAATCCTAAAGAAAAATGGTAAGCAATCTAATTGTTGTTATGATAATAATGGAAAAAAAAGCATCTATAAATTCACCTTGTAAAAGAATTACCAGATGAATACACATCATACTTGCCCCCCTTAAATAGTAATAATGTGGTGAACATTGATTATCTATTTCTAATGAAGTTAAAATGATCAAATGATTAATTATTACTAATGCTATACGTATACTTTTCTTTTTTATTAAAACAAAAGTCCCTAAAGATATCACTCCAATTATAAAAAGAACATATATAAACCATAGTTTAGAATCACCAGATATTAGTATCTAGCAAAATCGTATGATCCCAGCTACACTAAGACCAAGAGTCAAATGCTTAAAAAGTGGTAATCGATTTGATATTAATTGGTAATTCTAATATTTTTCTTCAAGTTGTTTATCCTTAAATTAAAGAGTAAACTTGTTCAGCATATATTTAAATACAATATAAATATTAATCATCAAAGATCAAAATCATTACATTAAATATTAACAATAATTTCAGAAGTCTAAATAGTAATTCGACAAAGATGCGTCACTGCTGTTTAATTTAAGGGTTTAATTTTCTTATTTTACTAAAAGAATTACTAATTAATATATACTCCATTAAAAATTATTAATTTTTTAATACATATTCAAAATGTTATAAAAACTGATCAAAGAATGTGATCATATTGGAGGATTGGGATTATTAAGAAAATTTTAGAGGTTTCTACATTTTTTTTATTTTTTGATTCAAGATTAAGGTTAGGAATCATTATTTTTATGTTTATACTTATCATTTATATAAAAATACTACAAATATTAAATAAATTCTGATATTTGTGTAGCACAATAATACTTTTATGCATCATAAAATTTAATTAAAATAGCATAAAATTTCTAATAAAATTAATGTAACTTTAACCAATAAGACAATATGATATCAAAAAGATATTACAACCTTAATACTAAGGCAACGCTAAAATCCAAAATCTGAAAAAAAATTATTTCTCAAAAATAAAAATTCATATCTTCAAGAAATACCCTAAGACCATAAAAAGTTTTTTTGAAAATACAAAAGTATTACAATAAAATAGAGTTAGCTGTTAATTCAGTAGTATTTAGTACATCCTATTTATTATAATACAATATAAAAATCAATATTATATTCAATAATAAGGTAAAAGGTTATCCTGCAAAATTTAATTAAAAGTTTAATACAAATAAAATTATCTTCGCCTAAATAATTTAAAATACTTTGTATAATTAATAGTTAATCAATGAAGAACAAGAGTATTCTTGGATCCATACTAAAGAAACTATTATTATTTTTTATTTAACCTCAAACTATTAATTAGAAAAAAAGTTCATATTTTCATCGAATTATTTTTAATCACTATAAATTATTGAAATAATTACAAGTTTGACTTCTTGATTCATTACTTTATCAATTAAAAGACCATAAAAATGTTTATTAAATAAATCATATAAAAAATAAATTGTGAATATGAGATCAATTTATTTCTACATTTTTTTTTTCAATTTTAAGAACATCTAATTTCAATTAGAATTAAACATAGCTTAAATTTTAAGCTTGAAATATTATAATTATAAAGTTTGCATTAAAAATGAACAAAAACTAAACTAACTGTTTCTTAAGTGGATGTTTAAGCACAAAACTAGGAAGATTTAAGATGAGAACACAAATTTTAATTATAAATGGCATAATTTTAGCCATATTAATACCTTCCCTTTTAATAGCTTAGACTATAAATATGTAGTATGTACAACAAATTCTTAATGATGCATTAAAAAGAAGTACAATTTCTGAAATNTTTATACTTATCATTTATATAAAAATACTACAAATATTAAATAAATTCTGATATTTGTGTAGCACAATAATACTTTTATGCATCATAAAATTTAATTAAAATAGCATAAAATTTCTAATAAAATTAATGTAACTTTAACCAATAAGACAATATGATATCAAAAAGATATTACAACCTTAATACTAAGGCAACGCTAAAATCCAAAATCTGAAAAAAAATTATTTCTCAAAAATAAAAATTCATATCTTCAAGAAATACCCTAAGACCATAAAAAGTTTTTTTGAAAATACAAAAGTATTACAATAAAATAGAGTTAGCTGTTAATTCAGTAGTATTTAGTACATCCTATTTATTATAATACAATATAAAAATCAATATTATATTCAATAATAAGGTAAAAGGTTATCCTGCAAAATTTAATTAAAAGTTTAATACAAATAAAATTATCTTCGCCTAAATAATTTAAAATACTTTGTATAATTAATAGTTAATCAATGAAGAACAAGAGTATTCTTGGATCCATACTAAAGAAACTATTATTATTTTTTATTTAACCTCAAACTATTAATTAGAAAAAAAGTTCATATTTTCATCGAATTATTTTTAATCACTATAAATTATTGAAATAATTACAAGTTTGACTTCTTGATTCATTACTTTATCAATTAAAAGACCATAAAAATGTTTATTAAATAAATCATATAAAAAATAAATTGTGAATATGAGATCAATTTATTTCTACATTTTTTTTTTCAATTTTAAGAACATCTAATTTCAATTAGAATTAAACATAGCTTAAATTTTAAGCTTGAAATATTATAATTATAAAGTTTGCATTAAAAATGAACAAAAACTAAACTAACTGTTTCTTAAGTGGATGTTTAAGCACAAAACTAGGAAGATTTAAGATGAGAACACAAATTTTAATTATAAATGGCATAATTTTAGCCATATTAATACCTTCCCTTTTAATAGCTTAGACTATAAATATGTAGTATGTACAACAAATTCTTAATGATGCATTAAAAAGAAGTACAATTTCTGAAATGTCTAAGCATTTGACTAGTGCTTCAACAGCATTGAATTATCAACTAAATTCAGTCTTTAAAAGAAGTATAATCCTATTTTAAATTTTAGCATAGATTACCTTGACTAACCTTAATTAAATTTATTGGATGTAATTAAATAATGATATAATCACAACTTAGTAGCTTTCTCGAACATGTGATTATAATCAAACAACCATACCTTATGAAAATAATTATTCTATAATTTGTTTCTCAAGATTTGGATTAGAATAAAATGAATAGACTCCTTATTTAAATGGTGATATCAACTAATAATTATAAAGTATTACTAATCTAATAAGCTCAACAATTTTGAGTTTAATAAGATTAAATGATGAGTTTTTACCAAATTAAATTTATTTTGTCTCTTCCATTAATTCAGTGTAATATGGTTTTTTATATCCTTAAGTTATCATTTATCCTAATTTCAATCCAAAAGAAAGAGCATGGTATTAGTAACATTTCAAAAACTTAGAAAAAGATAAAAATAATAATACTTAATTAACTGATATTTATAGATATTTTGATACTCAACCAATTTATTCAATGACAATGACATAATCAATGTTAAATTTAAATAAGGATGTAGAAGGAATATTTTGTTCTGATCTTATTTTTAAAAATAGCTACATTCCTCAATTAAATATTAATGTAATGATTGTAAATACAAATGGAACATTAATATTGACTAATTATAAAAATATAGCTGTTTCAAATTCATCAGCTTTGACAAGAATTGATGATGAAGAAATTACAGGATTTACAAATGAAGATTGGAATTCTATTCTTAATTATTATTATAATAAAAAGTTAAATTCTACTTGTAATTATGAAGATTTAGATATTCTATGTAGATTTAATAGTATTTATAATAAAGATGTTGTAATTAAAATAGTGAAATTATAGAATATCAATTATTTCCTTATATTATTTTATGATATTTAGATTGAATAAGAAATTGAATATAAAATCAAACTTCTTTTACAAATATTGAATCAAAATTTTAATTAAATGATTTTTATCACTGTTTTAATTTCATTTGGACTTATTTTATTGTAAGTAATTTTAATCTATTTAATCTTTTTACCCATGTACTAGATAATTCGATAATCGTTTTACTTTCTAAAAAAATAAGAAAAATCAAAATTGTCTGGACAATTAAACTTTTTTAAAGAACTCAACAAATTTGAAGAAATAATGAAAAAATAAAAAAATCTCAAAGAGAATTTTATAGATAACAGTATAAATTAAATATTATATTATATAGATAATGCACTTATGTAATTTAAAATATAGTTTGATACATTATTTGATAGAGTTCTGACATAAAAAAGGGATATTAATCCTTAATGTCAAATACTTCAACAATTTAAATATCCAAGATAAAGTGTTCATCATACATTAGACATCCTTCAAATTCTAAAAGAAGGGAAAATCTCTGATAACTATTATGAATAGTAGATAAGCAATCCAAGAAAATTTTATTAAAGAAAAACATTTAGTTTTAGAGTTGAATCAAGTTGATTAAGATTATGATGATTAATTTTATAATTTTAATAAGAGACATTTTAATTTAAAATAACTATATAATAAATATAGATAGATATATTAAATTTTCATATTCCATTTTCTAATAATTAGTAGATTACTTCCAAATTTGGTCTTTCATCAGGATTTTCTGATACCATATTAACAAGATTTTTTTAAAGGTTTTCAGTAATTTCAAATAAGCATTTTGCCTTATATAATTAATTTCTATGATGGTAAAAGCCATCTTATAATATTTTATCATCAATTTGAAAAAGTGTTTCCAAAAATATAACTCCTAATTAATAAATATCATATTTTTCATTATACATGAAATATTTGGATTCAGGTGGAATATAATAGCCCTCTCCTCCTCCATATGTTTCAAAAATAGAAGGCTCATAATTTTAAATTAAAAATGAGCAATCATAATCTATAATTACATAATCAGCATCTTGATAATCTAAACATTCTTATAAATCCTTTTATGAATCAATCATAATATTTTATGGTTTAAGATCTCTATGTACGACTTAATAATCATTGTGAAGTATAATTATTTGTTTGGTTATCATAATTAATGCTCTTTTTACAATAGATTTAAGATTATTTTAATTGCTATTGTTTATGATTTAAGATTTCAATTTCTATTAAAATTAATCAAAGGTTTCCTTGTAATATTTTTAAAATATTATAGTTAATGATTCAAATTATAAATACCCATAATATTTAAAATTAAAATCATCTTGAAAACACTCCAAAATTTAAATTACCCTTAAATGATTTTTATTTTCTAATTTTTAATTTTCAGAAATTTTGATAACAATATCTTTTTCTTAAGTATTTATATAAGAAGGTTTAGTAATTAAGTATACAACAGAGTTTATCTCATTGTCATAAAGAGATCTTATAAAATTTTAAGGTTATAAAAAATTTATTCTTATTTCATTTAGTATATAGTTATAAGAATTTTTAAATTATTTAAAATAATTTTCTATTTAATAATTACTTTACTATTTGAATTTAGTATTGCTTTCTCTAATTAAATTGTATTTTATTTCTTCAATTTTTTTTGCATTTTCATAAATATTTCTATCAAATCCAAGTTAATTTACTAAAATTAATTATAAGATACGTAAGTTTTTAAATTAAATAATAACATCTTGCTTTTGATTTGATTCTTATAAAAAAAAAATATAAGATTGATTTTCTAAAGGCTCTGTTTTTAAAGACTTCAAATTTATTTCTTCAATCTGATTTTATATTTTCTAAATATCTTTATTATGATTCCCTTTATTATTAATGTCTTTATTAGAAGTGTTTCTAAATTGAATTTCGATTAATTCTATAATTAATATAATATTACATGAACTTAAGCAAATCATATATCGAATTAAATCTGAACATTTCATTGGTAATATGGAGTTAAAATAAACATGTTAATGATTATTTTCGATGATTTATGAGGATGGAATAAATCCACAAAGTGATAAATTATTATAAATCTTCTAAGAGGCCATAGTGGATTGAGAAACTAAAATATTCTAGGATTCCATCATATTCTATTATTGTTTATTAAAAATACTAATTAATTAAAAACATAAATATTAGAATTTTGCCTAAAAATTAATATACTATGAATGAAAATCAACAATAATATGACATTTTACTCTTAATATATTACTAATTTAACATTCCTTTAAAATAGATACTTTTAAATATTATATTCTTATCACTTTTATTTTAATAGAATAAGAGTAATTAAAAAAAAAATAATTAACTAAAAAATTATTTTGTGATTTTAGTCATAATTTTTCAAAAAAAATTATGAAGTTTATATAAGATATTGATCATATTCTATAATTTGTCTTTAATATATTTTGATTCCAATAAAATAAATTTATATGTTTTAGCTTTTTGTTTTTTAAAATTTGATTTGATAATGTTTAATAAATTTATCACATATGTAAGATTTATCACAAATTAAGTTTTTGAGTAATAACATAAAACATCTAAAAATAATTGAAAGAATTCTCATATACAAAATATCATAAAATAAATTATATAAGATGTTATAAGCAATAAAAAAGGGTTTTTAAAAGTTAGATATATTTGGTCAAACAATAACCCTCAATATGAATAGAAATGACCTTTATACAACATCTTTTGGAGGATTTTCTTCTATTCTAATAATATGCCTCTTAAGTCTAATATTTTATTCTAATATCATATCATTCTTTTAAAAACAAAATATATATCATGGAAATGAAGTTGTTTTTTCAAATGATCCTGGTATAATTGAGATGGATGAAAAAAATTCGATGATTGCAATTTCAATTGATTAACCTAATTTTACTACAAATCCATTCTTTCAAATTTCTTTAGAACAAAGGTAATCAAATTTAAATAAACATTCTTAGAATCTATATTAGAAATTTAAATGGTACAATAGAAAAATTATCTATAGAAATCCCTTTAAAACCATGTACATTAGATCGTTTTAATAATATTTTTTCTGATGAAGGAATAAATTTTACAGATTAATTCAATTTTTAAGGAATTGGAAATATGTTATGCCCAATGTAATTGAATTGAATTATAAGGTTCAAGAGATAATTTTAAATATCATCTTTAAGGTACATATTCGAGCTAAATCTTTAAATTTTTAAAAATAAGTGTAAAAAGTTGCAAGAGTACAGATATAATCAATAATAATCTTGAGTGGAATCCTACCTGTGCATCTGACTAAGATAGATAAAATTACTTAAATGAAAACAGTTAATTTAAATTGTAAATAATTTAAATTAATACTGTTATAAATCCATAAAATCCTGAAAATTACAAAACTATTTATATTGATAGCGACATGTATTTTCCCTTTGTTCCCCTTAAATTAGCTAGATTAGCTAATATATTTTATAGATAGGTCAATATAAATAATGATAATAGTTTATTACCATTTGAGTAAAAAAAAATCATAATATATTTAGGAAAGTAGATAAAGAAGAAATTATAATGAGGAAAGCAGAAGATTATCGTGATTTAACTGAATTAGGAAGAGATACAGATGATAATTATGCAATTGTATATTTAAGAAGAAGTCCTTTTACAGAGATTGTGAATAGAAGATTTTAAAAGATAGGTGAACTACTTTCTTATTTAGGTGGATTTATGTAAATTATGAAAGTTCTATTTGGTTTTTTTATAGCCTTTTATAATAGAACATCTATGCTTATTGAGTTGGCAAATAAATTATATGATTTTAAAGAAGAAAAAGATGTCAAAAAATTAAAAACAATTAACACTGTCTCATATATAGAACAAATTTCATCTCCTATTGATGTATTTTAAATAAATGGAAATTAATTAAATTAAACTCATGATATTTCAAATATTGAATGGAAGGATTATTTAAGTAAATTAGTTTAAAAATCTGATTCTATTAAATTTAATTTTAAATTGTTCATTAATCAATTAACATTTGGATTTTGTTTTAAAGATAAAAATTCTTAATTCTTAGAAAAAGCTATGTAAATATATTTATTTTATTTGTTAAGTGAAAAGATAAATAATGAATTGGATCTGCATACAATATTTTATTAATTACATGAGATAAATAAATTGAAACAAGTTTTGTTAAGAAAATCATAAATAATTTTATTTAATTTTTCACCTAAACCTATAATCACTTTAGGCATAGATTAGACTGTTCCTTCAAGACTCACAATTAAAGATAGTAGTCACTTATCCCACATTTAGAAAACTGAAGAAGAATTAATAAATGAAGAATTGTTTTCTAAATTACAATAAGTAATTATAATCCATATGTAGGCATATAAAGAAATTTTAAATGAAATAAACCAAAATCCTTCTAACTTATGTTAAATGAATATCAATCTAAAATTAACTCAACTTATTGGATAGGATTTTATGAAATTAATTCTACCTTTTTAACAAAGGAGAAATGGTTTTAAGTTATTAGATTCAAATTTAAATTAAGAAACTGAATTATGAAAAATCATATATTAAAGACTCTATCTAATTAGAAGTATGTCTTGATAATAATTTTATAATAATAATATATTATTTCTTATGTATTATTCTAAACTTAATATAATATGATTTATATATTTATAGTAGTCTTACATCATTGATATTACGAATACATAGTCTTTAAATTTTAGATATTAAATTCAATGTATCATCCTATATTAAACAATAGTCTTGTAAAATAGTAAGAAATTTCTATTTTTTTTTTTTAGAAAACTTTGATTTAGGATTTTCCTATATTATATTATAATAAATAATAAAGATGCTATATTCCATTCAAAAAGGACTGTAGAGAATAGATATATTTGGTCAAACCATTACTCTTAATATGAATAAGAATGCCTATTACACAACTTCATTTGGTGGATGTTCTTCAATAATGATTATTTGTTTGTTGAGTCTAATCTTTTACTCTAACATTGCAGATTTTTTTACAAAAGCGAATGTTTATTACAATTCCTAAACAGCATTTTCTAATGATCCTAATTACATGAAGATGAATGATGATAATGCAATGTTTGCTTTATCAATAGATCAGAACAATTACACAAAACTTCCATTTTTTAATATTACTATGGAATAAAAGTAAGAATTTATCGATCTAGAATATATGAAAGATCTTTGAATGGAACTATTAAAAAATCAACTATACAGATACCTCTTGAGCCTTGTACTTTGAATAGATTTAATAATGTTGTTGAGTAATAAGGAATTGATACTAATTTTAATGACTCTTTTAATTACTTAGGTATGGATTAATGGTTATGTCCAAGGTATATGAATTAAGTATTTAGGATTAACTATTAATTGGAGTTGTAAGGTACATACTCAAGTGAAACCTTTAAATTTATTAAAATAATTGTATCAGATTGTTAGAATAATACTAATTCATCATATTGGAATCCTGTCTGTGCTAATGAAACTTTAAAATCACAATATTTAAATGCAAATGGACAATTCAAACTTTAAGTTTTTTAAATAAACACAATGGTGAATCCATAAAAGGCTAAAAATCATAAAACTATGTATTTAGATAGTGATATGTACTTTTCATTTGTACCTAATTAATTATCGAGATTAGCTAATGTTTATTATAGATCATATGTAATAAATAATGATTAAAGTCTATTACCTTATGAGTAATTATTTGATTAAAATAATTAGAAATATTTAAAAAGAGGAATTAATAGTGAGGAAAGCTGAAGATTTTAGAGACTTAACTGAATTAGGAAGGGATACTGATAGTATATATGCAACAATTTATTTGAGAAGAAGTCCTTTTACAGAGATTATAGATAGGAATTATGAAAAGCTTGGTGATCTCTTATCATATTTAGGAGGATTCATGCAAATATTTAGAGTGATATTTGGATTCTTTATTGCCTTCTATAATAGAACATCCATGCTAATAGAATTATCAAACAGATTATATGATTTTAAAGAAGTTACAAGTCGATCTTATATAAGAAAAGGTGCTTTCAGTTAAAATTCAGGAGGAATTACAACTCCTCCTGATGAAACAAATACTATATTAAGAAATCAACCAAATAATGATTTACAAAAAGTTGAATGGAAATAATTCATTCATAAATTAGTAGAAAGATCTTAACCTATAAAATTAAATTTGAAGATTCTTATAAATGAATTAAGTTGTGGATATTTCTTCAATAATACTAACTCATCTTTTTTTACAAAGGCTATGTACTTTATATAAATCTATTTTAAAGGATGAAGATTAACAATGAATTGGATCTGCATAATATTCTACACTAATTATAAGAAGTTTCTAAATTGAAAACTGTTTTACTTTAAAAACCATAATAAATTCTATTTAATTTTAGTCCAAAGCCTATAATCACTTTAAATTAAGAGAATAATGTACCATCAAGAATAGAACTAGATTTTTATAATAGACAATCATATATAAGAAATAAGGAAGAAATTCCAAATGAAGAATTATTTACTTAACTTTAAGATGTAAATTATTATATATATTTATTAAAGGCATATAAAACAGTACAAGAAGAGATGGAAAATAGTTAAAATAGTTTAATGTGTTAGAAAACAATCAATTTTAAATTGACAAAACAAATTGATGATGAATTAGGAAAATTCTTAAGAAGTAGACGTATGAGTTGTATAAATTAAGAAGAAATCTCTTGATTTAATAAAATTTACTGTATATATATATATATATAGATAAGAGTTGATAAGAACAACAATCATTTTTAAAATTCAGTTTATTATTAATTTTGTCTTAACATTCTTAATTCCTCATCTTATATTTATTTTAGGATTGCTCTTCTCCTTTCATAATCCATTTATTCTCTTGTTTTTTATTATATTCTTCTAAATTCTTCTTTTGTTGTTACATATTATTAACCAGTGTTCTAATCCACAACAACAATTTATCTGTTTTCCATTAATAAACCAAACAACTCAAAAAATACATATCCAGCCATCCCCATCATAAAAATAATTAAATATCTCATAGCAGCAGCTCTACTTGAATAAAGTTCCTAAAATAAATTTAATTGTGGATAATTACAAATTATTCTTCTTATGTATATTTCTTATATTATTTAAATGGATCATCTTTTGCATATGATGTTTTAGAATGATATTAATATTCATAATGAGATTACTATCTTTTATATTCCTCATACATTCTTCTAAATTATTCATGATTTACATTTTATTAATAACTATATGCTTTTTTAGTAATAATTAATACTTGAATGTTAATGGTATTATCGATCATATTGTTTTTTCTAATATTGTTGAGGATTAACTTATGATTCATCATACTCACTTTTGGTTGTAGGGTTTTTTAAAACTTCATATGCTTCATTTATTGCTTTAAATTTATCAATTTAATCAGGATTTTTATCTGGATGATATAGTTTGGCTAATGTATAATAAGCTGTTTTAATTTCTTCTTAAGTAGATTTATTTGTTAAATTTAAAATTTGATAATAGTTCTTGTTTGGGTTGAATTTCAATTATGAAAAGAAAAACTTTATTTTATTTTTCATTATTAAATAAAAAATTATTCAAATACTATTTTATTTTAATGTTTAATTGTTAAGAATTAAGACTTATTAAACTTATAATTACATCATCAATATCTATTAATTTATCTCTAAACTTAAAATAATTAATAAAGAAAAAAATACAAAATAATTTGATCATTTGCTAAAGAAACAACAATGTGAAGGTTTAGGACCATTAAAATAACATGGGTTAGATCTAAATAATACAGTATTTTGATTTTTAATTCCATCGATCATTAAAAATTCATAGTCTGGAACTCGACCGGTTTTTGCACATGGCAAGGATGTTATAGAATCACCATAATTTTATAACTATTTCTATTCCTCATTAATACTCTTTTGTAATCCTTCAAAATATCACAAAGCAAAATAGGTTTCAGCATATTTAATACTACAAAAACTGGTACAAAATTAAGATCAACTAAAGATAGTTCGTTTCCATTTATGTATTTCTTATCTTTAAGCCATTCTTCCATTTACTTTAATCGTTTTATTATCCATTCTTTAATTTTGACAAATTTCTATTGCTTTAAAATAAGAACTTACTTCCTATTCTGTACTAAAAATCAATTAGTATAAACTTTTAATTATCTCATTTGAATACTCAAACTTAGCTCTGTCTAAAGCCTTTTGTATAGGATCTTCTGACATTAGTTTAGGTGGTGTAATTTCATCAATGTATTCCATTATAGCTGCTGACTCAAATAAAACAACTTTGAATATAAAATTAAATAATACCTTCTTCACCAATAATTAAAATAGGTACTTTTTCGAGAGGACTAATTTTTAGAAACCAATCAGGTTTATTATGCATCTCAATAAACTTGATTTCAAATTTAACATTTTTATGACACATTATTGTAAGTACTTTCATGCAATAAGGACATATTTTAAATGCCACAAGTGTATGTTTGAATCTTTTATCCATTACAAATTTAATCGATTTATTTTTGCTATTCTAAGAATTTAATTTATAATTTTTTAGATAATTCTTAATTCTTTAAGATGTTAAAACAGAATGAAAAGAATTATTTTCTATTTCTATTTGATTTTTTTAAGACAATTAATTGCTATTATAAGAAATCATAAAAATTATTTATAGGTTAAAAATTCTGATTTAAATAAATTTGATTCTAAAAAGTAAAATAAAGAGAAGATGTTTCAAAATTTGCGATGAGGATATATTTTAAGTAAAACAAATTATAAATAATAAATAAATATGGTTTTGATAATTATTTTTTTAAAAGTCAAACAATTTTTAATTCAACTAATTTTAACAATTAATATTTATTTATTTTTCATAGGATATCATATGCTTAGTACATGAAAGTAAAATATGCTATTAACAATTCTGATTAAGTTTATAAATCTTAATGATTAGAGTGTTCTATAAGTCATAAAATTGTAATTAAATGGTAATAAGAATTTCAATGTCAAACATTAGAAGACAACGAAAAAACTGAAATTTATGGTATTAAATAAAAGAATTGGATATTATTGTTTTAAGTATTTAAAGGAAGTTGAGGATTATAATATTGAGTTGATTTAAAAAAATCAAGTTTATAAGGGAGTTTAACTTAAGCTTGAGGACTACAGTGAATATTTATTGAATATATATTATTTTATTATTTTGTATGAATCAATACGAAAGAGTGTTCAAAGAATCTTGGATAATGATAATGATTACACTTTTAATAATGTTTTAAAGTATATTTGGAGATGGATCCTTAATTATAACAATTATTATTCTGGCTATATAGATATTATGTGTAATGTTGGGTTTCATTTAACAAACTTAAAAATATGCAATACAATTTGAAATGCTTTAGCAATGGACCTTACTATTTGCTTTATATTTAAGCACAAAATTTAATGCAATGTCAATATTAGCATTATGTAGTTTAAAAGAGTTCTTTTTTTGTAAAATAAATGCTTAGTTACCTTCACTTAATAAACTATAAATAATTCACTTAATTGGATCTGATCTCATTCTATTTACAATAATCTTATTAGAGGATAATAATTAAGTATATTTATCAGTCACTACTATAATGGTTCATTGGTTAATAATATTTCATATATCTAAATCTAAGATAGCAAGAAAGAATATAAACAGTTCTACATAATAAGAAATTCATGATAAGATAATGATTGATAGTGCAGGTAACACTTAAAATCATTCATGTTTAAAATTAAAAGAGAAAGTAAGTCATCATGAGAGTCCAACACATGAAAGAGATAATAAGTTAGAAATCTTGAGTATATTTCCATAAGGAATAGGATTAATTAAAATAACAGAAAAGAAGATAGAGTTAGAGTATCATAATGAAAATTTGTTAAAATTATCAATGGCTGAATAATCAGATTAAATTCTGTCCTCTTTATTTTGTTTAGAACAATAATCTATTCAAGAGGATCAAGAAAAGCAATAAAATGATTATAAGAATTCTATGAGTTCATTTTCTACTTTTTAATAAACTCCTATACCTTGTAATTTAATAAATAAAGCAAATCGAAATGAAAAGAGATCTTAGACTAATAAGTTATAAAGTTCTTAAAAATTAGAATTATTTAGATAAAATTCTGTTTTAAGCAATATTGATTACAAAGGTGTAATCTTGAGGAAATGTGATACACTGGAAGAATCGGTAATGTAAGTTTATAATTTAGATATTGGAATAAGAATTGAGATTAATATCATCATAAATGAGAAAAGTAGACTTTTAAAATTATATGAAAAATCAAAATCAGTTGATTTAAGAACATGTAGTAATTTTAGGCTATTAAAAAGGATAAGATGGAAAAAAGAATAGAACTATTGAAGTCAAATTGTATAATGCTTTAATTATTGATGTTCCTTATATTTTAATGCTTATTAGAGACATAACTCATAGAGATTATATATAATAATTACGTGATTATAGTAAATAGAAATCTAAGACTTTATCTTTTGTTAGTCATGAATATAGAACACCATTAAATTGTATAATAGATATGCTTGAACAAGGAGTTGATGAAGATTAGAAATATTCATCATAAACTATGATTATGGAAAAAGAAGTACGTAGATCTACAAAGACTAATATACCAATTAAAATGGCTAAATAAATTAAAATTGCATTAGATCATGCAAAATACTTATAAAATTTAAGTGATGATCTATTAGATTTAGCATAAATAAAAGTTGGAAAATTTAAGATCAACAAAGCCAAATTCAATTTTAATCAATTATTAGAAACATGTGTAGATTTATTTTAAGTAATGGCAGAAAGAAAGTAAATTAAGTTATATATCAATTATGATAACAAAGCTCCTAGATATATATGTTCTGATCCTAGTCGGTTAAAATAAATAATGATAAATTTATTGGGAAATGCTTTTAAATTTACTGAAGAAGGTTCAGTGACAATAAAAGTATCTCAGATTAATTTAAGATTGGAAATATCAGTTGTTGATACAGGAATTGGTATGACTGAAGAAGATTAATTAAGAATATTTTAAGCATTTGGAAAAGGTAATAGTGAAGAACATAAAAAAATGAATAAATCAGGTGTGGGATTAGGATTATTAATTAGTAATTAAATTTTATAGAATTTAAATTAAGACTTACAAAATGGATTAAAATTTAAATCTTAATATAAAAAAGGTATTATTGTTAATATATTTGAAATTAGGGTCTACATTTTATTTTTAGATTCAATATTAAGATATAAATGAGATAAAATCTTTGAATAGTATGGAAGAACGAAATTAAGATAGTGAAGAATCAATAACAATGTAATAATAATAAGAGGAATCTATTCATAAAGTTTATGTACATAATTAAGCATCAATTTTTAAAAGATCAACAAAAGCTATAATGACAACTTAAATTATGATAGTTGATGATGTTTGTATGAATATTGATATGTTGAAAAGAAGGTTAGCATAAATGTAATATATTATTATTATAATAAGAGGATAAGATCATATTGATTCAGCAACAAATGGTTATTTAGCAATTGAAAAATGTTAAAAGAAATGGCAAGCAAATTAAGATTACTATAAATTAATATTTATGGATTTAGAGATGCCAACAATAAATGGAATTTAGACAACTAAAAAGATATTAGAATTGTCTCAAAAATATGGAATAAATGTAAAAATAATTGGATGTTCTGCATATGAATGTTCAGAATAAAAATAAGAATGTCTCAATGCAGGAATGAAGGATTATATAACAAAGCCTATTCAATTATAAGATCTCAAAAGAATTGTGTAGTAGTATTTATGATTTTTTTTAAAGACTTTTTATTATTTGTTTTTGATAAACATTTAAATACTTTTTATTACAATCAATTAAAATAAAAATTCAACAAAGACCATCTTTTTATTTAATTTTAATTTCTTTTTTTAATAGATCCTCATCAATAATACAAATATATATTAGAAATCTCTTATTAAGAGTATGATCAAATCAAGTTTTTATTTAAAATAAAGAGTATCAGAACTTCATATAAAAAATAATCAATTAAAAAATGAAGTTGAAATTATAAATGATCTATATGAATAAGAGTAGATTAATTGTTAATCAAAACAGAAAACTCAATAATTCTTGTATTTAAATTATTTGAAACTAAATTATTGATGTGGTAAGTTGTAAAATAAAGTTGCATAAAATGACATTAAAATTTTGGAACTTCAAAATGCATTAAAATATAGAGATGATTAAATTACTAAAAATGAATAATGAATATAGAAAAATTGGAAATAAATCTAAAACCTTAAGAAAATAAAGCAATCCAAAAATATCATGAGTTATTGATATTACTGTATTCTAATTATTTCAAAAAATATTAAAAATGAATAAGCCTATATATAGAGAGTATTCTAACTTAAAAGGAGATGATGGAGATCCTAACAATACCAGGTTGGTCTAAATCAATGATGATAACAGTCATACTCATATTGAAAATTCTATAAAACAAACTTTCAATGAATACAATAAATACTAGGAACCAAATGTTTTCTCACCTTCTAACAGTAACAGTGAGAAAAAAGAGTTGAAAACGGATACTTAGAAAGAATTTAAAGCTCCCAGACTCATTATATAAAATATAACAGACTCTGACAAACTCATTGAAATAACAACTACTGATCATGTTGATAAGTTAGACCCTATAAAGTCATTAAAGGGTATGTTGGGTTCAGAAACTGTATAATATCAAAAAAGAAGAATCAAATTTAGAAATCCGACTTATGAATTTAAGGTAAGATAAAAGAAGATATTAAATTGGAAATCAGAAGCAATGTGTAAATGGAAAATCAATCTCATTATTATTTTATTTGTTGTAAGGTTAGAAAAGAATATAAATCATAAAAATTAGATAAAACATTAGATTTAAACAATCAAGCAAGAAAATAGTAATAACAAATTTAATTAATAAGAGAATCGTGTCAAAAAGATATGCATCTCAGTATTAAAATTGATGTGTGGATTATTTTTAGCAATGTTAATAAGTTTTATGTTGTTGCCCTTTATTTTAATTTCAGATTTATTCTTAAGGCTTTATACTTATAATAGTTTATATGTAAAATATGCATGGTCATATGAGAATAAGTGTTACAGAATAATATTATTAATGCAATTGTATATGTATGCTTTAGCAATTGTAATAGCTATAATAACAAATCTCTATTAGAGTTTGATAACAACAGTTGAATTGATATACAATATTGTGGGTACAATCTAAAATAATATATCCAATCTCAGTAGATTATTATTTTCTACCATTAATACAACATTCTCTAAATAAAAATGAATATAGTTATATTCACTAAAACTTAGATCTAAAATCAATTTCAAATCATAGTATATTCTCTTTTCCAAACTTTACTTATAATATATTGAAATTTATTTATTATTATTTAAAAAAGAATTAATTTAATGTAGTAATAAGTTGAAGAAGAAGAAGTATTTTATGATGAAGAATTCATTCTTATCTTGCAAAAAGTTATAATTGAATGTGATGGATTTGATGAATTAAAGAATTACATTTCAATAAACAAGCCATCTTTTAATGTATTTAAATCTAATATAATTAGTTAATTAAAACTTAATTTTAAAAGGTTTTAAACTAAAACAATAAAGAAAACTTTGAGTAAAATTTACAAAAGATATTTGAACAATTACTACAAAAGAATATTTAAAGAGTATTTATTAGAGTCTTATTTTAATATTTGAAAGATAATAAAGATTAAATGAATTTAAAATAGCTTTAAAATTCTGGAATTGCTAAAAATTGGAAGAATTTATAAGTTTAAGAGTTGTAAGAATTTATTGAACTTTTTGAATTAAAAGCTTAAATAACTGAAAAAAAGTATAATAAATAATTTTATTTAGTTTGCTTTAACACTTTTAAGATTTAGTAAATAAAAAGAAATTTTAGGATGCTTTCTAATTTTATAAAGCATTACAATTACCATAATAATGTTTTGATAATTTGATAGATTAAATGGGAAATAATCATGATGCTGGTAGAGCAGCAGAATTTATAATTAAATAAGATTTTAATCCTGCCAATTATCCAAAAATAGTTGAAAGACTTGAAAAGAGTTGCACAAGATATTTATATTCGGAATATCCATGGTTTAAATGTGAAGAAATGCTTATGTTTTCATAATCATTATTAGTATATTATTGTGAAGATGCATTTTTTCATGATATGAAAAGAGAAGCACTTTCTATTATAAAAAGAAATAATTTAATAAATTAAATATAGAAACCTAATTTAAAAGAATAAATGGAAAAAGATTTGGAAATAGGATTTGAAGAGATTCCAAATATATTATTTTTAAAGGATGAATTTAAACCTGTTGAAGAATTTATAAATAATGAAATTGGTGTTTATTTACACTGCAAAGATTTTGGATATTCTGAAAATCATATTATATTTATTGATAAAATTGATCAGAATTATAATGATGCATGGAAATGTATTAATTCTAGTAATGCTATTGGTATTATTTATTTTTATTCAATAGGTTATGATTGTGAACATATAACACCTTGGACTAAATTAGATTATTAAGGATTTAAAGTATGTTTAGTATAGATTGCTACATTTAATCATGCTTTTTTGTTTGATTATTAAAAACTAAAAGAATTTTAATAATTTAAAAATGATATGTCATAATTATTAGAGAATGTTGAAATATTAAAGATTGGATTGAGTTTGAAAGATGATTTGAAACATACTGTAAACTATTTGAAATTGAATAATATAATTATTAGATCAATTATAGAATTGTCAACTTGTTTCAAAGTATTAGAAGGGGATCCTAAACTTAGATCCTTAGCATATATATCAGAATTCTATTTTAAAAAGAAATTGAGTAAATATGATACTTGTAGTAATTGGGAATACAGACCTTTAAGAAAAGCCTAAATTCATTATGCTGCTTTAGATGCTATAGCTTCTTTATAGATATTTTAAATTATGAAAGAAAAGAATAATAATATCATCGAATAAGAGAAGGATGTGTTATCTATTGGTTGATTAGAAATGAGTATATTATCTTTTTTAGTATTTAAGAATTAGTTAATTGCTTATTATTATTCGAAGATAAGTATATTTTAAAGAGTATCTCTTGTGGTTCATTAGAGTATTAAAAATAAATAAATTAATTTAAAAATAAATTTAAATAATGGACCAAGATTTATTGAGACCTTAATATGAAAGTGAAAAGAGAAAGCATAAATTAAAGAGATTGATTTAAGCTCCAAACTCATACTTCATGGATGTCAAATGCCCATAGTGCCAAGCTAATAACACCGTATTCTCCCATGCCAGAGGCATTATCACCTGCATGTAATGATTGCCCTTTATAGTGTTAGTAAATGCTCAAGTCAATTGGGAAGATCAACAGGAGGAAAGTTATAACTCGTTCTTGGTGCAAAATACAAAACAAAAAAATGATAGTATATGATAGTATAATAAATAAACATACATAGCCACATGTTCAATAAATTAAAAGCAGTTAATATGGAACTGCATTCCTTTCTTCTTACTATATATTTATAATCTATTGAGAATAAATATATTTATGTATATATATATATATAGATATGACCAACAGATAATAATATTATAGTTGAAACAAAGTCTATATTATGATTGACTCTATGTTTTAAATACAAACACTATCATTTATAATAAACATTTATGCCATATTATAATAATTTCTCTGATAATAAAAATAAAGTATTAAATGAACATTCATCTTCCTCAAAACAAGCAATCTTTGCCTGAAAGTCATGATTAGACAATAATAGAAGCAAAGTGAATAGTACTTTCTGATAATCCTAAATTAAATTTTTCATAGTTACTTTAAAACTCAAAGATGACAATGGATTATAGAAAAATAATAGAGTAAGAAATATTTAATGATGGAAATTGAATTGTAAAATAAGGTACATATATTGCATGATAAGTATTTAAATAATGGTTTATCGTATATATTTATAATTGGATAAATATGTAATTGTCATGCTGTATAAAAATAGAGACAATTGAGGCAAGCTACAGCAACAAGATTCTAGGTTTGGCACATACTCAATTTCTAAACTTTACGATTAAAATCATATGATGATCCCAAATTCTCGAAGTACTTAGGTGGAATTTATCTCACAATAGTTTTCTTATTGAAATTAAGTTCGTATTATGAATTACATTCACCTAATAATAATAATAATAATAAGTGCTACCCATTCTATCTACAACATGAAATGTGCTATTAAAATTTCCAGTAATAAAACTATTAGAATCAAGAGTTGATGCAATTGAAAACTTATCAAAAATGCATTCATTTTCATAAAGATCACATAATTTAGATTTAAGTGGTTCAAATACTTAGACAGTAGCAACTGGTTTATTAGTCATTGCAATATCCCAAACTTTGACAGTAAGGAAATCTCTTGAAAATATATATTTTCCATTTCGACTGAAACATGCATCTGATATAGATGTTACTATTTCAGTAAAGAAATTCTTCTTAGCTGGATCTTCAGGTTCAGACATTGTTATAGCAGTATTGTCACAAATACCTGACTTTCTCATATCACATAATTTAATAATTCCTTTGCTGGTAGTATACAAAAATTAATTATCTAAAGTTGGATGAAAAGTAGAGGATGTAATTACTTCACTTAACTCATCTAAATTCTCTGGTTTTAAATCAACAGCCACAAAAGCTTTAGATGGTTATTCAATACTCCATAAATAAACCTTTAAATCATCTGAAGTCAAAACAAATTCTTCATTATTAGAGGCAGTTAATGAATTAATATGATAATTATGTAGATTTGGAAATACTTTTCTAACACTTAAATTTATAGAATATATAAAAATTACCTTGGAATTAATCCACTTTCAACAACCTATAGTTTAGGCATTGCTAAATCTTTACCACTAGGTTTAATAACTTTAGTGACATTCTTTTCACTGATCTTCCATAATTTCACTGTCTTATCATTAGTAGTCAAAATGTACATGTTTTTACCTTATCCTCTTAACCACTGAAGTTAATTGATCTTTTCTTCTATATCAGTACTCTTTAAGAAATCAAACTCTCTTGTATGAGATTAAAGTTCAGTCAAATACCTATAAAATTGCTATAAATTTATACTAATATTCTGCTTTATCTTTCTTTTTAGTTTATGGAACTTCAAAAACTATTAAACGTCCTGCTCTGTCTCCCAAACCTAAAAATCTTCCAGTCCTTTCAAATTAAACAGCTGAAATAATGTCTTCATCACTAACATTATCAGATGAGGCTTTGTCACCGAATACTTACATGAATTTCCAATCTTATTTCTTCATTTTATTTTTTTTAATTAAAATATATATAAAACTAAAATGTAATTCATTCACAAAATAATCCATCAATCAAGATTAATACCTAAAATTCATATATTTATTTTATATCATATTATCTAATATTGTTAATTAATTCAATTAAATTAAGAATGATTTAGTTAAGAATCTTTATAATTATATTAAAAATTTGAGTTTTAATTATAATTAGCTATTAAACTCTCAACTTATATAATTTATATTTAATAATTAATTATTTTTCACAATTTATTCATATATTATTACATATTTATAAATAACAATAAAGAAGTGAATTTCTTATCATAATTCACAATAATATAAACTAACAATATTATAAGTGGATATTCATTTTTAGGATTATGTTTATACCAATTCCAAATATTAAGAATTATAATACTTTATCCAATATATATCAAATATTTAGTTAATATCATTTTCTAACTATAATTTATACTAAAACTCTATTCTATTAAATTCTATATAAAAAATAGAGGAATCTTTCTCATATAAATTAAGTTACTTAAATTAAATGATTTATACAATCTAAATTATATTTTGTGCTGACTATTTTTGAAATTAAAAGGTATTTCAAAATACATTTCATTATTGAATGTTAATTAATTCATTACTTTAAAAACAATATATTTTGATTTGATTCGACAACCAAAACCTCTTAATACATGTTCATAGTTATTATATAATTAATTCCAAAAATGATTATTTTTTAATCTATTAGTGCAATAATTCTAAATTTTTCAATACATTATTTCTTTATTATTACATTAATGAATTAATCAAAATATATAAATGAAAATCTCACTTCTAAACAAAAATTTATCAAAGACTTTCTAATAGGATCTCTAAGCTATTTTACGACAATCCTAATCTGCACTCCATTACAACGTTATCAAATGTTAATCATCCAACAATAAAGAAATCCTTTCAAAAGTCATCATAAAACACTGATCCAAATTTTATATGAACGTACTGAAGTATGATCAATGTATTGATCCAAAGGGCATCAATCATCTCTGGAGAAGCCATCCTGATGATCTTAGATATATATTATCTCATGGATTATTGTTTGCCATCAATGACACATACAAAAAACTTATTAATTCTTATTTTCAAGATGAGAAACATTCTAAAAATGCTTTCATAGCAGGAGCCTTTGCTGGGATTACTCATTTATTTTTAAATTATCCTTTTTTAGTAGCAAGATTAAAATTAAAAGATCCTGAATATAAAAAGATTTCTCTTATTGAAAACACTTTTATATCTCAATTCATAAGAATTATAAAAACTGAAGGAATTCTTACATTATATCGAGGTTTTCCTATTGCCTTATTGAGCACTGCAATTTATAGATCAATATATTTTGGAGGATATAATCATTTCCAAAAATATTTATAAGTGATTCCATTCTTTAATAATATTATTACTAAAATAGCATTATCATTTATAATAACTACTATAGCAGAAATAGTTTCATATCCATTTGAATAATTAACTCCAAAGAAATGTATATTGATTCTCTAAAATAGCAAGAACATATTATAATGATATGACAGAAATTATTGGAAAATATAGAACAATGAGAGGTTGTTTAGCAATTGTATTTTATGGAGAGTTATTTTCTATTTATGATAAAGTGATGACATCATTTATATTGGATAGAGATGAATTAAATTTATGACTCATATATATCATTTAGAATTATTATTATTTAAAGAATTTTTATATATATTATATATTAAAGAAACATTTATATATTTATAGAATTTTAGGATTTTTTGATAATTTTTTGTATCTAAAATTGATATAATAATTAACTAATTATGATTAGTGATTTGAAATGATAACTGTCAATATAAATTTTAAATTTATTAAATTAAGCAATCTTTTTTGTTTGATCATATTAAAATATTATTAAAAATAAACATTTCAGATGGAAAGAATAAATTCATGTATTTGATTTCATTATTTTATTAGATTTAAAAGCTTGCGATATATTTGCTTAATCACCATCCTTAGGTATGAATCAATAATCAATATATTAATCAATGTTTGGTGGATTTACATCAATAACAACAATATTTCTAGTATTTCTCTTTTTCTCAAGCAATTTTCTGGATTATTTAAATGGAAAGAATATTATAACAAAGTAAACTTAAATCTATGATAATAATCTTTCTAATCTTTAATTAGATGATTAAGATTTCATAATAGCATTTGGAATTGAATAATAGAACTTTTTAACTTAGCCTTATTTTTCAGTCACTCTATAGCAAAGGTAATTATTTATATAGACTAAATAAGAGAATACTTAAGATTAGACAATGGATCAATATTAAAAAATATTACTTAACTTCCTTTAGAGCCATGCAAATTAGAAAGATTTTAAACTGTATTTCTAAAATATGGTAAAAATTTTTCAGAAGATTTTAATCATTTGCATTTAGAGAACTTATTATGTCCAAAGTATTTAGTTTGTATAATATTATAGAAATAATATCAGGATGAATATTGGTGGTACATTTGCATGTAAATTACATACCATTAATTAGCTAATTATTTTAATTTTCTAAAAATTGAAGTCTCTGATTGTAATCCATCTTAAATTTTAGAAAATAGTACATGTGCTTCAAATGATGAATTATAAAATTAATTAAATTTATCAGGAGCATTTAAAGTATAAGTATATTTAATAAATAAAGTAAGATTTATTAGTATTATATTTAGGTAATTAATCCAAATAAGATTGGATCAGATTATATATCTATATTTTTAGATGATTAAAGTTATTTATCATTTGTTCCTAAGAAATTAAATAAGTATGCAAATATTTATTTTCGAGAATATTAGTTTAGAAATAATATAGATTTTTATTCAATTGAGTAAATTTAATTTTATGATAAAGTGATAACTAAAATTTAAATTTTATTTCAATAGACAATACTGAAACAAAAGAAGTAATAGATTTAGGAAGAGAATAGGATACATCTTTTGCAGCATTTTATTTTAGAAAAAGTCCTATTACAATATTTGTTGAAAGAAACAATTAAAATGTAACAGATTTATTATCTAAATTGGGTGGATTATTGTAAATATCTTTAATAGTTATGGGATTTATTATAGCAGCATATAATAAATAAAAAAGTAATGTTATAAATAAGAATTTAGTGATGGTAGAATTGTCAAATAAAATTTATGAATTTAGTTCAGATGTAGATGAATAAAATAAATAACATTAAGTAAATCTTGAATTAATTAATAATGTATATGAAGATCGACAATTTCGACATGAATATTATGTTAATAAAGAAGGATAATAATAAATTATTCCAAATAGTTAAATTAAACATTAGAGTAAGATATTTAGACTCTTTGGTAAAGGTTAACCTGAATAACATATTATTTTGACTGATAGACCTACAACTGAAAATAATGAATGTAACATTTAATATTCTTATGAAAATGATGACAAGAGTAATTAATATACATAGTAAGCCATAAAAGATCATGGATAATTGGCATAATAATTAAAATGTGTAAGTGGTCTAGATTATTTTAAAAAATAAATCAATCTAATTTTAAATAGATCGTAACCATTAAGATTTAATATATCTATATTTCTGAATTAAATGTGTTTTCGAAAAGTCTTTTAAAATTAAAAATCAGTTTAATTTTTCAATTCTGCACTGTATACTATTATTGTATTTTAATTTAAGTGATAAAATTAATGAGCAATTAGATGTATTTAACATAATTACAAAATTAAATGAAATTGAAAAAATGAAAGAAATATTATTAAATAATTCATAGTTACTATTATTCAATTTTACATCAAAACCTATAATATCTTTAGAAGAAGAAAAAGAAATGCCATTCAATAGAACTATTTTAGAAGAAAGAGTTAGAAATACAATGTAAATATTAATATAATTAGGAATGAGACAATATGTGATGAAAAAAAGAAATAAAAATTAGTAAAACGTAAAAAAATTTATAAATAATATCGACGAACAATAAGTTTAGATAAAGATATGAGGATTTATAATAGGATTTATAGAGTATTATAATTATAAATTTTTAGGCATATGATACAATACTTTAATAAAGTTCAGAATTAAATCCATAACATGAAGTTAATAGAAAATTAATAAAAAAATTAGGAGATGAAATATAGGCAATCTTCAAATTATCAAAATTACTTGATTTTGATGGATTAAGAAGACTTCGGGCAAATTCTAATAATGATATATTCTGTCGAAATACATAAAATGTACCAGATGATATGTTAAGTAAATGATTGATCTTATATTTATAATAAATTATTAATGTAAACACTAAAATGGGGTATAATTATATAATTAGTCAGGTTTATAGAGAGTTGATGTTTTTGGCTAGATTGTATTTCTTCGAATGAATAAATAAGCCTATTATCGTACAAAAATTGGAGGAAGTTTTTCAGTTGCAGTGCTTTTTATTATGATTTATTTTTACTCTTAAAGTCTTTCATCTTTCTTTTTGAAAGAATATTTGAAAGTTGTTTCATCAAATTAATATGAAGACTAAATATAAAAGATATAAGTTGACAATTCAGAATTCATGTTTGCATTTAAAATAGAACAAAATAACTTTACAACATCACCTTATTTCAATTTAACACTAGAATAAAAGTAGTTTTTATTCATAATTTAAGGCAATATAGAAGAAATTAAAATGGATAGTAAATTAAAAGCTCTTTTAATTTTCCATTGATTCCTTGTACTTTAGATCGGTTTTAGAATGTATTCTCTAAATATCAAAATGATTTTAAAGAATAATTCAATATTTTAGGAATGAATGATTTTCTATGTCCTGAGTAAAAATATATTCAATTAATAGATAAAACACAACTTTATCTATGGGAGGTACATATACAAGTAAATATAAAATATAATGAAGGTAGCGATTTTTTATTTTTTACATTATAAATTACAAAATGTTAAAATAATGAAAAAGTAAATTGTGCATCACAATAAGAAATAGATGAATATTTATAAACAATGGGATCATTTAAAATTTCAATCTATACAATTAATTAAGTAATTTTTATATTTCAATATTAATAGATAATAAATCCATATAAATAATAATATAGATCTGTTTTTTTAGATGATTAAATATATTTTACATTTGTTCCTCATTAAATAAATAGATAAGCTAATATTTATATTAGGAAATATGAATTTTTAAATGATTAAAGTTTAATGCCTTTTAGGTAAAATTTAATTATTTTTTAAGTGATATACAAGAAGATACTGTGTATCAAATTGATAAAACTGATATTAAAGAAATGTCTGATATTGGAACTTCAAGTGATTTGATATATGCAACATTTAATTTTTAACTTAATCCATTTAAAACAAAATTTGTAAGAAATTATCAAAAAATTGATGAGTTGCTTTCAAATTTAGGTGGAATTCAATAAGCTTTTTTCTTTTTTATTGGTTTAGCTATTGGTCTTTATAATAGAATTTAATGTAAATGAATAAATTATTAAAGTTTTAATTGAGTTAGCTAATAAATTATTTGAATTTTAAATAGATTCTACTTTGCAAAATAGATAACATTAAGAAAATTTGGAACTTATTAATGAATTTATGTAACACAGAGAAAATCATATTCATGCAAATTCAAATGAAAATATAAATGAATTAGATAATTAATAAGTGGAAGATAAATTATCACCCAATATATCTTAAAGATATAATCTATTAAATTTATTTGTAACTACAGGTGGAACTTAAACAAAAAATTCAACTAAAATAAAATCAACTAAAGATGCTATTAGATAATAATATAGGATGGCTGAAAAGTTAAAATAGATAACAGGTTTAGATTATTTTTAAAAATAAATTATTAATATAATTGAAAGATAGAAACCAATTTACTTAGATTTTTTAATATTCTGTAATTATATTAGTTGTGGAAAACTATTTAAAAATAACCCTAGAGTGATACTTATGAATAAAGCTTTGTATTTATGATATATAATTTAAAGTGAAAATCTCTTAGATTAATTGGATGTCCATCATATCCTATTAAAATTAAATGAATTAGACAAATTAAAAGAAACAGTATTAAATTATAAATAGTTACTTATGTTTAATTTCACACCTAAACCATAAATAAATTTAGAAAATAATACAGCTTAACCTTCAAGACAATTAATTGAATAAATAGTTAAGAGTCCAGGAATAGCAGATAAGTATTATTATTATATAGATTTATTTAGTGAAGATTCTATGCAATTAATTAATTACAAATAAATGTATAGAAATTAATTTAATTTATTTGGGGATTACTTAATTTATTCTAAAATATTTAATGTAAATTAATATTATATAAATTAGGCATATGATGATATTCTTCAATAAAGTGATACAATTTATACAAATAAAGCTCTTATTTAAAAATTAGGACCTGAATTATAGGTTGTATTTAAGTTATCTAAACTTATTGATATACAACATAAAATATATAATAAACAACGTAATCCAACAAGAAGAGGAGCTATGTAAGAAGATGAAGAAGATCTATGTGTAAAAATGTTTGATTAATAAAGTTAATGAAGTTTAACTAATTTTATAAATCAATTTAAGAATATGGCTGGAACAGGCTTACCAGTTATTAATTTACAACCTGCACAATGAAGTAATGAAACAGCTGGGTAAATAGGCCCTTGTTTCAATTTTTCATCAGTGTAGGCTGTTCCCATAATCTCTCCATTTAAACTGAATTTTAAAGTTCCATTGTTCATATTCAAACAAACTCCTAAGATTCCCTCCTTCTTAAATCTCTTTCCAAAAGATGGTCCAGTAGCATTACTATTATGACGTAACTATTAATAAATAAGTTTTAATACTTATGCTAATCCATAATAAGCCCATCCAAATTCAAAATCACAAAATGCAGTATTATAATTAAAATCTCTACAAGTAGACACTCCAATTTTCAATTCATTTTCTGTTTTTTCATCTGCTTCAATTTCCCAATATCCAATACCTTTTTCAAAACCATGAGTAGCAATTGCTGTTCTAAACATATAGGCTTATTCCTTTAAAAATATTTTAGTATCTCCATCAGAAAATGTTATACCAGTTCCCATTCTCTATCTATCCCATTTAAAGACTGGATAATTTCCAAAATCTTGATTTACAATAGTATTTGTGCTATAATTAAATGCTTAAACTTGATTAACTGATTATCTCTCTTTTACATATTATTTTAAACATAAATAAAGATCTTATTTATTTTTAATTTGTTTAATTTTACTCAATAACATACATGCTTAATCACAAACCTAATATTAATTATTAAATCATACTTTTTAGTTTTCAAATTCATTTGTTGTTAAATTATTTCCACATATATCATAATTATTGCATTTTGGTAATTTACAATTTAATTCATGTTTATCAATATCAGCTATCTTAAATGCCTTAGGACAAAATGAACCTATATTATATTATATATATATATTACATTTAATTTCAAGATCATCATATATTTTCTTTAATGACTTTTAAATTGGTTATATCTATGAACCTTTTGGACATCTATTAATGCATTCTCTAAAATATTAAGAGAATAAATTACGATTATTTTTTAAGCCATGAATCCACACAAGGACCACAAAATACTGATCCACATGAACTACAATCTTTTGGAAGTCTAGCTACACATGAACATATTGGACAATCAAATATATCTTGATTGTAATTTGTGAATCTATCCTTATCAAAACCAAATTCTTCACCCATTTTTTGATTAAATTTTTTGTTGAAATAATTATTGCTTTATTTTTATAAAAACAATATGAATTTATATTAATAAACTTTTTCTAGCAAAATATATTATGCTCAGATTCTATAATCATTAAATTTTGCAATTTTTCAAATAATTTAAATAATATGTATTAATTTGCTTATAGATCATAAATATCAAATATTCTATCATTATTTAGATGCTAATTGAGGGAATAATGCCTAAATGTTCATTGATTTATAACCTAATAAATTATATGATATTTATCACTTACCTAATATCAAAATAATTGGTATGTATGTATAATAAAACAATCTCATTAATAAATGTTTACCATCTGTTTATGTCCATCTTAAAATTTGACTGAGTTTCATGATTTTTAATGTTTTATTTTAATTTTAATTATGACGATAAATAATATATATAAATTTAACTATTCCTTTAAACATTATAAATTTCTCATCTCAAATAAATCTCTTCATAGATATGCCATCTACTCTTCTTCTTTAATTTTTAGATTTTAAGATCTATAATCTAATTGTGATATAAACATATCAAATTATCTTATAACTTCTAATAAAAGGACATATAGTATCACTTAATGTTATTGGATAAGATGCTATATTTAAATAATACAAAATACAATCAAAAATAATGCTTTTTTTAATGGTTATTAATTATTTTTATTATAGATAATAATTCAAAAAGGAAATAATAGAGTTAATTTTGTATCAAATGTTTTAATCTCTCAAAAATAAAGGAAAAAAACATTGAAAAAAAGTATTAGACAAATTTTAGTTTTCATGAATATATTATTAATTCATTATCTATGAGATAATACAAGTAATATTAATAAAATAAAAGTATGAAGAATTAATAATTAATAACTTTCTGATTTAATAATTGAATAGATGTATCAATATTTTCTAGAAAATAATATTATTTTAATTTTTTCTCAAAATTTTAGTTTATTTAAATAGTCATAACACAGCATCCAAATATTTATTATTTGAATGCTTAATGAGGAGACATTTGTATTAAATATTTTTAATTTTAATTTTATGTAAGTTGTTTAAGAATGTACATTTTACTTGATTATATTATAGTTCTTAAGAGGTGTGATATTTTTGGATAAGGAGTTAATTTTAATTATAAAAAAGAAGATACCTATAAGACAGGATTTGGTGGATTTGCATCTTTAGTTATAATCGTTGTTTTGATTGTCTTTTTTTAATCAAATGTTATCACGTTTTTTGCGAAAACCCATATTTCTGTTGCTTTAACTACAGATTTTGATGAAGACCCTGACTTAATAATATTGAATGATGAGAATTTTATGATTGCTTTTCAAATTGAATAAGCAAATTTTACAACAAATCCTTACTTTAACATCACAGTGTTACAACAGTAATAAATTTATTTAAAATAGGAATTCCACACGATTAGATAATGGAACAGTTATAAAAATAACTTAAGAGATCAATCTAATTCCATGTACACTTGACAGATTTTAAAAAATATTTACAAAATACAATGTTGATTTTAAAACTCAATTTGACTAAGTTGGACTTAAGAATTTTCTATGTCCAGATTATAACTATTCAATAAAGTTAGCAGGAAGGTATGCAAGTACTGAATTCGACTATATAAAAATATCAGTGTCAGATTGTAATGATAATACTAGTTAAAATTCTCGATTAACTTGGAAGCCAATTTGTTAATCAAAAGAGGCAATTTAAAGTTTTTTAAAAAAGAATTCAGCATTTAAAGTTTCACTTTATATGACAAATTTAGTTATGAATCCTACAAATCCTTAAGATTATGCTACAGCATTTCTTGATGACGAATTATATTTTACATTTGTATATGATAAAGTTTATTTTAGACCCCAAAATAACTTTCTAGATAAGCTAACATATTTTGGAGAAAATATAACTTTTAAACAGATGAAAGTTTGACTCCATTTAAAGTTGTTGTTAATGAAACTTATAATGTTAGATCAGCTACAGATTATAGAGATTTAACAATGCTAGGAAATGCAGTTGATAGTGTCTATGCTTAATTTTATATGAGAAGAAGTACTTATTCAGAAAATGTTTGGAGAAACTATTAAAAAGTAGATGATTTAATGTCATATTTGGGAGGATTTTTATAAATAATGATTGTATTCTTTGGATTCTTTATTTAAGTTTATAATAAACAATCATGTAATTATATATTATTATATATATTTTAGAATTAGTTGATTTATCAAATGAATTATTTGATTTTGATATTGAGGATGATTAATAAACGAAATTAAATAGAAATGAATTAGTATCGAATGCTGATGATTTTGATTTTCAGGCCTAAGCCTAAGACTCAAATCAATAATAATCAATGATGAGTTTGGGACCAGTGTAACAAAGTGTTAGATTTGATAAAGATTAAGCAAATCTAAATAAATCACAAAAATCAATAAAGAATCCTTCAAAAGGAATTTCAATTAGATAATTAAATTCAGTTCATGAAATTACTCCTTTATCTTAATTATCAATAAATAATATCAAATTGTTAGAAAAACATTAGACTTCTTTAGAGAAAATTGGAAGTAAAAATGGAAGATAATACTTTCTTGAATAGATTTAAAAATTATTTGCTAAAACTAAAAAGTTAGAATTTACTTTTAAGTTCTTTTTTTAAAAAGTATTTTGTGAAAGAATGATGAAAAATCCTTAAGTTCTATTATTAAATAAAGCTGTGTAAATAATTTATATTAATTTATTTAGAAATTAAATTAATGCTGAATTGGATGTGTTTGGTATTTTAGATAAATTACATGAAATAGACAAATTAAAAGGATTATTATTAAAAAAACCTTAATAAATCATATTTAATTTTACACCTAAACCTTTAATATCTTTATATGAATCAAAATCTTTGCCATCAAGATAAAGAGCTTAAACTTTAAAATCATCAAAACATTCAAGGTATATATTTAATTTGATTCTTAGATCTTTTAATAAAGTAGAGTCATCAATGAAAATTTAATTAGATTAGGTGAGCAAGCAAGTAATTGAAAACAAGGATAATTTTCTAGATCATGATTCACCATAATATTTATATTCGAAGTTGTTTAAAGTATATTATATTAAATATAAGGCATATGAAAGACTGATGGCTTTAATAGAAAATTAACATGAAGATGCTTATTTAAATAATTAATTAATTAGAAAATTGGGACCATAAATTTAGAATATTTTTGAAGTATCATGGCTTTTAATATAACAAACAAAAACTTCTAAAGAGATTGATGTAAATGATAGAGCTAAAAAGTTAATATCATCCAAATTTAGCAAATTCAAAAATCAAAATTAATAAGATAAAGAATCAGATGGAGAAGTGGATCCTCAAGATATTGAAATGCAATTTAGTCCAAAAACATCTTAAAATTAGAGCATTTTGAAAAGAGTTATTGGAAAAAGAAATTCGAATGAATTTTGAAAATTTATACAATAAAATTATTTAATATTCCAAATATATATATATATATATAAGGAATTAATTTTGAATTTAATATATATAAATTTTGAACTATCATAGAAATATGAAATGAATACAAACTATTATTTCTGTATAATAGGAATATTAAATTAGATTAATAATTTATAGAAATACACAAAATTTCATTTCCAAATAAGAGGAATTAATGAAAATAATAATAAGATGTTTCCTAAAATCTATTCTCCATTAAATTTTATCTTAAAAACAAAAAAGTCTATTAAGTAACCAAATAATATTTAAATTTAACTAACATTAGAGATCACACTTAATTTTCCCTATCTTAGAGCTTATACCTATAGTTATCCTGCTAAAATTGATACTACAGTAATAATGATAATCATTAGAGTTTCATTTAATGAAGGTATTATATAACTAATATAATCAAAAAATTTTACGTCGATCCATTTATTATTGAATTAAATGAAGGAAAGATTATTCCAAAAAAGGATTGATAACAAGAAATTACTAAACTATCCACCTAATTTTAGATATAAAATGATACTTATTTATCCATTTATTTAATTAAAATGTTTACAATTGCTTAAGAAATAGATGCCAACAATATAAGTATTATCCCTATTATATGATAATATTCATTTTCCACATCATTCGTTTACTTTTTATTAGTATTATTTCTTGTGACTAAATATATACCTAAACCACAAAGCAGCATATTCAAAAATAATCTGAAATTAAATTGCTCCTTTTTTAAAATCACAATCTAAATGAATGAAGTCCATAGTGGAGACATTCTATTCAAAATTATAGATTCAGAGACTAAGACGAGATCTAATCCTCTGAAATACATGAAAGCACCAAAGCTCCCTAACATTCCTCTCTATATTAAGCTTTGCATATTCTTTTAATCAAAGTTGCAAGTCTGTAGCTTATAATGCTTGACTGCATATACAAGAAAAATGAAACTACATAACGCTCTTAAATAGAGGGTTTAGTTAAAATCTAATCCTTAGACTAATTTTAAAAGCATAGCCGTCATAGCTGCAAATAAGGATGACGATATTTATTACATTATGGCAATATTTTCAAGCTCCATATCAAATTATTAGTAATTAAAATATTTTAAGATCACTAAGAAATAACAGCCATTAATCTGAATTTATGAAAATAATTTATGCATTTTAGAAACTTGCGAGGTTATTTTTTATATATATTAATTGATAAAACAAATAATCCTATCTATAATTATACAAATATATTCTTTTCTATTATATCCAATATTTTTAAGATGTAATTTACCTATATTTGATTTTAAATATACTTAAAGTAAAATAATAGTTTCTTTAGGAAAATAACAAAATAGCTGTGTTATCTTCCTTTTTAAAGCAAATTCAACTTAACATTAATACAGATATAAAAATCACATTTTGTTTCGATACAAATTATATATTTTAAATATTTTTAATAATAATTGTTTATAATTTAATGAAAGTGGTTTAAGGATGTATGTATTTTATAATTTCATAGTTGTTAAAAGTTGTGATATCTTTGGATAAAAAGTAGATTTTAATTATAAAAAAGAAGAAAGTTACAAAACAGGATTTGGAGGATTTGCATCTATCATTATTATAGTTGTATTGATTGTTTTCTTTCAATCAAATGTATTAAACTTTTTTGCAAAAATTAACATATTTGTTAATTAAACTACAGAATTTGAAGATTTTCCTGATTAAATTATAATGAATGATGAAAATTACATGATTGCGTTATAAATTGAATAAAAAAATTTTACATAAAACCCTTTTTTCAATATCACTGCAGTTTAATAGTAAAAATTTAAATTATAATAGAAATTCAACAAGACTAAAGAATGGAACAATCTTAAAAATAACAACAGAAATTAATTTGGTTCCATGCACATTAGATAGATTCTAAAATATTTTTTCAAAATTCAATATTGATTTTAAAACTCAATATGATTTAATAGGACTCTCAAATTATTTATGTCCAGACTTGAATTATTCGATGAAATTAAAAGGAAGATTTGCTAATAGAGATTTTACATATATAAAAATCACAGTTTCAAAATGTAGCAATGATACAAGTCAGAATTCTATATATACATGGAAACCTGTATGTTAATCAGAAGACTCTATTAAAAGCTATCTTGCAAATAATTCAGCCTTTAAAGTTTCCCTTTATATGACAAATTTAATAGTGAATCCATCAAATCCTTAAAATTTTATATAAGCTTACCTTGATGACGAACTTTATTTTACATTTGTAATGTTTCCTATTTAAAATTATAGACACCTAAGTTGCTTTAAAGGTAAGCCAATATATTTTGGAGAAAATTTAATTTTTAAACAGATGAAAGTCTTACACCATTTAAAAGTGTAAAAAATGAAACCTATTTTGCTAGAACTGCAACAGATTTTAGGGATTTAACATTATTAGGAGCAGATACTGATACTATCTATGCTTAATTTTACTTAAGAAGGAGTACTTTTACTGAAAATATTTAGAGAAACTATTAAAAAGTAGATGATTTAATGTCATATTTGGGAGGATTTTTATAAATAATGATTGCATTCTTTGGATTCTTTATTTAAGTTTATAATAAACAATCATGTAATTATATATTATTATATATATTTTAGAATTAGTTGATTTATCAAATGAATTATTTGATTTTGATATTGAGGATGAAGATAAAAAGAAATAATTATCAAATCCTGATGATTCAGAATAGTAGATACTACATTAAAATCAATCATCAATGGCTAGTCTTGGTTTTGAAGTAAATAATTAGGTAGGCAAAGATTAATCAGTTAATAGTACTCATTTGTAAATTAAAAATTCATCCTAAGAATTAATTTTAAAGAATTTAAATTCTATAAATTATAATTAATAATCCTAATAAAATATATAATATAAATAACAACTAGAATAGAAATATAAAGAGGAGTTAGAAAAAAATTAATAAAAAACAGGTAGATAATACTTTTTTGAATAAATTTAAACACTCTTGATTTAATAAAAAAAAATAGAATTTACTTTAAAATACTTAATAAAAAGGATCTTTTGCTAAAAATCTCTTAGATCTCATGATGATTAATTACTCAATAAAGCAGTGTATATATAATATTATAAATATAGAAATTAAGTTAATTCTGAACTTGATTTATTAGTTATATTGAACAAAATACAAGAATTAGATAAATTAAAAGATTTATTATTAAAGAGACCATAATAAATCATTTTTAATTTTAGTCCTAAACCTTTAATTTCATTAAAAGATAAAAAAATATTTCCAACTAGATAATTAATTCATTAATCAAGTATGACAAAATTACCTAATAAGTAATTGATTATTTTATTAAAGATTGGTTAATGAAATAGATTAAACATTTTAGATAGGAGAGGATAATTCAGTCTTTAATAATTCTTCATAATGCATTTATTCTAAACTTTTTAAAGTAATTAAATTATTAATCACATTAGGCGTATTAAAAAATTTAGTTTGAAATAGAAAAGCAAACAGTAGATAGTAGAATCAATGTTTAATTGATTAAAAATTTAAACCCAAAAGTTTAAAATATTTTTGAAGTTACATAATTATTAGAATAGCAGGAGAAATTATTGAAATAGAACGAGTTAATTTAAATATCAAATTTATTTAAAAAATGATTTTTGTGATGATTTTGACTATTAAATTTAGTTTATGTTATATTATCTACATAATGTTTTTAAAGATCTGAAAGAGAACATGAGACATTTTAATTATTTTACAATATTATTATTAAATTATATATGGCATTTGTATTTCAAGCTGAAAGAGATATAAACAATGCATCTGGAGCTTTGCCACCAAATGTAGGTCCAGGAAGTTATATTGAACATAGAAAATATGAAGCTAGATCTCATGCTGCTCCTTTTAATACACAAGTTGCAAGAAGTAAGCCATTAAAAAAAAGTAACTCACCTGGACCTGGCAGTTATAATGTTGAATTTGTGACTGAAGGGTAATGATAATTTGTAATTTTAAGTTAACGGGTTGTTTTGTAATCTGCATAATCTGAAGTGAAAATTGTAGAACAATAGAAACAGCAATCAGTTTTTATGTCGCAGACCAAAAGATTTTAGGAATAAAAAGTATTGGAGACTCCAGGGTATTATATTCATTTATATCAGTCCTGGCGCTTATGAATCTACATCACAAAAGAAAATTGCATAACAACAATATACATCCTAAAATTATATCGACAATCTAATGAAACTAAATAAATATTAATCCATTCCTAGTATTCCAACTGCAACTTAAGTGTATGGTTACACTGATAAAGGACGTAATACTTCATATATATACTTTTAGCTCATGATCTAGAATTAAATAAGAGTCCTAATCCAATATTTACAGGATTGAAATCAGACACTGTAGGACCAGGATAATATTAATTAAAAGACACTTTTGATAATAATAAGAATAAAGGACCTTCTTGGCATAAATCCAGAGTTCCTAAATTAGCTCCTCCTTCAAGGGAATAGATTGTTGGACCTGGAGCTTATGATCATGAAAATTCTATTATTCCTCTCTATAAATTAAATCCTTCAGGCAATTTTCTCTCAAAATCTCAAAGAATTTTTGATCAATAAAAAGGACAAAAAACAAGAGAATTTATGAGAGTTTAGTTTGAAAATTAAAAGAAAAAACTAATGCAAAATCCTGTATTTGCTGATATTGAAGATGAAGATGTTGAATTTTATGATGTATATATATTGTTTAGATGTAGAATGCTACACCAGGACCAGGATATTATATAGGAAATTAAACAACATTTTCCACAGCATCTACATATTCTTAGTCTATGCCAAAGGCTTAAAGTGGTTTTGGTTCAAAATAAAAAAGATTTAATGAATAATAAAGATAGATATAAATGGGACCAGGTGATTATAGAATAGAAACAAATCTTATCAAAAATAACATGGCTATGAAAAATATTCCATTCTTATCTTCCAATACACGTTTTGATAGTAGAGCATTGGAAAAAAAACCAGGACCTTAAAGTTATAATCCTAAAATCACAGTAATAAATATTTTTCTATAATAGTTAGAAGATAAATTAATAAAGAAATTAGAAAGAGCACCAGTTGGAAAGTTTGGATCAAATTAACCAAGATTTGATGATCCAGAAAATGAATAACCTGGACCTGGAACTTATGAACCTAATTTTTCAGATCCTGCTAAAAGTGCTGCTTGTGTTTTCAAATCTTAAACTAAAAGAAGTGTTATTGGTGGTAAAGATAATATGCCTGCTCCTGGAGCATATGATGTTAAAAACTATACAATAGAAAATTCAACAAAAGTAGAAAAAGAAGAAGATAAAGATCTTATCATTAATAAACCAGGTTTTGGATCTTCCTTACCAAGATTTTAAGAAAAACAAAAAAAAAGTATAGATGAAGAAGATGAAGAAGAAGATGTTTAATTAAAACATAATGCTTCTGATTTATTTTAAAAAAAGAAGAAAGAACATCCAGCATTTAATTGTTAAGTAAAAAATAAATGAAATATTTTAATAGGAAAATAGATTCTAATACGAATAGAAAAAGAATAATCTTCCTGGACCTGGAGAATATTTCGATTAAAAATAAAATCCTTGGGATAAAAAGACATTTAATATTTTATTTTCAGAGATTTGATATTTAATTTATTCATTAAGTTTTACACTTATAATATCGTTAAAATAAACAATAATCAAAGTTATTCTGTTTGCAATATTTCTTTCAATTATTAAATACTAACGATGCGTTATGAATGAGTACTAAATTTTAAACTAATAAATTTACTAGGTAGATCTTGTTGTATTTAAAGATGACTAAGAATGAGGTAAACTTACACCTTATAAATTATTATAAATCTTAGCCACTCTTTTTGATGGGAAATTACTTTGTCTATCTGTATGATGAGTTGTTGCTATTACTCGTTCACTTATGTCCTTTGATGGTAAATTTAATTTTGGGATTACAATTGAAGATTGAGGTTATTATATAGTCAATTATGATTATTAAGATTATTATTATTATAATTATTATTATGATTAATATTAAGACTATTATTTTTATTATTATTAAAATGAAGGTTATTAAACTTATTTTGCAGGAGTATGATACATTTTATTTTATTTTGTAGATGAAACTAATGTTAATGTTTCTTAATTATTTTATATCTTTGTTTTTGATGGTTACCATAATGGAGGTATAGTTACAATTGTTTATTTAGCTTCTCTTTCACTTTTTGATTCAACATGACTAATTATTTATAATTTAATTACATTCTTGTAAATTTTAGATAGCAATCTAAACATAATTATAATTTTAAATTCATAAAACTCATATTGTTCCTTAAATTCTTATATTTTTCTATATCCATCTTACCCCATATTTTTAAAAGAAGACCTGGAATATTTAATGAACCTTCCACATAATAATCTTCTTCATTGTCTGATTTTTTCACTGGATTTTTTGCTACTTTTTATCTTATTATTAATGTTTCTTCATCAAATATTCCCTAATCATAAGATGCTATGTATTATTAGACTGTTAGTTCATACATTTCTCCTTGTAGTGAACAATTATTGCAACTACTACCAGTTTATTTTACAAATCCTTAAGTATCAACTGAAAATTTAGAAGTCTATCCAATTTTCAATTATGTTTATAATATCATAATTGGTGATTAGATTCTCTCTTTTTATTTAGGGAAATCAGATACAGTTTCTTCATTGATAAACTATCATATAAACTTGTATCTATACTTTTTATCTAACTTTGACTCCACTACTGAAAAGTAACCATAATCTATTTTTTTCATCTATTTTAAAAAATAAAACCATTCTAGAAATCTAAATGTTACCCCCAGAAACATCTTATATGTGTTTAACAATATTTAAGCAAATTTATTCAATATCTGCTGATAGTATAGGAGAGGCTATAGAATCAGTAGTAGATAAATGTTCAGGACCTTCAAATGTAACTAACCGATCTTCAATAGGTATTTTATTATTTTTAAGGTCATTATTATTTGTTTTCCTGGATAATAAACAAAATTATGGACTCCATGAAACTTTAATCATAGAGTTTCTAGATGATTTTGGTTCTACAAACTTTTAAAGAAGAGCATTTAATGCTTTTTCCCTTTAATGAAGAAATTAAACAAATTCACCTTTCTCAAAGTATTCAAATATTATTTTATTTTGTTAGCTTTATAAATATAAAGCTGAAATATCACCAGTTTTCTAAAAGATTTCTTCAATCTGTTCCACAAAAATTCGTTCTTTTGTCTTTCTTAATATTTAACCATCTTTAGCTGTAAAGTACCAAAAGTAAGGTTGAGCCCATCTGTAAATTATTGTATCAGCCACAAATACACCTGGACAACTAGAATTTGTATCAGGATTCTTTTTCCAAAGATGAAAGAATAACCACTCTGTTGACAATGAGAGTTTCATTATATTTAATATATTTATTACTAAATTAATCATTCATAATTATTAGACTCATTTAAACATAAATTAATAGATAATTAAAAGTTAAATAATATAAAAAAAACTTATTAATTACATAGTAAGAAGTTGTTAAATAGGTGGATTAAAAGTAAATAATATTTTATTATTATTATTATGAATAAGTATTTCTTTTTTAATAATAATTGATTTTAAAAAAATCAAGATCATTTGTTTCATTTTATGTAACTTATATAATTTTATCAAAAGACTTTTATTGATTATAAGTAATTTTGATTACCAATGATTAAATTCATGAATTTATTAATTATATTGCTAAATATATTTACAGTATGTTTAATATTGAATTTGATTAAGATGTTGAATTAAGAGCAGTTCAAAATGAAGATTTCGAATAACAATACCTTGATCGTTGTCTGAGAGAGTATAGAAAAGAGCCTAATCTAACAATCCCATAGATTAGTAGAACTTAAAGTTAGAAAACAATAGAAGCTGAATGTCTTCATAAAATATCTGAGACACCATTTGATGAAAATGTCATTCTAACTTAAGCATAAAATTCTGCTCACTTTAGTAATAAGTATCTCCAAAAACATGAAAAAAGATTTAGTATACCTAATGCTGGAACAAGTCTAATGTGCAGTTTTTATATTAGAAGATTTATTGAAAAGATCTCTTAAAGCAGAAAAAAACTACTGAGTATGAATGAGATTCATTTTAATCTTATTGAAGATAAGGCAGCTGATATGTATATTATATCATTTAAGTAGGCAAAACCTATTCAATCATTAGAGTGAATGTAAACGATAAGGATATACTCTTGGTAAAATGAAAACTCTATTGAGAAAAGAATCAGTCATCAATGATTTAAGTACTTAAGAGTAAATAAAAGAATAAATAAGAAAAATAAAGAAACAAATTTTAAACTTGCTTACTGTAATTATTAATAAGATTCCAATAATTCAACCTGAATCTCGTTTAAAAATGATATGGGATTTCTTTGCATCATTTTTTAGAATCTTGTTAGTTATTCTAATACCTTTAGAAATAGCATTTTAACCTTGTATTTTATTTACAGATTTTATTGTTCTTACTGCTATGATTTTATTAATTTTATAGATAGATTTCTTGATTAGAATAAATACACTCTCTTATAGAAATGGAGCAGCTATATAAAATAGATGGGAATTATTAGTATATCAATTTAAAAAGGAGTTCTTTACTGATTTTTCAACATCCTTTTTATTAATCATATTCATAATGATACCAGAAATAGATAATAATTTAAATTTATTTTTATTATTAACTTTAGCATAGTATAAATATATTCATGAAACATTTGCAAAAAGTGATTAGATATCTTATTTAACAAGACCGTTAAGAGGAATAATAGGTTTAGTTAAATTTATACTAACTCTATTATTTATACTTCATTTATTTAGTTGTATTTGGTTTTGGTTTAGTAAAATAAGTCTTGAAGATTCTTGGATTAAATTTAATGGATTAGATCTTAAATCTTGGGAATTATAATATTTAGAAGCATTGTATTTTGCTGTAGTGACAATGCTTACTATAGGATATGGTGATAATGTACCAAAGAATTCAATAGAGAAGATTATAACTATCATATTTATATTGGGAGCATGTATTATAATGATATAATTGTTTAGGTTTATGGTTCTCATATAGTGTAAATTTTATAGGAGGCATTATCAATGATATAACATAAAATTAGGTTGAGAGAAATAGAAAGATGAGAGTCATAAATAAGTACATGGATCAAAGAAAAATTCCATTTAATTTGAAACATAAGTAAGATAATTAATTATATAATAGAGTAAAAGAATATTTAACTTTTAGATGGAAAGAAGATGATGAGGTAGATTTAGAAATAGAATAAACTTTACTTGAATAATTATCTGATGAATTGAAAGAAGAATTAGATAAGGAAGCTCACAAAATCTTTATCTAAAAATCTGCTCTTCTTTAACATTTCAGTGATGAATTAAAGGATGCTTTATCTAAATCAATTAAAAGGAAAATCATTCCACCTTAAAATACATTCTCAATTGACTTTGATGATCATCAACATTTGTGTTTTGTAGAATAAGGAGTACTACTTTATCAACATCTTGATAGAAAGTAAAGATCTAAAATGAATGCTCCTATAAAATAAGGATAGTTTTTCTGTGTATAGGATTTTATTATTTAGAGTCATTAAAAAGATTATTTTAAATCAAATGGTTATGTTAGTTTATTGATATTATCTAAATTAGATTTTATGACAACTATTAAAAATTATCCTGAAGATTTCTAAAAGTTTTATGAAATGAGGGAACTTATGACATTAAGTCTGAAACCACCATAATTAGAAAATGGAGTATTTTGTCCTGCATGTCTATGTTTCAATCATTCTTTAGCAAAATGTCCATAAATTTAATATATTCCAGATAGAGAAGCAATATTAAAAAGATATTTATTACCTAGAATTCAAGAAAGAAAATAATATAATAGAGATCTCACAAAAAGATTTAATAGTGATCAAGTAATCAGTAGATCAAGATTAGAGAAAGATATAATATAACAATTTGCTTAAGTTTTTTAATCAGAAAATCACTAATTAATTTAGGAATAATAAAAAGTCTAATTAATTTATGAATAAGAATCTCTTAGTTCATGTGTAGATCCTAGTCCTTGTAATAAGTTTTAAAATGATGGTGGATTTTAAGCAGCTGTCTTAAAATCTAAAAGACTTATTAGTGAGACTTCAATTTAGTTATCTTCTAATGCTAAATTGTAGGATACTAAATCAAGTCTTCATCAAGCATTATAAAGTAGAAAATAATCTATTATTAATTTAAATATACCTTCTAATATTGGTAAAAGTCCAAGGAATCTTTTAATACCTAAAGTTGCCATTATTAAAGAAAATGAAGAAAATGAGGAAAGTAGTAATTGTGATAGTGATGATAGTAAAAGTAATAGAAATCAAGAAATAAAATATTAACTTAGTATTTCTGATTTTAATGAAAATATGATGGAAAATGTAATTAATTTATATCATTAATTATAAAGAGAATTAGAATCAAATGAAAATGATTAACTTATTTAGAAAGCTTATTATTAAATAGAACCTATTTATTGGTCATTTCATTAATAAAACTTATCTGAATTTGAAATGATGACAACATACGATTATTTCTTTAAAAGTTATAATTATAATGAAATTATTCGATTGGCTTAAAAAAACACTTTTTCATGGCAATCTTAATTTATCAATAAATTATAAAGATATATGCTTTATCCATTTCTCTTCATCTAAAAATACATGAGCAAAAAGAGAAATTTAAATAATACTGAAAAGATAAAAAGGGATCCTTCGAAAAGATTAATTAGTCGTTTAAATACCTTAAAAAATAGTCTTAAATTAAAAAAAAAATAATCAATTATAATTAAACCAACCTAAAAATTTGGATAAGTAGCTCCAGAACTTTGATTTTAATAAATATATAATTGATATTTTAATTTATCAATATTTAAGTTTTCTAAATGGAATAAATTCTAGTTATAAAAATAATAAAATTAAAAAGTTTAGGTCATACCAGGACTCGAACCTGGGTCACTGGATTCAAAGTCCAAGGTGCTAACCACTACACCATACGACCTAAGCTAATTAGAAAGGGATCTTATAACTTAAATCAGGACATCTCTAAATAAAGTCTATTCAAAAAAAGTAGTCTATATTTAATCTTATTTTTTAAATCAATAAATTTTCTATTAAAACATTAATATATCTAATATATATAAAAAAAAAAACAATAAAAAATTAATAAAAAGAGAATGATGTAATTAAAGTTTAATTTGATTTATAATGTTATTACTATTATTTAATTATTGTCATTTAGAATAATTCTCATAATATAATATTTCATCTATTAACATGCAATCTCCCATTCTGCTTTTACCTACAATTTCTTCTAGATTTTTTCGAATCTAAAATGTATTAAATTTATACATCTACACTTCCAGTTCCTTTAGATAAATGATGACTCATAAATTGATATGCTTTATTAAATAGATCTGAACCCATAGTAGCTATTACCTTTTTCCTTAAGATCTGTATTCGATCATCATTATTAATTGGTACTTTTTATGGAGAAGCTTAAGATGAATTCCAACTCTCTTAACTAGTTTCCTAAATATCTAAATATATTATATAATTAATACCTTCAAGTTTATTACTAGATGATTTTTTAATGGTTTAATCCATTTAAATTTGATATAATTTGAGAACTTCTTCAATTTCACTATCTCCTTATTTAACAGTGAGTCTATGATTGTCCTCATCATCGTCACTATTATATTCTTCAAATTCTTCATCTTAATATTACTAAGTGACTGAAAGTTCTTATTTTTGATAATTAGTAGTAAATCTATCTAATTAAGATTTAGTGACTGTTTTTTCTTATTGCTTAACAGTATTATCATAAGTAGATTGACACATTTCAGAATCAACTGTTTTATCAAACTACTCTAATTCTTTTTTAAAGGTTTCATTATATTTTTTGGATTCATTTTATATATTAGATTCATTGTATTTTTTTGATTCATTTTACAACTAAAGTATATATATATATACATGATACCATTAATGAAGTTTTTTCATATTAGCTAACTAAGGTTTCATCATAATTGTACATGTTTGATTTATTGGTTGATTAGATTGGTTATTGAGACTTTTTGGTATTTTATTAAGACTCTTATAACTTAAATTATTATTGTCTTTGTAGTTCTTCATGATATTATTACTATTGTTTCCTTTTTTAATTATAATCTAGAGATTAACCACCTTATAAATCTTGAATTTTTCTTTATTGACTTGCTTGTTGTTATGCAAAACTTTATTTGCTTGCTTATGCTAATTCCCTTTATTCTCTTTGTATTTTTTCTTCTTTTTTCATTTACAATCTTTATTAGGGAGTTAATTAACTAAAATCTATTGATTAGACAGTATCAATAGTGTTGTCATATGTTTTTGTAGTGTTTTATTAAGTAGTTTCTTCTTATTTGATCATTTTTCCAATTTAATTATGTGTATTTGTTCTTTTTATGGGGGCTTGATATTGAACTTTACCTTACATTGCAACAAATTATTGCATAGTATTTCTGATAAGAGGGAAGTTGAAAATTTCAGAAGTGTGTGGTCTTTAATCAGCATTTTTGATTAGGAGTTTATTAATTAGATCTGCTAATTCTTTAGAGTAATGTGAAGGAATAGCAGAAGCTTATTCTTTTACAATCCTATTAACTAAACCTAAAAGATTATTAGATTTGAAGGCATGAGATAAATTACACAATTCATAGAGAACACATCCAAGAGACCAAACATCACTTTTATAAGTATAAGGTTTATTCTCACAAACTTCAGGACTAAGTATAAAAATAAATGATTTACCTCATATAATAGGGAGTTCCTACAACAGTATTAGCTTAATCTTGAGTGTGTTCTAAAACTCTAGAGATACCGAAATCACCAATTTTAACAAATCCATTGGAGGATAAGAAAATATTCTAACTTTTGATGTCTCGATGTAAGATTTTCTATTCATGGATATATTTCAAAGCTAATGAGCATTAAAGAAACCAGTTCAATATTATTTGTTCTGGAAAATACTCCTTTCTTTAACTCATTCTATTGATGTGAAATGATAGGTCTCCCTCTAATGAATTAATGTAAAACACTACCTTCACAATATTCCATTACTATGATTAGTGTATCATTCTCATTAAAACTCTCTATATATTGTACAATGTGTGGATGTTTCAGTTTCTACAAAAGCATCACCTAATAATTAAATGAACTAATAAACTTCTCGTTTTGAATCATCTTGCTCTTTTGATTTTAGATTGAATAATTGAATTTTCTTAGCCACATATACTTACTAGTCTGATTTTGAACGTACCAAATGAGCAGACCCTGAATATAATCATTACTTTACCATAGCTACCTCTTCCTATTGTCTCATACTCCACATATTTATCCAAATATTTACTCATATGTAAAATATATTTATTACTAATGGAAGAATTGTTAAATAAATATATATGATTATAATTTCCATCAAAATAGACTCTTTATATCAATATCTCAACATATTAAATCTCATATTTCAAATTATTCAATTCTGAACCATTTGGTTTATCAATATCAATTTCAAAATGGCTAACAAACTATATCACTATCAATAATCATTATCTATCATATTCAAATTATAAGTTAACTCTTTTAAATTCCCAAGATCCAAATAAACAATAAAATCTAAATAATTTTCAAATATATACATATTCTATCCTTTTTCAAAAAATTAGAACATCTTTTGATAACATTTGAGATGATACTGAAAAACAATTAACTTGTAATTTCTTTACGATAATAACATTGAATTCTTGAATTTCATTTTTATTAATGAAAGTTTATCCATTTCTTGATACCTTAACATTTATTATACCAAATAAATTATATTAACCAAAATAAATAGTATTTTTATACTATTTACTTAGAATAAATCCTTTCACCAACCCATGATCTTTATTTTAGTAGCTTATATGTGGATATAAAAGTTTGAAATATGAATTTATTGAAATCTCCTACCTTTAAATTACTAAATAGATCTAGTAAATATCTTATTATTATTTTATTTCAAAATAAATAATATATTCTTTATTATTCTTTATAAAAATAAATTGATTATATAAAAAATTAATAATTAAAATAAGATTTAATTCAATTTTAATAAATAAATATTGTTATTCATGATTATAGATAACCCATACTATCCCATAGATTTTCATCATCTTTATAATTCATTAAAGGATAATTGCAATTTGGTTCAATTTAAGGAAAAACCAAATCAATTGTGATTCGAAATGCATCATTCACCATTCTTGCAAATAGTTAATCTAATAATTTGCTTGTTACTTCTAAACTTGGATTTGTATTTACTTCTATCAACCAAGGAGTATATTATTCATCAATAATGAAATCCATTCCAAATATTTCAAAACAATTTTTTCGTTTTTATTTATTTATTTTATGTTTTACTGTTTAAAATGCTGTATAAGATATCGTTTTAATTTTCCCTAAAATCTAAATTTAAATTAATCTTACTTCTTTTCTAAAATCTTTTTTAAATATATTTTGAGCCTAATCAAAACTATATTAATTTCCTTCTTCAGATTTACCATATTCAGGATGAGTATATTAAATGGCATTATTTGTGAGATGTACATAATTAGATTGTACTTTTGTATCAAATTTCTCTGTTGCCAATCTCAATTAACCCTCTCTATAAAAATATATCTATAAATTTGATGTTAATAAAATGTAGGCTCTTATATCAAATTTTCTATCATCTATTAATAATGGTTTCTCTATATATTTTTAGATTACAAATTATTCTGTCACTAATGTATTTAAATAAACCACCTTATTGATTATTTCATTCTATTCATTTCTTTTCACTTCCAACAATTTCTCCTTATATCCCCCTTAATATTTGCTTTAAATATCTAATACTTCCTATAAGCTTCTTACTACATGAATACCTCTTCCTTAATTCATATTTGAAGGCTTAAAGATCCATAAATTTTCATTACCAAATAAAGTTGGATAATGATTTACTTTGTTATCATATAGTGTTGTATATGAAAAGAAATATTATTTAATAGTTTTATCCAATTCAGGTAATTTATGTTAAGGACAATTTTATCTGTAAAAGGAAATAAACTAAAATAATTCAGATTTTAAGTTTTCATTAGTGCATTCTATGACAAAAGTAGTAGGTATGTAATCATATATATTTAATCTATTTTTCTTTATTAAATATTATAGATACATCACAATATGCTTTGAAATTCACAGCTAACTTAAACTTATCAGAAATTTCTGAATGAAACTCAAAATGATTAAGCATCTAAATTGGTTGTTCTTTTTAATTAATAGTTTAATATTCATATCCCTTTTCTGTTTCTTGCCATTTAAAATTAATTTTCTTAGATTTTGGATCCTTTACCTAAACCCAGTTCTATCTTTCATCTAATAGTTTCTTAATGAGTTGATGATTATTGCCTTCTCCTATAAAATAAAAATATTTTGAATATTGTGTTTTTGGAGCTGAAACTGAAACACTTCTTTAATGAAATTCCTTTCTTTTCAAAATTGGAGGTAGGCTCTTTTGCATTTATTTTTATTTCTCTTGATTAGCAATGAAACGTTGCTTAGCTTATTCAATTTATGTTTAAGATAATAATTTTGTATCAATTATCTTCTTTGTGTCCTTTTTAATGGTTTGATGAGTCTAACAATTATTAATTAAAATAATTACACATTTACTGATTCTTTGACCATAGGAGGACTAGATAATTTTTAAGTTATTAAGAGTAGGAAGAGCATACTTTTTTGGTGAGTTCATTCACTATAGGATTTTATTTATTTATATTCTAGAAGTTTAAATTAACATGATTTTATATATATTCTTATCAACTAAGTGAAAATCATATGCTATCATATAGTAAATTAATATAATGAGATTAAGTCTAATAAGTGCAATGTTTTCTTCATCCAATTCATAAGTATTAACTACAAAAGTAGGATCAGCACTTAATATAAAACTAAATAGACCAAGTCAATTGAATGCCCTTAATTTATCTATGATTGCAGAACTAAATTAAATCTTAGATCAAACAAATTAGACATCTTGCATCATTTTGAGTGGAGAAGGAGGTAAAGCATTTTGTGCTGGTGGTGACATTAAGACATTATATTTTGCAAAAACATAACCTTCTGAATAAAATCCACCAAGTGCTTTAAAATAGTTCTTTTTTGATGAATACAAATTAGATTATAGATTAGCAACACTCAAACCAGTATTAGTGGCTTTGATGGATGGAATAGTAATGGGAGGAGGAGTAGGAATGTCAATTCATGCACCTGTTAGAATAGCAACTGAAAAAAGTGTATTTGCAATGCCAGAAGCAAAATTAGGATTATTTACAGATGTAGGAGGAGGATACTTTCTTTCTAGATTACCACATAGATTAGGTTATTATTTAGGTTTAAGTGGATTCAGATTGAAGGGTGCTGACTTAGTTCATGCAGGTTTAGCTGATTTTTATGTATAATCATCAGAATTGTAAAATTTAATTTCTAAAATCGGAACTATTTAAAGCTAAAACCTCAATGAAGTTAAAAACATTGTCAAACAATTCTAACCAAATTAAGTATTAAGAATTTATATATTCTTTTTAGATACCAGAATTTACTATCAAACAATAATTATAAAACATAGAACCAGGATATTCAGGAGAGAGTTTAGAATAGATATTTAATAATCTATAAAATCATCAAAATTAAAAGTTTGGACAAGATAATTTAAAGATATTAAAAGATTAATGTCCACTCTCTTTAAGAATCATATTTGAATAGATTAAAAGAGGTTAAAAACTTGATCTTAGAGAGAATTTAAAGATGGATTATAGAATTGTGAGAAGGTAAATTAGATATATATATATTTATCAATAGAATTATGTAAGGAACTGACTTCTTTGAGGGAGTGAAATAAGTATTAGTAGACAAAAATCATGTCCCAAATTGGTCATTTAAGGATGCATTGACTATTCCTCAATCTGAAGTTGACAAATATTTTAAAGTTCTTGAAAATGAAGAAGAGCTTGATATTTGAAATTTATTATAATATAATATATAGAATATTGAATATCTTGTGCAATGTATAGAGAATTCTATTTTTAGAATATTGTAGATAGATTTATATAAATTTTAAATTATGAGGTGGTTGAATAAATTATTAAAATATCTTAATTAATGAGTCTTAGTATATTTAGTATTAAGACAAGTTATTATAAAAATGGACTTTGGTGGTTTACTAAGATTCCTGCTCGTATACTAGGTGAAGAACGATGGGATGCTATCAGATTGACAAGGAGAATTTATGGAAATAAGTTCTATTATGGAAGATAATAAATTTTGTTTGATATCTTTTATGATTGGCCAGCTATGGCTAACTTAATTGGTATCTATCCTAAAGTATTATGATCATACAATTATAAAGGTTGATACTTCACATGGATTTCTTCATTGGGCCACTTATGAAGCCTATAGAGATTGGCAAGAACATACTGTGAATTCAGATGTAAAATTGATCACTATTATTATAGGGTGCCTTTGCTATGTGGATCTATATGTTTGGTGGTATTTACATTGCTCACTGTTTCTACTCCTATATGATTCCTTATTATTGGACGTAAGCTGATTTATCATAATCATAGAAATATGTTCCCAGCTAAGAATGAAGAGTTTGTGAGGTTGAGAATGAAAGATGCTATTGCAACTACTGTTTTAGAAGAACTATTTGCTAACAATTATGCAGAATTTGCATGGGCTCCTCATGATTTTCATTATAATAGATAAAGATGTATGTCTGGATATGGTCATCCTGATGATCCAAGAACCATGCATATGGCTACATTCAATAGTAACATATATTGACAATTTTTTTTAGGAAAACACAAATACAAAGAACATTATTTGAATAGAATAGGAGATTCAAGTCGTATGACAACTGTCCTTTGAAATAATAATACATCATCATATATATGCACAATCAATCCTTTTTTTATGAAAATCTTTGAAAGAAGATAAAAGAGGCTCTGTTTTAAGAAGTCATTTAACAATTTTAAAATCTTTTATATATTAAAATTAGAATAAAAACACCTGGTGTTAAAATGATATTGTTTAAATACTTTTGATCAACTCAATGACTTGATACTTAAGTTATTCAATCAATTATAAGCAAAATGGTACTAAATTTATGTCAGAATCTCTTCAATAAACTTGCTTCTATGATTCATGATAGAGTCATTAAATTAATAATGTAAGTTAAGATTTGAGTCAAATCAATGAAGTAATAGTGTTAAAAAAGGATTTATGTTGATAAAAAAAATTGTTGTAAAATTGTTGACTCTTTTTATACAATTTTATTTGTAATTCGTTTTAATTAAAAACATTATTTTTGTGAAACCAATAGATTTAAACATGATAAACACTCATATTACTAATTTTTAAGGATACTACATTCAAACTTAATTGATACTTGATAATATTTTGTGAAATCAGTATCCTTTTTTTAGGGTATTTTTTATCGAAAATATCTTAATTTTTACTCAACCCTTAATAATGATCATTTTATAATACACAATTAGTGCTGAAATTAAATCTTTTAAATGAGTTTAAGTATATTCAGTGCTAAAACAAGTTATTATAAGAATGGCATCTGGTGGTTTACCAAAATGGCTGCAAGAGTCGTTGGAGAAGAAAGATGGGATGCCTTAAGAATGGCAAGAAGAGTATACGGAAACAAATTTTACTATGGAAGACAACAAGTTTTATTTGATGTCTTTTATGATTGGCCTGCTTTGGCCAATATGATTGGTATATATCCAAAAGTAATGATTGATATGTGATGTTAAGGTTGATACATCACATGGATTCCTTCATTGGGCAACTTATGAAGCATATAGAGATTGGTAAGAACATACCTTAAATTCAGATGTATAATTGATTACTATTATTATAGGGTGCCTTTGCTATGTGGGTTTATTTAATTTGTGGTGTATACATTGCGCATTTCACTTATTCATATATGATTCCCTATTATTGGACGTAAGAGATTATTAGTAAGAAATAGAAACCTCTTCCCTGTCAAGAATGAGGAATTCGTTAGATTAAGAATGAAAGATGCTATAGCCTCAACAGTCTAGGAAGAATTATTCGGTAATTAATTTGCAGAATTCGGTTGGGCTCCTCATGATTTTCATTACAACAGACACAGATGCATGTCAGGTTACAGTCATCCAGATGATCCTCGTACTATGCACATGGGCAGTTTCAATAGTATATACTTCTTTTTTTAAGTTGATAGGAAAACATAAATATAAGGAGCATTACATGAAAAAAGTTGGAGAGTAAAGCAGAATGGCAGGACTCTGATCAGATTATATATATACATACAAACATCATTATTACCTTTAGAAATATGAATTTCTTAAATTCACATTTTTGGAGATTGCAAAAATTCATTAATAATTCAAATTTACAACCTCATTCGTTTTGATTCAAAAATTTATATATATTATAATGAATTTGCCTCGATTTTAAGATCTAATTGAGATAAAATATTATTTTTAAAATATACTATTATATCGACTTTAAAACAGAAAGTACATTCAGGGTAAATGATTCTAATTTTAATATAGAACGAAATCTTAATTTTTACTCATTATTTTTATCAATATAAAGATAATTTTGATGATCCAGGAGGTATTCTTGATGTTTTAATATTTCTAAAATCTTCTGATGTTTGTGACATTAAATTTCTTGAAGTAAAGAAATTAGGAGATTTTGTAGATTATTTTTCTTATGGAGATTCTAAAGTTGGTTTTCTATTGGCTTCACTATCAAAATCAGTATCCAAATTAGCTTATAGATTGTCTAAAGTTTATTTAATTTTTTATTTTAATCTATCAGTTCTTTAAGATTCTAATTGATTTTTCCTATTTTTTTATAGTATTACATCCAATTATTAATTATTTTCAAATAACTTTGTCCATATTCTATTATTAATATTCTTTAATTAATCAGGAATATTAATATTCATATATTCATAAAATTGATTTACTTTTTAATCTGAATAGCGAGGTAAATTTAATTATTCTTATTTATTTGGTACAATTTTTTTGAATTTGTTTTCACTTTAATAATTATATTTGTATTTGCGTTGAGGTTAAACAGTAATTAAAAAAGCAGAATTTTTTTGTCTTAATTCTTCTTCAGCCATCATCTATCCAGTTTAAATAGCTCTATCTTTAATTTACTTTAATTAATTCTTAAATTTATTTAATCTATCTTCAGAAGATTTCTTTATTTTTAACTTTCTTTCAATCTCCACCTTTTAAACAACATCAATTTTATTACTCAATTCAATTAATTATTTAAGATTATTGATTTATTCATAGATATTAACTGATTTTGAAGTCAACTTATCTTTAATTTCATCTCTAGTATTCAAATAAGTGAGTAAACTAATAACTCCTTAAAAAGATTTAGGAAGAGCAGGTATAGGATTTTGATTTTAGTTATTATTCTAATTGTTCAATTCATTCATTTCATTTAAAGCTGCATTAATTTCATCTTCGGTTAATTAAGTTCTTTCTATCAATTATTTCATTATCTTGGCAAATATATCTCTTGCAGCAGAGTCTAAATAACATGCTTTAAATTCTTAGAGATTTAAAGAGAAATCTTTATTTTGGTCAACAACTTTAAAAAAATCTAACAATTCTTTCTTAGTAATGAATATCCCATATCTATAATGATCATTCACAATTACTTAGTGAACATTCTAAATACTTCTATAAAATCTAGTGCTTTGGAACCATCATTGTCAAACTTCTCAAACAGTAGGGTCAGCTCAATGTGTTTACGCTGATGGTTCATTTAAATTAATATACTCTTTCTTCAGGAAGATAGCGATACATTTCTTTGGCCTTTGGATCTGCTTTATTTTAATGTTTGTTTATCCATTTCATCATTGAATTAGTGTGCATCTAACCTCTCTTTTAGCATTTCAAAAATTCTTTTTCTAATTCTTCTCTTCTTTTTCGATCCTGATCTTCCTTTAAAGAATTCGATATTTTTTCTAACTATTCTCTTCTTCTCTATTGGGACATTAATTTATTAATAAAATCATAATTTTCAAGTTTAATACCATAAATGATACCAAAAATTTTTTAAATCATTATGATATGATTTAATATTTAATCTAAGATCTTCTACTTAAAAAAGAACATAAGTTTATCATAAATTATATACTTTTTCTGTTAATAAAAAATGATAGATTGATGAGAAATTACAGTATTATTCTATAAATATGATAGTGTTATAAAATATAATAATTAATGGTTAATTTTGAAAGATAAGATATTGAAGTTAATGTAAATTTGTAATTGTAAGTTATGAGGATTTGTTTAAATTAGGAAAGTAGAAGAATTAGAAAATGAAGTATAATTATAATTATTAATTATCAAAATATATAAATATGAAAAATTATATAAAAAGAAATATTATTGTATTAAATGGTTTGATTTTGAATTTTTTATGGTTGTTTGAGTGAGGATATAGCTATATATATATTATATATGATATTTCTTTGGTTCGCAATTTTTAGTATTGTATTTGAGAGAAGAAATGATGTAAAAATTCTTAGATATGAATGTGAGAAATTATAAGGAGAATTAGTAGAAAATAATAATGTATGAAGAATAAGGTTTAATTTAATTGATGGATTTAGGGATAGAGAATGTTTTAAAGTTTTAAGATGATGATAGTTTAGAAAAAAATAATGATGATCGGATTATTAATAAAATAAATAAAAAAATTTATCAATTGAAGTTGTGAATTCCTTTTAATATATTCTGTTTTTGAGTGGAGTTGTAAGCATCTGTTGACTGGTGAATTGATTATTTTAAGTTTTGGTTAAAATATTTCCATATATTAAATCTTTATTTTAATGAGGCAGGTCGATCCAAATATGCCACTTTAGAAATGTGAAGTTTGGGAGATAGAAAGTTAGAAGGTAAGAAATGGCTGAATTTTTGTTAGGATAAACAATGTAAACAGATAGAAATACCTAAATTTGTGATTGTGGAAGGTTTACCTCAACTAACCCATAAAATTCCTCCTACATATATTCATACAAATATTGTATATCCAGATGAAAATGAATATTCATGTGACGAAGAAGATTAAGCAATTGGAGTAGATCCACTTGCTATCTAATAACTAGACATTAGGAATAACCTATCTAACACTCGGAACTACGTTCGCCAATATGAATTGCTGAATTCCATTAATTACCCTCCAGAATATTATAATGCTAAGGTTGAACGTCTTCAACGACCTCTATTAAGAGTGTTCATGAGAGCTCAGGAGAATGAGTAAAAAAATCATTTTTATATTCATCACTAGTTACCGAATGAATATGGCTTTTCGTCCAAGTAGAGCCTACAAATAAAAAAGGTTAAAACGACTTAATATCTAACTTCCTGAATTTTAAGTAGGTAGACAAATCATTTACAATGAGAATCTGGTTGCTCTTCATCTGATTTCTTAAATTAAGTAGCGTGAACTATTAAAATTAAAACTAATTAAATAAGATGAAGAAGAATTTACAAGTACATTTAACAATTGCTCAGAAATATTCAATACACTCAAAGATTTAAGAGTAGCTCTAAAAGAAGAAGAACCTTAAGATAATAAGGATCATAAATCTAAGATTTTTGATTCATGTCAAGATCCAGAATGTGCTTATTAATTCAATACTACTTTAATATCTTAAACAGTAATTGAATTTATGGATGATTAATATTAATCTATTAAAGATAAGCAAATTCTCTGGCCTAAACATCCAACTATATTATCAGATTGGAATCTCGACAATTATTCAAAAATTGGAGTTTATTAATTCAATAAACAATTAGTTTATTCAACATTTGACAGAACTCTCTTTATTTAAGATAGAACGAAAAAAAATAAAAAGAAGGTTAAATTAATGTTAGTAGATAGAAATAGAGCTTCAGTATTTGATGGAGTTAGAGCAGATTATGAACATTTCTATTCACATTATTAGAGACAAATGAATAAAATTGAAACTTCAATTGAATAATAAAGGAAAGAAATCTAAAAATTAAAATAAGAATAATCAAAAAAAGAATTGATGATTAAAATGCAATAAAAAAGAGAAGAATAAAGGAAATTACTTAAAATAAGATTGAAATTAAATTATGTAGAAGAACCAAAAATAGTTAAGACTGTAAAAATAAAACATTCTGATGAATTGAAGTTTTTATTAGTCAAACATGATTCAACTTCTATTTAATTAAAATAGGAGAATTGTTAAATCATTTTACAATGAGATTTTCAAAACAATGAAAGCTTTTTTATAATTTTTGTGCTTTTATATGTAGGAATATATTACTTATATTTCTTTTTGTTTTTTAATTTAAAATAAAGATTTAAAATATTTTTCATTATGGCAGAGGTCGAATAATTATCAGAAGAACTCACTACTTTAAAAAGAGTTGTCTAAACTTCTTTACATAGAGGATAATTATCAAAGGGTGTACATGAAGTTTGCAAAGCAATTGAAAGCAAATAAGTTGATTATTGATATATATTGGAATAGGCTAAGTTTGTTGTATTGGCTGATGATTGTTCAGAAGAGACATACAAAAAATTAGTTGTTGCTTTGGCTAAGCAATTCTAAATTCCAGTTTGGAGAGTTGAGAAAGGTGCTTTATTAGGAGAATGGATTGGAATTTCAAAGTTTTTGACAAAAACAAAGAAAATTAAATCAAGAAAGTGTTCATCTTTGGCAGTTAAAGATTTTGCAATTGAAGTAAGTGAAGCTGAAAAACAATTCATTGAAGATAAAATTAAAGGATTGTGAGAGTATTTTATCCGTACAACATATAAAACAAAGTATATTAATGTATATTTATCATAATCTCTAGAATCAAAAAGTATTAGCAAAGTCATTAAATTTTTAATTATTTAATTTTTTATTATATGTCTAAACATAGAAGAACCAAATCAAGTGGAAATTATTTCTAAATTAATCATGAGTATTTAGTTAAAGATGATGATTTTGAATATAATGAAACTAAATTCATTATACAGAAAATACAATAAATGGCTACTTAAACTTAATAAATTGTAGAAAAACTTGATGTAAATACATAAGGAATGTATAATAACTTATTTAACTTTGGTAAATAACAATCCAAAGAAAAAGCTGATTTGAATTTAAGTTAAATTTCAGAGTGTAGTTGTAAAACATACTATTTTTTATCAAAAAAGCAACTCATTCAGCTGAATATCCTAGTCTTAAATTACGTAACTAAACCATTTAATCCCCTATTCGTATGAATACTTAAAATAGTTAAAGTTTACAATAGACTATATAATACTTAGAGTAAGAAATCGAATAAATGAAAATGAAATAGGATGAATTGCATACAGTTAATATGTTTTTATTATAAGAAACTTAAAAAAATCGTTAAGAGTTATTAAGAAGTTAAAAAGTAAGATTAAATTATAAATAGAAAAATGAAGAAAGGATTAAATAACTTATTTAAAAGATTGATAAAGAGTAATCTAATACAAATGGGTATTTTTATAATTTATTTTTAACAGTAGTACTTCAGATGGTCTAGATTGATTACATTTTCCTATATATATATATATATATATATATTTATTTTTAGTTCAAACATTTAAATTTAATAATCTATTTGTTCTATACTAAATTAAATGAATTTAAAAGAATAAACACCAAACATGTCAACATTATTTAAGATTTCTCAATAATTATTATCAGATTATAAAAATTTTCAGCAAAAATGTCAATAGAATTATTATCATCGACAAATTGACATTAACTTTCTATAATGATAAAATCAGTCCCCCAATAATAAAGATTTTAAACTTGAAGTATATTCCTAATATATATAAAGAGCAACAGCCAGATATTATACTTAAATTTATCAATAAATGAGTTATAGTAAAAGGTTGCTATCTCTAAACACCACTATGAATTACAACTCCAAAAAACATAGAATCAAATATTTATAGATATATGTTTTTAATTTAAGATATTCCACCAGCTTATATATAAAATTTATTTATACCATATAAAATTATCAAAAGAATATGTTCATAGATAATTTAGTATTAAATATGATGTTATTCTTAATTTTAATGCTTAATCACTTAATTATCCAATTATTCATTAGAAGTAATTTCAGCTTATATAATTTCTCCAATCTATTTATCAAAATCCCCAATTTTAAATGGAATGGATCTTATAATTCTGTTTTAATTTCTTTAATATTCACTATTATCTTCATATTTAATTGAAATTTATTGAGCACCATTTCCTTTTTTCTGATTATCTAATTAAGATATTAATTTAGAAGTTTAATTTGAATCAACTACTCTGCCTTTTTCTAATAAAACTGTATTCTTTAATGTAATTCCTAATTAAGCTAAATGACTCTTATCAGCTCTTTATAAGATTGCATACTAACTTTCTCTGGTGACATGATCATATATTTGAACTGCTTCTAATTAAGATTCTATTGCTTCAACTGAAAAAGTTGGTAACTTTGCTTTTTAACTCTGCATGATATTTTATTATATAGAAGGTAGTTCTAATTTTTTTTCAGAATCAAACTTTTTTATTAATTCTCTTAACCAAATAAATAGAAATAAACCTATAAGTATCCAATAGTTTTCAATCAAAAACGTGCAAAAAATAAACAATTTCACAGAATCATATATTATGTTTGGGCATTCTTAGGATTAAAATGATAATCCAAAGAGTGAGGAGACTATTAAAATGAAAAGTTAGATAGCCAACATATACAATGTTATTGTGTGTAAAATATTTATTTATTTTGGAATAATAATTTCAGAATAAAACTCCTTTCTCTTAAATATTGAGTGGTCTTGCTGAATTTGGATTTGTATATCTGCGAATAAAGTCTTATAATATCAATTCAGAGTCTTTGAAGTCAGTTGCTGCATGATCATTAGCTTATCTATGGACTCTGCATAAAGTCTCTTTGTAATCTTCATACCACCAAACAAATCTCTTGATATCTATAATAAAATCATAAATGCATACTTACCTTCATGTTCCAAAAGAAATTCATTCTCTTTTACTAATTCTTATGCTCTTAATTGAACATATTCATCAAACAAATTAACTTTTGTTAATTCAGATTTATATTCAAAATATATTTTACCAAAAATAACACATTAAACAACAGGGAATAAATATCTAAAAGTTCTGAATCTGATGTTTTGTGTTATTACATTATAATTATATGCATATAGGAACTATGATAAATCTTAAAAATAATATTTACTAAATTGATTCCAAAAGCAACAGCTTAATACCCAAATTTATTATACTCTATAACTGGATAAGTCATATCATCTTCCCATTCGGCTAAAATAAATATTCAAATTTGTATTTTTACGATCTTGAGAACTCAAACAAAAGGCATTGAATGGTATTTTTGGCTAAGTCCAACCAGCTGTCTCAATTAATTCAACCATTTTCTTAATTGATCTATATCTCTTCAAACGAGCTTCTCTATTATATTTAAAATTAATACTAACCTAAATGGAGGTAGATTCTAATTTCTAAGTCCTAATAAACTTATGATTGTGAAATAATTATCCATTTAATTAAATATTGAATTTGAATAATTAAATAAATAAATAAAATAAAACTATATCATACTTCATCACTCATTATTAAACAATTGACACTGTTTTATTATTATTCAACTTCACTTATTTATTCTATCACTTCTTAACTTTCAATATATTTCTACAATCTATATATTGTTAATAATTCAGGATTAATTTATTTAATTAATCTACTTATAATTTGATTTTAATAATGATTTTCTGGATACTAGTTTTTGCTTGATTCTATTTTCTCATAAACTTATAAAACCTATTCATAATTATAAACAATATCATCAATTAGATTTTATTTATTTTGAATATATTAATTATATTATTTATAAAGAGAGTTATGAGATATCCTTCTATTTTTCATTTTCAGACTTATTATTGGTTTAGAAGTGAAATTAAAGATAGTTAATTAATCTTTAGTAAGTAATATTTATTTAAGTTTATCTATTTCAGTTAATTTTTCAAAGAGATACTTTGAATCTGATAACATATTAATCTTTTTCAAAGCTTCTTCTAATAATTTAGAATCATTGCATTAAAACAATTTACCAAATGTTATTTGATTTATAAGAAATTTAAAATTTAATATTAATGGTGAATATCTATTTAATATTCCTACTATTGATTTTTTAAAATAATCTTTAGAACTTGTATATCCAAATTTCTATACCCATTTAGTATTATTCTTTTCAAAATTAAATTGCTTTGAAATTATCCTATTTCTCTAATCAATTTGTATCTTTCTTTCAGATGAAGTTTAAAATTCAAATTAAGATCTCAATACATTAAAAAATAGTTTATTAACCTATTTTCCAGAATATGTGAAATCTACTTAAGATTTTTATAATTATCTCTAACTTTCAGGAGACTTTTCAATTCTTGATTATTCTTTCTATTATTCAATAACATAATTAATTTCTTTTAATTATTTAATCTATTCTATTTTTACTTCAGAGTTCTTTTCAAATTAAAATATTTAATTTGCTAAATCTAATGACACTATTATTTATAATTTATATTTACTTTATAATTTATTATATTATACTATTAAAGACCCTATTACTAAGGATAAAGCTTACAATAAACCTCCAATTTATGAAAGTAAATTATGTAATTTTAGACAAGATCTCTTGATTGTAACAGTGAATAAATCTTATTTTACATCTATATATCCATATACTTCATCATCTTCTCTTCCTAAATCAACTATTTCTATTTTATCTGCAGAAGATATTAAATTGATTTCTGATTTAACATTTTATCTAATTATAATTTATGATTTACTAAAAAGGCATAACACTTTCATCATTTATTAAATTATGCTTTTTCAAAAGTAAGGTTGTTGATCTTAATAATTTTTAAGGTATAAAACTAATTGTAACTGAATCATCTAGGAATTTTTGAATATAATCTTAACCTGAATTATATGGGTTCAGTATCTAAGATTAAGATATTTAATAACATAATTGACAAAATACAGTTGTAATGTGAATTATCGATTCTTCTGTATAAATTTATTGATTTCATCCTCTGATGCGCATCTGAATTCTGAATTTGTAAAATTTTAGCATTTTTTTATATTAATTCTCAAAAATTCCAATCGATCTTTTTTAAATTACATAAATACCTGAACCCGACTAATGAAAATTTAATGTTTGATTATTTCTACATATGAATAAATGAAATACTTGAGACACAAAAGGGATCCGAAGTATTTTTATGCAAACATTTAAGTCAAATTGATGGCTTAGTTTTCTTAAAGTTTTAATAGTTTTTCATTTGAACATTTTTCTAATTCAATATTACTAATCTACTCAATATTATTGTCATACAACCTTAAAATGACAATTATACTTACCTCTATTCAATTACAATTTCAAAATATTGTAATTCTACATTGTCTATTTATTTTAGACCAATGGCTAACATAAAATTATCAGAATCTAATTGGATAATCGGTGAATCCAAATTGTGTTCAGAAAAAATAGATACTTATAAAGAGGATTTCCAAAAAAAATTCATAATTGTATTCCATGAACTCATAATTACTATAGCGATCACTAATACTGAAGTTATGCCACCACAAGCAGTAGTATAATTTCGTTTTCCATTTACATTAATAGTGAAACTTTGGCCAAATATATCTATACCAAGTAAGACTTATTATACATCTTTATTATATACATCTATTAACCGCATTATTAATGCTGATCACCATATTTTTAATATATTAGATTTATTTTAAGTATGCAACAAAACTATAATTATCTAGCTAGGCTTAGTAAATTAATAGAAATCTTACATGAGCTTAGATTTTTCAAAAGAGATATTAAACTTTTATATAAAATTAAACACAACTACTCATGGCAAAAAAATAATTTCATAATATGTTCTACATCTAAAAATCTCTAAGAAATTATGGAATATCGAATTTAGATAACAACTATATATATAAAGTCAATTAAATTAATAAATACATATATATTAAAATATAGCTAAGTCTGAAATATTAATAATAATAATTATTAAAATAGGGTGATGCTTAATTCTATTCCTGAATTGTTTCAAAATTCAATAATTAAATAGATTTATACAAATATTAATGAAAATTAATTGTATAATCACATATAATATAAATTATTAGTCTTCATAAAGAAATAATCTAAATTTTTTGAAATGCTAAATTAAGAATATATATTCTTTTAAAAATTCTTTTGAATACATCTATAATAAATGATATAAAAAATTACAAAAATCTTTAAGTCTTAATCTGACTTTACAAAGAAATTAGAATAGTGCAGTTTAACTAAGGATAATTTTGTTTTTAGACAAGAGGACATAGATTTAATCCTATAATACATGATTGATGAAAAATTTATCAAAGAATTCTTTGATGTCTACATTTCTCAAGAAATGCAAACATATACAATTAAAATGAAAATGCTCATTATCATTCATTAAATAATAAATTTAAGTGAGGAGTTCTCATCAATATTCAATACAATACGTTTTCATAATTTTAATAAACTAAAGCATTGCAATAGAAATAATGAAGCTTGGTTACTTTAATCAATATAAATACCATTTTTGCAATATTTACAAAAATTGTCAATAAATATAAAAGACATTAAAAGTTATAGAACATGTTTGTTTAGAAAATAAATTCTAAATACAAAGTATTAAATCCTTAACTTCATAGTTTGGTAATCGATAGTTTTAAATTAATAAATATCGTGAATCAAGCTTTGTCATTAGTACCAAATTTAAAAATTGCTTTAACAAATTATCCTTATGATTTTTTATTAAAAAGGACTGCCTATAATATCTATTTAGAGATTCATACATTCCAAAGATAATTAATAAATTCATTATCTGCATTACTCAATGAAAATTCATAAGCAAAAGAAGTTGAGATATATGAATTTCTAAAAGAAGTATATATTTGCAGTACTTATATCAGGTTTAAGCTATTGAATAGAAAATGATGTTCTTTTATTAATTTCATAAAAAATTTGATCCAAGTCAAACATTAATACCTCCATTGAAATTAAAAATAGATGTAGAGAGTGCTAGATGTATAGAAAGGTCTGCAATTTAGGAAAGAGAAGTGTGTCAATAATTAAGATAAGCAAAAACTAAAAGAGAAATTTGTAGTTCTTCTCCAATTATAGATTATTAACTTAGTTGTGAAAGGGGGAAAAGAGGACCATAATATTAGCATCTTGTATTATAAATGAACACTCAAGGAAATTAAGCAATAGTTTGGGATTAATAATAAACATTTTAAGAAGGAGTAGATACTCACACTGATGAGAAAGCAATAAAAGAAGAATAAAACAGTGAATACATAAAAAAATGATTTATTATATAATTTATCAATTTGAACTCATTTAAATGGAAGGTAAACTATCTTGAGAGCATGGAATAATAGAATTAAGTTTTGATTTTGATATTTTAGTTGATGAAATTATTTTTTTTGAAGATAGATTATTTCTCAATTAAATTAACCATATCTTTTTTTAAGCTTTTTTGAATTTAGTTACTAAATTTAAACCTCCATTTTATTATTATAATCTTTTAAGCTTTAAAAATTTGGTTATAAATAAAAATGGATAATATAAATATTTTTAGAATTTACTTAAAATTTCAGATTACCATTAATGTAAATTTTTATTAACTGCATCAATAATATGATTAACATTACTTTAAGGATAATAAAAATCATAATTTTAAACAGTTTCAAAATCTTCTATAGTTATAGCATTCTATTACCAATAAATATATTATAAAGAATTGAGACCCTATTTTACAGATATATCTTTATCATCTTATGTTCTAAGTAATTTATTATAAAGACAACGTATATTATCTTTCATATTTTAACTAAAGAATTGATCTTTTTTTAATTATTCATTTTCATGTATTAGAATAGTAGTTTCATGAGGTTCTTCAGTTATTTCATTCATTTAGAATAGTATAGAATGTGATCTTGTATTTTTCCTTTGAAGTTATTTAGATGGTTATGAAGTTCTTCTTTAAATACGAGCATATTATGTAGATAAGAGATTGGATTTAGTTAGATCTTCTTTTATTTTTGTTTTATCTTCTTCAAATTCTAATTTAGGAAGAGTTTTTATTTAAGTAGATTTATGATTGTTTGCAAACATTTCATTAATTTATAAAATATTTACTGAAGGTAATGCATCAAAAACATTATGTGTTTCTGAATTACCTTAAAATGATTCTGTATCTGCTTCATATATTAATTATAATTTAGATTATTCATTCAATAGATTTTAATTTTCAGTTGAAAAATATAATGCACATTCTTAAACATAAGTTAATTCAGCTCTTGTTTGAATAGGTTTATCAAGAGTTTTTCTATTATATTTTTATCTTATTTATTCTTGATTAATAATATGTTTTTTTACAATAACTTCTTAATTTAATTTAAGTTAAACTTAACCACAATTTTTTAATTGATGATCAAAATTATTACATGCTGGACAAAAGTTAGCATATTATATTAATAATTCTTAATTTGATAATGAATATGTATCTTTAAGTTAACAATATTTTTAGAAATCATTAGGAAAATCTTTAAGTGTATCTAAAAAGTCCATTTTAGAAAGCATCAATAAACTAACATAACTCTATGCTTTAAATAATTCATATTCTGGATTTTGCATTATAAATTCTTTTACACAAAAAAATTAACCTTATTATATTTAAGCATTCATTTTTGATCTTTATTTTCTATCTTTATGTTGATATAAAATTACACCTTATTCAACATAACAAAGATGTTAATATCCATTAATTTCTGTTGAAAATATATTTTAAGGTTGAATAATTTTACGTTTGATTGATTTAAAAAGAGCATTTCTAAATTCAGCTGAAAAATATTTTTATAACAATTCAGATTTCTTAATAAATACTTTATTTGCTTATTTCTCCAATTCCTCTTTTAATTCATCTGATAATTATTCTAATAATAATTATTCCATTTCTAAATCTACCTCATCATCTTCTTTCCATCTATATGTCAAATATTCTTAAACTCTAATTACATTATATATATATATTTATTTACTAATGTTAAAGACTAAAAGGAATCTATCTCTATGTCATATATTTATTGATAACTCTTAATTTTTAACTTCTTTCTACTTAATTCTAAGTAATATCATTCATTATTGCACCTATAAAATTTACACTATAAGAAAACCATAAACCTAAATGATATATTATTTTTATATATACAAGCACCAAGAATAAAAATTATAGCTACTATCTTTTCTATAGAATTCTTAGGTACATTGTCTCCATATCCAATTGTAAGCATAGTCACAATAGCAAAATAAATAGATTCCAAATATTATAATTACCATGTTTAATGATCTAATTCTTTATTCACTATCCAAGAATTAGATTAATCTATACTACTAAACCAAAACCAAATACAACTAAATAAGTGTAAAATATATAATAAACTAGTTAAAAACTTTATTAATCCAATTATACCTCTTTATGGTCTAGTAAAATAAGATATTTAATCTATTTTAGATACAGCCTCAAATATATGCTTATATTGAGTTAATAAAATAAGAAGAAATAAATCATAACCATCTTATGCATAAGGATTAGTAATAAAGACAATAATCAAAATAATGACTGAGAAATCAGTGAACCATGATTTGTTTAATTATCTAATTATAATTTCCCATCTATCTGTTATTGCCTTTCCATTTTCATAACATAATGTATTTATTCTTACAAATAAATCTAATTATAAAACTAAAAATATTGTTATTGTTAATCCTATATAATGTTAAAAAAGAATTTAAGTTGTAAATGATATTTCTAAAGGTATTAAAATTACTAAGATTAATCTAAAAAGAGATGCAAATATATCCCAATATAATTTGAAATTACTTTCTGGTTATATTAATGGAATTTTATTGGCAATCAATGTAATTTATTTAATAACATTTTATTTATTTTCTTATAAGAATGATTTTACTTTATCCCATCTATTTTCTTTTATTTCTATTTTAGTTGTTACTATTCTATTTAATTAATTAATTGTCAATCCTTTTTATACTTTTGTTTATTTATATTCTTATAAAATAGCTCTATTAAAATATCATTTTAATTCATATACTTATCAGATGCCTTATCATCTATAAGATTAAGATGAGTATCATTTAAATTTTCTAATTTTTTTCTCTAAAAAGTAAGCTTTTCCAAAAAACGTCTTATAAAAAAGAACTGCATTATACTTGACCCTGTATTCTTTTATTTCTCTTGGTTTTTGCTACTAGGAGTTAGAAGATGAATTTATTAAGCATCAGAAGTTGGTAGATTATTTAAATTAAGATGAGTTGCATTTTTAGGTGTTCTAAAATCATATGCATCATTGCTTTTTTCACTTTTGGTTTGACTTTGGATTTGATTATTAGTGATTGATAGTTATCTTCTAGTATCTCTTAAACAATGTTCTAAATATTCTTATTCAAAATCTTCATTTTGAACTGCTCTTAATTCAAGATCTAAATCAAAATTTTAATTATGTTGTTGTTCAATTTTTTACATTTAATATATAATAAATCTTAAATTGAATAAAACCTGTAAACTAATTACATTCATTATCAATCATAGATAAATTGATTATCATTTTAATATATAATCTAGTGGTTTAGTACACTATTAGACTTTCATTCAAAAAATATTTATCTAATATAATTTATATACTTATTATAATCATAATCTTTCTATTGAGGATATTTAGTATTATATATTTAAAATTATAAAGCCTTTCTATATTATTATATATATTAATCAAAATATTTATAATAAAAGTATAAACAATATTTGAACATCAATAGATAAATAAGGAAATTTATATTTTCATAAACACTCAAACATTCTAATAGTAATTTTAAGTAGATTACTTAATAAGGAGAATGAACCTTAAAATTGAGATTAAAGAGTTTTATGAATTAAAAAATGAACTTTTTATTTTGAAATACATAAAGCAAAAGAAAATTTATTGTACTTAACTTCCAATAATTAATAAATGAAATAATTTACTTAATTCATGATTATAGTATTTAATTATTGATCAAATAAACATTATCACATTAAATTGATTAAAAATAAAGATTTTGTAGTTTTTATAATTGAGGAATGTATATTAGTTATTGAAAAAGGCTTTTAATTACTTGAATTGTTATTAATAACAATTCTATCAATAAAATATTTGTGGATTGAGTTTATTACTATTTAAATAGTTATGAAGATTTTCTTAAAATTGTTCATGATAATACTATAAAAAAGAGGATTATTACATACTGAGAGACTTAATATTGGTTAGTGAAGAGAGTGAATAAAATTATAATAAGTTTTGATACATTTGCAAAATATCTGCACATAAGTCTGTAGATATATTAAGGAAATTAAAAGATATAATATATATTATAAGATAATTCTAATTGAAAAATATAAAGAAAATGTACTTACTACAAAAGAATTATTAATAAATAAATAGATGCCTTCTTCTAAATGAAATAATTTATAATTCTAAATTAATTTGATTTTATTTAAGTGTAATTATAATCATACTCATTTATTATTCCTTATTATTCCAATCTCATATCAAAATGATATTAAAAAATTTAGTATTTTTAAATTACTACTCAGTTAATTATATTAAATAAGTATTTTCTAAAAAACCTAAATTAATGAAAATTCATCCATTTAAACAAAAGGAAGATTTGGAGACATTGCATACTTGGAGTAGTTAGAGACAACTTACTGAGATGGGATCTTAGGTAGGTTTAACTTATGCTAATAGTGGGTTTTAATAACCAATTAATAATAGTAAGAGGAAATATAGAGCTAAAACAGTAAAAAATTTGTAAGAATTTCAAACTTATATAAAAGTATACAAATGTCCTCAACAACAACTATCTCTCCCACTAATTCTTAAAGGATAGATAAAAAACAATAATTTTCTAAGTTAATCAGAAAGATTATTAATGCTCAGCACTTTATAGAGGAACTTAGAAATTATGCTGATTAGTTAAGAAGTTAAAATGTACGTTATGCTTACAAAAGAAGAAGTTTTTTACCTTTATTTCCAGATGATATACCATATATAATATGGGGATTAATTATAAATTTATGTACTGATGTTGCAGCAATTTTGTTTCCTTTGTAAATTGCATTTGATTTTGAAGTACAATTTATAAAGTATAATAGAGGGAGTGGGTAGTCAATTGACTTTGATAATTTAAATAATATTTTGGTTGGATCTAATTATGAATTTTTTTATTTGTCATGTAAATAAATAACTAGATTTGATTTACAATTTTTAAGATATTGCATATCATTATTTAAGTAGTTGGTTTATATTTGATTTAATTTCAGTATTACCTGATTTTGATATAGTTGGACTCAAAATATTAAAACTAATAAGATTATTAAGATTTTTCCTATTTGAAAGAAGAGTCGCATATAATCAATCTCTTGATTTATTAAAGTAGCAAAAGGCAATTAAAGATGAATTGGTTGTGAGGAATGAATATAATTTTGATTTAAGATTAAAGAAATTAATTAAAATATTTTTAGAAATGATTGTGCTTAATCATTTATTTGCATGTTTATGGTTGTGGATTTGTAGATTTAATAATGATACTAATTGGTTATCATACTATAAACTTAATGAAAAAGATTAATTAACACAATTTATTTATGCATTCTATTGGGCTTATTAAACTATAACAGTAATAGGTTATGGGGATGTAGAAGCTCATAATTCTGATGAATATTTGCTTGTAATAATTTGGATGCTAATAGGAGTTGGATATTATTCATTTACTATTGGAAATATTACTTTTATTTTGATACAATCAAATCCAAATTAAGAATTTGATGATTAACTTTTTAATTTAGAAGACATAAGTGTAAATATGCCAGAATAAATATAAGAAGATTTATTTAAATTTACAAAATATAATATATAATATAATCCTTTTTGGGCTGATGATGCTAAAAGAATACTTTTTGAATTACCACATCCATTAATTTTATATATGATGGCATCTGTCCATAAAGATATATTTAGAACCATTCCTTTTATCTCTAATGACATAAACTTTTCTGCTGCTATTCTACCTTATTGTACTTTAGGCTATTACAAACAATTTGAAACCATATATTATATAGGATAGAATGCTAATGATTTCTATTTTCTAATCTAAGGAGATGTAAGATTATGTGATGCCAGTGGTGAATCTATTATAAGAGTAATGGAAGGAACATGCTTTGGTGAAATTGAATCTATTGAATATACTTAAAGATGTTGGAGTGCATTAGCATTGCAAGACAGCATTGTTTTAATATGTTCTGCTCATTTCTTTTCATAATATTTATAAAATGAATCACCTTAATTCTTTGAATTACAATAAATGTATAAGAGAAGAAAAATAATATTATTTCAATAAGCAAAGTTCAAGCGATGTAAATTTTCTTTTATAATAAGAAAAACTAAACAAAATTAGAAGAGGACATGCTGTTAATGAAGCTTAAAAATTAAACAGGAAAAATACATTAGCTTTATAATTGGACAATTTAAAATAAAAATTTGATAATCGTCCATATTAAAGTGTTTAATAAGATTTAATGCTATAAGTTGTAGGTTAAAAATAAGCTAGATTTAAAATTATACGTGAAAAGTTTGTTAATGTAATTTTAAATTATTGTATATATTAGGCTATATCTAAAGTTAGATATTATGTCTAAAAAGCATAGAAATTAAAAAATATATCTGTTGATGATCCAGATTATCGAATCATTAATAGTCTCATAAATAGTAGGATTGTTAATAGTACTTGGAGTAAATAAATATCAAAAAAGTTTGGCAGAAAATTATTGAGTAATTTTGTCAAAGTTTGTGATGATGAAGAAAATATTAGATCTTTCATATTGAAAAGCAAGTAGGAATCTATTGATAGAATTATGAGAAAGAAATTGATTCATATAATTAGAAATATTACAAAATAACAGAAGAAAGAAAAAATTGACAAAAATAAGATTGATTTATTTTATGGAAAATTTCATTAATAAATTTATGAAGAAATCAAAAATGAAAAATTAGAAGAACGAAAAAAGTAAAAATAGAAACTTGAAAGTATTAAGTAAGAAAACAAAATTAGAACACAAATTTAAGCATTGAATTCCAATTTTAAGTAATTGGAAAAATTACATACATCACTTTCTATGGCTATTTTCGAAATCAATTAACATGAATTTGAAATAGATGGTCTTATATCAGAAGTTAAATAATAATTGTTATTAGTTTAAATTTGATTGAAAATACTTTATATATGCTATATTTTATATTAATTGAATTTATAATTATTATAAAATATAATAAGATAAAAATTAAAAGAAGAGGATACATTATCAAATATAGAAATCATTTACACTCTTTATTTAGCACCAAATTTCTTAATATACTTGTCTATGTTTCGTTTTTTGATCAGCAAAACTTTCTTTCAATACAATAGAATTATCAGTTGCTTAATAAAAAATATTAACTTTATTTTTTGGAATAATCAAATGTAACCATTAATTATCTTGATAATGTACTCGAATTCTAATAAAAATATTAATATAATTTATACCCTTAAGTTTAATTTTCATATTTATAAATTGAAGGACAAAAGAGAGAGTCAACTTATTGTTGATGATAATTAAGTGGAGCCAATGCTTTACCATTGTTATTTTTAGCTCTTTCTTTATTAAAATTAATCAATCCATTAACTAGACTGTCTTCACTATGTAAAATAGCCCTATATGTAGTATCAAAAAATTTATAATTATATTCTGAATTGTATTCCATAATTTCAGTCATACCTCTAATTCTACTTTATGAAACATGATCAAATAATTCAAATTGATCATCACTTGCATTTAGATTTCGAATTTAATGTCCTAATTGTTCATTTAATTTAATAGTATTTAATTTTTATGTTTAAGGATTAAAATCAATTGTAATAAATCCTATAATTGCAATAATAAATAAAAATGAAAGTCCTAATTTTCCAAGACTTTTGTTTTTAGAAACTGAAATAGGATTATCATCATCATATCCAAAATGTTTACTACCACAATTTAAACATGTTAAAAAAGTGTATTATTATTATAATTGCTAATTAATTTTATGAACTTCTTCTAATTATTATTATAAATGAATGACTTATTCATGCATTTCAGATAATTAAGTTGATTATTTAACAAAGTCTTCTTCTAATTTTTGTAAATATGCTTTCTTTCTATCTCTAGAATTCTAAGCTGATATTCTATTTCTAATCATTTGCATTGCTTTTTTATCATTATTTTAAGAAAATTCTTATTTTTCATCTTAAGACACTTTTCCTATCTTTTTATTTTTTTTTTCTTTTTTGATATTCTTATGAACCTTTGAACAAACTTATTCTTAATTGTCTACTTGAGAGTTTGATAATTATGAACCAGTAGAACCTGAAAGCAAGGCAGGTAAAAAGTGAGATGAATCTGTTGAACTCTCTTGTTCCTATTGTTTCTAATAAATTTTTTGAAATATATTTGATTAGTCATTATCCTCTTAATACTTTTGTTATAATTCAGCTATTAATTATGAAAGTGGTTTGTCTTTTATTTAATTTAACATATTATATTATAAATTATTTATTAAGTTCCTAACTAAAAAAAATTAATATACGTGGGATATTCTAAATCCACAAATTAGCAAATTTAAATATTTTAAATAAAACTTAAATAGATAGTCTAAATATATTCATTTAAAAAATTGAATTAAAAATCAAATGAATTCCTTTTCTAATATTCTATATGAACAAATTTATCAATTATAAGTATATAAACATTATGATAACTTCAATCTTTTTCTTTTGTGATAATTATTTTATATAAATTACTTTATTGATTCTATAATTATATGTTCAAAAATAGTGAATGATAATGTTGTTTCTTTATTGTTTTACTCTCTCTTTCTAGAAACATTATTTAATCATTCTTATATCAAAAAATAAATAAATACAGTTAAGTAAGTTTTCAAGTTTAACTCTTTTTTAATTGATGATTAATGAATTTAAGAGGGTATATTTAAAATGATTATATAGTGAAAGAATAGAAATATAAAGTAGAAAATTGAGAAATTTGCATTTATATGATAATATAAATATTAAATGAAAGGAAATGATATATTATTTTTAGGACTAAGTTCATAACCAGAAAATCTTTAAATGGAATTATAGGCAGAATAATAAAATGAATATGAAAGAGAATATTTAGAGGCTGATTTGGGTTCAAGAGTAAGAACAAGAAATCCAAGTTCAAACAATTTTACACATAAATCAACCATCTAAATTGAGACACACAGAAATTGTGAAGTATTATATTATTGATTATTAAGCCCTTAATTGTTGCTAAAGAAGAAAGTAATAAGAATGTTAAGAAAAAAACTGGGATCAATTTTATGAAATATTTTTATTTGAAGAGATTTATTTAAAGAATTAGAAATAATCGATCACAATTAACTAATGTTAATGAAAATCATATAAAATTGATTAATGATAATTCTAGTGATAGGTATCATTTAAATAATTTAGTTAAGTGATGATGTCTTATCTAAAATTTAATGGTCATCCTAAATTCTAAATACAAAATGTAACTATGCTTTTTAGAGACAATACAATTAGTAAATAAGAAAATAGATTCAAAATATATTTAAACGAAAAAAATTAACAATTTAAAAAGTATATACATGAATTAGTTTCTAAAATACCATAAATACATCCAGAAACACCTAAAAAAATAGTTTGGGATTATTGGACTATTGTATTTAGATTAATATTATTAATACTTATACCTTTAGAGATTTCATATAAGCCAAATATTTTATTTGAATAATTAGTTGGTTTAACTATTACTATCATAATAATTTTAATTATTGATAATATATTTAGATTAAATACAATATTCTATTAACATGGACATGCTGTTTTTGATAGATGGAAGATTATTCAATAAAATTTGCGTTTTTAATTTGTATCAGATTTAACTTTAATTTTATTATTAATATATTTTATTTAATTTGATGGCAATCAATTTTAATATTTAGTACTTTTGATATCTTTGACATAACATTATTAAATTAATAATACATTAGAAAAAAGTGAGGAATCCTCATATTTTACTAAAAAATAGAAAGCTTTTATAAGTTTATTCAAACTTTTAACTTATTTAATATATGTATTACATCTATTTTCTTGTATATGGTTTTTTAATAGTTCCTTAAATACATAAAATTCTTGGATTATTTTAAAGGAATTAGATCATTAAACATGGTAAGTCCAATATTTAGAAGCTTTTTATTTTGCAATTGTAACTATGTTGACTATTGGATATGGAGATAATGTTCCAAAATCATGGAATGAGAAAATAATTGCAATATTCTTTATTTTAAGTGCTTGTCTATGGTTTTCCTATAGTATTAATACAATAGGAACAATAATTAAAGAGATCAATTTAAATTTAGTAGAAAGAAGTAAAAAGATTAGAGTCATAAATAGATATATGCATTAAAGAAATATTCCATATAGTTTGCAATATAAAATTCGAGAATATTTAACATTTAGATGGAAAGAAGAGTCTGAAATTGATCTTCAATAAGAAGAAACATTATTAAATGAATTATCAGAAGAATTAAAATAAGAATTAAAAAAATAAGCAAACAATGTATTTTTCAAACATTGTGATTTCTTATTTAAAAATTTTAGTTTAGAATTGTAAAATTCACTATCCCCTTATATTAAAAGAAAAATAATCTAACCTTAAAATTCTTTTTCTATTTATACTTTAAGTGAAATATATTAGCCACATTTATGTTTTGTTGAATAAGGATAATTGTAATATTAGAATTTCTTAAAAGTTTCATTAAAAAGTGTTTAATCACAAGGTTAATTCGTAGATGCATCAGAATTCATTGAAGAAAGTGATAATGTGTAAACATTTAAAGCAATTGGTTATGTTAGTTTGTTAATTTTAAGTAAAGTAAATTAATTCAATTATATTTTTAGACTGATTTTATGAGTATTATTCGTTAATATCCTAAAGATTACTAAAAGTATTGTCATTTAAAAGATTAATATATATTATCAGTCAGATAAAAACATTTGCCTTATAGTTAATTTTGTATTGCATGTGGTAACAATACTCATGGATTGAAAGAATGTTCAAATCTATCAATTACATTAGATAGAGAATTAATTATCAAAAGAAATTAATATACTGTTGAATAAAAAAGATAACATCATAAAAGATCTAAAAAAAGAGGGAAAACCTCATTTTCAACTCTTTGTGATAGAGAAATTATTGAATAATTTGTTATTTATTTTTAGAATGAATAACCAAAATTAGTTTAAATTTAATTAGGTAAATAATTAGCAATAGAACAAGAATGTGAAGATGCAAAATCTGAACTTAATGATTAATCTCAATTAACTAAGAATTTCAAATTTAGAAGATAGGATTCTGTACCAGTTCCAAGATATTCTTAATAGAGTTGTGAAGGTCTATCTATAAATAAATAACTTTGTCTTAATGATTCAGTTATTTCTAGTGAAAATAATTCAATTTAAAATTTAAAGTTATCAACTAGATAGTAACATATGATAAATACAAATAAATTTATGACAGCAAAACTTTCAAAATATAAAAAATTTTAATAATAATAGATTATTAAAGTTAATCCTAGTGAATCTATGGAATCATACAAATTTGATTTATAGGAATACTATTTTCAAAATTTAGAATAATTATATAATAGAATTTTTAATGATGAAAATAATTTGACCTTATAATTAGATAAATCAGTATAATAATTATAAATCATATATTATCAATAAAAAGCATAATAAGAAATAGAATAATTTGAAATTGTTAAGAATTTTACTTATTATATGACATAAAATAATATTGACAATATAGTTTTATAATTAGAATAAAAATAACATTCATTATTAAAAAAACCTATAACTTAATTAATAAAATTCATGTACTTTCCTTATGAATTTATTATGAAATTTTAAAGGATTAAAACATAAAAATTAAAATTGCTTAATTAAAAAAGAAAAAGATCATTTAAAAATATGAATTAAAAATAATCAAAAATTAATGATTTGGTTAGAAAATGGGAAACTCCAAGAAAATCTTATAAACTAAGTGTTATAATTCCTGTTGAAAATGAAGGCAATGAATAATGATTATCAATTATATCTAATTGTTTTATATTTTATATAATAAAGATTAAAAAAAATATAAAACTATTAAATTTTATTACAATATATTTATGCTTAATATTAAAATAATGATATTAAATGCATATTTATATCAGATTAATCCACCTTAGTTTAACTTTTATCTTATAACATTACTGAACTCAGCAGAATTTACAAATTCCTTTGCATTTCTAGTTGTTTGTAATTATATTTAGTATTGGCTCTTTAATTCATTATAAATTTATGTTTCCTAAGCTTAAGCATCTTTATCTTATTCTAAAATATAATTATTTCAATATTATTTACATAAAGAATCTTTATAACTTTAGAGATCATTTTCATTCTCAGCTAATGCTTCTCTTGTTGATTTTAATTTACCTAAAATTTAATAATATATTACTTTAATAAGTAGCTAAAACATAAGTAGCTTCTAATACTGATCTTTTGAATTCTTGATATTCTGTATTTAAAGTTTTTTATCTTTCAACCCAAGTCTATTCAATCTAATTTTCATCTGCTGTTTCTTAGTTTAAGCTAGCTACCAACTAATTTCTTGTATCTGACAATAAATCTCTGATTTTCTTAGCTTAATCTTGATCTGAAAAATTTTAAGTTAATGACATAAGAGCTTCAACTATTGGATGAACTGTATTTGTCTTTTATGTTTTAGTATTGATTCTTTATATTGCTTAATTTATTGTTCCTTTTTCAGCAAATGAAATATTTCCATTAATTAGAGCATTAATCAATTAAATTGCTTCATCTACTGCACTTATTGCACTTTGATGTTCACTTACTTTTAAATTATATATTATATTGTTACCTCTATCTAAAAATTATTGATGTTATTTTTATCTATTTAATGTTTCTTTTGATAAATTATCTCTATTATCATTTATATATCCATTCAATCTATCAATCTTTGAATTTGTTTAATCAATGCTTGGTAAAAGAATAGCATCAATAAAGTCTTTTTAATTAAAGATATTAATTTCTGTTTATCCTATTTGAATATCTAAATTCTCTTGAGTAGCAGCATGTTAATTAGTTGATCTTGTATAATCATCATCTAATTATTGTAATTCTGCAGTTAATTCATTTTCTAAATCACCAATGGCTGCCACTAAATCATCTAAGTTTCTAATACAATTAATAAATATTACCTAATGGTCCTCTCATTTCTGCATGAGTTTATGCCAATTATAAGATCATTTTACCCAAATTGCTTTAATTCAATTCATCTAACTTTGCTGTACCTAATTAAACCATGCTTGGATCAATAGCATTGACATAAATGAGTACCATAATTAAAAGACTAAGCTTTTTCATTATTATATTTTTATTAATCCGTTTTCATAATTGATAACTAAGTATTTTATAAATATTCTTATTTATGAACTATAATTTGAAATCAATAAAATCTAATGTTCTATTTAATAAAAAACTAATATAAAACTATCTTTAGTTTAACTCATATAAAATTCTATAAAATCTAGATATATTTAATATAAATATATGAATCAATAAAAAATAGAATCTTTAATTAAACAATTACTTATTTATATAAATATACATTTCAAAATCACATAATTAATTAAATTTTGTTAGAAATAACATTGATATATAAATCTATACATTTATATATTATAAATTCAATATAAAATTTAACAGAATAGGTTAATTTTTTACAAGACTTTTGAAGCATTTTGTTTAAATTAAATTTATTATAATTTTAATTAATGCAATAACTTCCATCATTAATACGATATGAAGAAATATATGATTTAGATGTCTAGAGATTGGAAGAGATATAAATAAGTATTAAATCCTAAACCACAGATGATGTTTAATGGAATAAAAAAGCTAAAAAAATACTAGATTTAATAGAAGTAGAACTTAAAGAAAGATTAGCAATTCAAAACTTCGCATCAAATATTTAATATCAAGATTTTATATAATAACCAATCTATTAGAACAATGCTCTTTAAACTATTTTAAACGATATTAAATAGAGACCTGCAAATTATTTGGATTAATAGTTTTCTAAACCACCACTTCCCAGATATGAATAACCAAAACAAGAACAGCAAACATAATAATCTAATTAGTTATATTAACAGAGTTATTAGAAAGTTTCACAATAGAAATCTTGCTAATCTGATGCTATGTCTTTAAGTACTGTTACTAGAAGTAGTAATGCCAATACTCGATTATAAGCTAAGAAACCCAATTAAATGTTAGAAATGATGAAGGAAGTATTGAAAAAGACAGAGGTTACAAATCAATAATTTATTATCGGTGCTGCTATCAATCATAGATATGTACCACCACCTCCTAAGCCTTAGTTATCAACTGTTGAAAAAATTAAACAAGAAAAATTATTAAGGAAAAAGAAAAAGAAAAAAACTAAATTTGAAAATAGTAAATATACTTAAGATCATTTACCTGAAATTAATTAGTAAAAGATCATCCCTAAATAATCAACATAATAGAAGATGGAGGCTTCAAATTTATATTCATAAACCCCAAATATATTTAAAAATTAAATAGATAATAAAATTTCAAATTAGAATGACCAAGTAGACAAAGCAAATCAACAAATTAGTGAAAATAATCAAAAATAATAATTAAATAATAATTCTTAAGTGTCCTAAAAATAAATTTCAATTAATAACTAATAAATTGATTAACAAGATAAAAGTAAATTAATTGAAGACCCTAATTAAATGGGGAAATAATCAAATAAATCTGATATTATTATTGAATAACTTTAGGTAAATCAAAATACAAAATTTGATATTGATTTGAAAGAATCTAAAGAATTATATAATGAATCTGATGCTATGCATAAAATCGATAATGTTATCAATGGTTAATCATAAAAAATACTCTAAATTTCTAAGAATTAATCTTAGGAAAGAATAAAAGACTAATAAAACAAATAATCATAATAACCTATTTAGATTTAATTGGCTAATACAACATAGCCTTGTATTTAAACTAATATTCCAGAATCAAGCAAAAATAATTAAGCATAAACTAAAGAAATAACTACATATAAAAGACCCAGTATTTAATTACAATAAACTAAAAAGAGTTAAGAAAACTTAGATGCTGTTATTAATATCCAAAATTAAACACAAAAATAAATTGAATCTTAAAATAAATTAGAATATGAAAAAAATACCTAACAATTAGAAAAGAAACTCGATAAAAATTCAGAGGTTTAAATTAAGAATAATGAAGATTCTTAGGATTATTATAATGAAGATAGTTTTTAATCAGATGATGATATAAAGTAAATAGATGTAGACAAAATAATTAAAAATAAAAATTCAAATAATAATTAATAAGTTATCATTCCTGTACCTTAAGAAAAGATGACTAAGCCTCAATAATAATAAAATTAAAAAAAACCTATAAAACCAGTTGATTCAATTTAATAAAAAGATAAAAAATTAAATCAGAGTGAAAAATTAAATAAAAAAATACAAAATCCTCAAAAATAATAAATTTAAAATATGCCTACAAATCAAATTAATCATTAGGTTGTAGAGTAGATAAAGGAAGATGAAGGTAATAATATTAATGTTATTTAGAAATAATTGAGGACTTTATTGAAGTAGAAAGTGATAATGAGGTTGTTGTGCCAATTAAACATAAACCTCTTAAAGAATTGGTTGGAAAAGTTATTGGGAGAGTTGATTAACCTAAACATAAAGGTGTGATTGAAATTAAGTAAAAGCCAGTATAAACAGATTAAGAAAAATTAGAGGAAATAAATAATATTTGTAAATAGATGGGTTTAGATGATTTCAAAGATAAATAGTAATAATAATAATAATAATAATAATAATAATAATAATAATAATAATAATAATAATAATAATAATAATAATAATAATAATAATAATAGCCTATATAGTAGTAATAATAATAGCCTATTTAGTAATAATAATAGGTTAATTAGTAATAATAATAATAATAACAAAAAACTGTCTTAAAATAACAATAAGATAATAAAACTAAAAATAGTTAATCAAAATAAATTTAAAGAATGCTTAAATTTATTGATGATAAAAAATTAGAAGATTATTCAGATTTAGTTCCTACATTTTAAAATTTATTTAGTGGATTCTTTAATAATTAATCTCATTATAATCATTTAGAGGTTATGAAAGAGATTCACGGTGTATTTAGTCAACATATTGAAAAAGTTGACAATGTTGATTCACTCTTAGGCAAGTACAAGTCTAGTTCCTTAGTAATAAATCCAAATGAATTAGTTTATATTAATGATCCGTAACGATTGATTTAATATTCAACTACAACTGGGGTTGACATATAATAGTATATTTAAAGACAAATGGTTTTTAATAAGCGACTTTAAAATGATGGTACACAATCAGGAAAAGATGAAAGATATTTTAGAGTAGTGAAGACAAAAGAAGAGGTATATGGTATACAAATTTGATAATATAGATATAATTACTAGATCTTTTATGAGAAAACAAGGATGGAGTGAATTACCGCATGGCATAGGTCTCCGAACGTCTTGGAATATATTGTGGACCTGGTCCAAACCATAGATAGATTTGAATAAATTATTCTATTTTTAGAAAGTAAACCATTTTCCATTTAATAAAAATCTTGGAAGGAAAGATTTATTAAAAAAGAATATAGAAAGATGTTAACGATAAGGAGGAAAGGCATATTAAATTTTTGATATTATACCTGCTACTTATCTATTGCCTAAAGAATATGTTTAGTTTATGGAGAAGTTTTATAAAGATTCTGAAATAGAGGGTTAATAAAATATATGGATTATGAAACCAACTGGAAAATCAAGAGGAAGAGGAATAACAGTTCTAAATGATATTTCTGAAGTAATGTATGCTGAACCTGTAGTATTATAAAAATATTTGAAAAATCCTCTTTTGTTAAATGGACGTAAATTTGATATGAGAATTTATGTATTAGTTACTTCATTTAACCCATTAGAAGTATTTTTATATAAGGAAGGGTTTGCACGTTTAACAACTTAATAATATAATTTAGAAATTAATGATCTTAAAAATTAATTAATCCATCTTACTAATTTTGCAGTTTAAAAGACACATGTTTAAATTTAAGATTTAGAATAATAATTGGGAGGTTGTAAAATTTCACTCAAGTAATTAAGAGAGAAATTAGAAACAAAAAATATTAATTGGAATCAAATTTGGGAATAAGTTTAAGATATTATATTAAAATCATTAGTAGCTTGTTAAATAGAAATACCAAATAATCCTAATAGTTTTGAATTATTTGGTTATGATATAATTATAGATACTAATCTAAAATGTTGGCTTTTGGAAGTGAATGCTTCACCATCATTAGAGAGAGATTATTTATTAGATGAATTAATTAAATAATAATTGATTGATGATATTTTTGACTTACTTGATTCTCCAAAATATGATAGATAAAGATTATGTGAAGTCTTAGAAAGACGAATATAAGAAGAACAAAGTAATAAACCACAAAATAATGCTAAATTATAATTGCAAAGAGATCTTAATTATATTTTAAATGGTTAACATATTAGAAGATATGGAGAAATGCCAAATCAAATGGGTGGCTTCATGAGATTGGCTCCATCAGAAAAGTATGAAAAACTTTAATCTGTTGTACAACATCATAAAATGATTAATGGTAGAGGGACTATTGATTGATTACATTTAAGATACCAGAATTTGTAAAAATTACTATTTGATTATATAATTTAAAATCACAATTTTATTATTTATCAACTACTATTTTAAAAAAAGAGATTTTCTTTTTATTTACAATTCTTTTCTTTGGTGAAATCCTAAAATTATAAAAGTATAGAGTACACAAATTTTCAAAAAGCATCAATTACAACTTTAATTGTATAAAATTAATATGAAAATTTATTTAATTATTGGAATTAGTAAAATCATAAGACTAGTATATATATCTATTTACAATTTAATAGAGATTCTAAAGAATGATTCTGAACAGCTTAAGATTATAAATTATTTATTTTTAATTTTATGATTACATCTCCAAATAAACAATTTATCGAAAATAAAAGAAAAAAATCTGATATGGTTTCATTAATTAATGGATTATCAAAAGAGTAACTGATGCCAATCTGTATAGAGATTCTATAGAAAAATCCTGAATAAAGAAAATTAGAAGATATCTAAGTGAATTTTTTTTGATTAATAGATTATTTAAGCTGCTACTAAAGACATCGAATTCTTCTAATAAGTTTATAATGAATAGGGGGAATAGATGCTTAAAGAGTGTTTAAAGAGAATGACTATAGAAATGTTTGAGGAAGTAAGTATGTAACTATTTTTAGGATGACGTTGTTTTCGAGTAAGGTGATAAACCATAATCTTTTTATATAATATTAAGTGGAAGTGTTTCAGTATATATAAATAAGACCCCAATAATAGAGCATAAAGAATTAGAATTAAATAAGGCAGAGAGGATAAAGAAGAGGTAAATTCAGTGTTTTTATAAGAGAGATCATTTTTTACCAAAAAAATTTCCATGGGGTAAAGTTTTGGAGAACTTGCTTTTTTGAATGATAGTGTTAGATCAGCCAGTATTATTTGCGATAGTGAATGCATTCTAGCTGTTTTAAGTAAAAAGGATTATAAAGATGTCCTTTAAAAGGCTTAAGAAAATAAGTTAAGATAATAAATAAAAGACTTTCACTCTTGTTTAAAATAACATTAGATTTCCCCTAAATTATTAGATATCTTATTTTTAGCTTTTTAGAGTTCACATTATTAATTTAGATAAGCAGTCTATTATTAAGGATAATTGAGCAAATAAGAAATATATTTAGTATAGAGTGGAGAATTCGTAATTTGTCAAAGTAATGATGGATTTTACAGTCCTAAAAAATAGACATCTTAAATAGCTTTATTATAAAAAGGTCAAATATTTGGGGATCATGAAAGTTTCAATAATATTGATAAAAGATAATAGAGTGTTTTTTGCAACTCTGAGAATGGAATAGCTCTTAAGATTTAATTAAGTTGTTTGATTTAAAGATTGTAAACAACAAATGAAATGCATTTATATGAATAATTGAAAAATATTTGTTTATAAAGAGAATAAGTTAGATTAGATAGACAATAAAAATAAATATCCTAAGATGAGAACTTATTGATAGATATGAAATATGTAAAAAAGAGAGATCTTACTTATTAAGTAAAAAGAGTCAGATCAGCAAGAAGGAATACCTTTAATATTAGAAGCCCTCTTTAAATTGTGGAAGATGTTATAAGGAATAAAAAACTTGTTTATTAAAAATTATACAAAGAAGATGATTATAGATCTAATCTTTAATCAAGAATGGCAAGCACACCAAGACCAAACATTTCTTAATTGAGAAGATAAACTTGGGAATAATTTTTAACCAATGATTAAAAGTATTTCAATTGATACGTATTCCATTTTTCCATTCACCAAATGAAGTTTTGCCATTTGGTAATTTTAATATGGCTCTACCATGTTGTTTATCTTATTACCATTCTCCTTCGTATACTCTTCCATCTGGAAATCTCAATATTCCTTAACCATGTTTTTAATCAAAAACAAAATCTCCCTCATAAATTTTTCCATCAGGCCATAAATACTTACCTTTACCATTTCTTAATATTTATTATTTAAATTACTTTTTGTTATTTTACCAATAACCTATATATTATTTACCATCTGGCCATGTGTATTTCCCATAACCATCTATATTATTACTTCTAAATTCTCCATCATAGATTGCTCCATCTGCCCATATAAATTTTCCTAATCCTTCTTTTTTGCCTTATTTATAGGTTCCTTCAAAATAACTAAACTTTAAAATGAACCTAACCTTCCATCTGGCCATTTTTCAATTCCCTTTCCTTATTATAAATCATGTTCCCACTATCCTACATAAGTAGCTCCATCTTCATGAATATATGTTCCTTAACCATGTGCTTCATCATTTTCCCATTATCCTTCATAAATTTCTCCATTTGAATGTATTAATCTTCCTCTACCATGAGCATTACCTTAATAAAAATAACCTTCATATTTTGAACCATCCTATTATAATTAAATGGAATTACATCACAAATCAAAATTCCCTTACCATGTCTTAAATCATTAATCCATTCTCCAAAATATGTGGCTCCATTTTCTAATTTCATTGGTGCTTTGAGTACTTTTTAATGAACTAAAGAATCATTAATATCATCAATTCCAAAATCAAATGGAGGTAACTATCTAGATCCAACATTAATCACACTGGCAGAATATCTACTATTAAAAGTGAGACTACGTTCTTAACTATTCATTGACACTGTCATTGTATTTCTGCAATTAAATCTTCCAAACACGCTAACGAGCCTACCATCCACGAATCCAAGACTGCATTTTAACTATTTTATGTTCTTATGATTTCAAGAACTCTAAGCTCTACCATTTTGGTTTAGATTTTCTATCTTGTTCTATTTGATTTTGTAAGTCATATTTCCAACAGGTACAGTTATTGCCCATTAATTTTAATGTTAGAACATTAATCTATAGCCCCTTATTAGTCTAAAATTATTTCATGTCAAAAAGCTAATGTTCTCTATACAAAATTGCATTGTTAACAATATCACATTGCTGTATAGTTTTATTAGCATTATTAGTTCAATTCAATTATAGTATTTTAGTATTTGTTGTCTAATTGAACTAATTATGGTAAATTGTATATTTAAAATTTAGTTAACTTTATTTGTTGTTGATTATTTAGTCTGTAATGAAATAAAAGAAATTATCAAAGTCTTTCATGTCCATCTTTAGAGTAAATAGAAGTTAAAAATTATATCTGCAAAATTATGGTAATAGTTACTAAATTAGTATTTGAAAATGGAGCTGATGATGTTTTAATTACATTATTAGTCTATCATATCCTAGATGTATTGATTATTATATTGGAACAACCTATGAATTAGGAATTGTAAAAAATTAGATTTTCAATTTATTTTTAGTTCTTAGAGTATTGAGATATATTTGATAATGAATACATTCAAATCTCATATTAAAATAGAATCTGAGTATTTAAGAAGAAAAATTAGATTTAAAGAAATCTCTCAGTATTAATATGATTTTTCTAAATTTTTTGTTAAATTTCCTATCAACTCCATTAAAAGTCTTACATTTGATAATGGTATTTTCTATTATTTATTAGGAAAGATATAAATTATAGAAATAGAGAAGAGATATAATACATCAGAGAATGCAGAATGTTCATGTAGCTTAGAAATTTATGATACAATAGAAAAAATAAGGATTTTGTTTTTTATTCTTTATCATATTCATTAACTTTAACATGAAAAGCAGTTAATGTAAAATTGTTTACCCTATTTCATGTATTTCAAATAAATTTAGATTAAAACTACAAAAACAATCTATATCAAATAGATACACCCTTAAGAATTTAAATCTGAACCAAAATTAATTACTAAAACAATTAAAATTTTTAAGATCAACTTTGTAACAAGTGTTGAAAGCTTAAGGATGCTAGCTATATAATTTAGTATTGCTTAATTACCAATAATTAGTATTGGAAAAACCAAAATAACAAAGATTATCAAATATATATATATATTGTTTAGATCTATAAAAGATTTAATTTTATAAAATTTAAGCCATAGGAAACTTAAATTAAATCATCATTTCATTAATATAGGACCTAATTTCTGTTTATTTATTTTAATTTTAAAGTATTTTTTTAATTCTATCCTCCTATTAAGCATTCTTAAAGTTTAAAGTTAAATTATAATTAACCAATATATCATAAAAACTATTTCTAAAATTACTAATTATCTGATTAATTTGTCAACTAGTTAACTATAAATAATACTCTGTTATAAATCCATATTGAATTCTTGTTAGAAGATGTATTAATATATTTCTGTTCCTTTGGGCAATTTATAAGATATTTCTATTAATCTTACATATTTTCTATTGAATTGTTTATAAAGCTATTTATAAAGCTATTTTTTATGAAACATAAGATAAATATTTAGATATTGAATCACCTATAAGTTTCTTTGAAAAGGATTCAGAATTTATTATTAAGATTATATTATAGTCTGAGAAACTCAATGGCTAAAGCTAAAAATATAAAATAAATTATTTATTAATTATTTTAAAATATTTTAATTAATTCTACCTCTTTAATAATTTAAGTAAATAATTAATAATTTAAAGACTCAAAAATAATCATTATTAATAAAACTATTACATCATTTTAGTTACTTGAATCTCATTATCAATTTATGCATGTCTTCTATTAACTTTTCTTGATTATTTAGATGATTAAAGTTACTGGAAATCTATCATTTTTGATGCTCTAAAGATTGATTTGAGTTCTGCACCCAATTTTTCAATTAATTATTTATTAATATCATGCTCTTATCTTGGACTTTCACCTTCATATTATCTCAATATATCATCATATGCATTATAAATACGTTAGTAAATAAGATTCTCATTATCTTAACTGGCTCTCTTTTTATGTTAAAGAACAGCAGTAAGAGAATTTTGAGGTTCACTAAATAGAGTAGTGTGTCTTATTCTGGCTTTTTCTTCTAAAAAATTACGATTGAATTTTAATTCAGTTTTATCAGGAGCAATCATTTATTTAGGTGTAAAATTAAATACTAATAATTATTAAGGACTCAGTAAAATATTTTTAAGTTTATTTAATTCTTCTAATTTTTATAGAATATAATAGACATCTAAATGATTTGAAATTTCTTTCATTGATTTTCTATATAATTTTACATTAATATTTGAATTAAATAATTTAGAACAACATAAATGATTCAAGAAAATTCTTATAGTTAAATTTAAAGGTTGAGATCTATTGATTATTTTATTAATTTATTTTTAGAAATAATCTAAACCACTTTAACAATTAAATTTCTTAGCTAAATGAATATGATGATCAATTAAATTTGATGAAATGATACATTCTTCTTCAGTTATAATTTATTTTTTATTATTAGTTTCATTACTATATACAGGTATATGTTAAGATGAAAAAGGGAGAAGAGAAAATGAATTTTATTTTGATTTAATAGAGTTGCTTTTCTACATAATTCTACTGACTGGTAATTTCTATTAACTACCTTCTTCATTAATATTTTAAATATTAGTCTTTGACATTTTAGATTGAATAGCAGAATTCAATGCTTCAAATTGTTTTTCTTGATATTCTCTCTCTTTAACAGAATCAAATGAAAATTCATAGATCTTATTAGCTAATATGAGATATACTAATTATTGATGATAAAAGTATACACTACAATCGATTATAGATTTAAATTACAAATCCTAAAATAAAGAATGAAATCTTTAAAAATCCACCTAATCGAGCAAGTAGATCAGTAATTTTTTAGTAAGATCTATTAACAGTGTATTTAAGTTTATTCTTTTTGAATATAAATGAAGCATAAATATCATTGTTTATATTAACAATTTATTTAGAATCTCTTGAGTCTACTGCATAAGCCTTACTTTTTTGAACATCCTAATAAATAATACTATCATCATTATTTAAATCATATTATGTAATTAGAAGTTCTTGTTCTTTTGATAATGTATTTGGTACAAAATTAATTGAATAAGTGTCATCTAAATAAGTTTATATGTATTATTCTGATACATCCATAGGATTTACAACCTAAGAATAAATGTATTCTTACTTAATTTTGGAATACTAATTAAACATTAAAAACTTAACCATCTAAATTTTGATCAGGAATGCAAGCTGATTAATCATTTTAACATTTTGATATGATTAAATGAACTTCATATTTTTCTTAAATTAAATAAATAAATTTTACTAGACTGATTTTATCCGAAGTATAATTGTTAATTTTATCTAATTTTATTACTTAAATAAGTACTCCAAACATAAAAAGTCATCTTTCAAGTAATTTTAAAGAGAATTCCCATTAGCTAGTTGAAAATGCTCAGGTAAACATTTTCCAATAGGAATTATAGTTTTATTCGTAACGATTTAATTTTCGATTGTTCTAAAGTATATATTTAAGACTATCATACATTTATTATAAAGTAATATTAAAGTACTTTGCTTGAGTAAGATTACCAAAGCCGACAGCAAATGTTCTTTCACCAGAAAGGGATATAATTTCAGGAGTTTCTTCGAAATTATTCACAACAATAGCTGACAATTCGCCTTTGTTAATAAAGCTGAGTATGTTTGATGAGAAAAAGAGAAATACTACTGTTATAGTAGCAATAGAAGCAATGCCACCTACTTCAGTCTGATGTTTAGAATGTCCATTAAATTTAAGGGAGACTGGTTGGCCAAACATATCTATCTTACGCAAGACTAATATTTAGTTATGAGTATAACATTACATTTCCAAATCATATTGTACAAAAACCTTTTAATTTATTAAAATTAACATGATTATGTTGATGATGATTTATGTGATATTCACTAAAGACATAAGTAATCCTATATTATTATTGTATGAGTAAGGGATATAAACTTAAATGAAATTATTTAAGACAACATACAACAATTTGATTATAGAATATATAGATTGAATATTAAGAATAGTGATGATTTAAAGTATTAATAACTAGTCTTATCATTATTTTCATAACAAAACAATCTAAAAATTTATATTGATTGTGATAAGTAAACACTTATACATCATACTTAGGTAACCAAAATTCTTAGATTCTTATTAATGGTAAACCACATCCTAATATCCATAATAATAGCTAAAAATATCATATCAACAAAGAAATTTAAGAAATTGTTCAGATGTTTTATTTTTTATAGCAGTTCTTTCAGAATAAACTTCTAATTATGAATTATTAACTTATGTTTTAGATGGAATTCATTTTGTAGAATACAATCTTCCTTTGATGTAATTATACTTTTATTATATAAAGTGGAGAATTGCATCCTTAAGAGATATATTAATTCAAAATATAACCAATCTATTTTAATGAATAAATTACTATAGAAATTTACATAGAATAAGCATAAAGTTATTTAAAAAAGTGTTTTAAAGATGATTGCTTAATTACAAAATATGATTATAATAATACCTTTAATGGAGTATTAATTGAAAAGAATACCTATACATTCATTAATTCAGATTGTTAAAATTGTTACTATTTACTTGGTTTATTAAGTGATTATAAATAATTCTTTAGAATACTAGTAATCTACGATCAACTTCAAATCAAATTAAAAGAAGGTCTTTATGATTAATTTCAAGTCGAACAAGGATCATCATTTTATTATATCTATAATACATCTGATCTTACTAATATTAAATAGATCAAATTTCAATTAGATTAAATAACTGGTGATTGTATACTTTATGGAAGTTCACAAAATATAAAACCTAGTTAATCAAATTATGAATCTAAAGATGATTATCAAATAATAATTAATAAGACTAGATAATATTATTTAAGTGTATATGGAAGGTCTTCTTGTAAATATAGAATTTATACTAAAGTGGAAAGAGAATAGACTATTAATTAAACTTAATTCAAGTAATTAGAAAATGGAATTTCTGTATTAAACAAACAACGCCAACTATATAGTTTCTTTATAATTTAATTAGAAATTTTACTTGACTTTTCTATTAAATTATAGAGTGATCCAGGTAATTTTATGATGTATGTTAAATCAAATAAATCTGATAATAATGAGATACCTGATAGTAATTCATATTAATGGAAAAATTCTAAAGGTATTAACATTAACATTGATAAGGATAATTAAGCAACTATTTATTATATAAGTGTTTAACGTTTGAATACTGAAGATGAATTCATAATTGAATATAAATTACATGATAACATTAAGGTTTATGAAATAGGTGATAAGATAATAGATTCTGTAGGTGAAAATTAATTTAAATATTACAAATTTCCTATGTTGGAGAGAGACTTACTGTTTATAAAAGAAATATTTACAGAAAATTAAATTACTAATTTGATTATCTATATATCTTTAAATCAAACAAATATATTTCCAAAAGAATAATCAAACAATTATATCTTTTTAAATTAAAACTTAACTATACCATAATAAGAATTAATATGTCATCATCAATGTTAAAATTTGAAAAAAACTTAATGTTTTATATATTTATCTGTAACTTCATTAAGTGGAATCATATTTTACACTATTACTACTCAACAATTAAATAATAAGATCTTATTACATGAAGGATGTCCTTTGACTCTCAGCTTTCAATAAGAAATTTTGTTTTATTACTTCTTAAACGAAAAAGAAGTGACAATCTAATGGTATTCCTAAGGTGGCAGTTAAGCTAAATTACTAGCCTATTTAGGTTACTTAAATGACTCCAAATTTTCTTATGAATAATTTTAACCTTAAAATTCAAATCCTAGTTATCCTATTTAAACAATCATTATTCCTTAAAATAATTAAGAATATATATTGTATATATAAGTTCAACCATTCCTTTAACATTTTGAAAATGATATGTATTCAATTGGAGTATATGAAACAGTTAAGATTTTAAATTAATCAGAGAAAATACAAGATCATGTAGAGAAGGGATAAATAAAATATTATATGTTAACAATAAATGAAAATATAAAATCAATAATTTTTAATATTCAAATTTTAGGTGATTAAGAATAAATATCGATATTTCTATAATAAGGTGTGAATAGTAGACCAAATAATTTAATTTAATCTATCTAATTATCATTAAAAATTGATAAATTCTATATATTTAGATAAACTTAAAAGAGATTCTTTCCATAAGATTAATATATATTCGGAATACAAGGGGAATTTGATTGTGAATTTCAATTGAGTTATTAATTACAAAATCTATTTTATTTATTCTATCCTAATGGATATTTACCTCAAGAAATAATGGAAGAAAGGATACCTACTGTATATCTATATCAACAAAAATCACCATTTAAAATTATTTTAGCCGTATTTACTGGCACAATATAAATCAGAGCTAAATGTTTTCATAATCAAGTAACTTCACTTGATTTTACAGATTCATTTATTTTAGATGATATAGCTTAAGAATTTAAATTATATTAATTTGATGCTTGTTAATATGAATAATGTTAGTATCTAATTCAAATTATTAAAATTGATTATTAAATTTAAGCGGTTATTTCAATTTAAACATATTAAAAAACAATAGAATTATTTGAGAATACTCCTTAATATGAAGTATTAAAATAATATGAATAAATAGAATACATATTTAAAACTTAATATCATTTTTTAATTAAATTTAATAATGTCTTTGGGTAAATTTAAGTTTGTGTGAAAGAATAACATAATAATAATACATAATATTACTAAGTTTTTAATAATAAGACAATTATTGAATATATTATGACAAAATTGACACATGTATCATTTATAATATCAATTGAATGTCTAACACCATAAGCAAATTTTTAGATTTTAATTAACAGAAAGAATTAAAAAATATCTAATCTTTATTTAGGTTAGATATTAAATAAATAATTAGTTAATTAAGAATAAAATCTATTTTGTTATTAATCTTTCACATCTTTATTTAATTATAATAATACATCCAAATTACTAACCTTATAAATTTAGACTATCTATACATCTATTGAATTCTTTGACATTTAACTTAATCATTCAAATGCAAATCCAATTATTCTAATTAAAAAATAATATAAGAAAGGTATCTTTTATAAGTTATATGATGTATATGGTTAATATAATCTAATAATTACTCCAAAAATTACATAATCATATATCAGTATTCTTTTATCAGATGAGAATATTCATACATTAATGGATAGTATTCCATAATATTAATTAACTAAAGTAGGATAGCCTAATTTTTATTAAATCTTACTTCCTTAAAAATCTGCTTTATTTATTGAAGTATTAACCTGCAGAGGTACTGTATTAATTCAAGGAACATCAAATCCCTCTAATTTGAACAAATAAATTTTTGAAATTCAAATAATGAATAAACCAGAATAATATTTTAATGCAATTCTCTAATTAGAAGAAGGACTCTATTATTTCTTAATTAAATTAATTTCAAGTTAAGTCAAAGATGAAAATCAAAATCGAATTTCCAATTATTATATTAGACAATAGACATTTCATAACATTGAACCTATACCTTATTCAGCATTTAAATTTAGTAATGTTACTTTAAATTGGAATATTATATTAAATTAAGTAATTGTAGAAATTCCAAACTTAATTTAAGATTATCAATTTTCAGTATAACCATAAATTACAATCTATTATATTATTTAAACATTTTAATAAGATGAGTTTGTTTGTATTTATGAATCCTATTCTAATGATACAAACAATAATACATCATTGCTTAAAATTGAATAATCATCATCTTAAGAAAATACAACTAAAATTTAACTTAATATTACAGATTCATCTAAAATTAATCTAAATATAATTGGTAAAGTAGAAATAATTTCAGGTGTTGAATTATATGAATTAACCTATCCATTTCCTATTACAGAACTAAATTTAGAAGGTAAACAAACTTAAGAAGAGGATAATTAGATATTATATTATCTAATTCTATTGTTAATCATACTTATAGTCTTATTTATTAGTAGATTGCTATGTAAATAAAGGAATATTTAAGTTTAAAGTTAAGATTCAAAGAATTTATAAATAGAAATGAATTATTAAACATTGTATCTAAAATGAAAATCAATATATAATAGAATAGTTCTTGATTTATATCAACTTAACGAAAGTGATTTAAATTATTATAATTATGATAATATATTGAATAAATATATTAGAATTCATATTATACAATTATAATACCTATATTAGAATTGAAGTAATAGTTGAATTCATAATACAAATTGATTGGAATATATTTAGTTATTTTTGAATTTAAAAATCTATTTATTAAAATATTAATTATGAATAAAGTGGCCTTTGTTACAGTAGCTTCATTTTTAACTTAAAGAAAAATATAATTGTAAAGTGCAGGAGATTCTTAACATATCTATTATAAATTGAAGAGTAGAGAGGAACATTTAGCTGACGCACTATAGAATGAATACGACGTCATTATAGTAGGAGGGGGAGCTACTGGGGCAGGTGTATCTCTTGCTTGTGCTAATAGAGGATTGAAATCAATTGTTTTAGAGTCAAAAGATTATGCCAGTGGTGCATCAAGTAAATCGACAAAATTAGTACATGGAGGTGTAAGGTATATGCAACAAGTATTTCAATTATCAGAAAAAAACAGAATGGAAAAATGGGAATTGGTGGCAGAATCATTAAGAGAGAGATCTAATTTTTTATCAATGTGTTCTTATTTAACATAGGATTTCCCAACTTTAATACCATGTACTAATTTATTTGATTTGGGATATTATTATTTTGGATCCTTGATATATCATTGTGTTTACTTATATTATTAAACAGGTGGACACACTTTTAAACCTCCAAGAATAGTTGGCAAAGAAGAAATTTAATAACATTTTAAATATGCTAAATGTAATTATGGTGTAATATATTATGATGGATAATTCAATGATGCCAGAATGGTTTAAGAATTACTTGTTACATCTAGTCTAAAAGGTATATTTATAAGTTATTTGATAAGGATAAAATATGGCTAATTATGTTGAAGTTAAAGGATTATTAAAAAACGAATAAAATAAGATTGTAGGAGTTTAAGCATTCGATAAGATTGGATAAAAACAATTTCAAATTAAAGGTAAATGTGTTGTAAATGCAACTGGTGGTTGGGCAGACAATTTACGTTTGATGGATGATCCAACTGTTTCTAAAAGAATAGTCTCTGTAGCAGGTAGTCATTTAACTATGCCTTAAAAATATGGATCTCGTCATTGGGGATATTTGATACCAAAAACTAATGATGGTAGAGTTCTATATATGGTACCTTGGTAAGGAAATATGATAATGGGTACCACTGAAAGAAAATTAGAGAATCCCACTCATGATCCTACTGTAAGTCATGAAGAATATATGTGGCTATTGAAATCATTTTGTGATGAATTTACTGTTGATGCAAGTGAAGCTGCTAGAGATGTAAAATCTAAATGGTGTGGAGTGAGACCTTTAGTATATTCAAGTAATGCTCTAAGTACAAAAGAGGTCTCAAGAACTCATGAAATAGAAGTATCAAAGAGTGGTTTAATATCAGTCATGGGTGGTAAATGGACTATCTTTAGATTGATGGGTGAATAAACAGTTGATAAGGTTTAGGAATTAATTGGAAATAAGTAAAAAAGGATAGAGAATCTACCTAAATTGGTTGGGGATTGGACATAATTTGATCATAGAAAGGAAATTTAAATTATGATGAAAATGTTTGACTTACCTTAATCTTATGCAGCATATTTCTTAACTACTTATGGAGATAGAGCATATGATGTATTAAAACTAATTTATGAAAACCCAGAAAATAAGGAAAGTTTACATCCATAATTCCCACATACTGTTGGAGAAGTTTTATATCAGATTAGATATGAATAAGCTAGAAAACCAGAAGATATTTTGTTTAGGAGAACAAGATTAGGCTTTTTAGATTAGAATGCCATATTTACAGTTTATGAAAAGGTGTTTTAAATTATGGCTAAAGAATTAAAATGGTCTGATAAATTTTAATAGTAATTTTTAAAAGAGAATTTTGAGTATATCAGAAAATTAGAGTTTTGATTGGTTATGTTTGTTATCTTTTTAATCATAAAAATAATTTAACTACATCTGATACTATTTATGGATATTTTTCTAATAATTTTATCTTTTGCTTTATAAATTTCTTATAACTGAATTTTTATTTATATGCATTTTCATTAGATTAGTAGTTCATAATGAAATAGAGAATCTACTACTTTTTTTAAGATCTCCTTTGGGTATTTGATTTAATAATTCATTAATTATATAAGCAAAAAAGAACAATCATTCATTAATTATACAATTACTCTAATTACTCAACCTATATGGCATCACTTGTTTATTTAGGTAATTCAAATTTGAACAAAGTAATTGTCTTCTCTGTAGGGAAACCCTTATTATTAATTAAAAGATTTCTTATTTCTTCTGTATATGGCTTTGATTTCATCAATGTTACAGTTGTCAATTATTATAAAATTGAAATATTAAAAGGTGATCCTCCAGGTTTATGCACATGACATATATCATTATAAATGTTTACACTATAAGTTATTCTTCCATTCTATATAGCTTCTTCTTCTAACTAAAAAATCTATAAAACATAATACACATGGGTCTTATAAGAGAATTGTTTATTCATTCAATTCTAAGATTGCATATGTGAGACTCAAAGGAATATGATGTATACTTAATGGTACCAATCTCTTTTCAATTTCTACTTTTACTCCCTAAAGAGAAACACTTACTTATGGTCTTCGAAAATGCTGTAATGAGAAAATACAACATAGATACATAGCATCTAATAGATTACCATCATTATTAATTAAGGCTACATTTACATCTATAGACCAAACATTTTTGCCAGATAAAATACATAAAGACTCAGTATCAAGAGCTCTTTATTTAATAAATTTTATACTTAGATCCTTTAATTACTTTTTCAATATATTTTTCAATTTCCATGCCCAATTTAATTGGATTATGCATATATCCTGTATCTCTCAATACTTATAAATCCAAATGAAATTTAAGGAAACCTTCTGATGGTCTTATTGGATTGGGTGTTGTAATTGAGGCACTAGTTGTTGCAAATACCTTAATTAAATTTAATTATTATTTGATACTCTTGTTTCACCTAGACTTAATTCAACTGCCCCAGTACTCTAAGGTCCGAAATGACATTAAATCATTCTTTATTATAAGGGATCTCGACCATCTATTCGTTTACCAAGAGCTAATTATTCTAAAACAAATTCAGAATTCATTTTAATAATAAATTTGATGAATGATATATACTTTGTAATTATCTTTTTTATGTTTTATTATATTTTACTCATCTCTTTTTATTTTGAGCTTTCTTTTTTCTTGAATTGCTTCTTGATCTAGATCTTCTCTTATAATGTTTTTAATCATATTTTTGATCATATTTTCCTTCAAATCTTTTTTTCTAATTCCTTTTATCTGATTCAGAACTAGAACTACTTCTTTTGTTAATACGATCTATAATATATGCATTCAAATTACTATGATGTCGTTATCTTTCTCTTTCACGTTCTTTTTCTCTCTCCCGTTCTTTTTCTTTCTCTCTTTCTTTTTCTCTCTCTTTTTCCCTTTCCCTTTCCCTTTCTTTTTCTCTCTCTCTCAATTCTTATTGTTATTTCAATAGTAATTGTTTCTCTCTCTCTTTTTTCAATTAATCAGCCTTAATTAATTGAGCTCTTTTTGATTTAGAGAATTCTTCGATCTTAAAAGGATCATATAAACCACTTTAAAAGAGAATATCTCTATATTATTAGACTTCAATCTAAAAGATAAGAATTAATAATACTTCAATAGGATCGGTTGGAACTGGAGGCAAAGGTGGTTTAGGTTGTAGATAAGTCAATTCATAATTGGTAACAACTTGAACTTTCTTATCTTCAATTGTTCTGATGTCTTCTTCAGTAAGATCTTTGCCATCTATGTTTAAATATAGATTTCTTTCAGCTCTTTAGATTTCTATATGTTTATTGAATTCATATATTCTTTCATCAATTGCATCTATTTCTTCTCCTTCTTTACTTATGATATTTTTATATCTAAAGGTAATATAATATAAACCTTTTCTATAATAGTTTAAGAAATTCTTGCATCATTTGTATCTATGTAGTAAATGATTATTTCTAAGATGAAATAATAGTTTATTGATCCTTTGATTAGATGATAATATAGATCATAAATACCTTATCAACAATGTAACGATAAACTTGAACAAATTTGGACACTTGTTCAAGAGAAACGTCTGGATTGGCTCTGTTGTAGAACTTATGCTAAACTAAACGTTGGATTAATGTATCACGAGAACCCTAAGAGCATAGTCCCTTAATTCGGCAGATACGATCAAGTGTCTCATCATCAACATGAGCGAGTTTTTCCTTCAATAAAATAACCATCGACTTTATAAAGCTATGAGGAGATGCTCTCAATTTGGATTGACTGTTCTTTCAACAAAAAGGATAGCTCTAATCCCTTCAAGTACTTTTGGTCAAACAAATTCTACTCTCTCCAACATTACAACAATTTCAAAATCTTTTAATATATTATAAATATAATTACTTTTTCTTTATAAGGTAGTAATTGATCTAAATTACTAAAAATCTTAGGCAAACACCACTAGATGTAGCTCTTAAAATTCTGATTGCAGTTATTCAAAATATCTGAAATCAAATACAAACGAGCAAGCTTTTATATTATTATTAACTATTACTTTAATAGACCATATAGAATCATTTAAGAGTGAATCCTCTAAAATTAACATTAGATCTGCTGGACAATTCTGATGATCAATACAGAATACCATTGCCTTTCCTATTGTATGTCTAATTTTATATATATATATATATATCATTACTTCTAAGTATTTATTTCCCTTAACATCTAACTAAATGTTAATCTATCTTAATCCTCTAATATTTAATATTGAGTTTTCTTATTTTTGGTTGTAACTATAATATATAATACTGCTATATTTACTTTAAGCTTTTTCCAATTCTTTTTTGGCAAATGAAGGAGCCTCTTCCAATTCAATTGAAGGTGGAATATAAATATGTTCATTTAGATTGAAATAATATGGTTCCTACTTCCATTATTTTTCATCATCACCATTTTGAAATGAATATACTCTCCATTTATAATACTCATTCTCTTCTGACTACTAATATATTTTTTATCTCTAATCATTTACCATATATAAAAATGCATATTTATTATTGTTTATTTCTCTTTATTTAATCATCTATTCAAATTATACACCTTCTTTAACTACTTGTCTAGCCAATTTATCAATTATTCCTCTAATCTATGGATTTGGTAACTTTATTTTCACTATTTTAGATGTGCTTTGATAACATGGACCTCCATAACTACAATAAATAAAAATATTACTAAAGTTGAAAATGAAATCCATTTTCTACTTTCTTTTGTAATTCCATATAAGCAAATTATGCTTATGATGCATTTTCATATGTAACATTAGCTACTATCTATGCTTGAACATCCCTATAGTATGCCCGTAAAGAAATATTCACTACATTTCCATATTCTGAACATACTAGTCTTAAAGATTGTTCTGTTATTTTAGGAGTCAATCCACCTCAAATTAATTCATTTATCTTACAAATTGTAATATGAGGACTGATTTTATCAACAAATTGATAAGGAATTATGTTCTTGATGTTATTAAAATGTTCATTTAGATTTTGCTGCATTCCAGCCAATGGTTTCATAGGTTTCTATATTATAATAATTGGTCTTACCTAAGGTTGCAATTAGAGTGGCTTCAAAATACAATTTGTTTGCATTTAATAATAATATAAATTTCTTATTAATTACCATATGATAATAAATCCTTATTTGATGATTAATTAATCCTTGTTTCAACTTTATATATTCATAAAATCATAATAACATTAATTCTATTTGATAAAACTATAGATTATTGGTAATCAATTAATATTTTTAATAATTCAAAGAATAAAAAGTAATCTAATATATGTTAATAAAAATATTGATTAATAGTATTCATCAACATAAAATAATAAAACATATTAAAAAAATAATAATTTATTAAGAGTAATTATAATAATACTACTTTGTTTATGAAAATGAAATTCAAACAAAAAATAAATAACATAATTATAATATATATAATATTAATAATGAACCTTGGTAGCTTAAATTAATTTCTAGACTTTGATTGCAAGACTTATGAAAAACACATTCAATAAGTTAGAAACAAGTCTGTGCCTAATCCAATTGAGATAGTCAAAACAAAGTAAATTAAGTCAAATCGAGCAATAGAATTATTAACTTTAAGAACTAATATTCAAAGATATAATCAATAATTATAGGCTGTATTTCAATCAAGAAAGAAAAAACCTATTTAAAAATCAATGATTGTTGAAAAACCTTAAACAGTTAAAAGACATTAATTAGCATAAATTTAAATAAAATCTCCTAATTATTTAGGTTTGTTTGATAGAGGAAAAGTGTTTGATGATTCAATTCCAGTTTCAAGGTAATTTATTAAAATATATTGTAATTAGTTTAAAGTAGAAACATCATTTACTAAAAACTGTTAATGATGTGAAATAAGAACAAAATAAGGATAAAATGAATTCTCTAATTGATTAAGCTTATATTAGAATGTAGGATGAATTCAATAATCATAGTCAAAGTATATAATAATTACAATTAGCAAGATCATAGGAAAGATAGCAATATATAACAAAATATGAAACTTATAATAGAGTACAATATAATAATGAAGAAAGCAGAGTTGAAATTGAGAATTAAGAAAATAGTGAAGATTCTTCTGTAGAAATTGAAGGTAATTTGTTAAATTAAGAATTAGTATAAACGACTAGAAAATAAAAAAAAACTTAATTGAATGAAGCAAGAAAAAAATGTGATGCAAAAAAACTAATTTAATAATTTCCATAAAAGAGATGGAGTAAAATTAGAAATCTTAGTTATTCTTCACCTAATGAATGCAAAACTTAAAATTAATAGTTAGAACTTAACAGTATTAAATTTATCGAATAGATAATTGAAACTGGTAAAAATAAAAAGAAATATACGGGTGACGCCATTGATAAATTAGAAAGGATTGCCAATTAGTTATTAGATTGAGATATATTTTATTATATTAATAAATTAATTCATGGATTCAAATTATAATTACGATCAATATGCATAAAAAGCATATTCAGCTAATGTTTTCAAAGTTGATGAATCAGAATTTATTATTGAGAAGAGATATAAGCCTACATAATAATGTAAATTAATTATTATTATTTCAGTGGGAAGTGGAGCATATGGTATTGTTATTGGTTGTGAAGATACAAAAGCAACAATACCAGAATAAAAAATGGTAGCAATCAAAAAAATAGAGAGAACTTTTGAACATAGATTTTATGCTAAACGAACACTAAGAGAATTGAAAATCTTAAGAAATTTAAAACATGAAAATGTAAGTATCAAAACTAACAATTTAGATAGTTAATCTAATTACAATATAGCTTCCAAAATCCAGAAAGAATTTTTATGATATGTAAAAATGTAGATCTTAAATTAAATAGATATTGTGTTACTGAATTATTAGATACAGATTTAAAACGTGTCATTGATAAAGAACATGCTAAATTGAATTAAGATCATTTTAAACTCTTTTTATATCAAATTCTTAGAGCACTTAAATACATGCATTCTGCAAATATTTTACATAGAGATTTGGTATAATTTATTAGACTATAAATAATAGAAACCAACTAATTTATTACTAAATAAATAAGATTGTATGTTGAAGGTTTGTGATTTTGGATTGTCTAGAGCATTATTATAGACAACTAAAACATAATAATAAAATCCTAATATTATGACTGATTATGTTGAAACTAGATACTATAGAGCACCAGAATTATTATTGGGTCTTAAAACATATACATAAGCAGTTGATATTTGGAGTGTTGGATGCATTTTTGCTGAAATTGTTAGAGGAAAAACTTTGTGGAGAGGTCAAAATTGTAAATTATATTTAATTCATATCACTAGCCAAATAATAAATTAAAATGATATTTGAAACTATTGGAACACCTTCTAAGACTAAAATAATGTAAGTTTAAGATACATTTGTATCACAAAAATTAGTTGAACTTGTTCAAGAATTAGGAACTTTAGAAAAAGTTCCATGGGATAGAGTAGTAAAAGGATTACCACCTGAAGGATATGATTTATTAGAAAAACTATTAGAAATTGATTATAAGAAGAGAATCACAGCAGCTGAAGCTCTAAAACATCCTTATTTAAAAGAGCTACATAATCCAAGTGATGAGGTATATTATTTAACATATATTATTATATAGCCCACTAGAGTTCCTGTTTCTAATATGGAATTTGAATTTGAAATGTATGAATTTACAAATGAGTAACTTAAAGGTATATTTAAATAATATTTTAATAGATATGATTTATGAAGAGATACTATTATATCATTATCCAGATTTTAAGAAATCTTATGAAGACAAGATTGCCAATAATTAGAGTGTCATCAGTCACATTATGAAAGGAGAAAGTGCTAAAATTATTGATCCAGAAGCTGATGATGATTATCCAATATGATGTTAAATAAAGATATATATATAATATACAAAAATTTTAAGGTTTTCAAATCATTTTCAATCATTTACTAATGGCTTAATTATATTTATACTATCAGCTAGGATGAAATCTATAAGAAGTTCTAGTAATACACTAAATTGATCATCTTTTTATGACTGACTTTTATCTTTAACATAAATCCTACAATATTATAGCAGATACTTGTTTTGTTTACATTTTGGCTTTGATATCTTATGACTTTTGTAATGAACCTGAATAAATAAAAATAATATACTCTCTTCCACTTGAATTCAATTTAAGTGAATTTCTATTTACATAGTGGACATGTATTTTCGATCTAAAATAATAAAGGTTATATACATTTGACCATTTTTTAATGCATTCTGAACAAAATGAGTGATTACAGCTATCTAGAACTCCCTAAACCTTCAAACATCTCTTACTTAATTCTCAATTGCACTATAACATATTCCACATTATTCAGCCTTGGATTAAAATCTAGTTTGTCTTTAAACTTGTTCCTTCATGTTTATTTTATATTTGTAAAAAATAATAATTAGAATTATTGAAATTAAATCACCTTTCATCATTCTTATATTGGTTTTTCTTTTAATTTTTACAATATCTCTATTAATGTTATTAAAAAATAAATAATAAGATTTATCTAACTACTATTTATAATTAACTAAAACTTGATCATAAAATATTAGTTTAAACAATTATTTTAAGTCTAAAAAAGTAAGTTATTAAATTTAATTAAGTAAATATCTTAATTAAGAATATTATAACTTATGTAATATTTATTCTCATTTTTATAGAATTGAAATTGTATATAATAAAATGATTATCAAATTACTTTATTTTATACTTTATATTATTAATAATGAACAAATAATTTACACTTAAAAAAGCATTCTTCTAAATTAATATTTAAGATATTAGAGGTAAAAAGAAGGCTTGTGAAATATGTTAAAAGGATTTTAGTGTATTATAGAAGGAGCATTAATGTAAGAGATGTAAAAGAGCTGTTTGTTATTCATGTTCATAAAATAAAGAAATAATCTATAAAATTGGATTATATAAATCTGCTTCAAGTGTTGATTAAAAGCCTCATAGATAATGTGATTTATGTCATGAAGAATCTAAAAGAATGAGATAATTTATTCAATCTAATAGTCTTGCCTTTGGAAAAGACACATTATGTGAGAGATGGCTTAAATAAATGAATAATAAAAAGAATTACGAAGAAATTGTAAAGGATTATTATGATAATCTAAATGATCCTCAATTTGAATATAAATTCATGAACTAAGATGCATCTGAAAGCATGGCATTTACAAAATATAAAAATGCTATAAATAATATGTATAGTAAACTAGTTGATTACTGTGAAGCATACAATTATTCATTCTAAGAATTTTATCATCATATTACTTAAAAGAAAGATGCTACATCAATTTAAAATGCCATATGCAATATCATTAAAGCATTTCTTAACAAACATGTAAGTGTATATATATAGGATTTAGCCAAAATTTGGATTTGATGATGAATTTATACTTGTAGTACAATTCTTTTTAAGTTTTGCTTCAGAACCATTAGCATTTATGTGTCTCTCATATTTTTATGAATTAGTATATCCTAGAGAACTATATTATACTTTTCTTAAATCAAACGATTATGATATAAAGAAATACTCAAAACTTATATTATCATTATTAGATTCAGTATTCCATCTTCAATCATCAGATGTTTAAAAAATATAATCTTATTTAAAACATGATTTTTAGAAATTAGCTTTGACTTTATCAATTAATTCTCTAACTTTTGAAAACACTTTTCTAATAATAGATAATTGTATTAAAGTTGGTAATTTTTTGGAATTCTCAAAAGGATTGACAGCTATATGTTCATTGAGAATTGAAGAAATAAAGAAATATGCTGATGTTTCATATGAGAAATTGGCTGTAAAGATTTTAAGAAATGTTGAATTTAGAGAATTATAAGAATAATTAAAAATGTTTGAAGTTGTAGATTAAAAGATATAAGATAAAATAATTAAATAGTTCATTTAAGAAGAATAGAAAGCAAATTTTATATTAGATGATAAATATCTATAAAATAAAATATTATCAAGTGATTAATACAAAGAATTATAATATAAATATGAACTTTTGGATAATGAGAAAAATAATTTGAAGAAATAAATTGAAGAACAAAATAAAATTTATTAAATAACATTAGCAGAAAATTAATAATAAAATTAATAAATTTAATAATTAAAAAATGAAATGTCTAAAATAAAATCTGAATTATTTGATCTTTAAAATTTACCATAAAATATATAAACAAATTAATTATATACAGGTGGAAGTGATTAATCTAAATTTGTTGCACTTTTATAAGCTTAAATTTAGGAGTTAAGAGCTTAGTATTAAGGTTTAGAAGAAGAATTATAGACAGCACATAATTAAATTAATAATAAGAATGTAGAAATTAGAAAATTGTAAAGTAATGTTAGAGAAAATAGTAAAACTTTAACTGATTTGGCTTTTGAAAATCATAATTTATAATATGAATTAGATTCTAATCTAGGAAGATCAAGAACAAGTACAAGATCAAGAACTTAAATTGAAGATAAATTATCATATGAAATGTTAGAAGAAAAATAAAAGAGAACAGAAAAGGCTTTAGAATAATTAAAAGAATAATATGATGAATTAAAATTAAATCTTGGAGAATAAGAATTAGAATTAGTACGTTCTAAAAGATTCCAATAGGAAGCATAATTTACAATAAGCACACTTTAATTATCAATTACATCATTAGAATAATAATTATTAGATGAAAGATAAATCAATTAGAAAAATGTTGAAATTAATAAAGAAAGACTGGAAATGTAATATTAGAAAATGAATGAAAGTTTAGAAATAGTATATAGTAGAAATGATAAATTGATGACTGAAAATGAATAATTGAAAAAGGATTTAAAAGATTCTTAAGATTTGTGTTAAGAATAAAAATAAATAATCAAATTATTATAAGAAGAATATGAAAAATAAAAGTATTTGAATGAAGAATAAGAGAAGATATCATAAGAATTTAAAAGCAGAGATTTAGAGAGATAATTTGATGTATTTGAGACACTAAAAGAAAATGAGGATAAAGAAAAAGAGTAATTGGCTATCTAATTATTTAAAAAGATAGATGATTTAATTAAGGAAATTTAATTTAGAAGTATAGATTAATTATTAAAAAGAGAATAATTAAATAAACTATTTAGAGAAGTAATATAATCATATTATTATTATTAGAGTGCATAACATGAAAAAGCTATGAGAATACTTTTAGATAAAGTAGAAAATTATACTGATAAAAAGTTAATGCATAATCATTCAATTTCATCATAATAATAATCTTTAAGATTAGAAGCCTCAATTAAAGCATAGGATGGATTAAATGATAAAGAAAGAACAATAAACACTTCAGATAATAAAAAATAAGAAGATTGCAAAATAATGTGATATTTTATTAATTAATTATATAATATAATTATTCTGATAGAAAATTAAAAATTTAATATATAAACAAGTTGATAAATCAATTGTAATATGAGACTTTTTGATGAATAAACTATATGAAATAATATAGATGATTATTAACAATTGAATTTTGATCAAAGCAATAGGTTGTAATAATTATATTTTAATAAAAAGTAATACCGAAATTTGTTAGTTAACTATATATGAAAAACTTAATCAATTATTATGAATATAATAATCATACTGTTACATTCATGTTGGAAGAATGACAAATAATAATTAGAATAAATAAAAAGAATATAATATTTTAAATCTTAAAATAATTTGATCAATTTCATTCATTATTTTCTTTATTAGTAATGAAAGTGAGATATAATCTGTATTATTAATATTATGATTTATATGCTAATGTATAGATGACAGAAGAATGAGTAGATTTTTTAAATGATATTATTTGAATTTTAATAATTCTATCATGATGAAATCATTATGTATATCAATTTTTAACAGTTAACATTTAATATTTAACAGCAATAAATTATTTACAAATGAAAGATGTTTTTGGCTGTTATAAAATTCACTTAGATAAGAAGATTAATTAAGGGAGTTAAGCAAATATTTATGAATGCACCAATACTGACTCGAATAGTCTTTGTTGTGCAAGAGTGATATAAAAAATAAATTACAATTATTAAACAGATTAATAGTCATATAATAGAGAGCTTTAAGTCTTAGAATAATTAAAATGGATAAGACATGATAATATCTTAGCTATATATGATTACAAAGAAGAGGAAAACTATATTTATTAGTTTTGTGATTTTTGTAATGGCACATTACTTGATTTTAAGAAAGGATAAAACATAACAAGAATAGATTTTTTAGATTTAATATAATAAATAAGTTCTGGATATCTTGAATTGAAAAAAAATAAAATAATTCATAGAGATTTTAAACCAGAAAATATTCTGATAAAGAAAAAAGACAATCTAATTTAATATAAGGTATTAATATTAAATTATTAAGATTGCTGATTTTGGTATGAGTAAATTATTTGATGATTAAAAAAGGATTAATACAAATATGGTAGGCACCTAATAATATTTTTCTCCAGAAATGCTCTATTCAACAAACTATAGTTATGAATCTGATATATTTTCAGTAACAATATTATTAAAGTTAGTTTGGTATTATACTGTTTGAAAAAGCAGCAGGCAATCTCGATTTATATAATGATAAAAAAAAATAAAAAATATTGTTAGAAGCACTTAAAACACAAAGTTTCAAACAATACATATAAAATAAATTGATTGAGAATTAAATATAAGAATAAATTTTAGATATTTTAGATAAACTGATAGTTTATGATTCATAAAAAAGAATGACTTGGGAATAGTTGAATAGCTTGGCCACTAATTAATTGAATGAATTTCATTCATTCCTCGAACCAATATCAAATTTTAGATAAAGAGGAGCAGCTAGTTTATATCAATTTAGTAGTAAAACAGAACCTTCATCTAATGAAAATTTGACTTTAAATAAAAATCTTAAAGATTCAAAACTTAAAATTCTGAATATTTAAAATAATATGGATTAATTAAAGTTTTAACCCTAATAAAGTATATATATTAATAATCATATAGAATTTAATTAGTTTTTCTATTAAACTAGTCTCAATAAAGAAGCATAAAAATTTGATTTTAATAATTAAAATCAACAATACAGTAATTAAAACTAAAAAGAAAAATAAATTATTTAATAAAGCATTGATTTTACAAATATTTAAAATGCTAATCCAAATTTATTCAATAAAAAACAATAGACATTTTAGAATGGAAAGTGATTTATATTTCATTATTATATATTTACTAAAAATAATAGTTTATATCATTTAAGATATTATTTTAATCATTTCTTTCATATATTATCATTCCCATAAAACAGAAGGAATTTTTAATCTTAATTATTAAATTAATTAATTGTTAAATTATTATTAATTTCCAGTCTCAAGTATGAAATCCAATGACTAAATAAACTCTTCCCCACTTCTATAAATATTAAATGTTTTCGTGTCTGGACAGTAATAAAAATATTACTTTGTATCACCTTAAAAATTACATTTTTTACAATGAATGAGTCCATCTGATGTAATATACAGTTAATTTTGACATTAATGATATTGTTATCTACTTTATTTATGGATACATTTGCATTAAGCAGGGCAGAATCCAATAAAATTAATAATATTTTAGATTTCTAGAGTGGGAAATGAATTTATCTAAAACATTTATTGACAGCTTAATTACAAATGATTCCAAAAATCAACAATTTATTAATTTATTGTTAAGGTCTTAATATGTTACCAAAAAGCTTCTAAAAAATCTTTACTAGTTTTAAATTTATTTTTTGTTCTTGTATGAGGACAATAGAAACTATAATCTTATATGTTTTAAGTAAAAATACATTATTAACATATAAGCTGACCTATTGAGTTGATATATAATTATTTGTTGCATGTATGAATTTATTTTATTAATAAACCTTGACATGAACATTAGGGAGGACATTGACATTTAATTGGAATGGCAGTTTTTTTATCCACATTAGTTTGATGTTTGGAAGTCCATTATTTATCAAAATATTTCAAAGTTTTTATTTTGTTTAGACTTTATCCAGAAGTAAAGAGAGATACATCTGTTATAGTAGGTTGATTGACTATTTATGGTTAAATTATAAGAGGAGATTAATAAAGAACTTATGATTCAAAATTAATCTCTTTTATTGAATTTCGAGAAGATAAATCAAAATGAACTTCTTTTTTTGTTTCAGAGTAGATTCTAGTTCTCTAATAAGATATAGGTTTAGTTAACTTTATAGTACTTTTTCTAGATAATGGTTATAGAGATGGTGTTTTATCATTTGTAAGATAATACAATTCCATCAATAATTATACATCTTCATAATTCTATTTCTACTATAATTTTAATTTATAATTAATTTCTGAAAGTCGATTAATTATTTTAATGAGATTTTCATTAGTTTTATTTAAATCTTCATATTCTATCATTTTTTTATCTTAATGATTCTTTATTACTTAATTAATCAAGATGAGATTAGAATGAATTCTAGAATCTAATTCTTTTTAGTCTTCATTGTTCACTTAAATTTCTTATAAAAGTATATCTAATTTATTTAAACCATATTTAAGATTTTCAATAAATGCTTTTAACCTTTCATTAAGAGAATTTAGATATTATATATTTTTGCTGTTATTTTTTGATAATTTAAAGTTTTCTTCAATTTTTTATAATTAGGATATTACTAATTTAAGTGAAGCATGAAGAGATAAAATTTTATTCATTTTATTTTGTTTTATATACTCATTCAAAAGTGATTAATTCAATCTTTAATCTTCATGAAACACTTAATTATCTGTTAATATATCATAAATCATCATTATATAATTATTATTTTCAGCCTATTAATCATGATCAAAAAATGCAATAAATTACTAATATTCATAATACAGAGATTCAAATATTTATATATATTCTAATTTCTTTTAATTTTACTATAAAATTTAGTTGTTTTAAGAAATATGATATTCCTATGTTATTTTTTTAATTCTTTCATCATGATCTTATACAATTTATCTAAATTCTCTCTATTTCTTTTTTATAACTTTTTCAAATTATTTCTAACTAACATTGATTATTTTCTAAATACTTTCCTCAACTTAATTATGAAGTTCTGCAAATTTTGACTACCTATCTGTTATTTTATATATTAATGATGTAATTTCTTCAAATTGTTAAGTTTGGTAATTTTTATCTTGAATAATTTTATTCATTTGTTTTTATAAGAAGAGATTTTAGAAATAAATATATTATTGATTAAAAAACAAAGATTTTCTTTAAATTTTTAATTCAAGTAACTAAAATTAACCAAAAACATGTTCATAATAACCAAATTAACTATAATTTATAGTCAAAATTAATAAAAGCTAATTTAAGTACCATAAGTATAAAATTAAAATAAAAACCCTCATTTATATCATTACTATGATAAAAAAAATAAATTAATTTAACATTAATATTTTTGAATTATATGACCTATAAATATATTCTCATATATTATATCCAATTGAATAATTATTCTCACATTAAGAAATTATAAGATTAAACTCTAAATATGGAAAAGTCATGGATCTCAATCTTTTTTTATTTTTAACCAAAGATGTACCTTATCCTAAATATATGTCCTAAATAAACTGTAAGTACAGTTACAATTAAGAATGAAATAGATTTAAATCAAGCATAAAAATGAACAAAGAGATTTTAAAATGTCTAAATTAACTATAATTATGTCACATGAAATTACTTTCTGAAAAGAGTTTATTAACATTTTTAGTCAAAAATCTTTAAATTAGAATTTTAAATATATGCTTCTATTTAAGGAATAATTCTATATATTTTAGATTCTATCCTAATATTTAAGATCATTTTGAAAAATTATAAGATTATGTTAAAATATAGAATCCAGAATATTTTTTTTATTTTGAAAATTCAAGTTTCTGTTTTTCTATATTATATCTTATAATAAGAATAACTAAGACTCTTGAAAGTATTTACTATATTAGATAATAAAATAATGTAATAGATTTCTACAGAATTATGAATATGATGATGTTATTGTTTTCTATTTACAAGAAGATAATGAATTGTTAGAAGATCATAACGGATAGTCTGTTCCTTGTTCCTTATAAATTAATGAACCTAAAATATTCTAATTATACTTGCATTTTTAAAGATTTATTCAACTATTTTATAAATGGTTTCACTTCAAAACTCAGCAATTTTATATAATGAAAATGAATTGATTAATTCTTCATATTTTTTATTTATAAAATTAAAATATCTCTATCGATATTTTAGTTTTCAAATCTACTTGGCTTTTTTTGATTTTAAAACAAAATGGACAGTTATTAAAATTTTTAATAATTATGAATATCTATATTAAAAATCATAAAGGTTGCTTTGAATTGTATTTAGAAAATATTTAAATATATGTTTGCTCATGAAGAATAGGAAGAATTCTATTTATTAATTTAATATATAAAAATTATATTATGTCAAATACAAAATTTCCTTCAGTTTCAATAAATGAAAAGTATAGTTCATTCATATTATAAGATTATAGAAACGTATTTTAAGATCAAAGATAGTTAAGATACTGAATAGTTAGTTTTAGAATTATTGCAACAAATTCTTAAAAATAGAAAGATTATAATCAGAAATTGATACAAGAAAGACTGAATTTGAGTTAGAAGATCAAAATTTAATATAATTATTACCAATTCATCCACCTATGAAATTTACTTAAGAAGAAAAACATCATTGTTAAAGAATGAATATCAATATTCCAACTCCTTTAGAAATGCAATAAAAATTGAAAGCGTAATTAACCCATTAAGAATTATTAGAAGTATTTTAGATCATTAATCTAAATTATTAGATTGGGGAAGATCCTGCTTATTTTATATAAGATGAAGAAATGAGAAGATTGAATTGGAATGAAGAAGATTGGTTATCAAAATCACATACACATTTAAAATAGGAAATGAAGGATATTCCTAAAATAAAATCTACTAGCAATTTATTAAAAATAAAAAAACCAACAATTAGATCAAATACTGAAGATAGAACAGAAAGAAAGAAAAAAGTATCAAATAAGATATTTATATAAAAAGATGATTGAAGAATAGGTTAAAAGATTACATGAAATAAATGAAATAAATTTTTAGAAGGTCAAATATAATCAAGAAACAAAAGAAATGGAGAAATAAAAAGAGTAAGCTAAATTAAATGAAAAATTTAAGTCCAAAATAGATGTGTAAATAAAAAAATAAGATGCTAAACATGAAAGTCATTAAAGAATAGCTGAGTATAAATAATAATAACAATAAATGATAAAAGAGAAAATTGACTTACATAAGTATAAATAATAAATTAGATTTAGAAAATAAATAATGGAAGAAGAAGAGATGATTAGATTAAATTAAAGATTAAAATAGATATGTTAAAATAAATAAGTTAATAATTTAATTGATTCAAATCTTAAAGATAAAATAGACAAAGCAATCAAATGCCAAACAAATAAATGATTAAAATTAGTATTGAGATTATATTCAAATTGTTAATGTTATTTTTTATAGAGTTTATTATTGAAACCTTAAAGTCTGGTATATTCAAACAAGAGTCTAAGACTATGTCATTATTTGATAATTTGAGTTCAATTGAAAAAACTCTTAATTATTTACATTTTTATTTAATACAACATCCAACTCAGAATTTCACTATATTATCTTTCTTTAATCCAAATTATTCATAAAGCGATAGGACTAACTTGTTCATTGGTTTAGGTCCGCATTACACTCCTAATGTAGTTTCAGTTGCCTTTGGAAATATTGATGTCATCATTTCTAAACTCACAAATCCTTTTAGACCTTTCCAATTCTCATCAAACTTTAAGATTATATTATATAAATACATTATCTAAGGTGTAATGAACTGTAAATTAATCTTTGTGCTTATCAGATAATTCATTTAATTCTTTTAATAACCAAATATCTTATTCAGTTTTATTTGCATATAAAAGGATCATCTTTGTATTATCATTTGGATTACTACATATGGCTCGAATTAATTAATAGGCTGGAGTGATACCACTTCCTCCACAAATCAATAATACTGTATTGAATTACTACCAAGTCTTATTAAGTTTTGGTCTAACAATAAATTGATTATTATGATAAAGCAACTTACCTACACATCTTTTAATTGTTAATTCTGAATGAAGCTATTAATTTATTATAAAGAATTACTTCTAACTTTTCTAACCATGGAGTTAATTCTCCTCCATTTGGAAATTTAGGATGAACATTAGGTCTATAAATTTTGATAGGTATTAAAAAATATCCATCATCTTCAAAAACATGAGTGTATGCTCTGTCAACAATCTCACCCTTCATATTAAGACCACTCAATATTAAAATATAAAACTTACTAAATTTTGATATGTTAAACAGCTTGCATTCCCAATCTCTCTTTTTGATTTTTGAAATCAAATCTAAACATATAAGAATCATGATTGATTGGTTCCCTTTTTGTAAGAGTAACTTAAAATTTCTTTGTAAAGAATTCACTTTAAGTATCAATTATGAAATCCTTCTAATCCATTTATGATATTAAATATAATCTAAATTTCTAAATTCTTCATCTGAAATATATAATTGCAAAGATATTTTAATCATTATTTATTTATTTATAAACAATCTTTTTAATTAAGGTTTCTTAACTCCAATACGAAAATTCTAAATTCCTAAGAAGTGTGAAAATATCTTGCTGAACTTTTATTGAAATATAATTTATATATTATTCCTTTTTAAAAACCAATCATATCAATCTAGCCATTTTATCAGCATTTCCAATATAATCCTTTGGTTCCAAAGTCATAAGCTTCTTTTTAATATCTTCAGGTAATGCTAATTTTGAAATAAACTCTCTTAAAGAATCCTTGGTTATTTTTTATCCTCTAGTTAATTCCTTAAGTTATTCATATGGATTTGGAACTCCATATTATCTCATAATCTATTAAATGGGTTCAGCTAAGACTTCCCAATGCTATATTAATTAAAAAAATAGATAATACATTTTCTAAATCATTTAAAATTGTATCATAATTAGGTGATATCTTATCAAGTCCTTTAATTAAACTTCTATATCCTACCACTGCATATCCTAAACATACTCCATGATTTCTCATTACAGTAGAATCAGATAAATCTCTTTAATATCTAGAAATTACTAATTTATTCATAAAATGTTAAGCTAATGAATTAGATAAACCTAAATTGCCTTCACAATTTTCAAAATCAATAGGATTAACTTTATGTGGCATAGTAGATGAACCAACTTCAGATTTAATACTTTTTTATTCGAAATAATTAATTGAGATATAACTCCAAACATCTCTTGATAATCCTACTAAAATATTATTAATTAAATTGAGATATGAATAATAGAGTGCTACACTATCATGAGGTTCAATTTGAGTAGTGAATGGATTATGTTTTAATTTAAGTTCCTCTATAAATTATTTGCTTAGAATGGGCCAATCATAATTTGGATATGCTAATAAATGAGCATTGTAATTTCCAACAGCACCATTCAATTTAGCCTCAAATTTAAGATTTCTTAATAATTCTGAATGATTTCTTATTCTATGAGCAAAGTTTGCAAATTCCTTTCCCACAGTAGTAGGAGATGCAACTTGACCATGAGTACGACTCAACATAGGAACATTATGATGATCATGTGATAATTGTACTAATTTATTAATAACTCCTTCTAACGATTTCATTAGTAAATTGTTTTTAGCATCAGTCATCATTAAACTATAAGCAATATTATTAATGTCCTCACTTGTACAACAAAAATGAACATATTCTTTCATTGAATGTAAAATTGGATCTAAATATGTCATAATAATAAAATACTTTTATCTAATTCTTCTTTGATATAATATTCAATAGATTTAACATCATGATTAGTTGTACTTTCTATTTATTTAACTCTGAATGATTTAGTTACATCAAATTTATCATAAATCAAATCCAAATAAGTCAAATCTAAAGCAGTTAAATTTAAAACTTAATTTCCTTGCTTTATCATATTCTTAGAATGCAAAAACTTCAACCATTCAATTTCTACTTTGATTCGATATCTAATATAATAAGAATTATAATACTTCATCAATGCATATTCACTAAAATAATCTTTGATTACAGCTGTTTAACTGGCATATCTTCCATCAAGAGGTGAAATTGCAGTCAGAGTGGATTCTTTAAATTCTATGATTTAATCGCCATTATTTTACATGATGAGAATTTACACAATCTTCTAAAAATTAACATAATTATAATTTCTAAAACTCATTATTCACAATTTTACACAACTGTTTGGAAATACATATTTATATCTTTCATATTCATTATATATTGCAGATTCAAAAGAATCCTTCAATCTCACAATAACTAAATAATTATTAGATTACTTACTTCTTCCATTCTCTTATCTCAATCTCCCACATTATAAAAGAAATGCCTCATAATTTCTTGGAAGATCATATAATATAATCTAAGTTACTTCTGGAAAGTCTAATCCTCGACTTCCAAGACCTGTACATATTAAAGTTCTATATTTATTAATTATTAATACTTCTATTCTTTTGTTCTAAATTCTTCTAAATTTCTAATTCTTTCCTCTACTGATTATCCAGAATGGAAACATTTACTAGATCCAACAATTTTTTAAATATCCTAACACTCTTTCTCTCCATCTACAAAAATAATTGTTTTCTGATTTTCTAAATATTCTTCAAGTGGTTTATCCATAAATTCTATTTTCCTTTTTGGCATTTACATATAGTCTTTAGAAATATGAAATGTAAATTTGCTTCCATCTAAAGATTTTAATTCTTTCTCTTCCTTAATTGTATTCACTGAATTGCAAAGCACAAATTAATTTATATTCAGATATCTTTAAATAGTATATATACTCTCTCTAAAACTTACATCACTATTATATATATATCATATATATACCCCCAAGTTAAATCTGCTTCATCTATTACTAAACAATTAACATCTTAAATTTTGCATCCTAATTTTACTAATTAAGCTAATTAACCAGGAGTTGATATACAAATATCAATTAAATCCCAATTTAATTAATTTCTCAAAGAATCATTCATTCTCTATATTCTTTCCTTAGCATAATTCTATAATTTTTTAGCTTCTTAATCGCTCTTTTTTAATTTATCATATTACAATCATTTCAACTATTGGAGCTATTAATCCAATAGACCCTATTCTTGATACTCTTATATTAGGATCTAATTCTCTTATAATCTTATAAGTTTAAATTGATAATTCTTTGGTTGGAGTAAGAACAATTGATCTTTTCTATTCAATTATTGGAACAGAATAACAAAGTGTCTTTCCAGTTCCACTTGGTGTTTATATTATTGTATTCAATCCATCCCTTATAACTGGAATCACCTACATTATAATAATATATATATACTTTTTGTTAGAGACTGTTTAATTTGATTCTATTCATTAATCACTTAAAATAATTTATGTTTAATTTGGTATTAAAAATTTATATATTTTTTCTATGTAACAATTTGATACAGAATTTGGAAGATTGTTTTATTGCATTTATACATTGCATAAACGATAACTTATTAGTTAAGAAAGAAAAGGAAGATTGAAAGGTTTCTACTTTTATGACTGTAGATTTGCTCATAACAACAGATGATCGAATGGCTCCTTTATTAACTAATTTGAAATAATATAATGAATAATAAGTGCATGAACACTTATTAATGATTGTAGATTCCCCACATGATACTAATATCAAATAAGAATCGGAACCTTCTGATGAAAATCAATCAACCAAATCCACTCGAACATTAAGAAATATTAAACCAAAAAATATTCATATAGAAAAGAGTACATTCAAATTGGCTGAAAAAAGTCCAGGCCCTTTGAGTACAAGATCATCTTAAAAAAGGACTTCATCATCCATTAAAAATTCTTGAAAAAATATATATGATTTTAATAAATATAAATATAATTATGAAATTAATTAAGAAGAAAGACATTTTTCAGAACATTAACACAGAATATGATATTTCTGCTTAAGTCTAAAGAAAATTACTAAACGGAAATGCATAATTCATTATTGATTTGGCCATTAACTTAGAACTAAATTCATATTCAACAGTATCCTTAGCAATTCATTTATGTAATTATTTCTTTCATCATAAATGCTACTTACAATATGATAGATTTGTAAAATTATATATTTACAATAGATTGTTGCAGCTGCATCTCTCTTATTAGCTTAAAAAATTAAAGATGGTGATCCAAGAATGAGAAAATTGTTAATCAGTTTTCACAAAATTATGTAATCAATTGAACAAACAAGAATGGCAAATGAGGCTTTAATGTAATCATTATAGAACAAACTCTGTATAGCTGAAAGCAGAATTTTAAAGGTAATTGAATATGAATTTGATATCAAATTACCAAATGATTACATTGAAGTAATATGTAAAAAATGTGTACCCAAAAAATTTGAAGAAGCCACTTTTCATACTCTCAAAATATTGATTCTGGATTCCTATAGAACTTATGCACCCTTAATGTTTCATTCATGGGTGATTTTGGTAGGCACATTTTTAGTAGCATCTTCTTAATTTTCATATACTCCATACATGTCACCACCTCCTTAATTGAATATGCCACCAGTTACTAATGAAGAGGAGGCATATAAAATATGGCTTGAACATGTTGAAAGTGAATTAAGAGACTTTGAAATTAATAAACTCAATAATACAAATTCAAAATAGACAGAAAAGACCACAATTTTAAAATAAGAAGATTTGAAAGACTTTCTCCTTGCCTTTAATGAAATGTTATTCTTAAATTAGAGTCCAGAATAATAACAATAATAACTTTAATCCTAGCAAACATAATAATAATCATGAGTTTTAATTTTTTGTGATCAAGAAATATCAATGCAATATATCATTATAATCATGTTAGTTAGAAACTCTTATTTTATATATTTATAAATTTCTCATTAACTTAGGTATTCAATTTTCTAACTTATTTAAAAGGATATAATTTCTACTCTTTTTTTCTAATTACTTTAAAAGAATAATAAATTTTAAAAGGGAAAAAACAAGAGTTTAAATTTTAGCCTATTCTTAAGTTCTAAAATATTTATTATTTCATTTCTAGCTATATCATTTTTATAAATGGAAAATTACCAATAGATCCTTTGTTTTATAGAAATAAAAACTAAAAATACTTATCAATTGATCTAATTTTTTATCAATTGTATTTTTAATTTAAAAAGAATTTTAATTCAATTTAAATTAAGCTTCAGATTTAGATATCATTTTAATGTATCAATAATTTTATTACATTTTTAATTAGGTTTTAAGACATAAAATAATAATAGTAATGAACTATTTACTAAATTTAATAAATATGCTTATTATGTAAAAGTAATTATATTTCTACTCTAAATTTATACAGAATATATAAGCTGTATAATGAAAATGAAAAATTTTATTAAATTGATGATTTTTATTTAAATGATTCAAATATTCAAGAATATCTATCAATATAAAAATAATTAATTAATTAAAGCTAAAGATATTTGATTTTTTTCCAATTTAAGGTAAGTAAATTGATTTATTGTTTTTAGATATATGAGAATAATAATTCATTTTGCAACATTAATATATCTTTTATAATTAAAAATAATTTTTTAAAAGACTTAAATTTGATTTATTAAAACTTTGAAAATTGATTATAAAGTAGGGAAATCTCAAATGTTGTTTATAAGTTCTATTTGGTCTTTCTTTTAAGTATAAATAAATGATGTTGTTAATTTGGCTCCATGATTGGTATGAAAAAGAGGATTTCAACTTACCAATTTGATCTAAAAATGGAACAACTTAATGTTATAGAGGGTAAATTACAATAGATTCTGAAATTATCAGGTAGCAAACATATGATTCTAAAAATACAATTTCAATAACTTTGGAATTATAATAAATTTGATTCAGCTTCCATTTATTAGATAATAATATACAAAATCTTTTTAATATATTAAGCAAGTCCTTAAATTAAAATATAACTCCTAACTTTACACTTTTGTTGAAATTTATAATACTTAAATAAAATAAACAATGTAAAACAATGATTTTGGATTACTATGAATATCAAAAAGATAATTTTTAACATTTATTAGTAATAATGAACATAATTAGTTTTGATAATATAATTTTTATTAGTTATAAAACAAATGGCATAATTATTTAAATAATGGACATTTTAGTTTCCTAACCCAATACATGAAGCAAACTATTAGGATTTTCTCAATAATTAAAGGCTATTTTTTTTAAGAGCATTATTTTTTAGTATAATGCTCTCCTGCTTTTTTGCAATGCTGGTGTTTATTGTTCAAAATTAATCGGCTTATTTAGTTAGTTTTATGGCAGTTTTATTCATTTTGCACATGGTATTTTTATTCTTTAGCTATAAACTTATTTATTGTTTAAAGTATATTATGACAATCCTATATGCTTCATATGTATCGGCTGCTTTTTCATTAGCTTATATTGGATTTAATGTGTAAGAAATTATTTAATTTAGTCCACTCTATGACTTTGGAATAGCAAGTGGTATATTGTTCAGCTGTGTTTTATAATATTGCGACAATAAGTTCAAAGTAGCATATGTTTTTATCACTAATTGGATGGCTTTAGCATTATTTGTTCAGTTTGAACTTGATCAAATATAATACTTAGTATTTTCATTATCAATGTTTATTTTACTAAGTATCATGACATATTTAATTGAACATAATAGAAGATCATAATTTTTATTTAGTTAACAACTTAAAACATAAAAGTAAAGATTGAAATAAATTTAGATCAATTTTATATGAGTTTTCAAATGATTCTTTATTTGCTATAATTTATAATGAAAAAACAAGAAGTTTTTAGCTTTCATTTGCTAATAAAAAATTTGAAATATAATATAAGACTGATTTAAATGAAAACAATGTAAAAGATTTTTTAAGAAGTTAATAAATAATAAATAGAAATAACTAAAATTCAAATAGAAGTTTAAATAATAAATAAATACATAAATAAATAAATTTAGAAGAATATTTATTTGATTTAATTTAATAAAAAGATGATCATTTTAATCAAGAAAGATTTTAAATTGAAACTAATAATGGAAAAGAAAAATATTTAATTGATGTTTTGAAATTTGAAAATCATTAAACGGTCTTCTTTCTCTCAATTAAAGAAAATTAAGCAAAACTTTAAATAGAAAAATATGAAAAAAAAATAAAATACTTAAATGAAATTTTTTAATCTGTGCTTATATTAATTGGTAATAGATTAGAAAGGTTATATAAATAAATACTAAAACTAAATGATAATCTTGGATAAAATACTGAACTTATTAAAGAATAGTAATGCAATATTTAATATTCATTAATATATTTGAAAAATTATATGATTTACTTATAAAAAAGTAAAATGTCATTTTTGAAATAATAATTTGAATTATTTATCATTGAAAAATTAATAGGTGCTTTGTCTGAATATTTTCATCACTATAGTAAGTAATATAATAAGTAATTCTAATATATTTGTTTGAGTGAAGTAGGATAATAATAGATATATTTAAATACGAGATTATTAACTTAACTTTTAATGAATTGCTTTAATAAGATTTTAAAGATATCTGAACCTAGGAGCTGCATTTAATTATAAATTGATAGGAAAAAAATAAAAAATCAATAGTAAAATGATAAAAATTATAACAGTAATCAAGAACTTTAATTAATGTAATTTTCTTACATTTTTGAACATAAAGATTAAATTGAAAATATAGAAACTCAGTTTTATTAATCAATTGATACAGATTCTTAAAAATCATTAGAAATTGANTGAACATAATAGAAGATCATAATTTTTATTTAGTTAACAACTTAAAACATAAAAGTAAAGATTGAAATAAATTTAGATCAATTTTATATGAGTTTTCAAATGATTCTTTATTTGCTATAATTTATAATGAAAAAACAAGAAGTTTTTAGCTTTCATTTGCTAATAAAAAATTTGAAATATAATATAAGACTGATTTAAATGAAAACAATGTAAAAGATTTTTTAAGAAGTTAATAAATAATAAATAGAAATAACTAAAATTCAAATAGAAGTTTAAATAATAAATAAATACATAAATAAATAAATTTAGAAGAATATTTATTTGATTTAATTTAATAAAAAGATGATCATTTTAATCAAGAAAGATTTTAAATTGAAACTAATAATGGAAAAGAAAAATATTTAATTGATGTTTTGAAATTTGAAAATCATTAAACGGTCTTCTTTCTCTCAATTAAAGAAAATTAAGCAAAACTTTAAATAGAAAAATATGAAAAAAAAATAAAATACTTAAATGAAATTTTTTAATCTGTGCTTATATTAATTGGTAATAGATTAGAAAGGTTATATAAATAAATACTAAAACTAAATGATAATCTTGGATAAAATACTGAACTTATTAAAGAATAGTAATGCAATATTTAATATTCATTAATATATTTGAAAAATTATATGATTTACTTATAAAAAAGTAAAATGTCATTTTTGAAATAATAATTTGAATTATTTATCATTGAAAAATTAATAGGTGCTTTGTCTGAATATTTTCATCACTATAGTAAGTAATATAATAAGTAATTCTAATATATTTGTTTGAGTGAAGTAGGATAATAATAGATATATTTAAATACGAGATTATTAACTTAACTTTTAATGAATTGCTTTAATAAGATTTTAAAGATATCTGAACCTAGGAGCTGCATTTAATTATAAATTGATAGGAAAAAAATAAAAAATCAATAGTAAAATGATAAAAATTATAACAGTAATCAAGAACTTTAATTAATGTAATTTTCTTACATTTTTGAACATAAAGATTAAATTGAAAATATAGAAACTCAGTTTTATTAATCAATTGATACAGATTCTTAAAAATCATTAGAAATTGAATGTATTGTGAATCAAATCATTTTGAAGATCTTAAGTCCTTACAATTATATCTAAACTAAAACAATTTATTAATAGAATTTTTCAAATCATCAGACAACATTAATGTTTTATATTTATACTGATTAAACTCAATTAGATCCATCTTTTACTAAATATGTTGATTTATTAAATCTTTGATAATTTAATACAGCTATATAATTAACGATATATTTCAATTTATAACTTAAATATCTTCTTGTTTCAAATATGTTTTTGCAATCTTAAACTTATTTTTATGAATCATTAATATTAAAATTAAGTACTTTCTCAACAGAATTCTCAAATCAACTAGGCCAAAGCAGTTTTTAAATGCGAATATAATTTTATAGTAATATTATGAATGCATTAAAGATTCAATTTATGTTTAAATAATCATATTTTCGATTTAGCCATATCATTTCAAAATAAAAATTTGACAAATAAAATTATTCTCAAAAGATTATTTTATTATTTTAATTTTGTTGTAATGCTAAATTATTATTCTTATGTTTTATAATTTAATTAGAACGAATAATATTTTAATTTGTTAATAAAGATTGTAAATCATTTCAGAAAGATGAAATAATTTTTTAAAGTATGGACATTTTAGTTCTCTAACCAAATAAATGAAACAAAATACGACAATTATCTTAATAATCAAAGATTATTATTTTTTAGAGCATTATTAATTACTCTTATGCTACCTTGCTTTTTTGGAATGCTAGTGTTTATAATTCAAGATTAGTCGACTTATTTAATTGCTTTGATGGCTGTTTTTTTCATACTACATATTATAATACTATTCTTTAGCAAAAAATTAAAAAATTGCTTAAAACTTATTATATCTATTTTATATGTTTGTTATGTATCAGGAGGAATCATACTAGTTTATATAGGTTTTCAAGTGTAAGAATTTATTAATTATTAGTCCTCTTTATAACTTTGGAATTACATCTGGTATACTGCACTCTTGTGTATTATAATATAGCGATAGTAAATTAAAAGTGATTTATGTGCTTATCACTAATTGGGTTATTATCGGTATCTTTGTTCCATTTGAACTTTCATAAATTTAATATATAGTATGTTCATTTTCTATGTTTTTTTTATTGGGTGTACAAACATATTTATATGAGCATAATAGAAGATCATAATTTTTATTTAGTTAACAACTTAAAACATAAAAGTAAAGATTGAAATAAATTTAGATCAATTTTATATGAGTTTTCAAATGATTCTTTATTTGCTATAATTTATAATGAAAAAACAAGAAGTTTTTAGCTTTCATTTGCTAATAAAAAATTTGAAATATAATATAAGACTGATTTAAATGAAAACAATGTAAAAGATTTTTTAAGAAGTTAATAAATAATAAATAGAAATAACTAAAATTCAAATAGAAGTTTAAATAATAAATAAATACATAAATAAATAAATTTAGAAGAATATTTATTTGATTTAATTTAATAAAAAGATGATCATTTTAATCAAGAAAGATTTTAAATTGAAACTAATAATGGAAAAGAAAAATATTTAATTGATGTTTTGAAATTTGAAAATCATTAAACGGTCTTCTTTCTCTCAATTAAAGAAAATTAAGCAAAACTTTAAATAGAAAAATATGAAAAAAAAATAAAATACTTAAATGAAATTTTTTAATCTGTGCTTATATTAATTGGTAATAGATTAGAAAGGTTATATAAATAAATACTAAAACTAAATGATAATCTTGGATAAAATACTGAACTTATTAAAGAATAGTAATGCAATATTTAATATTCATTAATATATTTGAAAAATTATATGATTTACTTATAAAAAAGTAAAATGTCATTTTTGAAATAATAATTTGAATTATTTATCATTGAAAAATTAATAGGTGCTTTGTCTGAATATTTTCATCACTATAGTAAGTAATATAATAAGTAATTCTAATATATTTGTTTGAGTGAAGTAGGATAATAATAGATATATTTAAATACGAGATTATTAACTTAACTTTTAATGAATTGCTTTAATAAGATTTTAAAGATATCTGAACCTAGGAGCTGCATTTAATTATAAATTGATAGGAAAAAAATAAAAAATCAATAGTAAAATGATAAAAATTATAACAGTAATCAAGAACTTTAATTAATGTAATTTTCTTACATTTTTGAACATAAAGATTAAATTGAAAATATAGAAACTCAGTTTTATTAATCAATTGATACAGATTCTTAAAAATCATTAGAAATTGAATGTATTGTGAATCAAATCATTTTGAAGATCTTAAGTCCTTACAATTATATCTAAACTAAAACAATTTATTAATAGAATTTTTCAAATCATCAGACAACATTAATGTTTTATATTTATACTGATTAAACTCAATTAGATCCATCTTTTACTAAATATGTTGATTTATTAAATCTTTGATAATTTAATACAGCTATATAATTAACGATATATTTCAATTTATAACTTAAATATCTTCTTGTTTCAAATATGTTTTTGCAATCTTAAACTTATTTTTATGAATCATTAATATTAAAATTAAGTACTTTCTCAACAGAATTCTCAAATCAACTAGGCCAAAGCAGTTTTTAAATGCGAATATAATTTTATAGTAATATTATGAATGCATTAAAGATTCAATTTATGTTTAAATAATCATATTTTCGATTTAGCCATATCATTTCAAAATAAAAATTTGACAAATAAAATTATTCTCAAAAGATTATTTTATTATTTTAATTTTGTTGTAATGCTAAATTATTATTCTTATGTTTTATAATTTAATTAGAACGAATAATATTTTAATTTGTTAATAAAGATTGTAAATCATTTCAGAAAGATGAAATAATTTTTTAAAGTATGGACATTTTAGTTCTCTAACCAAATAAATGAAACAAAATACGACAATTATCTTAATAATCAAAGATTATTATTTTTTAGAGCATTATTAATTACTCTTATGCTACCTTGCTTTTTTGGAATGCTAGTGTTTATAATTCAAGATTAGTCGACTTATTTAATTGCTTTGATGGCTGTTTTTTTCATACTACATATTATAATACTATTCTTTAGCAAAAAATTAAAAAATTGCTTAAAACTTATTATATCTATTTTATATGTTTGTTATGTATCAGGAGGAATCATACTAGTTTATATAGGTTTTCAAGTGTAAGAATTTATTAATTATTAGTCCTCTTTATAACTTTGGAATTACATCTGGTATACTGCACTCTTGTGTATTATAATATAGCGATAGTAAATTAAAAGTGATTTATGTGCTTATCACTAATTGGGTTATTATCGGTATCTTTGTTCCATTTGAACTTTCATAAATTTAATATATAGTATGTTCATTTTCTATGTTTTTTTTATTGGGTGTACAAACATATTTATATGAGCATAATAGAAGATCATAATTTTTATTTAGTTAACAACTTAAAACATAAAAGTAAAGATTGAAATAAATTTAGATCAATTTTATATGAGTTTTCAAATGATTCTTTATTTGCTATAATTTATAATGAAAAAACAAGAAGTTTTTAGCTTTCATTTGCTAATAAAAAATTTGAAATATAATATAAGACTGATTTAAATGAAAACAATGTAAAAGATTTTTTAAGAAGTTAATAAATAATAAATAGAAATAACTAAAATTCAAATAGAAGTTTAAATAATAAATAAATACATAAATAAATAAATTTAGAAGAATATTTATTTGATTTAATTTAATAAAAAGATGATCATTTTAATCAAGAAAGATTTTAAATTGAAACTAATAATGGAAAAGAAAAATATTTAATTGATGTTTTGAAATTTGAAAATCATTAAACGGTCTTCTTTCTCTCAATTAAAGAAAATTAAGCAAAACTTTAAATAGAAAAATATGAAAATTTTATAAAGGATCTAAATGAAAATTTTAAATAAGCTCTTGTTTTAATTGGAAATAAATTAGAAGAGCTCTATAAATAATTATAAAATTGTAATAATCATATAGATATTGAAAATGATCTATTGAGAAAATCTTACTGTAATATTCAATATTCATTAAATTACATAAAAAATCATCTGATATATCTATAAAAAGGTAGAATATCATTTTTAAAATAAGAATTTGAAAAAATTACAATTGAAAAAGTAAATGAAGCTTTGCTTTAATATTTTATCCATTATTCTTAATTAAATCGGAAATAATTCCAATTAGATTGCTCATTTGAGGTAGAATAATCAATAATTACTTTAAATATCAAATTATTAACTTAACTTTTAATGAATTGCTTTAATAAGATTTTAAAGATATCTGAACCTAGAAGCTGTATTTAATTATAAATAGATAGAAAAAAAATAACAAATTAATCTTAAAATGAAACAAATTATAACAGTCATCAAGATCTTTAATTAATGTAATTTTCTTACATTTTTGAACATAAAGATTAAATTGAAAATATAGAAACTCAGTTTTATTAATCAATTTATTCAGATTCTTAAAAACTATTAGAAATTGAATGTATTGTGAATCAAATCATTTTGAAGATCTTAAGTCCTTACAATTATATCTAAACTAAAACAATTTATTAATAGAATTTTTCAAATCATCAGACAACATTAATGTTTTATATTTATACTGATTAAACTCAATTAGATCCATCTTTTACTAAATATATCTTACAAAAACACATCGATTATTGAATTATATTATAATTATCAATATTTTGCAAATTTAAAGTTAGAGAATTAAAATATTAGATAATAAGATTAAAATATAAATACGTTATTTATATTTTATAGATATCAATCCAATTTCTAAATTTTTCTTATAATCTATTTTTGATTATTCTTTAAGATTATTAATATATTTTTGAGACTTTATCTGATACTCAAAACTTTACTGCTCTGTTTAATGAATTAGAAATGGGGTGGTCATAAACATTTTAGGATAACAAAAACAATTTTGATACTTCTTTTGTTCGAAGTAAGAACATTAAATTATTCAAATGAAGCCTAGAGTAGTGAGTTAAAAAGAAATGTATGGCGCTAAAAAAATTAATTAGCTGCTTTAAAAAGAGAAATTGGCCAATAGACTGAGGAAAAAATTATCGATTAAAAAGAAAGATAGATTATATATTCTTAAGAAACAAACACTAATTAGTATAATTCATTATATTAAAAGAAAAAGAGCAATAATAATAAAATACGAAAAAGAATTTTTTTAAATCAATCCTATTTCATCAGAACAGAACAGATTAACGAAATGCTTTTAAATAAACAAAAATGTAAAATAAAAAATTTTACCTTAAATTATAAAAAATAGGAGTATATTTGGGGCCTTTGAAGAAGATTGGTAAAGGATATTTAATTCTAAATAAAATTCAAATTCAAACTTTTAAAGGCCATTTTATTTAAGAAATTTAGAAATGCAAAAGTGCATTTTAAATTGAAGTATTCATTTTAATATAGATTGGTAAAAAAATATTGCAAGTATTAATGGTTCAATTGTACTACAATATGATATCATTAATAAATTAATAGAGGATATTTGATAAAATGAAGAGAATCTGAAAGAATTATTTAATCAATTTATTTTAATATTCAAATAATCCTATTAAAAAAATAAAATAATGTTTAATTGACTTTATATACTTATTTAAATCGAAATTAAAAATTGAGCCTTTCAAACTACATTAAAAATAAATTAGAACGCATAAACTATATTCATATTGAAATAATTTAAATATCACAAAATAATAATTCAATACTAAAAATTCATAGTATAAAGTTAGAATTCAATAGAGATACTTTAAATAATGACAAAATTATGTTTTGCTATTTGGTTGAGGGGCAATCAAAAATTTATCGAAATGTAAGAAACAGATTCTAAATTTATTAATGATTA